TTTCAATTCAAAACCAAATTCATTTTATTAGCTTTGGATTATGATTAATTTATCAATAAAAAATTCTAATTAAAGAACCATTGTTCATATTTTTTCACAAACGCCCACGTGTTTACTTATGTACATGTAAAATGATATGCAATGATATGATATGCTATTCATGTTTTTTTAAGTGGTATTTTTAAGCGACAGGAGCATTGAACCGATTTACCTAAAATGCCACAAAGTGCCGCCCAATTTAATATTAAATCAGCTTGAAACTTTTAAGACGGCTGGCCATCAAGCAAGATTTTAAGTCCGCAAAACTCGGCACAATTGAAAAGGATAAAGTTTTAATTAAATAGAAAATATTTATTCAGAATTTATGGAAAGAATAACAGTAAAAACCGAATATTGAATTATTTAGTGAAACGCAGCGGGACGCACAAGTGTTAATAATTGAAATTCTCACGCCGAGGCAGAAAAGTTTTGCGAGAGAAACTTGTAGAACAAATAGGCGGACTGTTCGCCTGTTCGTTCTTTGGCCAATTAATAATAAATCGCGAGCCAAGAAGGGAGACTAAAAAACAAACTCTAGCAACTAATGATGCGCCTCATTTGAGCGGCAAAAGGCAAACGGTAGACGGCAGGTTTCGACCACGTGTAACAACAAATTACCGCCGCAAAAGCGAAAAACTTGCCAGATAGCCATCGCCCTCCGTCCCGAAAAAGGTTAAAGGTGGCCAAAAGCGAAGGTAAGCGTAAACGCTTTTGCCGAAACTTCAGAAAAGGGTCGTTGTTCCCGGGGATTCTCGTGGACTTAGCGCTTGATTAAGCGTCAAAAAGCACCCATTTCCACCCATTTTCCACCCACCAGCCCATCGAGTTTAAGCCATTGTGAACTGCTGATTGATAAGGCAAATTGGTGTTGGGATTGTTTTATGCATTCCACGGCCCCCAAAAGTTTTGTTAACCAATGCAAATTGTGCGTGGGGCTCGTGTGCTTTTTAATTAAACCTACCTTCATTTTATATCTTTGCGATGGGTATTTATTTATCGCACAAAACGGAAGGAAACTTTATCCACATTTGAGTTTTCATAATTTCCGTATTTTTTAAGCAATCTGCCTTCGCAGGCAGACGTCATCTACACTCACACATATCGTAGGTATAACAAAGTTAATTTCAACATTTCATTTTGCAGGAAAACGTGTATAAAAACGCCCGCCTTGCGGCGTAATTAAATTTTCTAATTGAGTTACCACTGACATGGAGCACGGTGGAAATTTTGAAGCAGCCCAGTGAAACCCGAAGAGGAAAATATAATATAATATAAGATTGCCTTTTGCAATTTGAATCGTGAGAGCTACATTTGGGTCCTTTTAGTCTGGCAATCTGGCGATGCCTGTTTCTGGCCGAGACTTTTACATTTCGCTGACTTTGCTAATAAATTATCGTATGCCCGTCAAACTTTAGGCGCATAAAAAAGAAGAAAGTAGGCAATGCTTTATGTTTGTTTCTGCCTTCTGATTTATACTCAATGCACGAAAAGTAGTCCAAGTCATAATTTATGCTTGAGCTACGACACACCATAAAAAAACCAGAACACAAAATCTCCAAAAGCATTTGGATAATTGGTGATTTTATTGACTGCGAAAATTATGTGATGGCGCATGCCATTTAAAGTAATAAAGAACTATCTTGTTTGATCCTCTGAAATATTACTCAACTTATGTGGAGGAATCCTTAAACAAACCCCATTTCTGAAGCCCTTTTATGTCTTTAAAAGAAACTCGCATTCAACTTCATGCATAATTAGAGCGCCATGTCTGCCTAAATGAATAAATTTATGTCGTGAATTCAACCCTTGAATTTTATTTATATGTCTAGGAGTACTCATAATGAGTCGCAGTCACAGTACGCATTTTTGAAGTTGTTTGAGAGTACACTTAATTGCACGTATTTTTATGATGTTGGAAAAAGTCTGCCTTTAAAGAAATATTTTAACTACGTCAAATGTAAAATGTAGCATTAACCAAAATTAACATATTTTACAACAACGCATGTAAAAAGTTTGGCTTCGACATGTTGGTAGCAAATCCTTTTAGCTTGCAAATTAATTGAAATTTACCAACAATAGTTAAACATTTAATTTAGTTGCTAACTTAGAAACCCTAATAACGCCTCTATTTTTGTGCAGTCATAAGAGATTGAATGAAGTAATTACGTTGCCAAAATCTTAGTCCATAAACATTGATTTATAATTATTAGAATTCGTTCACGCACTATTAGCCTTGAAATTTAACCAACTAGCAGAGGAAACCGATGATTAAAAGACTAAATTTGCCGCTAAAAGCTTGCCTTTTGCAATAGAGAACTCCTTTGGCAAACCCGTAGTTACTTTATTGAGTGTTTATTGAAATTTATGGCTCGTTTGGCACCGGTAAAGCAAAGTTGAGTTGAGTACTTTATACGCACGGCAATATGTTGGATTTATGGCTTAGCTTAATGGCTAATGTTAGCACTGCATTTAGATTAAATTGGGGCTTCTGCGCGCAGCAAGGCTAGTTAGTATATTTATGTACGTACTAATGAACAGCATTATGCAATCAGTCTTTATGTTTGCTTTCAATGTTTCAGGTAGCTCCTTGTCAAAACATTCTGAGAAATCTTTAGCTTATTATCGGAAATAAGATGCATGTCTTCGCTTTTAGTTTAAACAATATGTACACTTTACTGTCAATTTTCGGCTTAAGTTTAATCTGGTAGCGAAAATCCAAACGAATTTTAATTATGCATTCGTTTCACCGATCCGTAAATTGATTATATTAAAAATTAATTTAATTGAAACCGGTTGTGCGAACACAAAAAAGGAATAACTTTTTACACAATATAAAAATTGGTTTGTGTGTAACGTGCAATGTAATGTGTTAAAAGTACTGGCATATTTTATTGATTAAATCTCAGAGGCTGCCATAATTCAAAGGGTATGCTAAGTCCAGCAGGCTTACCATTCTGCCCTCGACGTTAATTGCCTATTAATTTGCGGCAACATTCATGGAATTCTATATAATTCAATGATATTGAATGCTCAGCGGCAAGTGTCAAGTGTCTGAAACTGAAATGAGCGGAGGGCCAAAGGGCAAACCAAATGGAGTTGCTGAAATGCATGTAATATTGGAAATCCACTCGATGCCGACGCAAATAAAGTCCGATGAAAGCGGCCAGTTCAAATAGGGCCACAGGATGGGCCAAAAGCCGATGATACCGGGCTACTAAATCAATAAAACGGTCAAGCAGTTGGCGCATAAGTCGAAAACATAAACACATAAAATGCTGGCCCATAAAAAGGAGCTTCCATTTCGTTTGTAAACAAAAGCATTTCACATTTCGCATTTCCCACCGAGCGGCCTGAACAGTCGGATGCGGGTTTTCTAACCCCCCGGCTTTTGTTGGTCCTGCTGAGCTTTTATTTTGTTATGCGGGGTCCTTCCTGCTTAAAAAAAGCTAAATAAAAAATATCTTCCTTTGTCCAAACTCCCACAGCTGTCCAGATAATGTCCATGAGTTGGCGAGATGGACGGCTGTTAAACCGTGGAAATCAATTTTAAGATAGGCCCAAATTTCGTTAAAGAACTAAATTGTAGATTCATGACTTCCCATTTTTGGGACTATGATGATATACCTTTTAAAGGTTCCCAAAGGACCTAAAAAGTCAAATGTGCGTGAGGAATAGCAAATATTTTTGTAGGGGAAGGGGCAACGTTTAAAAGTCAAACGGACAGCTTAATAACTGGGAAACCAACTATGTGGAAAACGACAAAAATTATCAAAAGAGCAAAAGTGAACATCCTCCACTATTTTATTTTATTTACGCTTCATTTGCAGCTTTTTTGGGTCCTGCTGAGAGCCAAGTTTCATTTCTCTGTGGGTTTTTCCTTCTTCACTTACTTTTGTTGTTGTTGTTGTTGTTTTCTTTTTTTTTATGTTGACAAGACAATTTGCAAGATACATACCAGTCATGTAACATAAGACGCCTGAGCACATATACACAAGAAATAAAATATTAATGCGGTAGATCAAAGCGAAGCATACCGTAAAACTTGCGAATTATTCGGGGCATACAGAACGCCCAAAAGGAAAAGTTTTATTTTGTTTTCTGTTTGTTGGTCCAAAAGTCAATTTATGGTTTTCCACCCGCATAATTTCATTTTATTTTTGCCGCTCTACGTTTTTCCTTCTGATGATGCGTTTTTTTTTCCATTTTGTTGGTTCATATGAGTGAATTATGAGAGAAGCGTGTATTTGTTAACGTTCTTTTCAGAGGTTGTAAATTTTGTTTTGTTTAAATGAAGGCTTTGTTAAAATAATATTAACCATTAAATAATTTTTTATTTCGCGCTGAAAAGCGGCCATCAAATTTTATAAAAGCCGCCTCTGTCTATAAAAAACATAATTGAACTGTGTGCAAAAATTCTTTGGCCGCCAAAGTCGATTATACTAAATAAATTGGAACCTATTATGAACAGATTTTATTTGTTCTCAGCATAACATTAAAGCAGTTTAAAAATTTAAGAGAACAGAACATACAAAATTTGGTCTAATTTCTAGCGAAAAGCCGTACCCTGCGGCGTTATTTTAGAAAATGCCCAACACGGTGAGGGAAAATAAAACATATTTTTATATCGCTGTTATGGGTTGAGGTAAACTGCTGACAGCGCTGACCAGAAACTGCATCGCCAAAGCCATTTATCAAAACTAATAGCCGCCTAGATAAGTGTGAAAAAGTGGAAAACGATAGGAGGGAAGAGAAACCATTAAGAGGAGTGCAACTAGAAGTAAGGAAGGCAAACTAGCTTCGAAAACTGAAGGATATCGGAAGTAGGAACTACCTTTCAAAATGTGAAGTGGTAAAAGTTAACTGGAAAGTATTGATCAAAAGATTCTCAGCAACCTATAAAGTATTGTGTCATTTTTTTCAGTAAAGGTTTGTAATTGGAAAGTAGTGAAGCTGTTAAAAATAATAAGATTGTTGAAAAAAAGGCAATATGGAGACCCGAAATGTAAACTACGAGATTCCTGGACCAAGAAGATACAACATAAACTTCCAAGAAATCTGTAATTGGCTGGGAATTTTAATGTACGATTATGGCAATTGGTTTCTATCGAAATTAAATGAATTTAACCGGCTTTACTTGCAAAGAGTATGCAATTTTCAATTAACTCCTTCCGCCGATTCGAATTCTTTGGAGAAGATTAGCCAAACAAGAGATTGGAAAAATGCGACTGTTCGTTGCATTGAATTTCATCCAAACTGCGTGATGATGGCAGTTGTAACCAACAAGGACACCGTTCTAATTTATGACGAGAAGTGTGGCTCACCTGCAAGCCTCCAATCCTTCCAGCAAAAGGACATAGCCTGTGCTTCGTTTCGTCCTTGGTCGCAAGGATGCGAATTGGCTGTGGGATGTTCAATGGGAATTTTCTTATGGCGACAAACTCGACACTCCAATGGAGCTCATAACATTCGCCATATGATGGGACCCCACAACTTGGAGATCCTGCAGGACGAAGGACACACCTATGTGACTTGCCTGCAGTGGAATGAGGATGGAACCATCCTGTTAAGTGCCGCCTTGGGATCCTCAAATATTGTAATGTGGGAACCGGATCGTCGGGAAAAGATTCATTTATTTCCAGTTTTTAGTAGAGTGAGTTCCATTTCCCTGCTGCGTTTTAGTCCCGACTTCCTGTTTTGCGCATCCTGCGAGGAAGGTGGCGTTTTTTGTCTTATGAATAGGAGTAAGCCATGGAAATCGGAAGAGGTCCTTCAGCAGGGTCACATTCAAACGGCTGTCTGGACAATTTGCAGCAAATATCTGCTGTTTGCAAAGGAAGGCGACACTCAAGTTTATTCATTGACCAACGATGCGGAGGCTTCTATTTTCCTCTGCCCCAAACTTAATTGGATTCAAGAAACTCTGATAGATCTGCATGTTGTCACCACTTGTTCTGGTCAGCAAAGGATTTGCGGAGAGCCCCAGAGCTTCGCAATGGATCCTTTGGGCATCTACATGGCGGTCCTTTTCAAGGAGCAATCCTTTGTGCTTCTCTGCCTTTTGGTCAACAAGCGACAGGGTTCACTGAAAATACTTCCCATTGAATTTATTACTTGCGATGCGGGTGGCGATCAATATCCAACTTGCATTGGATTTGGGAAATCACGAAAAGAGGATCCGGAGATTCGCTGTTTAATGATTGGCTGGAATATGGGGCATCTTCAGCGATATTTTGTGACTACAGAAAGCTTACAGGAAACCAAAAAGATTCATAACATACAATTTAAAGGAAACCCAAAGGAAAGGGGAACGTTTTATTACAAGTAAATATACGAAATCAAAAACATTTATTGATACATGTCTTTCAAGAATTGAAAAAAACAAAATGGTAACTAACTTACTTTAATAATCAACACTGAATTTAATTATAAAGTTAAAAATAAGCTACAAAAACTTTTTTATTAAATAACATGAATAACTTTAGAAGTGTGGTTAAATAAAACAAATTTATTAAATTTGCAGACATCCACATCTAAGTTTTTTTCACAAAGTTAGCACAGTAATATAATATAAGTTAGCACAGTAATATAATCAATTTCGATACGGCACAGAGACTTAATTTATGTTAAGTCTTGATACGCTGGTGTCGATATATTTTCATGCTCGTTTTCCACTCTCCGATTGCCTCCATTAAATTCTCATCCCCGCATATGAATATTCAACGGAAGCGCTTATGCAAATGGAAAATAACTCAAGTCTGCGAGCAACCAGTTTTTCGGATTCCACCGCCGCCCACCAGGAATTCGCGATTGTCGCTTATTCTGCAGGTATTTTCATTCAGCTGACAATCGTGAAGTAAGCTTAAAGGCAATAAATCTTTACTTTCATTTCTGATTGCAGACCGAAAAATTGGTTTTACACAGAATTTACTTTTTTATAATTGACGTTTTTTATTGCGTGACGACGATGGGATATTGATACGGTTGCCCAATTGAAAATTATTCTACCGTTTCTACAGATTGTTAAATAAAAGGGTCGGATGGTCATACAAATTTTCCCCCAATTAAGGGACAGTAATGTATTTATTTAGAGGGCGTATTCAATTCGTGTATGCGGATTTTCCGCTTTTTGCTTAAATTGCGCTTTAACGACTCCCCTGAGGATAAATCACATGTCAAGGCACGTGCAAAAAAAAGGCAAACGGAAAAATAAATTAATGCAGGCTAACGACCAAATCTCAATGGATATTGACGATTCAAAGTTAATCTAGGGGCCTAATGGAAATTGATTTCAGGTTTTTTTTTTGTGTTTTTCGATGTGAGTTTACTTTAAAAGATAGTCGAAAATGGTTTACACATTTGTTGCTTTTTGCTAAAAGTAATTCACCAAAAACATACAATAAAATATACCTTTTCCAAGTAAATATTAAAAAGAAAATGGTAAACTGAAACTTGAAATCAAGAACGTTTACCCACTTGAGTATTTCAATATTGACCACCTTACAATGGACAAAAAAAAGGAATCCTGGTAAGAAATAATCTGGAAACAAACCGAGGGAATAAACGTATCAGAATTGAGAAGGAAGCACATAATCGCAATCTTGAGTCCATCTCAATTGCGTCCACTCATCTCCAAACCAACATTGACTTTGGTCTGCAACTTTCCTTAGGTAAACATCTTAAAACCGAAATGCCTTCCCTCTGCCTGCCAGTAATTTCTGAGGCCAGAGGAATATTGTGCCGAGCAAAGCGGAAAAAGCGCAAGAACATGAATGCAAATAAGTTCCCAACAATGGGCAATACCCATGAATCACTTAACTTCCATGGACCACAGAGGCAATATTTGAGTCTTTGTTCCGCATTCGTTGTCGACCCATCTATTCGTATATGTAGCAGAACTAATGGAATTATCGGACTTATAGTACAGTCAGTTACCCAAAAATTGCCCTGCATTCATAGAAAAAAATGTAAAGCCAGTTTCTAAATAAACATTTTTGTTTTGAAACTTGAGACAGAGGCCAACAAACAAAATGAATTTTTATTGCCTTTGCACAAAAACACACACGACTCTTCAATAATACTCAGAAAAGTAAAAAGTCTGAGGACCGCAACATTAAAATTTTATGTTGGGAATGAAAATGTGTGGCCATAAAAATCATTTGAATGTTTTTTGTGCGAAAATGCTTTGGGGTACTCGTATTAATAATCTGCCAAAATCCACCTGATACTTTAACATATTCAGAGTTTTTTTGGCTAAAAACAAAGTAATGTATGCAAAAACTCTTTCACCAGAGTTAAAGATAATAGAATTGGCTAGACAGATTGCAAATAATTTTGTAAAAATATAAAAATTCCTGATATAAAAAGAATACATTTTATCACTGACTAGGGGAAATACTTCGCTTTTCTGTGACTGAAACCTCGCAATCAACCAAAGTCGCATTTATTGTTTTAGCATATTTTGCGCCAACATCAAAAATACAATTTAATGCAATGAATGCGAGTCCCCAAAACGGCAAACTTGGCAATAATTTTTGTGCAGACGTGTTTCTAAGCCTCGATATGCTGACAATGTGGGGCTTGATTTTTTCCGTCAGTTTTTCCGAGGAAAACTGTAATAACACAAGACCCGAAAGAAGGGAAATGCGAAGTACACGCTAGACATACCAAATAACTTCACTTATTTTTATGCCCAAGTTTGGGGTCCTTTTTTTCGGGGGGGAGTAAGACCCGATGGGTCCCTGGGATTATGTGTATACTCCGCATCCTGGGAGATTTGGGAGGATGTCGGGATGTGTGTCAAATGGCGTAAACGCAGAGCAATCAGCAATGAGGCATCAATAATTCTTAACGCGTTCGTGGCACTCTGTGTTAGGAATTCGCTTTGTTTTCATCGAACGATCGAGGCGGGCGGGAAAAACGCGACTTGGCCCATTAAAACTAAAGTTTTCCACAATTTTCTCCGTTTAACTTTTCCGTTTTCCCATGACCTAAGCGAGAGGACTGTGGTTTTTTGATTTATGGTGCCACTGGCGGCGGCAAGCACAATGCCCCATGAAAATATCCCCAATATATACGCACTTCTCTCCACCGCCGAGTGTTTTGTTTCGTAATCACGTTTTTATCTTTTGCTAAACAACTCATGTATACGACCGCACAAATTTTTTGGAAAGCCTCACGTCGAGATTATTTAAAAATAAAGCAAAACGCCGACATAGTCAAAAAAAAAAAAAACAAAAACAAAAATGTTGGCAGATGGCGCGTGAAGGAAAAACTTGTTTACCATCGGGTGTACATAATGAATCTTGCTGTGGAAACCGATAATTGACGGCCCAGAAAGATTTCCCTTTTCCCAGTTGCCAGGAGCCAATGCATAATGTGGTGGAAAAGGAAAATGTTTTTAGGCAAACAGTTTACGTTAAATTCGTAAACATTAAGGGGTGTATAAATACCCTCGAGCATCTGGAAGGCTTCAACTGCAATTGCAATTGGTAATGTAACCATAGTTGCGAAGTTCCTCTTAAGTGATGTCATGAGCAGTCCAACAGCTTTTCCTGTCCTGTCAAATTTGCGCATAGTTTTGTCTAACTTTTCCCAACAACTTGTGCGAAAATTCGCCTGAATGTGAGTTGCGCAGAAACGAGCAGCGCAATTTAGTCAGGTGTTTAGCAAAAATGTCTGCTTTCAGTACTTTTAGTTGGATGGCAACGAAAGTAATTTTTTATTCAGAGCTTACAGGACTAAAGTCATCACTGCGTTAAGAACTGATAAATGCCATGCCAACCGCCCTCGAATGTAGGCAATAAAAATACATTGCTTTCGAAAAACAAACAAATACATTTTCACTTTGACCGATAAACAAACTAGCTCTGTTCTATTTTTGTTTTAATTAAAATTTATGCATGTTGAATGTGACATCATAGATTACGCTTGTTTCGTTCGTCCGTTTCGGCAGCGCACACAAAACCCAGGCAATATATTTGAATTTTTGCTTAAAAATCAATGGGGAAACTATACCCTGTTTGCTTTATTCCTCGTTCGGATGGCAAAAAATAAACGAAAATGAGCGGGGGACGAGCAGCAAAAATAAATTTCCAGCCGCAAATCCTTGACAAATCTGCTGCATTGGCTTTGGCGGCGGTCCTTTCGAGATAAATCTTTATTGCCTCATTTTGCTTAAAGTTGATTCTATTTTTATACTCTGCCGAAGGGTGGGTTGTTTTTGGAAAGGACTATTTGCTTAGGTCCTTTGATATTTATAAAACCTTTTTTTGAAAGAGAATAGTTCATCCAGACATTCGTTTAACACTATGTAGTTATTAAGAATGAATGAGTCCCAAGTAAACTTTTTCTAACGTATTGTTATTTATGCTTTTTGAAATCCTCTCAACAGTGTATTTCAAATTTCACAGCATCTGCGTACAATCTTCTTCCTTTTCACATCAGTTACGTGTATTTTTTTCAGACATTCTTGCACCATAGTCACTTTTTTGTGGGCAAACTAACAGAGTTTGTGGCAGTGTCTTCCGAGTGCGGCCAAAAAGACAATGACTAAGAGATAACATGGCTGAGGAAAAAGCCCGCATTGAAACCGGAGTCAACAATAGCAACACGACTACATCAGGCAAAACTTTTCGGTAAAGGAAGCGAAATAAAAACCTTAAGTATTTCAAAACAGACAGGGTGAAGCGGAAAATATGATATGTAACTGGCAAACTTGTTTAACCTTAAAGTAACTATTTGCAAGTCGAAAATGGGTGTGTCTATATTCGCATTTAACAAGAAAATGATACTTACATTAGGGGTATTTATGCGGCATGTGGAAATCCTGTTTCGTGGCACCTTGAGTATAATTTAAATACAACCGGATGAAATTATGAAGTCCCGGATGCTGTGCAAACAGCCACTGCCAGAATCCAAAACTTTGTGTTTACTTTTCCGCAGCTGATGCTTTTCCCGCTGCCGTTTTGTTGCTGGCTTTTCATACGTAGACTGCTCACACAGTTTTCATATTATTTTTATTTTATTTTTATTTTCCCCGTTGAACTTTGTACAGACACTTCCTTGTTATTCTTTGCCCAGCACGAAATTAATTTAATTACATTTATTTTGCGTTTATTTAACAGGCAGCATTTAATTGTCGATGGGCATTAATTGTCCGCTAATCAGGTGCAAACATAAACATAAAACCGTTCGATTCTGCAATTCAAATGATTCGCTTTAATCCGTACAGTTGGTAAGTAAGCAGATGGGTAATGTAAACGTGTTTCACTACAACTCAAAATGAAGTGAACCTGATTCGAATTCAATTGGGAAATTGAATTCTCTTTGATTCAGTTTGCAAGGATCCATATTCAATTGAGTGCAATCAAAGCCAAGATTGTTTGCCATATTGTAATGGCAAGATGCAAGGCAGAAGCAATTGAACTGGACGTATTCATCTAATGAAATCAAGCAGGACCAGTATATGATTTAGTAAATGTCCTCTGAAGCGTGTTCACTTGAAGTTGGGTTGATAGAATGTAATGGGAACGCCAGACGCCCCTGAGAAATTGCAATATAAACTAACAAATTGTGAAATGTTTTTGAAAACTGTCTGAAAAATGCGCGCACACATACTATATACTTTCAATGGTGAACCGATGTATTGCTGCGCCTGACAGGCTGCAATAAAAAAACACGGCCACGTACACAAACAACCATTCAGCGGCATAAAAATGGCGAAGCAATGGCAACCGGATACGGAAACCCATTTCAACGGGGAGGGAGGGGGACAGAAGAGGTGGTGCAGTGTTGCAAAAGGGATTGGGGGAAAAAAGCGAAAGGCCTGGCAAACCGCTGATGTTCAAACAATAAAGTTCAAGGGTATTACAAACAGGCATTTGCCACACACACACAAACACACACATAAACTCATACATACACACTCGCGAGTCTACTTAAATATGAGTAATAGGGTTTTGTTGCATGTGCCCCGCGGCAGCCGAAGGTTCGCCTTGGGTCAAGTCGGTTGTGTTTGCCTTTTGGGGCTAATGGAGCCCTGCCTCAGCGGCACATGTAGTGTTTGCCGAATTTTAATTATGCTAATGCGTAGCGAAAGCAACACCCAGTGTTTGCACACACACACACACACAAGAACGCAGGTGTGTGTGTATGTGTATTCATCTAAATGGCGGAACACAGTTTCCTCTCGAATAATAGTTACAAAAAAGTTCACCTTTTCCCCTTTTTGCAGTTTTCATCAACTCTACCTGGTGTTTTATTGCTTTAATTTCCGGCGCAACGAGAGATATTCTACTGATTATCCCCCAACGTTTACGTTCGTTAATTGGAGGGGGCTTCACTCTAATTAGAAGCGGATTAGCGAGCTAAACAGCAGCTCCTTCTTATTTGGACAACAGCTTATACGCTCTCGATTCGGATCGATTTTGCCACATTCATTTCCTTCAATTACAAATACTACAACAAGTTTTTATCACGTTAAAGCAAATATATTCATTTTCACAATTTAAATTTGCTTTCGGAAAATGTTTAGTGCTTTTTGTTATCATTTAATTTGTAGACCCCGCTAAAAATATTAGTTTGCCAACTGTCCGTGAAAACAAAATTTATCGTTCGAAGCAAAAGCTATTAGCGCGTTTATTTAGCTATTAAAAAAGAGTTTATTCTTTTTTTTTTAGCTGATTGATGGCTTGTCTGCCGGCGAAAGCCAGCCACTAATCAAAGGCCACTAATTTAACTAACGAACCAGCAAATAAAAAATAAATCGCACTTCGCAGAGCAACCGAGGTTGGGGTTTTTGTGGCAAACAAAAATCATTTCTGAATGCGGCGCCTATGCATAACGCTTGAGTTAGGTCAGGACCGGAAAAATCGTCGAATTGAGTGGATACAAGACAGACATATCCGCAATTAGACTCACAGTTTGTTCAATTACAGGCCGCACTCCACACAATAATTTACATATTTAATTTTGGGCTGACACCCGAAACTTCACACTCTCGCCAAACTATTTGTGTTAATTGAAGTACGCGCAATATCACGTATCAAGCGGGCAAATCGCACGGACGAGTTGAAAGTTGGCCAGGATAACGAGCCGCGAGGATAACCGCACGGATAGCCAGACACGAAAGTACTGAACTCTGCGCCCGGAAGACGGCAACGCCTGGCGTTTCGAAGGCGCAACAGCATCTGAATTCCGGCGGACAGGGTTGTCATCCCCAGAAACGAGCAAGGACGACGAAGGACGACTCGTCGCAAGCATCCTTCGGTTGGATGCTGTTCGCTCGCTCGCTCTCCGCTCGCATCCTGCAGATTCAGCACGAGTCCTCGCCGAAAGGTTGCCGCTTACTCGTTCAGTAGGTCAGAAACACCATTTGCGTTCCACACACAGGAGGGTTCAGAATAGTTGGCAAGGCTTTAAGTGGTTGGGAATTTTAAGATGGGATCTATACAAATTATTATCAATGGAGTTACTACACTAAAATTAAACACTATTTTGTTAAAAATATACAATCTTACAACAAATCTTCAAACTAATTTGTAAAAAACTTTAAGTGATATTGGGAAACCCTTATAAATATTTCTAATTCCTTAAAATTGAAAATGGATTTACTATTTAATATTAATATACTTCACTTTTTGTATTAGATTTATTCAGAATTGTTATTTTATTTGTACAAATTAATTGGCTAATTATATATCTATTACGTTTTTATGATGGCAATTCTCTCTTCTTTAATTAGTTGAACATAAATAGCAAAGTTTTCTATAATTCTTTTATGGCTGGTTTTACATTTAAAAAATAACATACTTCTGTAATCAGTTCAAATTGATGTTAGTATAACTACTTAACCTTCACTTTGATGTACACTCCTAGAATGCACCAACCTCTTAAGAGCTCGGCAGTCCTGGTAATTTAATTAGTCTGCTTATCTTCTATTTGAATTGTTTTCGGATACCGACCTTCCTTGACATCAAAAAACACATATAGAGCTCTTATGACGGCACAAAGGTCGGTAAAAAACACTTCGAAATTCAGTCAATTGTAAAATCTCAATGTATAAAAGTAATAAATGCGATATGATTAGCAGGCATGGCTTTATGCGGCCTGGTGTTCATATATATTAATATATATATATAAATATATGTTGAAATAAGAAAAAAATAAGTGACGGGGTAAACAGTTAAAAAACATTGCCGCTCTTGTGACCGGTTGGCTGTGTAAGACATTTACGAGCGTTTGAATTTGACAGATTTCTTTTATTAGAACGACAGACAGCGTCAAAGAAACTGGCAAAATCGCTCATGCGTGCAAAATCCGAGTGTAGCCTTCTATGTTCCACACACACCATAAGTGTGTGTTCGAGCCAAAGATTTCGAGGAAAATTTAATAAAAACAAACAACTTGAGAGGGCCGCAGGCGATTGAAAATCCATATGAAGACGTCATAAAATCCTTTATGCAGTTCAGTGCATTTCTTCCACACAAAGAGAGTGTAAATACATTAAAAGAAGAAGTTGGCAAGTGAATGAACTCCTCTTTAATTAAACTCGTATTCCATAAATAGTATAATTAGGTTAAAAACTTATTACTTACTTAGAGGTTAGGAACTGAATCCAAAATGATTAAAGTGCATTGCATAACTGCATAGGATATCCTACTACTGCATATTTTAAATGTTCCAATTAGCAATCGATCAGCCTTCCAGCCTCGCAGAAATCAAAGGCGCTTATTGAACGAACACAAAATAAAACGAAAAAAAATGAAAATGCTTTCCCCTCCGAAACCTACTTAACAATGCACGCTCCTCGTCGTCAATTAAGTTTAATTGCCCCAGCGAACCACTTGAAATGTGCATACAAAGTGAGCCGGGGCATCATTGAAATACGCTGCCAATTCTCCACTCACTTTTCCGCTGGCCAACATTAGCAGTCCCCCGTTTAACAATCAATTTATTTCGCAATATTTTCGGTTTTGAGCCCCCTTTTCGATTTTTATCCCTCTACTCATGTTTGCCCCATCAGAAGGCAAGTTTTTCTATTGCCATTTTCTTCCCAACTCGTTGCATATTCATTCGAATTTCGAGTGCCGAGGTAGGCATCGCATCGCCTGTCTGATAGAAATGCAATTCAATCCCTAATTGGCTTGACCTCCTTAACTGAAGTTTACTTTGGCATAGTTTGCATCCGCCAAAATGTGCATAATGCCCAAAATAATTCGCTCTTTTCGAATTCCTGTTGCACTGGTTTTTTTAACAATGAAAAAAAGGAAATGCATTTTTTACATTGCTAGTAAGTTTTGCGAATCTGAGCAGAAACTTTGTAAACACAAATGCATTTTTAGACCTCAGCATGGATTTTTATTGTCAAAAGTGAGTATCTCTCTTTGGGAACCAAAAATGACTAGTGTAGTGAATACTTGGGAATACAGGATATGAGGATAAAAGCATTTTGAATTACATTTAAGACTTATAAATATATTACAAAAGACGGTCAATTGTTGTTTTCGAAAAAACTTAATGGCTATGTTAAGACATAATAAAAAATAAAAGCTTTTCGGAATACACATAATCGTACACACTTAAGAGTGACTATATGACACAGTTGTTATCGTAAAATATCTAAGAAGGAAATTCAACCATCTACCATTTGCTCGCCCCTTTCTCGAGTAAACTGCGAAAAACAGAGCCTGGCAGCTGTTGCAGATCCCTGGGATTGCCATCCTCGACGATTCGTCCTTGGTCCAACACGATTAGGCGGTCATAATCCAGAATAGTTGTCAGGCGATGCTGTGGGTAGATATAATTGCCATATCACAGCTGCGCCCAAGTGCCGGGATTAGTTTTGCCAACTCACCGCGATGGTAATGATGGTGCGTCCGTGGAAGGCCAGGTCCGCTGCTTTGAGGAGTGCATTCTCCGTGCTCGAGTCCAGGGCACTTGTTGCCTCGTCCAGGACCAGGCAGACGGATCCCCGCAGGATGGCACGGGCCAGGCACAACAACTGCCGGTGGCCGGCACTCAGGTTCACCCCTCCGTCACATATCACCGTGTCTGCAGGTCAAGGAAAATTATCTTTTAAAACTAATTGGGAAAATTTAACAGGGTGAAACAGGTGATAATTGAGACCTCCCTTTAACATCAGGTAATTTAATAATGAAATGATTTAATTAAATAAACACAAGCACATTATTGCTTTAAATTGATTTAATTTAAATATATTTCTTTAAGTAACCATTCCATTAATGAGAGTCAAATTTCTTAGATTAAACCAGACTTTTAAGCTACGCAGTTTAAGACATTCTTAACATTTTAAATAGGCAATCTTTTAAATAAGATAATAAGTTTTAAATTAGGCCACCAACTTTCAGTACTTTCTTATGCAAATTTAACCGATTAAGTTGAGTGTTTTGCTCGAATGCCAATTGATACTTGCATCCTAAAAAAGGAACACATTATTTTGAGTCACAAGCCAGACACCTAAAAAGCTTTCACTTCCAAACATTTGCAGCTTTCTCGCAAAGTAGTTGCAATAAAATGAAATAAGATACTACTTTGCCGCCATGACTTTTTCATAAGTCAAATGTTGATCCCAAGGACAGCGAAAACTACTCGCAGACGTTGTTTATCCTAGACGGCGAAAAAGGAGACCCAGACTCACCCAAACCGAGGGGAAGGTGTCCGTTGACGAACTCCTTCAGCTGCGCCATCTCAAGGCAGTTCCACAACTGCAGGTCCGCAAAGTAACCGTGTGGATCGAGATTTTCTCGAATGGTTGCGTTGAATAGATGCACATCCTGCGGAATAATCGACAACCTGGTGCGCAGCTCATCTGGCCGGATTCTCTGGATGTCCACGTCGTCGATGTAGATGTGTCCTTTGGTCGTTTGCAGGACTCCAAAAAGGGACAGGCCCAATGATGATTTTCCACTGCCCGTGCGACCGCAGATGCCAATCTATAAACCGATTACGAACGGATTGAATAGTTGAATATTAACGAGCTTCAAATTTTTCAAATTAAATAAAATCAACTTCGTTTGCCTTTCCAACTAACTACTTCTTTGCCCTACAAAACTTGGTGTGTCAGGTGGGCTCATTTCATAAAATAAAATAAGTGATTGCAAAAGGATACCCTTTACATCATCAATCAAAATTACTGAACACCCATCAACTCGCAACAATTAAAACATATTAAACTATATGGCAGCCTTTATGCAGCTCACAATTCGCGATGCAGTTCCGCTTTGTCCCAGTTTTTTGATTTATTATCTCATCATTTTCACAATTTATGGCTTACATATACAAACTGTCCCTCGTTCTTTTGGCTGAGATTTGATGATTTAATTTTCAACTTCAATCAATATTGCTAACATCTGTATTACAGTTTTTGCCATCTGAGCCAAAGCCCCAGCGAATTTGCTGAGTTGCTGCAACAGGCACTGTTGGAACGGTCTAGTTTTTATCCAGATTGCGTTACAATTCAATGAAATTTTATATGTTTTTGTCCACTACTCACCCTTTGGCCAGCAGGTATTTTCAATGTTAGGTCGCTAATGACATTTTGTTTCTGTCCTTCGTAGCGCAGGCTGACATTATCGAAGTGGATATCTCCTCTTTGCGGCCATGAAATCGGAACACTTTGATCTAGAGGTGAAAAATATAGTTTTAGAGTTCGATAAAATACTTTAAAAATATATAAAAAAAAAAGGGCACTATTATTAGCTCATTCCAAAAATTAAATGATTTATAATTGAAACATAACCTTAAGTCAAAAATATTTAATAAGTTCGAACTATTTCAGTGAATTTTCTTGGAAGTAATCTGTCTTTAATAAACTTGCAAAGTCAAATTAAACTTGATTTACAAATCTTTTTAAATTATTTGAAAAATAAAATTTGCTTAATAAAATTTAGCCAATAAATATAATGGAATATGTACTTTAATTTTGAAAATTTTCATAATCAGTTAAAGAAACAAAAGCATTTTTAACACAACCCATTAATTTTAATATCCATTTAGAAGATAAGCTAATTAGGCCATAACTAATCATGAATTTTCCATTTTGAAGCTGATTATACAAATATAGTTTAGTTGCTCTTAATCACCCAAATTGATGGCATAATCAAATAACCCAAAACCAGCATGAAAGTTTGCTCAAAATGTTTTCGAATGCAATTACACCACAGAAAGGCCGGTGATGAGAGCCAAACGCCCCGAGTTGGTGGCCAAAAGAGCGACAAACTGTGCCCCAAACTTACAGCGCTCCAGCATCCTGGCCGGCTCATTTGGACGGAGGTCCTTCCTGTCCTTGGTGTCCCCGGTGTCCTTGGTGTCCTGCGGTGGCAGTTGCTTATCTTTAATCACCGACATCTTTGTCGTCTCCACCTTGTCGCCAGCTGTCGCCGTAAGGAAGTGGAAGTTTAAGTGATTGCCGTCGCCGGTTGCATTGCCTGCATTTAATTTATCAGCGCTTGCTCCTCCGCCAGCTTCATCCTCAGTTGCAGGTTGAGCTCTCAGGGTCTCAGGTTCAGTCGAAGAAAGACCCTTTCGGTGTCCTTGGCCGGGCTGAGCTCCATCTTCATCAACATCACCGGCAGCTGTCGTTGCGCCTGGGTAAACTTTGTCACCGGCATTCGACTGCGTCTGCGACGAAGGCGACCTATCGACTTCTCCGATGGAGATTTCACCATCGGATGGTTCCGTGGCGAAGGCATCCTGGATGCCAGGACCTGGCTGGGCATAGTGGGCGATGCGTTCGACGGAACCCGCATACATCTCCATATCAGCCAAAAGTTTTACAACCCAATTAAGGTAAATCGGCACCAACAACGTGTAGTTTATGGCCAGACCCACCAGCGATGGCGATGGTCTCAGTTCGGGGCCGCTTTTATTGACAGCATAAGTTTCGGCTGCCTCGTCCTGGCTCGTCCTGTAGCTCCTGCAACTGACGCTCGCCGCTGCCAGGGCCGTCACAGTGGCCACAAAAACAATGCATCCACCCAAATAGTCCTGCAGCAAAGTGGCAGAGAGAGAGAGAGAGAAAGGGAGAGGAAAAGAGAAAGGAGAGAGAGGGGGAGAAACATTAAAAACATTAAAGCAAGCAGGATGTGCGGCGTGATTAAGACAGCAGGACAGCAGGATGGCTAAGATGAACGTGGCCCACTGCTGGCTAATTCACTTAAAATTAAAAACTTAGTCAACCCAAAGTCTACGTAGTGTGTTAATAAATCCAGGATTTACTTTCACTGTTCTGCTGAGAAAGTGTGTTTTTAAGGTTTAAGTTCATTTTGACAAAAATTCATTTTGAAAAAAAATTAATAATTTTATTTAACTTTTAAAAATGCAAACTTTTATATGTACACCTCCATTTAATTTTGCTAAGTTTAAAATCTTATTGTATTATTTTTATTTTGCAGTACAAAGTAATTGAAACAGATGGTTTTAATCGATTTTGTCCACTTAAAAGAAAGAATAATATTTACAGCACAAAATACCCATTTTGTACAATTCGATATTTTGAAATTTAATAAGAGACCAAGAAGAGCTGTATTTGATTTTATTAATTACATTTTTAATTACAACAAAATGTAATCAATTTTAAACCAAAAAATGAAACATATCTTATTAAGTTGCATTTTATTAACTTACCAAAGAAACTCCAAGCCATCGATGACTGGTGTTCAATAATGCATAAGCAATTGTATTTGCTTCCAGGCGTTTAAATAAGATTTCGGTAAATCGAGTTTGCTGATTAAAAGCTCGAATCGTAGTAACTCCTTGAATTGTTTCGGATAAATGGGATATGACAGGCGAGTTGGTAGCATTTTCAATGCGCTGTAGCTCTCTAAATAAAAGCATTTTAATTTGTTAAATAAAATTTAATAATATTACATAAATATTTATAATCAAAATAGGGTTTAGTATAGATTATAACTTACCTAGCTGAGCATCTGTAGAACTTTTGAATGACATAGTAGGCCAAGCAGATTGGCAAAGTGAGCACCAAGATCCAAGTGGTGATGCTTACATTTATCAGAATCGCCGACACGCAGAGCAAAGTAAATTGCAGCAATCGTTGGCCAGTGGCTGCGATTTTCTGTTAACATAAAGTATTGCAATTATGGGTGGTTTATATTACTTTTAAGTTAACATGCAACCCGAACAAAGGTCGCGCTCTGGAAAATAAAAAGAGCGAAACAAATGCGTGCTTATCGCCACGCAATCTTAATCAAAGTGAAAACATATCTACCATATATATCTGACACCGATTTGCATGACCGACAAATCCCAGAGCGGATGGCTAAAACAAAAACAACAAATCTCACCTTATCAATGACGGCCATATCGTTGCTGAAACGATTCACAATACGTCCGAGCGGCGTCACTTGGAAAAAGTGCAGCGTTTTATGCAAAATCGTTTGCAGCAGCTTATCGTGCAAATTACGACGGGCATTACAGCCGGCCCGTTGTCCCGATACCAGGGCCATTATTATGGAAACACACGAAACTGCGGCATACATGCAGAAATAGTACGTGACTTCGTGGTGGTCCTCCACCTCTCCATGGAGGTGATGATCCTGTGGCAGGACCTCCTTCTTGCTGGCCCGCAAATCGCTCCACTGCTGCAGCCAAATGTCCGTGTAGACACGCAAACACTGCCAAATTAGTGCGGTGATAAAGAAGACGGTGATTATGGGCACACCGGCTGCCCGTATGTACATTAGATATATGTCGTCCGATATTTTTCCATATTTGCGCTCCGTATCAATCGCCACTGACATCGATTTCTGTCCATCCTCCTGACCTCCGCCTGTCGCTCGCAGCACGTGTCCTTCATGGGGATCCTGGGCAGCCGAGGATGTCACGTTCGCCCCCGATTCTTTGGCGAATGCTGATTCGCAATTGTCAGCGCAATTTATTGTGGTTTCCTTCGAGTCAATATTTACACCTGTTTTTTGTGTGGCGAGATGCAAAAGAAAGGGTCAATGGTGTTTGCCGTGCCTCAGGGGATTTATGTTTTGGTTGAAGGGAGAAGTCAAGGTAATTCAAACAAGTAAAGTTTCAGCAAAACCATCAAAAGTAAAGATAAATATAAATTTAAATGGAAAAGAAATAAATTGGTAATAAACAGACACCCTTCCTTGAAAAAACTTTCTTACAACATAACCATTATTACCAGTTAAATATTATATTTTTTTTCAATTTGACTTATAACTAAAAGTTTTACAGTCAGAATTAAAATCAAATGTTAGATTTACCTTTAAGAAAAAAAACTTGGCTTTTAATTAAATTCGTTACTAAAGAGGATTTCTATTGAATATCATAGGACAAATTAAATTAAAAAACTACATATAGATATATTTAAATTAAAAATAAACTTGTTGCATAACTTTTCTTCCAAACCTTCAAGGCAAACTTAATTTCCTATTTCTGGTTTTAGCAACAAACAGATTTCCTGAAATTGCTTACGATTGACTTTTGATTGAAATGGGTTGAAAAAAAAGTACAAGATCAACATGTCTTAAACTTTTTGGAGGAACCACACGAGCTCCGTCAGTTAAACCATGCAACCGTTTAATTTAACCAGTTCCGCCGACAAACTAATTGAAAGTAAAGTTTGCTTTCGTCTGCGGATTTGCCTGGCATAGCACTCCTTGGCATCCTCGAATGGAGTGACACTTGCAGCACTGATTTAATCGAAAGTTTCCACTGCGAACCCGCTGACTTATCAGCCAAATATTGATAGATCAATGCATCGAGTTAAGGGAAAGTTTCTGCCTTGCGAACTTTTCGCGCCCTGGAACTCTGTCTCTTTGACTTACCGCTCGGGACCCGAAAACTTTTAAAATCAAAGTTGATTTAAGTTTTAAGCTACACGCATGCATCTTGCAGTAAACTATAAGGAAGGGGACCTCCTCCTTATAGTGCATTGGCAAAAAGGAAATGAGGGGCATTTTGGGTTCCCGAATATAATGCCAATATTTTGCTTGCAGTTTCAAGATCCGGCTAAACTAATTTTTGCTAATCAATATTCATTACCAAAGATTGCAGGGCAAAATTAGCAAATACAAAGGGTTGGCAAAAGTTTATCTTCATTAGAGTTCAGTCAATAAAAAAAGAAAATAAATAAAAATAAAATGAGAAGTTTAATAATCTTAGTAATATCATATAATAATAAAACAAACAATTAATAAATTAACTTACTTTTTTTTGGCTTTTCCTCGGAAGGCATTTCTAATTGAACGGACTTAGAGTTTGTGGTGGCATTCGTCGCTAGAAGTGTAGCAGGAAAATTAATGATGGGAGGCGACTCCTCAGAAATGCTCCTAAAAATAAAGTAATAGAGAAATATGTTTTAGATTAATTATTTACAGTGATTAAAGTAAGAAAAGTTAACATGGTGCAATACAATACAAGTTTGCTAAGTAGATAACAGTTGGTAATTAATTTATTTTCAGTGAGAAAATATCTTTAAAATATACCTTTTATTTTCCAAATAACAGTGTTAAATGGATTTTTAATTAGTTTTGTTCAAAGTTTTTTTTTTTATATACAAATACAGATATTTAATGTACATTATAATTGTGTACTTACAGAATGGAGTTCGTGGCACTTAGAGGATGATGGAGACTTTTGGGTTTGTTAGAACGCCGCATGGACATTCGTCGCAGGAACTGCTGAAAACTGCCTCGAACATTCTCATCCAAAGGACCCTCTGAGCTGGAATTCCCCTTCATTGCTGCCTCCGCATCCTTGATGTCTGGACTCGCCACCTCAATGGCTGGCGGTGATGAGGCATTTCGAGACAGCGGCTGATGTGCCACATTCTGTGGCGGCTGCCATGATTGCACTCGATGTTCCTGGGTTGCAGAGGCCAAATCTGCACCATCCACACTGCTTTCGGCGTAGCTGCTGCAACTGGTGGCCAAAACACTGCGGTTCAGAGGATCTCCGCTGGTGGAACTCGAAGCTGAAGTGGCTGTCAGAGTGCTCAGACCACTCAATCGATGCCAGGAATTGGTCGTTCGACTTCCTCGACGACTCAGAGTGTGTCGACGGCGGGGTCTCATGATGACATCATCTCCCTGACACTCGTCAATCGGAAGGGGAACGTCGTACATCAGATGACGGGAGCCGTAAATACTGGAACGTTTACGCTGCAAACTAAATCCGCCACAGGATCCGTTGCTAATTCGATAGGACTAAAGGGGGATAGGATATATAAATGGTACAAAGTTATTTGCTATATAGACAATATCTTACAGAAGAGATTCTATCATCCTCCTCGTCTTCTTCAACCACATTGGATGGCATATTAACCACCGAAAGGCAACCACTGCCATCTGTGGCGTCTGCATGGCATCCCACATTTGAATCCATTGTCACCGAAATGGAGCGTTGTAATCCCAGTTTGCTCACATTTCTCAGTAATTTCCATCGCTCCCCTGCCGTTTTTTCAACTGGACTAGATATTGTATAACATAGAGTTTAAAATAATCATAATAAAAGTATTAAATTAATCTTATATTTAGAATTGGTAGAAAGAATTCTTACTTTTGTGAAGTGTTATCTTTCTTAGCCTTGGCCATTGCAATAATCGAGGTCCATTTGGAGGTGATTCGTGGATGCATCAGTTCAATATCCGCATAACTGCCACACGCCTCAACACGACCATCTTTAATAGCAATCAACTGGAAGTTCAATTAAAGAAAATTATTTACAATTATGCATACATTAAAATAATTTGTAAGCCCTTTATTTTTGTAAATGCGCAAAAAAGCAATTAATCCGCTTAGGATATGCCGACATTAATTAACTTTTAAATTGTAAAGCAGCCATTAAAAATCGGTTCAATTTTCAAAAACAGGGCGAACATAAAAAAACACCAAAATGTGGAAATAATACTTACGTATTCCGCTTCTTTTATCCGTTGCAATTGTTGAGTCACAAGGATAAAAGTTCGATTTGACTTTTGTAACATCTCACGTATGCAATGCTGAAATATATGCTCGCCCACCTCGTTATCAAGCGAAGCCAGAGGGTCGTCCTAAAAATATGAAAAGTTTGAATAGGAAATTTGATTGCAAGGTAAATTACAAAGGTTTCCAATAATTCAAAGGAATTTAAGATAAATTCTAGGTATACCGCTGAATACCAAAAATAATTTGATTGCCTTTATTGGTTGGTTAAATCTTGACAAACTAAGCAGTAATAAGTAATTTAAAATATGGAATTTATCTATCTGGTCCCAGCATCTGGCTGGGCTGCACCCAAGCCTCGAAATCCTCCCTTTCGATCCCCGCATTTAGGGCCTCCTGCAGCAAAGTGGTTCCATTTATGTGGGCTGCCTTGGCGATTGCAGCGGACCTCTCGTATCCAATGTAAGGACTCAACGCGGTCACCAGCATCAAGGAGTTCTTCATGATCTTCTCAATCTTGCTCTTATTCGGCTCGATTCCCTCGAGGCAATTCGCGCAGAAGGACTTCATGCCATCGCCCAAAAGCTTAATGGATCGCAGGATATTCGAGGCGATCATCGGCATAAAAGTGTTGAGCTGAAAGTGTCCACTGGCGCCTCCCATTGAAATGGCCACGTGATTACCCATCACCTGGGCGCAAATCATGGTCATCGCCTCACACTGAGTGGGATTCACAGTTCCCGGCATTATGGATGCTTCATTTTCCGGCAGATTTAATTCACCCAAACCGCCACGAGGACCTGAACTAAGGAATCGAATATCGTTGGTTATTTTCATCAAACTCGTTGCAATTGTGTTGAGTTCCCCGTGTATTTCGACAAGGGAATCGCAGGAGGAGAGGGACTCAAAGAAGTTTTGAGACTCCTTAAAGGGCAGAGAAGTCAGATCGGCAATTCGCTTGATACACTGCTCGGAAAAACCCTGCTTTGTGTCCAGTTTTGTGCCCACATAAGTGCCTCCCATGGGCAGCTGATACAGTCTGCAAAGTGCGGTATCCAGTCGACACCTTCCATTCAGCAGTTGCTGCTGATAGCCACTGAACTCCTGACCCAAGGACAGAGGCACTGCATCCATCCAATGGGTTCTTCCGATCTTAATCACATCCATCCAATCATTCGACTTTTTTCCCAGTATATCAATAAAATTCCTCAAACTGGGATACAATTTCTCCTGCAGTTCCATGGCCACTGCGATTTTAACCGCCGTGGAGAAGGTGTCATTGGAACTCTGGGAAAGGTTGACATGTTCATTGGGATCCACTGGCTCCTTGGTGCCCATCTGACCACCGAGAATCTCGATGGCTCGATTGCATATCACCTCGTTTAGGTTCATATTGGTGTGTTCACCAGATCCATCTTGCCATATAACTAAGGGAAAGTGCTCTTCATCGTAGAGCTTCCCGGATATAACATCATCACAGGCTTTGGAAATGGCTTCGCAGAGCTCCTCTTCAAGACCATTCGCTTTATTCGCCTCCGCAGCAGCTTTCTTCACAATTCCCATGGCTTTTATCACCGGTCGCTGTGAGTTTACTATTACTATAAGGTTTAATTAGCTTTTTAAGTTATTCATTTCCATACAGGCATTCGTTCCTCGACTCCGCCAATTGGAAATTTCATGAGGGATCTCATGGTCAGCGGTCCGTACATTCGATCCAAGGGAATGTGAATCGGACCCATCGAATCGTATTCAACCCGAGTATCGGGAACTATAAGCCGTGCCAGCTTGTACATCAAGCTGAAAATCTCCTTTTGATCGAAAGACATTTTGGTAATTTTAAAAATATAACGATTATAAAAGGGGATAGAATGTTAAATCTGAAATTTTTCTACAAATAAGCCAAATGTTACTGGATTTTATACTAAAACATTCAAGATTAGAGCAAAGTTAGCTAAATGAAATTAAATATTCATAAGAACATAATTTTATAAGTAGTGCACATTGGAAACCCACAAATCAGAGAGCAAATTAAATTTTATTTTCCATGATTATTAATAAAATTCAATAAAATTTGCACTGCTGACTTACCATTATGACAACATTAGCCGACGAATAAATAGCTCGGGCAATTGCTATTCGCTGCCTTTGTCCACCAGAAATATTAATTCCACGCTCTCCGATAATGGTGAAATCGCCCCTGGGCATTAATTCAATATCCGGTTTAAGGGCGCAGGCCTCCAACACGAAATCATATCGTTTGGGTCGAAAGGACTCTCCGAAAAGTATATTCTCCCGAATTGTGTCGTTCAAAAGCCAAGGCTGTTGTGAAACGTAGGAAATTGTGCAGGTCCTGGATAATAGAAAAAATAAATAAATAATAAATTAAATTATAATAAAAATTAATAACTAATTTTTTTTTAACATATTTAATTGCTCTTAACCCAAATATATTTCCTGTGCATTTTTATATATTAGTACCACATTCAAAGATATCACTCCAATAAGCTCCGCCCTACAGAAAATATTAAAGCACTTTTATAGATACCTTGCTTGAAAAGGATTCTTATTAAATAAATTTCAGACAGCGTGCATAAAAAAAACATAAATTTGCAAGTCAAAGGGGGAAAAAGGGGAGGAAGCCTTGAAGATACCGCAGAAAAGGAACGTACTCGTACTAAGATAGACATTTATTACAGTAATTGAAATTATTGCACATTTGCCGGCTGCCAAGGCGCAGAAGCGGAGCAGGAAATGGGAGGAGGTCCTGGGTCCTGGGTCGTCCTGGAGGAAGCAATAGAGGCAAAGGCCAAAGGATCGAATCGCTTTGGTTTGGGTTCGGTTGGAAGGAGGCAAGTGCAGCACCGTCATCGTTTCCTACCCGCGATTTCCACTTGTTAAATGCATTTGTGTTTGCCCGCCATGCACCCTTTACTCTTTTTTTCCTCCGTTCTGGCAGAAGGCGATGCCATTTTTATTTTATGTGCAATAAAATTAACAACGTACACAGGCGTTTTGTGATAAATTACCGAATCACGTGGCGTGCATGGAAACGGCTGTTAAAATATGTTGAATGACTGCGGCGGATCCGAATGCGGCAACAATGGATATTTCAACTATTCCACCTGCTAGTCGGGGATTCCTGTGATTCCTGTCTGGAAAATGGGTTAACCGGCCAAACCAGAAAAAGAAATCCGGAGTTTCACGCCAGAAAAATCAATGTAACGAAGTCAATGTATTTCCATACAAAAGGGTATAAGTGCATATAAATTCTAAAAATGCATTTAAAAGGTAAAAGTGCATTTACATATATTCGAAATTTTTGCAGTAACCCAGCTGCAATAAAAATCTATATTGAACCAACTTAGCCGTATTATGTTTTGTGGCCATAGTAATCTGCACCCGGAAATAGGTGAAAATTATGCAATTCATTTTGATAAATGGGCAAACAAAGTTATCCACTATGGGGCGGAGCTGCTGCCTTTGAAAATCTGCTGTTGGCAGAACTGAAAATAAGCACATAAATATCTAAGCAAATTTACATGGGCGGCGTGTTCTGGCTCTTCTGTGTTGACAGACAAGGAAACGTGCCTAATCTTTGCCCCCGGGAGATTGCCTGCGCTTTTCAAGGGTTTCGCCTGCCCCGAAACGAGCTTCAACCTAAAAAATGTTCGAAAACTTAAATAGGGAAATAGGATTTTCCATATAAAATAATTTTGGGATACAAATAACAACTGTTGCTGCAGGGTGTACAATCCGCTTAAAGATACAATACAAGTAACCTGAAGCAATGTCAAAGATTTACAAGTAACTTTAAGGAAAGTCAAATGTGGAATGTTTGATTTGCACAGTTCTGATTTAATTTAAACCTTAAATTGAAACAAAAATGTAACGCTAACTCGTTTTTATACCTTATAAATATAAAAAATTAATTTTTAATATTTTTTGATTTGTTATATTGAGCTTATAATCAGCTTTAATTATAGCACAATAACCCTAAAGAAATAAAGGTGTAGTAATTTTTAAGTCAATAAACAATTGAAATGCAGTTCTGTATTTTTTAGTAGCTTCATAATTGGGTTAAAATTCTTAGTAAGTTTCAAATAAGTTTTTTCCAAATTCAGATACTCACTTATGCCAAAACATATTGCCCACAAGAAGGGGCATCTCCATGAGGAGAGCCGAAAGAAGGGACGTCTTGCCACTGCCATTTTTGCCCACAATGATGGTTAGTTTTCCCTTGGGAATGATGATTCCGGGAACATGGAGTTGCACCAATGGCATTTGGCTTTGTGGCTGCCACGTGAAGAGTCCGTCGTTGATCGACACGGCGATGTCATCGGGCATTTTAAGCAAAAGGGAATCCCTCCGCCAACTGTCTGTATTTCTGGCTCGGGTTACGGAGAATTCCACAGGTCTCTCCGTCAAACTTCCCCGCATTTTCGGAGGTCTGATGGCCACATAGGGAGTATTCCTCAGCAGTTCCCTGCGCTGTTGAACTAGCTTATTGTGACCCAGTTCCTGAATCGAGGACGAAGATATATCCCCCACCGATTCCTCGGTATTCTGCAACAGAGGAGTGGAGTTAGTTGGCATTTCGGGTCCTTGGAATTTTTGAGCCAGCCGCTTTTCATTTAGCCTGTTTTCCGCCTGAGCCGTTCGCATTGTCATATTCGATTTTTCCTGCGTCTCATACATATCCAATGAGGCGTCGCTCTTGCTCAAAATTCTTGCCATATTTCGAATGCCCTCGAATTGTTTTTGAATCTCGCTGGACTTCAGAAATCGCTCTAAGCGCCGAGTTGATACCCTGGCCGCTATAATAATTGGCACTGTGATGGGAAAGATCAGCAGGGGAACGGTTAGCTGCTGGAAAAGTGCCAGCGAGGAAAATAGTCGACTGGCAGTCAAGTTAAACTCCTGATCTCGATGCAACCAAACATAAACTCCAAGGGTAACAAAAGTGATCAAAACACTGGCGGTGTGTGTAAGTGCAGCTAATTAAATAAAACAAAATTAATAAAAAATAATTTCAAAATCTGGAATAATACACACCCATTAGAGTCCAAAACACTGCATCCTTGTTGAGATATTTTAGCTCCTTTTTTCGGGCCTCTTGAATCTTTTTAAGGAATACCTCATCCCAGGCATTTAGTTTTATGACTTTTATGCCAACCAGTGTGTCGTGAATTTTTTTCAATCGCTCATCGGTATATTTCTTCAAAAAAGAAAATAATAAAAAATAACTAAGGTCCATATATTCTCATTTTTGGTTCATAGGATATTTGTTGTTAGTAAATGCAGCTGAAGGTGAAAATCAATCTTTTAATATTTATGTTTTTTAAAAAGATATACAAATATAATATAAATATTTTTTGTTGATTATATATTTTTATTAAAAGTCCTTACCGCAATAACCTCAGCATTTTTTGACATAGCATTTCCCACGATGAATTGCAGGGGCGTCATAATCACAATACATACAATTGATCCAATAACAGCACTTGCTCCCAAATTCACATAAAGTAGATATATAACAACAGATATCTGAAAAATATTTAACGGCAATATATCATTCTATATTAAAAAATTATTTCGGTTCTTGAACCATTTTAGGAACTATACAATAAATAAGTATGGTATTTCATAAATGATTTATTCAAAGCACAATATAGTTGGGCAGTCATTTAAAACAGAAAAAAAGAGAGGGAAAGCAAATAAATATTTAGAAATGAAACCAAAAGAGCCTTAAACAAACCCTTTCTTAAATAAAATCAAATTTATAGCCTGACAATTATATAACATATTAAAAACATTTATATTCGCTTTCCAACTCAAGGATTTCTCAGACAACCGAATGCTATAAATTAGGTTCGTGTTAGCGAACATCAAACGGAGCCCAAATGGCACACAAGTTGCTCATAAATTTTAGAAACGATTAGCCTACCAAATGGCCAATCTCAGTACGAACCTTAAATGGAATTGCCCAGGCATAGTGGATGATTAAGAAGAACTGCATGATATTGAGTGTGTCCTCGGTCATGTGATTGGTAATACTGCCAATGTCATGGGTTTTCGATTCTACAAATAATATACAAAAATTAATAAGTGGAAAAATATGAGATAGTTTACTAATCAGCAAAAAAGTAACAAGATTATTAGCTACGTATATTAAACAAAAAGCGTAGTAATTACAAAAAAGAAAACACATATTTTACTTTATAATTCCCTGATTTACTTACCTCTCAAACTGTCCACATGCTCTAATGTTGGCTTGGAATCATGGTTTTTTCGTTTTTCATCGGCAGGATGGGCAGTTGACTGAACTTCTCCGGTAGAATCGCTTTCATCACACCCACCGCCCGCATTTAGGAGCAAACTTTTTCTATAAATTAGACCCTGTAGAGATGTTTTTATCCTGATGCCAGTCATGTTGAGAATGTGAGTCGAGGCCTGCGAAAGAGCGCCCTGTGTGATGGCGGCCAGCAGGACAATCCAGGCGATGCACCAGCCATTCGCCAGAAGATCCGACCAGGTGCTACAGTAGACCCTCACTTGGCCAATATTGGTGCCGAAGACCTCATCAAAATCGCTGCTCACACTGGAGTTGGCCAACAAATTGGACTCCCCACGCTGAACTTCCGGCTGTAAGACTTCGGCATAAAGTTGCTCGATATATTCTACTATATTCTGTATGGCCAGTGGTCCAATCAAGGCGAATAAATCACCAGCCAGCTTCAAAATGCCACCCAAGGCAAACATTTGCCAACTGTTCTTTATGTAGCAATACCACAGGGATGGCGATGAATTTGATTTTTTCTGCGGATTGAACTTGATTAGCGATATTTATGGCTATATATATTGCACACACCCACCTTCTTTTCGGTGTAAATATACAGAAAGTGGTCGTAGTGGGACCTAGCACTATCCTCCAACTTCATTTCGCCCAAATCCTCCAGTTCCAGTGGTTCATTGTAGCCCAACCAGAGAAGAGGTGTTAGCCACCAAAAGCAGAACTTGGAATAGAACGTGGCCAGCGAGTGCTTGTAGCCTATTCTTCCGTAGTCGTCCAAATAGTCGTCGTGGTAGCACTGTAAAAAATACACACTTCTTTGTTAAAACTACTGAATTTTAAAATTATTTAAGTCTCGAAAGTCCAGCGAGAATGGCTGAAGCTAAAATCCCGGAATGACATCCGCTGTCCCACCATTTTGTGCATTTAAATATTCAACTCTTTAGTTGAGCCTGCATTTCCTACTTTGCTTGTTGTCGTGGGACTCATCCTGTGGCCGAGCCGCAAACTCGCAAAAATAAACTACATTTCGCCAAGTACGAAAGGCATTAAGCCCAAAATCTGCACTTAGCCCCAATTAAAATTTAAACATGCAAATCGCATTGCGATTTTTGGCTCCCTTTGTTATGCCAACTTGCGTATATTTCATGTAGCATTAAATAAATACGCCATTCTAAGGTAATATATTTTAATAACAATTCTTACTATGTAAGAAAGAAATAATTTTATTATTAGTATGTGTAAGCATTCTCTTAATTCTTTAAAAAGTTCCAGTTCTAAGTAGTAAACATTATGTCACCCTAAAATCAAATAAGTAAAGCTCTTAAAACCAACTAATAACTATAAGGATATGTAATTGCTGTATAATAAAAAATATATAATTAAAGTCATAATTTGAGTCGAAATGTTTAAATTTAAATTTAAAAATCATAATAATAATATATAACCTATATCTTACTTCTTTATACAATGTAAACCCATCTAGCAGCGCCAAGGACATCATGCAAAGTGCAGACAAGCCCACGAGGCACGTCTGAAGCTCAAGTAAATCCTCGTAGTAAGCCAATTCGGAGAGTTCATTGGTGAGCAGGGCGAATGACAACACCTCCACGCCAGTACTTGCATACAAAAACACTGAAAATAGGGATAGTATTAATGGGACACGTGGGAAAGGACCTTTCAGATCGGCCAAAACACTCACCTTTCGATTTCTTCAGCTCCACAATGCGATGGTAAAACATTAGCATAAGAGTCAACAGTGTGGACAGAATCGCATTCCATACTTCTCCTGGCCCAACTACAATTAAATAATTCTGATCTCTGGGGGTCAACTGAAAGAGTTTGTTCAGCTGGCGAACACTTTTCGGTGGAAGGAGGATCCTGGCCAAGTTTAGGCTATTCAAGGCCAAAAGGAACAGAGAAACCGCAGCACGTACATTGTGAAACATCAGCAATGTTTTATGGCATCTGCATAAAAAAATTAAGCATGTAGAAATAATATAATAATGATGTGTTAGATTGCTAGAAATTTTACTCTTTGCGCTTCTTATTAATAATATACTTTGTTTACTTTAAAGTTTAAAATGCTTTCAAAAAGTTGCTGCAGAAAGTAAATTGATTAAGCTTAAAATGCTTGTTGCTTTTAATTTTAAAGACTTTTTACTAATTTTTAGGTAAGTATTCTTACCGATAAAAAATATTCGGTTTTTAAAATATCATTTATGTATTTGTTGCTAACTTTTTTTTTAACTTATTGAATATTAACGTGCCGCACAAAATATGTCATCTAAAGATGCCATAAAGAGCCACTTAATAAATAAAAAACGCAATAAAGCATAGAAACCAATGCAGCCATTCATAAATTCGTGTCCATGTTTCTATAATTAACTTTAGTTCCTAATGATATTGATTTCGTGCCTTCAGTCTCGTAAATTTATTTATATGAATGCGCCCTTAAGGCAAAGTGCGTTGTAGATGCAATTGAGATTTACATTTACCCATTGAGAATACTTCGGCACGAGATGCGTTAATTTTCGAATCGGAACGCTGTGTGGATTATATTTTAATTTCGCGGCGGGATGCATTGATTCTCAATGGCGCATGCACTTGAGGTCCGGATATCAATTATTGAATTTTAAGTGGTTTTTTAAATGCAAAAGCAAGGCCTCGTATTTATAAATAGTTTTCCTAAATAACTAAGTAATTAGGCAGTCAAATCGTAAGTTATTAGCCACAGCTTTTTATTTGAAATAAAGAAAAGTACTTAGTACTTTAAAGTTTGCACCACCTTATCTTAAGTTCGCTATTTATTTTGAGATAACGCTGATATTTGTTTAAACATTACAATAACTATTAGCCATTGTGTATGTAAACAAGTGAGAGTGCGTGCAAAATAATAAAAGGTTTTTGTTAAGTTTAGTTGCCACTTTATCGTAGGCAATAAACGGTGTCTGAAGGTTTTGAAAGCTGCTTATGCATTGAGGTAAAATAGTCTAGCTTCCTCATCATTTCTCCAGAATTCGGTTAATCTACAAACGCATGTGCTAAATTTAAACAAATGTGCTCATTTGCTTTTGTATTATATATGTTTGCTGGTGGGAATTATTCAAATTCTTCTTCGGAAAGGTTTTAAGCAAGGGGTGGATATGGATATCAAACATTTAACAATGACCCCATGAAAGAATAGCAAAGGAGATAATTAAACGAACATTACATTTGACCTTATTTCTGTTCTTGCCTTTGCACAATTTAAAAAACAAAAAGCACTTACTCATTGCTAACTCATTGTAAACAAAACAAGTACAATGTTTATACTTGGATGCAAAACAAATAGAACAGGGCAAAAACACTTTAATTTTAATTTTAAATATGTCAATTCAGCTTTTCAGCATGCTGATGTATTAAAAACAAACAAATTTAAGCAAAATATATACATATGTTTTTAGAAAACACAAAGAAATACAAGAAAATGTTTTACATTTTAAATTCCTAAAAAGTTTAACAAAATGTAATGTTGTTATTGAATTTATGTATTGTATTGTTTTATACCATACATAGAAACATAACATTGCTTTCTTTTTGAGCTGCAAGCTGGGGACTTCCCAATTAATAAGTTTTAATTGAAAGGAGGAATGTGGACGTATAAACAAAAGCCAATCAATTATTTCACGAACAGGGCATCCCTGAATGAAACTCACTTTTTATAGCGTTTCCAAACAAATATCCATCCGGAAAGTAGCAGAAAAATGCTTAAACACGTAAAAACTCGCCTCACACGGTCAATGCCACAAACATCTGTATTTAAATTATCATAAATAGAGCGTACATGCCCATTCAGGTGATCGCAGTGTATTATATTGAACAACTGCTTCATAATGGCCAATAAAACAGGAACCTATTGCCAGATTTTAATGATGTTTGCTAACGTTTACGCTGGCGCCGGGCTTTTCAACTCTGCGAAGATTTCACTTTTGTGATATCATTTCGAAATATGTATATTTTCCTCCCGTTGCGCATATTCGTTTACGCTTCTTTGTGCCGCAGCACAATTCAATCCGATTCTATAGGTATTCACTTTCAAACTTTCGCGTACAACAGGTTGAACAGCAAATACAGAAATGCTCAATATAAACAAACTATTTCGCAATCGGGAATATGCACTGCGATTGCCGCTGGCGCAATACTCGTATGTGTTAGGCGCGATGGATCCAAAATTAATTTCGTTTCAAACTGAGAGCCCGCCGCGTCCCCAGTTGCCATTCAATTATTATTCTTTTAAGTAATTTTTGTATAAACAAAATAGCAGCGAGAGATATGTGTGGCGCACGTTTTCCGCGATAAAGAAAACTTCGAGAGAAGAAAAGGCCAACCGACTTCGACCGAGCGTGGCGGCACACTAAGCAGACTCTCGCACGCCGGAAAAATCACGAGAGCCAGCCGCCCGAACTTGAGAAGATATTGCACTGATCTGGGGGATCGCGCACGTGCGCGATGGGGAAAAGCTCTTCCCCCATTGCCGGAGTCGTGGGATGCCAGCTACTGATACCAGCGACCTATATATTCCATAAGATCACATAGACAAGTAATAAAAAAAAAACAAATTAAGAATTGTAAACATTATATTTATGTTACTTCTTAATGTAGGCCTTTCTGGTTTTAACTTTTTTTAAATAAAACAATTAACCAGTTTTTCCAGGTTTGGTTCAAAAATTTTTTTTAATTTTTTGTTAAGAATGTCCTATTCCTAGAATTTCAAACAAGAAGAACTATATACTAAAGTACAATTTAAATTTAGTAGATTTATTTCTCAAGTAAAATATCAGAACTTATCTGGGTATATCACTAATAAGATTAGAGCTCAAGATAAAATACAAATCACGGAAATCAGTTTTTTAAGATTTAGATAAATAATGAAAATTCTTAAACTAATCATAAATACAAAAAAAATAAACGTGTGTTTCTGGCAACAATTACAAACTCGATTTGAATTGAAAACTCTCCAAAGTTTAAATCACAACAAATTCTCATTACATGTTTAACTAATAAAATCAACTAATTCAAAACTTCGTTTAGGGCGCTAGGCGCAGCCCAATATTAAAAAACGAATTATGAGGACCTAAACAGAAGAGAAGAAATCGCAGTTGCCACACATACTATAAAGGTGTCCCGATGATGGATCAATGAAGAATCGGAGAGCATGAGTACATTGGAGCTCATGGCTGGTAATTTGCTTTTTCAGAAGCTCCTGAAGTTGCTCCAAATTTGCCGAGTGCTGAAAACGTATGCCGCACTCGCAAATGAATTCTCCTTTGTGGTGGTGCAAGGCTTTCATCTGACAAACTGGGCACAGAACTTCGTTTTGTTTTTCATTAGGCTCCTCGTACAGATCTTCCAGGTTTTTTTCACCCAGGGCGTACCACTCGTTCACATCGGAGAGAAGTTCTTCAAGGATAAGCTGCTCCAGCTCCAAATCCGCTTCCATTTCGGTGAGTTCCAGTCGAAGAATATCCCTGAGCTCCGACTAAAAACATAAAACCTAGTTTATCTATGGCTGACTTAATGGGTACGATTTGACTTACCAATTGTATTTCTCGATTGGCATCTGTGCACTTGTTCCTAGTTTCTATTATGCGCTTGCGGTACTTCTGTAGGAGTTTTAATCGGGTTTTAAAGGTGTTGTTTAAGGTAATAATAGTGGTTCTTACCTCTCGTAGCATTTCGCGTAGTTTTGGCATTTGCATGCCCATTCGCTTTCTTTTGGCAACATCTTGAGCATGTCGCTTTTGTTCAACGGAGGTCTGATAAACTGGACTTTGTGTGGAATTCATTTCGTTCAATTTTTAATAAGGAATACTTTTGTTTGACCGGGATAGAATAAGTATCGTCAATTGCTTTAGGAAGCGATTGCTTCTATATAATCCTTTGGTAGCGAAAAATAATCTGTAAAAAACAAAAACAAATCAAGCAGAGTCGAAATAGTTCATGACCTGCCTCAATTTTCATTAAGACATTTTCTTTCCTAATGGCACGTTCAGTAATTAAACCCTGAAAATATTTGTTTTGTTGATAAAATACGCTTTACCACTTGAACTAGAAACACCTAATCTGATTTCAAGTTAAGAATTTTACTAGCCTCAAATCAAAATCATTATGTTTACGATAAAACTCAGGATTTATTAATTTATTATTGGTATAAGCTTCGAATGCCCATACTTACAATAAAAATAACAATTTGGCAATACTTATCAGATATTTGAACACATTAATAACATTTAAATTACTTACAGGATTCCAAAACTTTAGTTTCAATAAATTAATTTAGCACTAGCAAGTTATAAGGAACTAAATATGCATTGTCAACTGAAAATCTTTGAGTATAAAAAAGTTCGGTATATCTTAAGGTAATGCACACTTTTGGGCAAGCCTAAGAAGCTATTTGGCACACTCTTAGTACATAAGTTATTATTTGTAAGCCAGAATTTAAGAAAAACTTACCATAAATGCCAAAGTTCCGCGCAAATCTCCTGTTGCTCTAATAGAGATGGTTCTCCCTTGATAACAGCTCACGGAGCCAGAGTGACCATCCAACCGATAGTCCGCGTGTCACGTTTCGCGGTGTTCCACAACACCAAACGCAGGGTTGCATTGCTTTGACAGCTCGTACATGGCGTAGCATACATTTCCGGTCTTTCTTTCCCTTTCTTTTACCAGCGTGTGTAGTGACCAGTAAAAGGTTAGTGCGATATTTTCCAAAGAAATACCCCCGAAACTGAAAGGAAACCGCTTAAATGAATGTGTTTTGTGCCGCCCACAGATGCCTGCTCCGGTCGCCAAGAAACCAGCAGCGAAAAAGCTGCCCGCCGTGCCGGAATCGAAGCTGAAATTCGGCAAGAAACAAATCGCTAAGCGGGTTGCCGATTCGAAACGTCGCCTGAAGAAGGCCGCCGTGATTGTCCTGCGCAAGAAGGAGAACCTGATCCGCGCCGAGAAGTACCAGAATGAGTACATCAAGGCTGATCAGCGTGAGATCAAGCTGCGTCGCTTGGCCAAGAAGCGCAATCAGTTCTACGTGCCCGCCGAGGCCAAGTTGGCCTTTGTGGTCCGTATTCGCGGGTGAGTAGTGCCGAAATCAGGAGCCAGTTTCCACCTGCTATAATAACAAAAATCTCCCCGCAGTATCAACAAGGTAGCCCCCAAGGTCCGTAAGGTTCTGCAGCTGTTCCGCCTGAGGCAAATCAACAACGGTGTGTTCATCAAGCTGAACAAGGCTACCATCAACATGCTCCGCATCGCCGAGCCCTACATCACCTGGGGCTACCCCAACCTGAAGTCCGTGCGGGAGTTGATCTACAAGCGTGGATTTGTTAAGCACAGCCGCCAGCGTGTGCCCATCACCGACAACTTCGTGATCGAGAGGAAGCTGCGTCAGGCGCACAACATTCAGTGCGTCGAGGATCTTGTCCACGAGATCTTCACCGTGGGGCCCAACTTCAAGTACGCCTCCAACTTCCTGTGGCCCTTCAAGCTCAACACGCCCACCGGCGGCTGGCGCAAGAAGGCTAACCATTATGTCAACGGCGGAGATTTCGGTAACCGCGAGGACCAGATCAACCGTCTGCTGCGCAAGATGGTCTAAGGGATCGACATGCGATCCATGTGCTGAAACGACAACTGCAGCGGTTCTTCGATGTAAACAGTGAGAGAAAATAAAAGTTACTTTTATAAACCCACGAATTGCCGTTCAGTACAAAAGAAAAAAGCGAAGTGTTTTCGTTAAGAAAAGGTTATTGTCTGGTATTTAAATGTGAAGTGTTCCTCTTTAAGGCAGATCGTTCAAAGTGAAGACCAAAATTCAAGCATATATTTATACAAGTCAAATCAAGTTAAGATGTTTGAGATTTGAAAACGCGTTTTCTCCTTATTTACTTTGGTTCAAATAAAATCAAACTATTTGATTATTCCAATTATACGCCTTTCTTAAACTTTTTTTAACGATAATTTTAAATTCACTTACTAAGAACAACTTTTTTTCATCTATAAAGTCTTTAAAGTCAATAATTATTAAAATTTATATTTTATCTTCTTAAATTGCTAAATTTTTTGTAATCCTTAACAAGTCAAACCACTTTGTTTATTCCAAAAATAACACAAATAATCAAGTTGTCTACGCTCTAGATCGTTTATTATTTTTCTGGTCAAATTTTAAGCGCGCTTAATGCACAACACTTAAATGCAGATAGCATGCTAGATTAAGGGTGCCTTGGGGAAATTGTTAGCCAATCTTCGCTTTATTGAATACATCTCTTTTTGCCTTTCAGCTGGCAGTGGATTTAATAAATTTTTACACACATAATGGTCCAAAGCAGTTTACAAACAAACATAAATGTAAATTCCAATCGCATGGAAATTAGTCAATAATCGAGGGAGCTGGCACCCTTTAAAAAATACAATTTAATTAATTGTTACCACATGAAGCACATGCCGTTGTCCGCTGTAAGATTCTCGCTTCTACTGGTGTCCAGCAGCCTGCGTGGTTGTCACGTGAATGTTCTGCACCAGTCGTTGGCCCCAATACTCCTCCAAATCGAATGGCTTAAAGTTTTTCAGCTGATTATCGGATTCGTTGCAGTAGATCACAGGAGGACCCTGTTCATAGACCTGGAGAAAAAGCAACGCATGAAAAGCAACCGACAATATCACACAGGGACCGTAATCAAAATGGCTTTTATTTAAATATATAGATTTTTTGTCAACCAAAATTATTTTTGAAAATCAAAAAACTTGCAGATGCTTATATGCAATACATCATTTCAGCTGGAGGCTCTAACGTGTTGAAGAGGCCCATTGAAGTATTTTCTTGGGGTATCACAGAAATCTAGATTGATGTAAAGCCACTTAAAAATAGTCGTCTAAAATTCGAATAACAATATTAACTGCCGGCGAAAGATCTAAAAAGAATGGTAGCATACTTTTAGACACCTTTAAGGTGGTTTTAAATTATAGATAAACGGTAAATCTATTAAAAAGAAAAAAACTATACATTGAAACGTCATCTACCTTTGTATATCCGTATGGGAATTTGATCAAGTTTTAATGACACTCATTTTTTTAGGGTCCCTGTTTTTTGCAAGCCGGGAAAGCAAAGCATAATGACAAGTGGAAGGTCTTTTGGTTAAGAAATTTTGGGTCTTACCTTGTTCCATGCCTCCCGGATGTATCGGATCAGCTCGTCATGTTGCGAGATCGGCAAGCTTTGTTGTTGCTGCCCGGTGGCGCTTGAATAGATCGAGTTGCTGTTGTGAACTCCGACTGACGGAGTGTTTCCGGCATTGTGGTTGTTATATCCTGGGGAACTTGACGCCCCCGCCGCGGAGTTGTTATTGTGGTGATGATGATAGCTGTGCGATGGATTGTGGCCACTATTTTGTCGCCTTATATTGTACGGGTAACGTCTGTAAAAAAAAAAAATTAAATAAGAAATTCTAGTACCCACTGTTCAGATGCTAACCAACTAAACCTATTTAATCAAATCCCTAAAATTATTAATTATCTCAATTTTTTTAAGTTTTAAAATAAAAATAGTTCTTTAAAAGTAAATATTTTGAATAAGAAGAATAAGAAATATTGGTTTTGAGGGATGGACAATTGTAAAAAAAAAAGGTAACGAAATAAATCGCTTCCAACCACGGTACTCTTAATTTTAAGTCTTTGAGAACATGGCATTCAGATAGGAAAATTAAAATAACAATATACAATTGGCCAAAAAAAGGTTAAATTCTCTTATGTTTGTATTTAAATCTTTACATATGCTGTGTATATATTACAGAAAAATAATAATAACGGGTCTTGGAAGAAAGATCGGACATACAGATGTATTCAAGTATGTGTGTAAACACTGTCTTTTGTCGTTTGACGCATACAAGTTTAGTTATTATGAAAGTTCCGTTGGTTAAGTCCTTACAGCGTTCCCTATACTTTACCCGTTATTGCGATCCATATTTTTATCTCCTCGTTTAAATTCAGCCCTCAATTCGTCTTGTTTATTGCCGAAAAGTTATTTATATTTCCTACAAATCTTTTCTCTTGAGCAAAGAGTGACCGACGCTGACCAATTTAGATATACCAGATTGTATTTATGCGCGATTTTGAGAACGGTATACTGACAGGAATATCCTTAATTTTTAGTAATCAGCGGCTTACCTTTTTAATGCATTTTATTTAGCGCCAATAGTTTGTCTTACCTTAACGGTTTTTAAAGTTTTAAGAAAATTGCTTAACCGCTATGAGAAAATGTGCAACCAAATATTCATCTAATTGTAAAATTAAACAACAGCGTAGGTAATGGGAAGGTTGAGTACTGTTTTTCTTAACAATTAGCCAAAATATATTTATATATTTAATATTCAGCGCCAAAAGGTTTCCTTCTTAAATTTTTTTTTTAAGACTTAAGAGATTTATTTACCAATACTACCATGTATTCCTTTACTTCTTTAAATAAACAACAGTATGAGTAATGCGAAGGCTGAATACCGGTTCTTTTTGGGTTTCTAAAAATATTTATGACAATGCAGGTCAAAATATTATCGTCATTTATTCGGAAGTGAATTAACAATAAGGGAATGTACATATTAAATTGTTTACGGAGTAATCCAGTTGGACTCATTTCTTTTCCCATAGTAATCAGTACATTTATTTTTGTAAAATGCATAACATATTTTTTTCTACCTCTAAAATAAAGTTTTACGTACAAACATACATACATATATTACAATATATTAAATGATAAAATAGATAAAATGTGTCGTTAAATATACATTTACAGATCATTTACAATAATTCAACATGTAGATATACATACATAAATAATGATGGTAAAACGGGCCATTCATCTTGAGCATTCATTTCATACAACACATTTCTGCGCTTTTGTCCATAAAAACATTTCGTAACACTTGCTAATAGCAGAGAGAATAAATTCTTTGAATTACGCACATATGTATAAAATCTTTAACCTTAGTCGAATGTATTAAGCTGCTTTTGCACCTGCAGATGGATTGAAGCTAGTTTGGCGGCCCTTTTCTCGAAAGGGCCATTCGATTTGGCAACTCACGGCAAGGATTACATTAGCACATTCATAGATCATCATCTCCGATGCCTTCAAACGCCTCGTTGGACACTTGAGCTCCGTTGTCGTTGCGGAAGAATACAGCTCCAAAAGTGCGCGAGGTCAACCTGGGCTGCTGCTTGGATCTCGACGCCGAATTCTCGGACAGAAACCTAACTGGCGGCGTTGTAGGCGCCGTGGACGTAGAACAGGAGGCAGATGCCCACGACGATGTGGAGCAGGTTGAACTGGGCGTTGATGACGATGCCGTCTGCTCGTGTTCGTCGTCGCTGTTGGAATTGGTTTTTCCGCCTCGTTGCAACAGCTCGTCGACCATTGCTTGCAGGCACACGGACATCAGCATGGCCTGATCGCTGTTGATAGTTATCCAACGCAACGTTTGCTTACCAATCAAGTACTCGAACGCCAGTTGGAGGTGTGACTCCAGCGTGTTGTGGGTGACACTGACCCTCCACGATCGCATCCTGGTCACCCGGAACTTGGTCTCATAGATCTTGATTCCACGCGCTGTTCGCAAGCCCAACTCCTTGTTGCCAATGGTGACCAGCGCCGTGGTGTTCGGTTCTGGATAGTCCACCTGCGCCTCATCAAACTGCAGACAGCCGTAAGAAGGCAGCTGACGCACCAGCTCCATGTACTCGCGTGCTCTTCCATGCCTTTGCAAATTGTTCAACTGGTGGCCGTCTTGTGGCGAACAGATGACCACCCACTCGCGGTTGACATCCGCTACGGTCTGGTTATACAGTAGATTCAATGCTACCTTATTTCCCATCAACTTAATATCTCTACTAGGGTCCCAGTAGCAGGTACGGAGCAGCAACTCGCAGGGCTGCAGATGCAGACGAGTTATGAAGGGGGATTCGAAGTCCATGAGGCGGCGGACCAGATGAATTTCATCGTTTTTTCGCTGGCGTCGCACAAGAAAGAGGCAGAAGAAGCGGACCAACTCCTCGGGAAGCTGGATATCCCGACAGATGCTCTTTAAGAGCGCACTAGCATTTTGTTGCACGGAACAGCTAACCAGGATGCGTTCGGCAGCGGGATTCGTGTAGACCTGGAGCTCCAGCTGCTGTACTTCGCAATCGCTGTTGACCAGGCCTTCTGCCAGGGCCGTGTCAAGTTGAGCTCGCTGCAGAAACTGCTGCAGGTGGGCGGCTCGGGCGAGGCGACTGTCCTGGCCCAACGCCTGAAGGTACTGTTCCAGCGAACTGCGACGCGCTTCCAACTGACCGCTGGTCAATGGCAGAAGGCGTTTTGGGGGAAAGGGTGGCAGGATAACGCCCACACAGTGCCTGCGCAGCTGCTCGTTTAAAGAGTGCAGCTGTTTGTAGCGCAGGACGCAGTGGTAGCCGCCATTGATGTGTATTTTGTACCCCGTGTAGGTGGGCGAGGAGCCCAGCTCCTGGGTGTCCGGTATGGAGAAATGCATTCTGCTGCTGGGCAATAGCGACCGGCCAGCCGTTTACACCTGCATTACCGAGCTGCTCCTTAAACAAGCGTAGCAATTGATTTCAATTCAATTAATTCGACTACAATTGTTCAATTTTCGCCCTACCAACACCACTTGAGCTAAGTGTGACCGCGGATTAGTAAAACCAATATACCGTTTTGCTCTTTGATAAATACCAAATTTATCTTGCATAAAGACCACGAATATAATTTTCAAAAAATATATTGATCAGTCCTTATTTTGATTACCTTATATTACCAAGGAAAAACAATGACATAAAAATAATCAAGAAATTTTATAGCTATTTGTTCAAGACCTTTACAAACTTTTATGACTATGTGAAGAATGCCCTTTGTCCACATTCGTAGCTCCGAAACAGATTTTGCTCATATTATAACTAATACCAACTTTATAAATCGTTTCTGTTTTGAAAAGATGCTCTAAATTCCCGGAAGTCATGTACCATTCCATATCAAGAAATATTTTTTTACATGTTAAGTCTTATTTATTATTAAGCTGAAAAATATTATACATATGTTATATATTATAACATGTTTTCGAGCTCTTATATAATATTTGCTCGGTGACATTTGACCGTTAAAATCTTTTTATTGATGAATAACAACAAATAATAAGAATTTTTAAATTTAATTTGTTAAACTTTTAACAGCTATATGCTATAGTCGTCAGATTTTCACTAAATGTATAATAATGTTTAAAAATAACAACGTTATCACTTTTTTCCAGTCATCTAATCTTTATAAAATTGAATTCAAAATTCAAGTGTCTTAAAAGTCACAACAAAACAAATGCGTTTTGTTTTTCGTTTTTTTTTATTTGCCATGGGTTTGATCCGATAAAGTCGTCCGATCCGTCCCGTGCCGAGTTATATACTACGTGCAATAAGAACACAACAAAATGAGAGACTAGTATATATATAAACAGGTCAGACTGACAGGTGAACCATTTTATTTATTGCAAATTTTTTTTATAGATCTAGACCCTAGAGTCTGTATTGTGGCAAAGTTTACGTAGAAGTTTCCACAACCGGCACAGGTCATATTCCAACAGCTTGTAACGAGTATATGGTACTAGTTTTTTCTAATCACATCCACGATCCAGTCTCGAAAATGTTCAACATTAGTATAGATACCAACACCTGAACAAAAGTGCGATCCCTTACTAATAATGCCGAACTGGAAAGCCCGAACACTTCCATCAGCTAAAGTTATTGACGAACTTAGTGGTCCGCCCGAGTCACCGGCACATGAGTCGTTGCCTTGTTTCAAATCGCCTGCACATAGTTGAGATCCATCGAGACGCATTTCCTCCCATTTCTGGTTGCAAAGAGATTTATGTAAGTAGCCTACAGTGGCTATCTGCAGTATCCGGCTTAATTTTTCTTCTTTGGTTATTCCCCAGCCAGTTATATTAAATGATAACGGCATGAATGAAAAATTGTTTTTGACGATCAGGCAAATCGGCTTGACGAAATCTAAAAAGCGAATGCAAACATTAATAGATCGATGTTGGCCATTCTGCATCATTACCTGAGAACTCTACTTCGCTTTCTAGTCTAAGCAAAGCTATGTCATTTTTTGAGTTATAGAAATCCCTGTGGACAAATTTCTTATCAACATTCAATTTGTATGCTGTTGGTACGCACTTCCCATTTAAAAAACAATGTTTTCCGGGATTTTGGATTTCGTATTCGCCCAAACTCACGCTCCTGCAAAGAGGAATTTCTTAATTTCTTTTAAAAAGTATTTCTCACAACTTACATGTTAGAGTTGAATATGCAATGTGCTGCTGTTAGAACATATCCTGCAAAATAAAGAAATTGGATCGACTTAAATAAATTGAAAAGTAATTCAAAGACGAAATACATACGAGAGGTGAGAAGCGAACCGCCGCAAGGTCTTTCACTATTTATCTTTACCATCCAAGGATTTGCGAACACAGATGTATCTGCGCCGTTTTTAATTTTCGGGGCAAATTCTGAAGGTGTTCTTGTTCCACAATTTTGTTCGAGTACAAAGGACGATCCTCCCTTGATCCAAATGAAGAGAAAAGCTAAAAGCGCAGTTCCCGCTTTGAAGACCTCCATCTTAATGCATCGACCATCGCCAACTGACAATAGCTTTGACGTGCAGATTATTTAGAACTCTGATTGCGCAATATATATGTAATCAGTAAAGCTCAAAAACATGGTCATAGTATTTTAATATTTTTTCGGTGATTTCTTATCGCCAGGGGCGGACGCAGGGGGTGGTCCTGGGGGTCCAGACCCCACCCAAAATCTCAGACTTTTTCGAACTCCCTTACAGCACACGGTCTTTTAACCATATAAACTAAACAAATTTTGATCGGACCCCCCCAAAATTTTTTTCTGCGTCCGCCCCTGCTTATCGCGCATAAGCAATACAACAAAAATAAACTTTTATCTTCAGCCTCGCAAGAATCACCCAAAATTTTATAGGTATGTGTGCGCTAGGCATTAATTAACTACAACAAATTGTCTTGATTCTAATTATACCCTTGCAGAGCAAAAGGGTATTATAATTTCAGTCAGAAGTTTGCAACGCATTGAAGGAGACACCTTAGACCCCATAAAGTATATATATTCTTGATCAGCATCACCATCTGAATCGAAATAGGTATGTACGTCTGTCCGTCTGTCCGTCTGTCCGTCGGTCCGTCTGTCCGTCTGTCCGTCTGTCTGTTTCTATGTAAACTAGTCTCTCAGTTTTAAAGCTATCTTGCTGAAACTTTCCCAAAAAGTTTCATCGTTGTTTTTTATCCCACGAGCATGATTTTTTCAATATGAAGTTTTTTAACAACTCTTATATTGAGAAAAAAGTTTCATAAAAATCGGACAACTATATCTTATAGCTGCCATAGGAAAGATCGAAAAATCTATATAGAAATAATGGAAATAAAATTATAACATCGTTCTTTTTCATCAGATAAGCATGTTTTTTGGATAATAACACTGTGCGACAAAATTTAACGAAATGTTTGTTTAAGTTACTTTTTTGATTGTTTTCGGTTAAGATGCATAAATTATGCACAAAAATATCTATGCCACCTTCTTAGTGATAGGATTTCTTTTTATACCCTTGCAGAGCAAAAGGGTATTATAATTTCAGTCAGAAGTTTGCAACGCAGTGAAGGAGACACCTCAGACCCCATAAAGTATATATATTCTTGATCAGCATCACGAGCAGAATCGAAATATGTATGTACGTCTGTCCGTCTGTCCGTCTGTCCGTCTGTCCGTCTGTCCGTTTCCGCGCAAACTAGTCTCTCAGTTTTAAAGCTATCGTGCTGAAACTTTCCCAAAAGTTGTGTAGTTGTTGCACGCAGTATATAAGTCGGAACGAGCCGGATCGGCCGACTATATCGGATAGCTCCAATACAAGAGAATGAAATAAAAAATTCTCACTCTGTTGTTTTTCATCAGATCGACTTAAATTCTTCAAGATGGCGTTTTCTAACTGTAATTGAATTTCGGATTAAATTTGATCAAAATCGGATAACTCTATCATATAGCTGCCATAGGAGAGATCGAAAATTATATATAGAATTAATGGAAATAAATTGATAACATCGTTGTTTTTCATCAGAAAAGTATGATTTTTGGAATATAGAGTGTTCTTACGACTCTTGAATTACGAGTTAAATTTGATCAAAATCGGACAACTATATCGTATAGCTCCCATATGATCTATAGTCAAAAATATGGGAAATGTATAGAAAAATCGTCTTAGCTTCGATGTTGTCTAGCCTTTATGTGTTTTGTTCGACATATTTGATGACTGCAAGGGTATATAAGCTTCGGCTTGCCGAAGCTAGCTTCCTTTCTTGTTTTATGATAAATTTTATGAAATTATTATTATGAAAATAATTAACACAAAATATTATTTTTTTTTTACTTCCAATAAACTATTATTTTTTTTTTAAAGTGAATTTTTTTTCAGATTTTTTTGGCTTTTTCAGAGGTATTCTCGCGTAACAAGTTCCATACGTAGTCGCCCAGAGTATAGAGCTGGGAGAAAAAATTTTAAAGCATTGTTAAAAAGCCTAACGGTATATTTGCTTAAAACATTTTAATTAATAGATATTGAACTTGCATAAAACGCTTATAACGGTGAAAAAATATTTTCCCAATATGTGATTATAAGGCTGTGAAATATGCAAAAACACGCGTTTTTGGGACATTTGAGTGTGCGTAGAAGCTGATTGGCTATTGATATTAACAAATCCAAAAACTTGTATTCTTATTTTGACTAGTAGAAGTGAAAAATAAGAAAAAATCAACTTAAACATTTTTTTGTCGCACAGTGTAATGTTTTCTAACGACTCTTGAATTACGAATTAAATTTGATCAAAATCGGACGACTATATCATATAGCTCCCATATGATCTATAGTCGAAAATGTGGAAAATGAACAGAAAAATCGTCTTAGCTTCGATGTTGATTAACCTTTATGCATTTTGTTCGACATATTTAATGACTGCAAGGGTATATAAGCTTCGGCTTGCCGAAACTAGCTTCCTTTCTTGTTTTAAATATTATTTGTTTTCATACTAAAATAAATTTGGCAAAAAATGTGTTTTATTGACTTAATACATTAGACGAAAAACTTGATTTATAAATCGGTGCGTAAGTTAGTCAGTCGCTAACCCAGTAGGGGTGGATTAAAATTTATTGACAACGTAGTGTAATTAGCATGTTGAAAGGGCAATCCTTTTTTACAAACTTTATTACAGGTCAACTGGAAACTGAACTTCTCCTTTTAGCATTACCACTCCAGAGGGGTTTACTTTAACTTTGATTTTAGTGTTGGGGTATAACACGCCATAATCGACGTTCTCATAGAGGTCCTGAAATAATATGGATGTTTTAATACAACGTTTTTATCGAATTCAATATAAATAATAACATACCTCTACTCTGTATCCTGAAAAATTAATAAGACCCAGCTCTTTTAGAGTAACTGATATATCTGAAGGAGTTCCATCCGTTCTTCTATTTACAAAGGCGATTGCGTACGAGTAAAAGTTTTGGTATAATGGTCCAATTGGTCTTGACCAAATTTCAATCCCCTTATGTTTGTAAATTCGCCTGCCTTGTATACCAAGTGGATCTTGATCCACAGCTATTATTTTTCTATTTTGTAAAATGTGCTTAAATTGCGGACGGATCGTTCTTAGATCGACTGACATCAAAAGGGGAGCAGCCAAAATCGACCAAATGGCAAATTGTGTTTTTGCTTGCTCATAACTTAGTCCAAAGTTTCCAATAATTAACTGAAATTTAGAAGAAAGAAAGTATGAGATGATAGATTTTTATTTATATGTATATTAATAAAACCTACCATGTCGGGATCGTTCCAGTGGCCAGGACCCGCATTAGGAGCTATTAAATCTTGATTGTTGCCATAGTAATCGATTATGTTTTCAACAGACGCCCAGGAGTCCTGGATGTCATCATAGTTTCTCCAGAGATTACAATGCGTTTGGATTGCCGAGTAGTTCGGCTGTATTCCGGCATAAATTTGATAAACAGGCCAACTGCACGAATATACCATAGATTTTCCTGTGCTATTTAGAAGCCTTCCGAATGTCGAATATCCATGATCCATATCATACGGTAGTGCATAACAGCCATCAAGTTTTACGTAGTCTACATTCCACTCCGCAAACAGAAGTGCATCCTTCTCTTCATAACCAATAATCCCAGGATATCCCGCACAAGTATAGTTACCATAGTCCTCGTATATTCCAAACTTGAGGCCTCTGGAATGAATCTTATTGGACCAAAAGTTCATGTGTAAATAGTTTGCGTTAATATTTACATCTTATTATTTGACTCACATAATCAGATAAAGCTTTGATTCCATTGGGGAAGCGTTTTCGGTCAGCCACCAACTTTCCATCATGACTGCGGTGTTTTTCTAACCAGCAGTCATCTATATTTATATATTCATAGCCAACGGATGCATAACCATCAGCAACGACGATATCAGTCATAGTTTGAAAAAGCTGTTCACTAAGTGCAAATCAAATATAAGGAAATTTAATTTTAAAAAGTATTGCATAATAACATTATTAATACCTTATGCAGTTATCAGGATCGTTTATGCAGTCAGTATTACATCGAAATCTTTCCCATGAAAGCCATCCCATTGGCGGAGTTTTTGCGAGCCCATTATCTAAACACTTTGTCAAAGTGCTACTTAACAAAATAATCCAAACAATAGAAAGCATCGTTTTCTAAAAATAAGAAAATGAACTATAATTTCATTTGTCAAGGCTAATGGCGAACCGCGGAGCGGTATCGAATGCCAAGTATTAGACACAGGTACTAGGCACTCGAGATAAACACATCTCGACAGTTAAAAACAGTTTAAAGTGCCTGGAATTATGCCACACATAAATTAAATTTGGCACGTCTATATTGGTTTATGACATGTGCTGTACGAAACGGAACTATGAACCCCTTTCTTCCGTTACTATTTCCGGCATGTTGGCTTGCTTAAAATATCTAAAAGGTTTGCATATTGCCGATTTTAATGTTTTGTACAGATATGTCAAAAGTCTGGCAACGCTGAATAGCAGGTTTGTTGAACAATAGGTAATTTAAAGAGAGGAAAAAGAGAAAACGATCTGGCTTACTAGAAGAGCAGAGGTAAGACTCTAAATATGAACCGATATTGTTCTCACTTCATTGTACCCGATATAATAACAACAAAGAAAGACAGCATAATAACAATAACGTTATATACCAATTCACACCATGCTGTTTGAAATAATTATCATATGCACGTATCTAAGCAAAGAAGCCAATTTTAAATAATGATTTCAATTAACAGTATAACAAATATTTAGGCTGGTATAGAATAATTGTATACACAATAACGCACTCTTAGCCAAATTTAATTGTTGACAATTTTATCCGTCCGTACACTTAAAAGAAAAAAATAAACTAGTTTGCAAACAGACATGTATGGTACATACCAATGATTTCTATTTGTATATTTGCAGCGCAATTAAGTAATTGAGTTTTTCGCATTTGAGCCGGTTTCTCGAAGCTAATAAGAGCTTAGCTCGGGCTTTTCGATTGCTAAGTCCTTCAATTTTTAGTTACACATTGGTATAGGAGTTAAACATATTACTTTAAATGAGGTAAGGTAATTACAAAATAATTTAAAAAAGTTCAATTTTTAATCGTTTCTAAATCATGTTGAGCAGCTAGTTGCAGACGTCTAAAGAACAATTTATGTGGCATTAAGAACATATTTGGGTACATAAATACGTGTGCATACATATGTAGATATGTATGGGAGCCCATTAAAAAAAAAACCTGTTGTTACCATGAGGGTTAAGCGTATGCTTTAAATATGCGAGCTCTTTCGTTCGAAATCGGCTGAGAAAACTAAATGGTCATTGGTTTTCATTTGTTTAAAAATATTTCTAAACTATACATTTTTTTTATTTATTTATTTTAGTTAAATAAAATCAAGGTTTTTTCATTGCCTTGTTTGTATTACAGATTATTTAATTCTATGAAATATTTTAAAGACAATTTATCCTAATTTAATAACAGAAATCGAATTAACTATAAATATCTATAAGATTTATGAGATTCCTGTCTCGAATGAATTGACATTTTTGCTCATATTGCTGTAATGATTCCTCCAACTTAAGATACTCAGAATTGATCATTTTATTGTTCCTTCTGATTTGATTAAAGAATTTATCCATGACAGAAGTGTCTTCATCTGAAAGAACTATATAAGGGATATATAACGTTAATAAAAATTTAAGTAAACAATGTCCTTGCATCATCGAATCAATATTTACTTTAATCGAGATTGTACCACAACGTTAAACCCCAATTAAAACAGCTTGAAATGACATAGTTTTTTAATATTAACATGTACACACCTTCTTGGCTTTGTTGCATTATAGCCGGAGTTCCTGTCGAAATTGTTGACAAGTTCGAACGTCCAATTTTTTCACCACTTTCAACAAACTGGGCGATAACATTACGAAATTTCTCGGGGATTAGAAATAGCCGATCAACTTTGCCCTTCTTATAGCATAGATAAGCACTCTTCATTTGAAACCACTTTCTTCGGATTTGTGTGGGCGATTTATTCGGAAATCCTAATTATTGAGTAAGAACCATTAATTAATTGTCTATATGTTGACGAAAAAATCAAACCTCGTTTCTTCATTTGGTTTGCAATTTGGATAAATGTATATTGTGTTGTGCTTGTAGACAAGGCTCCTTGGCAGTTATTAACTTCCTTTATCAAGTCGAGCATGCATTCTATCTCAGCGGAAACCCAAAAGTTTCTTTTCAGTTTTTCAGACTTCATAATTGTAAATATTTCCCCAATTTTTTTATGGTTGCTTGTTGTTTTTAAAAACAGTGTGACCGAGTCTAAAGAACTTTAAAACCTTAGATTAATTGGATAGAATTATTTAACTTGTTGGCTTTTAAATTTCCCGCTAAATAAATTGACTTTTATGTTATCTGAAAAAGCATTCAACCAAAAATTACAGCAGTATAGGCAACATCTAAACTATAGAAAATATTGTTTCCTTAGAATCACGTTTTATACTTGTAATATACTGAATTTTTAAATAATTTTAAGAATATGTCTGCAGTACATTTAAAAAAAAATCGTTTATTAAAGAAAGTAAAATAAATAATATATCTTGTGTTCAAAAATATTAAATGCAATTCTCTATGTTGTTTTTTGATTTAAATAAATAACTTAAAAATCAAAACTAAGAGTTGGTATTTTTTGTTTTGAAAAAAAGTTGATTTAAATTTGATGGCCACATTTTTCTCTAATGTTTGACAACCCTATCCTTATCCGCACGCCTGTTGCTTTTTATCTCGTCTTGTCTCTAATTTTTGTAAAATATTTCCCGGGTTGAAGTTTGATATAATTGAAATAGGTGGTACAGGTTGGAAAAATATCTGTGAGCGGAATATGACACTGTTTTTGTACAAAAATATAACCACAGAACTTCTTATTGACTTTATTATCATTGTTTACATATTTTCCCCAGGAAACGTGCTGCGATAAGTGTAGATAATGGACTCCAAATACTTGGCCACCAGCAGAGGTGATGCAGGAGGTCCTTCCCCGGTGAAGTTCTCGATTAAACGAAAATATGATTCCATAGGGAATAGTCCTGTTAGTGAGAAAAAATCCCAGATAAAACAACAGATACCTCCAGTTTTACTGACCAGTAAAAGGACCTCCATTGAACAACATCAGAAATCGTTGCCCGTTTATAATTGCCGCCAAAGAATTCTAAAGGAACTGGAAGTTAACGATACCGTCCTTATAATGAGTGAGACGGGATCTGGAAAGACCACCCAAATTCCGCAGTTCCTTTTGCAGGCTGGTTATGCCAAAAATGCGATGATTGGTATCACTCAGCCACGAAGAGTGGCGGCAATAACGGTTGCCCGTCGTGTTGCACAAGAATTATCAGGAAACATTGGCGATACGGTGGGCTATACGGTTCGTTTCGAGGATGCCACCTCAAATAACACAAAGATTCGATTTCTAACCGATGGAGTTTTGCTTCGAGAATCTATAAAGGATCGTCTTATGCTCAAATATTCTGTGATTATCCTGGACGAAGCTCACGAACGGACGGTCAATGCCGATCTTTTATTCGGACTAGTAAAAGAAGCCCAGAAGGAGAGACGTAGGAAAAGGCTGGCCAATCTAAAGGTGGTTGTTACCTCTGCTACAATGGACATCGATCACTTTGGAAAGTACTTCAACTGCAAAGGAATGTATCTGGAGGGCAGGACCTTTCCAGTTCGTGTGATGCACGCCAAAGAGGAGCACGAGGACTACGTTCACACCGTGCTGGTAACTCTCTTCCACATTCACCGCACCACGCCAAGAAAGTAGGTACCAATCTGCAAGTTATGACTATGAATTAATATATTTAATATCTTTTGATGTTACAGCCATGACGTTTTAATATTTCTGACAGGACAAGAGGAAATTGAATCATTGGCCCAGCAAATTCGCCAACTTGCAAAGGTAAGTCTTCTTCAATTGAACCAGCAAAACAATCAACATGAGTTCTTCATTATCCCAGATTGATATGACTGGAACCACGGATCTCCGCGTATTTACGCTGTACGCTCAGTTGTCTCAGGTCAAACAATTAGAGTGTTTTGTACCAACACCGCCCAACGTTCGAAAAGTAATATTGGCCACAAATATAGCAGAAACGTCGATTACCATACCGGGTATCCGTTGTGTAATAGACTGTGGATTTGTGAAGGAAAAATCATTTAATACCGCCGACGGATTGGACGTCTTAAAGTCAGTTCGAATATCCCGGGCACAAGCCTGGCAAAGATCGGGACGAGCAGGTCGGGATGCGGATGGAACTTGTTATCGAGCATACACAAAAAGAGAAATGGACTCGTTTGCAGATGCTACTCAACCAGAAATCCTAAGAACCAATCCAACTTCAATGGTGCTGCAACTTCTTGCCTTGGACATTGATTGCAATAACTTTGACTTTTTAGACGCTCCACTCGAAGAAGGACTGAGGAGTGCCTATAAAACGCTGGAAGCCCTTGGAGCTATTAAAGTTGGATTAGTCTCGCATATAACACCTTTGGGATGGCAAATGGTTCAGTTTCCCTTGGACCCCAAATACTCCAAATTATTGATGTCAGCACCATCATTCGGGTGCATGCAGGAAGTTCTGTACCTAGTCTCTGTACTATCGAGTGATCATGTTTTTGTCTCGAATAGCGATAAAAATGAAACGGCTGCTTTAGCTCATGCCAAGTTTCAGTCCAAACATGGAGATCATTTGACGCTACTCAATGTATTCAATGCATTTTTAAAATCAGAAAAGCCAAAGGTATACTATAATCAAAATCATAAGAAACTTAATAATCACTATTTTCTTTTGTTTTCATTTCAGATGTGGTGTCACGACAATTTCTTAAATTTGCGTAGTCTAACTTATGCCCGAAATGTTTGTCGCCAATTGGCAGAAATTTGCGGGAGGCTACATTTGCAATTAAACAGTTCTGATGATATAGAAAGCTTTAAAAAATGCATTTTAAATGGATTTTTTGAGAACATTGCCGTATTGCAACGGGATGGATTCTACTTAACCGTTTCCGGCAACATCAGGGCCAAGATTCATCCGTCAAGTGTTTTGCATGGAAAGTACAAGCCTAGCTACATACTCTTCACTGAAATCGTTCAGACGGAACAAACATTTCTCCGCCAAGTGACAGAAATATCCATCGAATTAATTCAGGAGGTTGTGCCGTTTGTTAAAATTATACCAAGAAGATAAAATAAACTACAAAAATGTTAAAAACACGCTGTATCTTCTTTTCACTGGTTGTCGGGGATAAAATAATTCAGTCGAGTAATTGACCTTGAACTTAAAATTAGAATAAATTAAAAATATCAAACAAGTATACGATATTCTTTGGTATTCGAGTCTTTCTTTATTTTGTTTTACGAAATAATAATAAACTTAACAAAAAATATTTAACACTCGAAATTATTTTGTTATTGTTTATTATACCTTAACCATTTAACATTTAAAATATTTTTGAGATTATTACAATACAACTGTGGGTTTTATTTAAAGAATTCCCGCGAGAGCTGTCTCGTGTTCCACAGTTGCCTGGCTATGATATCTTAATCTAGCATTACTAACAGGAGCCCCTGAAAAGTAAATTTAGAAGGCGATATAGGACATGTAAAAATGAAGCGGTTAAATTTACTTACCAATGTAACTTAATAGAACTGGCAGAAAGATAAGGCCATGCGCCGCCCCAATAACTACAATTCCCAAATACATGCGGAAATAAAACACTTGAAATATTTGACTTTTCGCAAATGCTAGAACTAAAATGCCTGCAAATTTGGTTAACGTAATTCCGGAAAAGATGGAACTACCCATTTTCGAAAGGCTATCAGCTGCCCGATCGATTTGACTAACTGATTTCGAAATAGCGAAGCTGTGCACTAAGTGCGAACAAAATTCTACCGATATTCCGACAGCCATAACAAGATTAACTAACGAAACAGCATTCAATGAAATGTTCCAATAATACATAAGACCTCCTAAATTAACAACAATCATGGTTATCGTTATCACAACAACTAATGCGGAATGAACGTCGAAGCCCATCAAAACAAACGTAACAACAAAAATGGAAAGAACTGAAATACCCATGCTCTGTAGCGTGTCTGACCACATGGTTAAATATTGTTCGTAAAAAACGTAGAATACTGAATAAGGAAAAACTTCGACCGTGAGGGCCGATTGCATAGGAACTCCGTTGGACATTAATCTGCCCTGTAGCATTTGCGTGATATTTGCCGATATCTTTCTGGCCGATTCAAGAGCCAGAAAATAGTCAGCCGAGGATTTCAGTATGGTGTGGTAGGCCATAAAATACGAGGACTCAATCTGCAGTCTATCGTGGCTGTTGGAGTAACGCACAGCTCCACCATAAGCGGCATGACCGGCCTTAGCGCACTGGTCGTCCGGATTGTCCTTCAGGAAAAACGGCAAATACTTTTCAAAGGCCTTGTTGTCTGGCCGTTGGAGTGAGTTTTGCGTGATATTACATTTGGGACAGGAAGTATCTGAAATAGTTCAAAAATGATTGATCATTTTGTGAGTTTTTTTTTTTGTAGTAAGACTTACCTTGATGCGGACAAAAATCTCCAGTATCTTTCCTATATTTGCAACAAGAAGCCGACGCCCAGTCGAAGTAATCATCGATCCAACTGGATGCCGGGCGAGCGATATATGTTTGGTTTGAGTGTCTACTTGCTAAATATATTTGCGTAAGAAGGCTGTCGTCGTTGCAATATTGACCTGCGCAAACTAAATTCTGATCTGTACTATTCGTATACACTAAATCACCTTTGAGGACAAAGTACACTGGCGGACCAATGTTGAGATTCTCGTTCAACGACTGGAAATAATGCAAAACAAAGCTATCCTGCGGCATCGCTAGTTCTTGATCGAGTCCAATATCGATTTTAGGCGCAATGGCAATACTGAAGCAGAGCCATGCAAAAAAGATGACCATTACACTAACTCGAATCACTTTCTTCATCAAAAAGGGAACGTAGACACTACTGAAAAATTTATACAAGAGACCCTCGCTATTAGTTACACTGTCAGGTTTCTTTCCTTTAACAAAGCAGCAAATGTCCATTCGATTCTCTTCCTTGCGTTTGGTATCTAGTGTAAATAGACTTACAAAACAGGTTATTTGCAATAAAAAGTCAATGATAAGGGCTACGCCGGCGTACAAGGCAAAAGCCCTCACCGCGGGCATATCGGAAAGGCCACCGAGAAAGAAGCAAAAGCTTTCACTCAACGAAGTGAGTAGCATACTGGGTCCAACGCGACCCAGTATTCTACCTATTTGCTGCTCGAGCGTTTCATTAGGTTTGCGTTGATCGCGCTGGTGAGTCTGGACTAGGATAAAAATGTTATCCACTCCGACGGCTAATACTAAAAAGGGTATAACTTCTACAATGATCAGAGTAGCTGGCAATCCAACGTAACCGAAAATGCCAACGGACGAAACTACTGAGGCTAATACAATGATGACACCACCGATGCCCAGGGTGATTTTACTATCGATAAAGACCCTTTTGAATTCCTTAACGTGTCCCAGTGAAATCGCGATGTACAGAAACATAATCAAATAGGATACCAAAATAGTTAGGACATCTGACTGGGACTCCCTATTAAGCTCGTCTTCTATTGACCTTTCTGAAGTGAACGCAATATCCATGTACTCCGACTTGTTGTTTTTCGTATAGTTAGCCATAAACTCTATAAACTTCTTCTCCCACTTTAAGGCCGGTTGGATATCTGTCTTATTGTGATGATTCTTGACCAAGAACGTCAAAATCAGAGCATTGGCTAACTCGTACTTTGTGCTGCCCGTAAGTTGGTCTCCAGGTGGTAGAAAACCACCGAAAGCTATTGCTGGATCCACAGGACCGCCGTAGGGCGCTAAGCATAAGTACGGATTACTTATGCAGGCGTACAAGCCATCCAAGTAGGTTACCTAAAATAGCCAATCTGTGTTAATATTCTTATATCTAAATAAAAGCTTCGACTTACATTAAATCCATTTTCCTCGTCGTGATCATCCAATCTGGTTGGGTCATCGCCAAAATATCCCCAAATTGATTGAACAACGCATTGGGAAACTTCGATTTCGCTTCCGTCATCGGATAAGGGGGCAAAGCATATATCCTTTAACATTGTTCCATTCGCGTTTATATTCCTTATGCTCTCTTGGAGATTCAACACTTCAGATAGGAAATCCCTGTCGAACACAGGACCAAAGGTGTACGGGCCATTTGAAGTGTTGTGCACAATTTGCGGCAAGTTTACTGCTTTGATTATTATCTGAAAGAAAAATTTAATAATTAATTTAGCATTACATTTACATTTTTTTATAAAGCTTACCTGTTCAAGTCTATAGAAGGGTGAAAATTTGGTATCGAAAAACTCTCTTTCCAGTCTGGATTTCGAATTGGGCGAGGCCCAAAGTTTAACCGGATCCGTAGTAATTTCTATACAACTTATGCCATAACCCAGAACCGCAACGAGTGCTGTACCAGCAACTAAAGTCATCCCAGGATTGCTGGCAAAGAACGTTCCCCATTTCGTGAAAAAGCTTTCCAAGAAATATTCTGTTTGAGCGCCCAGCTTATCAAAATATGTATCGCTCTCTCCGTAGGCCATTTCATCGGAAACATCATTGCCGTCGATTTGAAAATTCTCATCTGAAAATGCATATATCGATTAGTTTTATAGTTGAAGGAGTAATAAAGGGTGTGCATGTAAAACGTCACTGAGAAAAAATAGGTTATTTTTTCAAAGTTAGTAAACATTTACAAAGCAATAAAGAATACTTTTTCGCCGTACAGAACAAAAATATTCTACTTTATTGAGATTTTGTAGGCATGCAATACATTAACTCACCCAATGACGAACCTTGTGTGAATAGAAACGATCCCATTAGGAATACCAGGACTCCAACAATAAACACAGCTGCCATAATGACGAAATAGGCGTCTAGTCCTCCAATTTTAAATGGTTCTGGGGGTGGTGGCTCTGGAGGTCCCTGAGGACAGGACAGGTCACAGTCTGTACACGAACAAGCGGGTAATTTGCTCTGCGAGGAAAATGTATTTAATAAATTGAAGGTATTGCTAACAAGTTAAAAACTTACGTTCACCGCTTGGTTGCAAGGAACGGTTGTCACGTTTAAGGGCTTAAACTCATCACTTTTTGAATTGGGCTCATGCTGTATATACGTTATTTGAAAAGGAACGTAAGGACTAGTGGCGTCTCCCATAAAGTTGAACCACTTTGTAGGATTACAGCGAGATGCTGGATAAGCTCCGCACATTAAATCAAATGCTAATTGACCGGTTTGGGGTACAGAAACCTATAATAAGGGATTCGTTAAATGATAGTCATATATTTACTTTGTTTAAATCGTACCTGAGAGCATGATTTATAAGTCTTGTTGACATACTCTGTCGAAACATGCAAATCCACGGAAGTTATGTACTCAACATCTAAAAGATTATTACAAAATTATTTTTAATCGGGTCTAAGTGACTCTAAGAGTCTAACACCTTTGGGGGACGTTCGATCAAATATTATATTTGTTGTGTTATTTACCTTTATTTTTATCCGTAGCCACCACACGCATGAATTCAGATTGATGTGGTGAACAAGTAAACTGGCAAATGTGTCGAACCAAGTTCTCAATACACGAAGGACACCGGTCCAGGATATGACCGGCTAGCTCAACATTTTTATTCAAAAGTTCCACCTAGCAATTGTATATGGCAATATTACAGATGTGGCTCGACTGCAAAACAACTTTTACTCATACCTGGGTCTTATCGCAGCAAAATTTATTGTTGCTGTTCTCCAGCAAATAACCACATCGATGCTTCATCAAATCCAAGCCATCTGAAGGCATTTCCTTTGCAGTTCCATTGTATGGACAATTTTGACTGTGCTGAAATGCGTTGGTGTTGCACACGCCATACCAAATACAGTCCTTGAATTCGAAAAGATTGAGTTTAAATTACTTGTATAAAGCTTATTTTAATATTACTAAAGTAAACTAAAAAGTACCACATTAAATTTATTTGGTGTTATGATTTTTGAACTATACCGTGTGGCTAAGCTTTTTCTGCTGTATTGTAAATATATTTTAAATGGTAAAAACGTCATAAAAGCCACCTTGGGCTTTCGTTTTAATTATTCTAATAGGCTTGCATCTGTTTTGACTTTTTCGCACTAACAGATATACAAGTTGCAGCAGCTCCATAAACATTAAAAGTAACATCTGGTTTTCACAAATCTTAGAAAATTATACTATTGATTTCTGCAATACTTTGAAACTGAATTTATTTTATTCTGATTTTATTTTAGATTCAAATAATCAAGTTGAATGTCAGTTACCTGTTTCGATGATTGAATTAACGTAAAGAGCACAGCGGCAAAGAGAATGTGTACTCCAAAAGGAGTACTCCTGGGTGGGGTTCTTGAAATCATCCTATCACAATGGCATATCTGTAAGCACAACATTTTGTACAGTCAGTGCAACCGTCAAAAAATATGTTTATACTTTCATAATTCAATTTATTAAACAAATTGAATGATTGAATTTGATTTAACATATTAAACCCCATTCAAGCAACTTCAAATTGTAGGTGTGCGTCTTGATAATGTAAATGTTTCTTATAGGTACAAGAAACCGATTGGAAACACATTAAGTAAACATTTATTCTGGAATACAATAATAAAGGAGATAGTGTAGCGCAGTCTGTCGAAACACTTTGGATCTTGGAATTGCGAGAAATAGCAAATCAATTCTTGAGTAGCTTGGCAGATGACCCCGCAAATATGCAGATAAGCAAATGTCCTAATAATAGAATTGCTGCCACAGAACCCTAATGAGAAACTGAGTTATTGCCACACTTCAGTTGAAGCGGTTCTAATGTAATCGAACACTGTGTTGATTATACGGGTGGGTGGGTTTTCGGATAATTGCTTGTACAATCATGTTCCGACAATTAACAAAATATTCCAAAATAAAAGATAATGTTTATTTACAATTTCATAGAATTTTATTGTCGAAACTTGATAAAACTTTTACAAATAAAAAATGTTAGTAAATATTTTTTTTTTAATTTTGTATGAGTGAGTTAGGCTTTTGAGTGAAAAGATGAACTTATAAATTTGACTAACATAAACTGAGAAATGTTTTGGCTTTGGTTTTCTTTAAGATTAACAAATTGACAAATGTATACATATGTATGGTTTTTAAAAATGAAATTTCATTTTCAAAATTCAACATCCAGCTGAAATATCTTCTTCAACGGTAAATAAGTTATGGTAATTTGAATACTATTGAAAGAAATACCCTTGATGTCTTATCACAACCAATTGAAACCAGGCAACCAAAAAACTGAATATTCAAGCAAGTTACGGCCTTTGACATTGATACGTTAAATTTCGCGCTAAAACTCATTGTCGGTAAATGGCTGTCGGTAACTGACTGTGAAAGTGATGATGCAACTGGTTGCCTGTTAATGGAGGGGGTATTTTCCATTATGTTTTTATATTATGTATGTATATACAGCTGACGGTGCAATCCCCAACTTCTTTGGAAGTTATAAACTGCCCCGTATCTTTTTTCTGTTTTCTCTGTTGTATGGAAATGTATTAACCGAATTGTTAAGTCGAGAATAAGAAAATCAGCAAATCGAAATTCTCGGGATTCAATGTTTTATTTATTTGTGCTGAAATATCGTATCGCGAAGCGGATGTCACTGCATTAAATAAACAGTCCTGTACATGAGATATGACAATGACCAGTAGCCCGATGCGAAGGGCACTCGATATAGTACACAATGCTATCACTTCCACAGAAATCGTTAATTGTAAACATAGTATTGCGCCGAACCAATAAAAATGTTTTCTTTGTTCTCCTTATTCGTGCAGAAGCATATGTATCAACGTGTGTGAGAGCATTTCTATGAAGTCACCTTAGATACGTTTTTTACTTAATTAAATTATCCCGTTTTATGCGCAAAGCCCGGACTAAGATTTCTCTTTTTTTCACAATAGTTTGATTTCCGACACTTTAACGAAGACACATTTGTTCGATTGTACTACTACGTCTATGAATGAATCACGAATATACCCTTGTCAACCATCCAAACTCGGAGCTACTAACCCCCGTTCCCAAAACAGGAGAGAGTGAAATCTAACTGAAATATACAATTAAATGTAAACACTCTCACTGACTACTTATCAGATTTATTGGTTAAACAATCGATTGTAGTCGATACACACTGATTGCGGTCGTCCATTGGAAATTTGGGAGTGGAACACGTAAAATTTCTTAAGGAACAGCAAGAAAAAATATTAAAGTTATAACCGGCGGTATTAAATAATATTTCTTTGCTTTAATTTTATAAAATCAAAATCAATTTTAATTAACTATATAAACTTTAAATGCAATCGTATCGAGAGAGAAGTATAAGGTCCCGTTACATTAGCACTCTAATACATTTTCCATAAGCTTTTGCTTTATACGGATTTTTTTATTATGTTTTCTATTTATAAAATTATCACACAAAGTTTTTGTAACTTTAAAAAGTGGCGAGCCCCGCTAATGCTTTTCCCACCGTTCCAATTTCGAAGCTTATTCTACAATGCCTACAATGTCACTTTATTCGATACTTTGTTTGTTTGTTTCCCATGGCGGGCCATAACTAACTATCGTGTATTTCTACTTGTCATCATTCAGCTCTGCGGCTTGCATTTCAAAAGTCATGGTAAAGTGTTTATTACTGATTCTGTGCTTTTGTAACAAACTTACCGTGTTGATTTCAGTTTCGCAACCAATATGATAGCGATGTTACGGTGTGGAGTCCGCAAGGACGCCTACATCAGGTGGAGTACGCAATGGAGGCCGTGAAACTCGGCACCGCAACTGTGGGTCTGAAAAATAGAGAAACCGCCGTGTTGGTTGCCTTGTGCAAGCCGACATCAGAGCTCTCGGCCTCCCAGCGCAAGATAATCCCAATTGATGATCACTTGGGTATATCTATTGCGGGAATTACAGCGGACGCCCGTGTGCTTAGCCGGTATTTGCGCTCGGAGTGTTTAAACTATAAGCACTCGTACGATTCCACTTATCCGGTTTCCCGGCTGATCACAAACCTAGGAAACAAGATGCAGACTACCACTCAGCGCTACGATCGTCGTCCGTATGGAGTGGGTCTTTTGGTAGCCGGCTATGATGAAAACGGTCCGCACATCTACCAAGTCACGCCATCGGCGATCTTTTATAATTGTAAAGCCAATTCGATTGGATCACGGTCGCAAAGTGCACGCACCTATTTGGAACGCAATCTTGGCTCATTCTTGGACTGTTCCAATGATGATATCATCTGTCACGGCATTCTTGCTATTCTCGGGTCCCTGCCCACCGATGAGCACCAGAGCAAAGAGAATTCAGCTCAGTTTGTAAGTTTATTGAGCATGGAATTGTGTAGACAGTATTAATTCAATCTCCTCATTTTCAGAACATTACGGTGGCCATCGTCGGTAAGAATCAGCCATTCAAAATTCTTTCGGAGAAGGAAAACGAGAAATATCTTAAGATGGCAAAGGAGAAGGGCACCCCAGCTGATCCTCCCAGAGGCGACGACGACGATGATGACCGCCCATCCACCTCAGACCAACCAGATCAGGGACCCCGCGAACCTCAGGTCCTTGTTGCCACCGAGCAGCGTCCTTAGGCTCTTATAGGAATGTGAAAGCATCTTAACCATTAAGAATGTAAGATTGGAGGATACAATAAAATTGTTCATGCATTTGCATACATCTTAAAACAGACAAGTTCGAAAACTTGATCAATATGGATTTAAAAAATAAATCTAGCAGAGAACGTTTTTTAAACTTTTACAAACCCATTTATACTGGTGATATATTTTAAAATGCTCTTAGTATATTTTTCTTAACCATGGTATATTATTGTAACTCAGACTCCGGTCACACTGTTGACATAAACGTTTTCTTAATGCCGGTATCAATATATTTTTTAAAATAAAAGGATTGTTTATTTAGTTTTGTGAATGACTAGTTATTGTAAACATCGATAGCTTTGTTGTTAAGAATCTAAAGTAATTATTTGACTCGAAATATTTATTTTGGATCACTATTATTTCAGTTAATTACATAACTAAAGTGTTGACAAAGGGATTATCTTTAGTGTTTATTTAAAGAAAGTTAATTTTTTTCTGACTTGGAGTTAATGTTTTTGTTGAAAGGAAGTCGACAAGTGCCCATACACATTAATTTCAGTAAAGCAGCTACCTAGTGTTAAATGATTACCATTAGAACATTTGTTTTGGACTATAAATCTTTGTAGTTGATCAACAGGTTGAGTGTAAATAGATCTTGTTCCTTTAAATTCTATTTTTTGGCAGGCCAATACTTAAACTTAGTTTTAAATCTATAAATAATTACAAGGGCAATATTTTTTCAGAAAAAATGACGTTGCCCGAGCTTGTGTCTAGCTTGTCAACGAATCCTTATTTTGGGGCTGGTTTCGGATTGTTTGGAGTTGGAGCAGCTGCTGCGATATTGCGAAAGGGTCTTCAGGGCGGAACAATCCTTTTCCGCCGGCACTGCATGATTACCCTGGAGGTTCCATGCAGGGATAAATCATATCAGTGGCTTTTGAAATGGATCACAATCAAGGGAGCCCGCAAAACCCAGCACTTAAGTGTGGAGACGAACTTTGTTCAGAGCGACAATGGAACGATAAAAACCAGCTATGACTTTATACCAAGCATTGGAAAGCACCTGTTCCACTACAAAGGCAATTGGATTCAGGTGGAACGTACCAGAGAGCAACAGACACTAGATCTGCACATGGGAGTTCCCTGGGAAACGGTGACGCTCACAGCATTTGGAAACAATAAATCTATTTATTTTGACATTTTGGAAGAGGCTAGACAACTGGCTTTGCAAGCCACCGAAGGAAAAACTGTGCTATATACAGCAATGGGCGCGGAATGGAGACCCTTTGGTCATCCTCGAAGGAGGCGACCCACTGGATCGGTGGTCCTCGATCGTGGAACCTCTGAGAAAATCATTGCCGACTGCAAAGACTTTATAAAAAGCTCTTTGTGGTATACTCAGCGTGGAATTCCCTATCGAAGAGGATATCTTCTCTACGGACCGCCCGGTTGTGGAAAGTCCAGCTTTATTACGGCCCTGGCAGGAGAATTGGAGTACAGCGTTTGTCTTTTAAATTTATCTGAAAGAGGCCTAACCGATGATCGACTAAATCACCTTTTAAATGTGGCGCCCGAGCAAAGTATCATCCTCCTGGAGGATATTGACGCAGCTTTTGTCTCGCGAGAAGCAACTCCTCAGCAAAAGTCCGCTTATGATGGCCTGAACAGAATAACGTTTAGTGGACTCTTAAACTGCCTGGATGGTGTGGGCTCGACAGAAGCCAGAATTGTTTTTATGACAACCAACTATATAGACCGTCTTGATCCCGCCTTAATTCGACCTGGTAGAATAGATTTAAAAGAGTACATTGGCTACTGCACGCAGTATCAATTAGAAGAAATGTTCAAGAACTTTTTTGCCAATGGTGACGTCACAAAAGCGGAGGAATTTGGAAAGCGAGTGAACTCGTTTGGCCGTTCTGCAAGCCCGGCTCAAATTCAAGGATTTTTCATGAAACATAAATTGTCCTCCCCTCAAACTGTTATTGATTGTTGTGAAGATATCTGGGAAAACGTTTTAAGTCCTAATAAAAAAAACAATTGAAATACCGTGGTATTTGTTGGGTTCTCAATTTAAAAACTATTTTGCGTTTAAGTAACTCACAGATTTTGTAAAATTTTATTTATTCTGTGCATGATTTTGTGTCTAACCGTTTTCTTCGAATGTCTTTTATGCTTATTTGCATGGATATTTCCCAACTAACTCACCTAAAAGAACGTATTTTTTTATATTATGATTTAATTACATTTTTATAGGTAATTTAAAAATATGAACTATGTTCTAAAATATATGTATATTTTATGTGACATTAAATTTGATTAGTCCTTTGATCTTCTGGGCCTTCCGACTTTTCCTTTCCTTTGTCCAAGCGTTCCATTCGAGTTGGCGGGGCCCTTAAGTAATTTGTGCCAATCTTGCTCACACACCAAGCTAGCTCCTAACATAGTATACCTAAAAATTACCATTAGATACGTAATTTACGAAATACTTCGTTTAATTACTTACCTATCACCAGGACGCAGACTTGATCCACACTTAGCACAACTAAAGCACCTTAGATGAAATACGCAATTAATTATTTGTTTTTGTTGATTTTGTAAATCGATATTATTTATTCCAGTAAGTGCTTTCGCAACTAGTTCACTCGGGGGTATAGTTTCCCCGCATCCAGAACAAACTCCAGAGCACCCGAACATGCTGAAAAGAACGAAAATGATTTACATTAAATTGTATTCAGCAAATTTAAATTATTTTCCCTGGTAAGGAGTTCAGTATTTTGTAATCTGAAAACTTAAATTAGCTAGATTTGTTGTCGACCATACCTGGAATAGTCCTTTTTGCAAAGAATTAGTCCTCGCCTCGTAAAACAGCTGGAACCCACCTCTGCTAACATTGCTCCACAACAGTGACATTTAAGGCAACCATTGTGCCAATATCTGTCTAAAGCGTATAAAAGATATCTATCACTTATTTTATCTGTAATGACACAAAAAAAGGAACATATTATTGTAATATTCAAAACAACACACCACATACACATATGAAAATGCAATACCAATTAGGGGAAATATATCTCACCTCCACAACCACCACACACTTTAATAAGAGAGTTAGAATGAATTAACTGTTGATTATTGAAATCGTTTGAAGATTCGTCCATGAACGATAGCTGAGACGATGAGATATTTGAGTTGGTCTCGACAAGGTCCTTTGTGTGGTTTGAGTTTCTATAATCAATTACTATGGGGGCGAAATTTTCCGGACTAGATGAGTCTTGGTGATGTGCCGCTAGTATATCTCTATATGAATGGAACGTTGCATTCATTGCAAAAAATGTTGATGACTTAAGTCGTAAAAGGCATAGGGGTCCTGTTTATGGTTTAAACCTGAAAAATACAAAAATAAGCAATTTAGAGGGAAGTCTCGTTGGGGAAATTGCATCAAACATAATGAAGGCCAGATAAGATCTTATGACCTCACCACTCGAAGTCTGTAAAAATTAAACTTTAACGACTAAAAAAATCTAAAATATCTCAACCACGAAGTCCAATCAGTACGAAATAAGCATAATTGAATTGAAAATAAAATAAAAAAATATTGAAACATTTAAAATATTAAGCGCCAAATAATCTTTAGGTCTTTTTGAATACAACTATTAATATAGCTAATTGCCAAAAGACAATTAAGTAACAGCAATTAAACAATATTTATGTATGTATGCACAGGTTTTAAGTCTTTTCAAATTGGCATTTATTTAATTCGGAAGGTTCACAGACATGGATAAAATATTTATTTAATCAATCGATTACCAAACGTGCATTCAGTGCAGTTTCTTTTTGATTCACGAAGCAAATAGCGATGCACGATCTGCATAAAATACAATTTCTGGAATTAATAACCAGCTCGATTATTTTTGAAACATTACATTGTCCACAGCTGTCCGCACATACAAATATAAACGTACATATGTACATACATAAGTAAAACACCCAAATGTACATACACACGTTCATAACGAACGCTTCAATAAGTACGTATAAGTGTGTATGAAACTGCGGTCTTATGCCGATAGATTAATCAATATTTAATTTGGGTAATTTGCTTCGCTCATTACAAAGTGCTTAACTGGATGCATTAAACTTTATATTTGTGTTAATATATGCCATTTTGCTGTCACTAGCACATTTGTACGAAATTTGTTGTACATATATATGCAGGTATTTATTTCACTTAAACACTGAGCCAAGCACCACGTTTGTAAACAACAATTATATTTTCGACTTACACACTCATCAATTAATTATTTAATAGCGAAAATTTCTTTGACAACACCATGAGGAACAGTAAAATCGTTTCGGTTTCAAACACCATTTCTTGTATACGACTCTTTACATACCAAACTAATTCATAGATATGAAAGCAAGCAATACGCGATTATACAGGGTGTACCGTGCACCCTTGCATTTTAATCGCCGATTTCACTTATTTGGCTATGTTTCGGTGAAAAATATCGCAATCAGTGTTGACGGCTTCGACACTTTTACGTCAGATTCGATAACCTTTAACATAAAGTGAATTTGCGCTAATTGATTGACGTTTTGGAAAAATTGATAGTTAAAGATAAAATATAGAATATAAATAAAATTTTGTTTGTAACTTACAATAAAATTTGTTTTTGACATCATTTTGCACTTGAATTATATATTGATTTTTTTCTTTGAAATATACATTTTTGTAGAAATTGGTTTGCTTGTGTTAAGCTTAACAGAAAAGATAAAAAATATATATAAATATTTACCCTGAACAGATTTTAAAAAGAACTATGTGGGATGGAAACATGATCTGGGAATGCCGTACCAATGATAATACACTGTTCGCACTATAAACATCTAAAGAAGAAAGGCTAATTTATGAAGTAGATATAGAACTACTATAACATGCCACTAACCAAGTAATATGGATTACTCTACGTTTTGCCTAACATTTAGGGGGAATGTTAAATGTAAACACCGCAAAAAGCTCCTTCAAGCTCAAACATCTGTTTTTGGCTCATGATTGTGGCGGATACATACTTACCTTTGAAAAACTATCGCTTTTTTCTATAATTTGCTTTAAAATAATCAGCTAAAAACTGCTTGGTTTTTGGGATTTCGCAAGATTTTCCTATACAAGGTCTTAAACTCATTTGCCTTATATGCTTACCGAAAGGTTTTAGCCCTTTAGCTTTTGCTATTTTCTTTTCCAAAAATTGACTACAGTTAAATGTGCATATTAAATATAAAAGTATTTAAACAAATTATTTATTCATATATCGTATTTCTTAGTTTTAATTTTTCTTGTAAAATAACAATTTCTTAACTTAACTATGGATTAAAATGTCTATGAAGTTAAATCAATGGAAATTATTCGCCCTGTGCTATTAAACGGCGGAGCCGCGGAAAGGGCTTCAAACGTACTACTTTCAGCAGTTTGATTTGCTGTGCTCTTCTCCGCGTTTGCTGAATGAGCGTACCAGTCTGTGAGTGTGACCAAGTTTTTAGAAAAATTGCAGTTCTCTTGATTGTATTCTTTTCTGCGTCCTTGAGAATCCGAAAAAGTATTCGATGTATTGAGAGAACTAACCAAAGAATGATTTGACATCGAGTCAACAGTGCAACGGCTAATTACAGAATTTGCCTTGTAATTTGAAAAAATGTATAATGACTGTTGCAATGGCTTAACGGTATTATCCACTACTGATTCTGGCTCTGAAGGACATTTGCTTGGCTCAATGGCTCGCCTGCTGGACTTTCTGTTCTTATGCGTAAGTTTTATAATAGTAAGTGCATCCGAGCCGAGTACTTTAGGCGAACCAATTTTTTGTTCTTGTTGCTCATCTTCATCAGAGGAGCATAAGTCAATTGTATCAACAACTACTTCACTAGAAGGTGAAATCCTCCAATGCGAATTAAGCGAATTGTGGCGCGTTAGTCTTATATTTAGTTTTGTATTTGCAGTGTGATTTTGCTCCTCCATTAAGTGTTCAGATATTTTTTTCAATCTGACTGAAATTGGACGGCATTGCTTAATCAGCGGAGAGTTCAAAAACAAGAAGTTTTCTGTAGTGTCCCTGCGCTTCACAAATTGACGTCTTGGAAATGAATATATATGATAATTATGTTCATGAGATTTTTTAAACGTGCAATGAACTGTAGTGTTTGATTTTTTCTCGAAATATTTTTGTCGGGTGTTTGATTTTACAACTAGTGGCGTGTAGCAAAACCGATCCAGACGTTCCTGTCTTTCGGAAATATACTCCTTGGATATAGTTTGTTTTGTCGACTTTAACAATTGCTGTCCTGCAGGTGATGATATTGGGATAAACGAACACCTACTAAATGAATGAACTGTTCGATTTCTCCGAGATGGTAGTCGCCTTTTTCTGTTTGATGTTTCCGTTGATGTTTCTTCATTAAATGAATATGTTTTCTGTTTTTCATTAGATGAACTGATATCAGTGAATTTTGATTGCAGGCTAAAGTTTAAAAGAAAGGCGTTTCGCAGTTCAATATCTTCGTTCTTCCCTTCACATTTGTTATCGGGCTCAGGGGAATCACAAAGTATAACATCATCTTCCATGCAACAAATGTTTTCGTGCTCCTGCAATGCATAAACATTTCAGGTTAAAAATCGATTTGTGGTTAAAAAAGATTTTACTTACCAGTATTGCTTCTTTAGAATAAAGTTCAGCATCACAGTTGTCGCATAGATATATATCAAAAGGAGGTGGCTCAACCATCATATGTTGTAAGTTTTCGTTAATTGAACTGCTATTCTTTTGCTGCAACAAGCACTTTCTATTTTTTTGTTGTCTATCATATGACTGAAAGATTATTTAAATATTTGATATAAATTAAAAAGAAAAGAAGATGGATGATTATGTAATGTACTTACCATGTTTTCATTTCGAAATGTAACCAGCAATTTGTTGTTTCTTCTGTCATACAATGAAGTTGTTGAATTGTAGTTGTTTATGAATCTCAAGCTCGCGTGCTCATAGGCAGCTAAATCATTACAAAATCTTAATAAAAATAAGCTTTTGTGAAATTGATAGCAAATAACCACAATTTCTTTCATTTTTTCCATCCAACTCTATAAAAAAATAAGAAAATAATATCATTAATTTTTATTTATCAATTAATCAAAATAAAATTCTTTGTATTACATTCCAAATACATTTTTTTATTTAATTGTAAATAAAAAATCTTACCCCAACAAATTCTTTCGGCTTTTTCAGTGGAATTTCAAAGGGTGCGCTTTCTGGCCACCATTCTGGTTCACTGCAATCTACTTTCTTTGGTAAGTTTATGTGTCCTAAGGAGCACTGCACCATAAATGGAATAAAATTTTCTAACTGCGGCTCCGTTATTTTTTCTAGTGATGTTGGATATCCATTAGCAAACAAAAGCGGTAGGTTGGATATCATGTTGTGTTGAGCTTTATCCTTTTCATCCATTGTCACTGCAATTATAATAAACGTCAGTACCGAGCAAAAAAGGGGTTTGCTTTGAACATTGTATCATCTGCTTAGGTTTTGTATCTTCTTCTTCATTTATCTTGCCCAGATAAAAGATTCCGAATATGGAGGTTTTTCGCGAAAGCAATGATAAGAGAAAGACGGTCACATTAAATGCAAATAAATCGATAATCACAAGAACTCTGCTTTTTGTTTGGGTTGTTTTTAGATATATATTTTTTAATTTTTATGTTTTTGTTCACCTAGAATGGTTAGGTTCATCTATTTAAAAAATAAAGTTTATTTATATCGAGGTTTTTTAATGAAATCGATAAAATCGATTTTTTACCCTAAAAGATCGAAAATAATTGCTTCACCAAAAATCGATTATTTCGCAGCTGTTGTGAAATACTCATCTAAAACATATGTTTTTTTTTTATTTAGCGAACAACTTTTAACTTGATTAGATAACAAATTGAGGTATCACCTATTGTTTTCATAAATATGATATCTAAATTCAACAATTTTATGATTAATAACCCGTTTTGTACAGCATTTCGCAGCAGGCGTTGCCACCTCGCGTTAGAACAAAATCAAGAGGTTACGCCTCACGATTTCATAAAATGAAATTGGATTGTTTCCACTTGCAGGCTTATGCGAGTTAGGGTTATGTTAATGACTATTAAGTAGGTTTTAAGAATACTTTTTATATGTATGTATGTGGCATGCCACAAAAACCCTTATCTTAAGAAAGAGAGAAGTCCATAAACTTTGTTTCTAACTGCAGATTGGTTTGCTGAAAAACCACAAATGGCTCTCATATGTGTACATGTATTTACACACACACACAAACACACGTATATAGGTATACCAAAGGAAAATAGAATAACTTCGCGAGTAAAATTTTTGCTGCCTACCAATTTCACATGCAAACACATATACAATCACTTCTGGATAATTATACATAAACACAAATAGTCATATGTTGAATGGAGCCCTCACAGTTTCATATGCTGTGGTATAAATATCCCACCTGATTAGACGACTGTATGTAATACACGCAAAAAAACTTGCAGATACAAGTATCAAATTGAAATAAATTAATCAACGCAAAACTTGTAGTTGCATTTTACTGACTGCCTTACAATGATACTTCGTCACAGAATATTGAATCCAGGACGTTAAACTCAGTCCACTGGAATGCTTAGTAGTCTCTGTATATACATATCGCTAAATAAAACCAATAGAAAGCCACCTCATTGGTTAAACGAATGTTTAATTTTATCAGTACGCACCAAAAATTCGCAAGGATTAACAAAACGCAAGACACGGAGATCTACAGTCACAAATATGATAACATAGTAACAATACACAACACTTTCTTCGTAAAATATTAATTTGTTGTAGTTCCTATCGAATACTCGAAGTGAGAACTAACCAGCAACTAATGAAAACGATTGATTGAAAGACGTACATTCATCGAATTGGAACGAGGAATTGGAACATCATTTTTTTGTTTGAGTATGATGTGATGATATTTTTTTCTTTTTTTAATTATAATTATAAAATAATTTGTACAATTAATCAAAGCCGATACCTAAGTTTACTTAAAATTACAGAATGAGTTTGTACATTTTAGATAGCAACAGTTAATAATAGTTCCTTTCTCGGGACGATTCGCGGAAATTTTTTCGCGATGTTAAAAGAAAACAGGAGAAAAAAATTTAAAAAAATGTATCGCCTTTAAAAAAAGAAGAGTCTCTGAAAATTGTCTTAAATAAGTTAGGGCCTCAAAAAAGCAAATAAAACATACAAATTGCTCCTTAATTCCGTCACGAATACTGAATAAAATATTCAATGTCAAAATTCATTGACGTGCTTAAGGCAATTTTTATTTGCGATTATTTTTTGTCTTCTTCTTTTTGGTTTGGTTTGGTTCTTAGCATTGTCGGCCAATCAGCTGCTTTCGGAACAACTGACCTGATGCCGACGTAATGTTTTGCTCAAATCTAAAAGACGTTATGATGCAGATTCTGTTCAACCACAAAAGGACTTGCGGTTCCAATAGATCCACAAACAACAATTATTAAAATTTTTAAATGGATAAGACAGGAGTAATTGACTAACTAGGCCTTTAAGTTAACAAAGCCATAAAACTTGGCTGGCAATTTTTAAATCGTGTGTAGTCGGAGTTTTATGCAGATCTTCTCATTCGAAAATTATTCGGAATGACTGGTCCCTCATTTTAATTGACTTGTTAATTACGAGTTATTTGCAAGAATTCTAATTATACGCAGGAACTTTAACATTGAAATCAAGTCAGGACTATGTGTTGGTGTTGTTTTAGGAAGACGACATCAAACATGTTAATAACACCGAGCAAATAGCGAGCTCAACCTGTGAAAAATCGAAGTCCTTACCTATAATTGGTATTGGTATTTTATTTAGTTTTTAGTGTAGCACCTAAGCTAACTGTAATTGTGTATTAACACAACTGTTTTTTTTTCACTTTATAGTTGAAAAAAGTATACTAATAAAATGGTTCGAAATCAAGGACTTATGAAGACTGCTTTCTTTTTAAGGCAGTGTTCACCAGTGGGTCGCGACCCACACTTAGGGAAATACTGCATTAAGGCATTTTTCACTTTTAACACATACTGTGATTTCCAAATGCGTACTAAGGGTTTATCGATCGATCAAAAACAGTACTTCTTTGTGTAAAATCCACTCTGCATTCTGAATGTGAAAACTTCAACTTCACTGATACTAAACTATTAAATTTAGTTTATACTTCACTCCATCGTTCCTATTACTAATACAAAAGATCGGCTCAAATATCGATAAGTGAATAGCTTGCAAAATGAGTTATCGTATTATTCTGCTAATTGTGCAACGTGTTTAGGTAAATCAAAGAGCAAAGACTTAAGATGAAAGTAGAAGCACTGGATAAATTCTGGACTGACAAGAGTCGCTATGATGTCGCAGAAAAGCGGTTCTACGAGGGCCCTCAAAAGGTATTTAACCATTTGGTTGTTTGCTGACATATGTACTTACATACCTATCAAGCTTTCACGTGGCCGGCAAAGAAAATTCGAAAGGTCTTGGCAATGTTTTGTTCTATTAATGAAGCGGACGCCGATTCGTATATATGGTACATGATTACAACTTGTATACATATGTCTTATGGCTATAAACAGATTTTATACTATCTATCCTTGAATTTAAATTTCTGTGTTCATATAGTACAATAGTATTTTCGTGTAACTGTGTGTAACAGGTGAACAATGAACAAGAGTAATACGAAAGCAACACTTTTATAACAGTGAATAACAATAATTTTGGATAATGAGATTAGCTTCATTTTTTACACTTCTAGAGATATTTATAGGTAAGTTAGGTGAAACATTTTTAAAATGTTTTTATTGCGCTCTGTCCATATTTGCTTAAGGGCTGATAAGAACATTCGGCTTATCATCCGATCATCTAATATGATTGGCTATATCCCGGCATGACAACAGTATATGTTGTAAATAAAAGTTTTAGTGAAAATAAGTTGGCTTATTACATGAAGCTTTTTTTTAAATATTTGATAATTTAATCAAAAATTAAAAAAAAAAAAACAAGTAATATATTTGATACACCAAATTGTAGTCTTCATACGTAATCAATGGTGTTGTCTTATTTTTAAAGGTAACTGATCGCAGCCACATCAGCCCATTAGTAAGCGAAATCGCAAAGGCTAGGGAACACATACAAAACTCGCTGGAAAAGGTAACTATTGTTGTGATCTTTGCCCTTATGTACTCCGGCATTTTGTATTCCATCAGTTTGATTTGCTTTTACTCCTAGGTTTCTTTTATTTCTGCAAAACCCACCTAAAGTTACACCACCGAGTTCCATAATGATTTACCTATTCATTATTACCGTTTAAACATTAATAAATTATATGTATTTTTAGATTGATGGTGTTACCCTGGATGATGGCCCGAGCTCCCAGCTTACCAGCCGACTGACTCAATTAGAAAACGAAACCAAGGAGTTAAAATCCCAGATTTCCACCCTAACCCAACTTCTAAACACCGTGGTAAAACGGTTGGATACTGTTGAAGTTGTTAAAGCTGTTGAAGAACCCGAAACGAAAAAACAAGAATCAAACAACAAAGATGAGGACGATGATGTCGACCTTTTCGGTTCGGAAAGTGAAGAGGAGGAAGAGGAGGCAGCCCGCATTAGGGAGGAAAGACTGGCAGCTTATGCTGCCAAAAAGGCCAAGAAAGTTCAAATTATTGCCAAGTCCAATATCATTCTGGACGTAAAGCCATGGGACGATGAAACCGACCTTAAAGTTATGGAGACGGAAATCCGAAAAATCACTCAGGATGGACTATTGTGGGGAGCTTCCAAGTTCGTCCCAGTTGCCTTTGGCATCCAGAAACTTAGCATTTCCTGCGTGGTTGAGGACGATAAAGTTTCGATTGATTGGTTGACCGAGGAAATCGAAAAATTGGAAGACTTTGTTCAAAGTGTTGACATTGCGGCATTCAACAAAATTTAAAAAACATACATATATTTTTTTAAAATCAGATTCGAAATTACATCAATGTTTTTGGGAGTCATTTAAATAAATGTTTTGATAAACTGAGTTTTCCGTGTTTAATGGGATGAGATTAGTTTGAATATTGTTGAATTTATTTCTTAGTTCCAACATTGCGTTAATAATTATTTGTTGTTTTTAAAGTCATGTATTCGCCACTTGTTTGATTATTATGTAAAATCATTTAAACATATTTTAAAAGAAAAATACAAAATATATTAACTTAATATTTCGGTTCACAGCTAAATTATACATATACTTTAACTGAGGGACTAGCTTCCATAATTATAAATAGTTAATATTGTTGGTATACAAATCTAAAGCATAACTTCATTTTCGGGGTTTTTTGAGGTTTTTCGAATCAGTTCACAGCTGCCAGGAGAAGATCTAATCGTTGTCATGGCCGTACTAGTTGGAGCATACGATTTCGTCAAACCGGCTTGATTTCTGATCGACGCAGTGCTGCGGCTTGACTGCAAACCTGTATAACATAAAACTTAATTAATAAAAAGTATACACAAACTAAAAAGATCAATAAAAAAAGAGAGAGAGAGCATTACTTACCGAACTTCATCAAAATTTCATTATAAATTCTCCGTTTGAAAACGAATATAATGAAGACAAATATTCCAAGGAGCACATTAAATGAATCACTGATGGTCCAGAAAAATGTTTTCTTATGATCGTAAAATAAAATGCTCACTATTTCCAAAAGCCACGTAATGCCCATTACAAAGCATAGTTTTGTGTTCATAACAAATCTTGTCTTGTCCTGGAAAAATCGCCTTTTTAGTACTGGTTTATCACTATTTAAGCTTTGCATCTTGTATATTTCATTTTTCACTTTGTTACAATACTTCATGGTGAGTAAAAACAAGACCAAGTTGATAATAAAAAGAATTCCAACTGGCCCCGAAAAAAACAATAGACTAGCTGAACCAAAAGAATCATCTGAAATTAAAAAAATATGATATTTAATATAAAGGTATTTTTTAAGAATTATGTACATAATTGCCAATGATTTTAGTAACCTACATGTAAACCAGCATCGACCGTGCCCAAAATTTGGGCGAACTACATCCGGTAAAATATCAGATTTTGTAAATGCTACTGTAATGGTTGTGAGCACAGTAGGAAGTCCCCAGCCGTAGCAAGAATACCAAATAAATTGCCTTCTCAGATCACTTTTCTCACAGCTTTTGAGTTTTGTCGACCTAAAGTAAAAAATGAATTAAAATACGTAAATACAAAATTAATTCGCATTCTTACCCAAATGTTTTCCAGATATCAAAGGAAGTGATATTCATCCAAGAAAATGCAGCCATTAAACAGAAGTATACGAAAAAGCCTACAAATTTACAAAAATTACGTTTTGACATTTATATAACAAATATTAATTATTAATAGTGAAGTGGCTCTAGAACAGTACAAAATTTAATTTGTTTAAAAGCAACCGAAAGCAAACACCACATTTCAGCAATTAAACAGTCTAGAAAACAACAAGGGTCTTTATTGATTTGCTTTTTTTATGAGTCTATAATTTTTGGCCGCATGTCCCAGCAGGACCTAATTACTCATGACTAAAATTAAGACAAACTATTTTCTTACCAGAAAGGAAACAGATGTCGTCATTTGATGTGGGCTTCAGCTGACCCAAAGCAATTCCCAAATATGCCGAAAACAAACTGCTTACTAGACAAATTAGGATTTTTCCAGGAAGGTTTCGTAATTTGGCAATAGATATGTAAACAATCAAAGTTAGGGCATAGAAGCAACAAGATATGAGTAACCCGATTGGGTACATCTTAAAGCGAATCCGATCACTGCCCACTACCTTTGTGTCAAAACATAAAAATGTATAAAGCTGCTCTGAAAGAAACGAAGGCGATAATTAAGTATTAAAATCACCTTTCAATCAAATATTTATATTATAAATAGGAAGGAGTTTACCTTTTGATTCGGCCTGACCCTTTCCAAACAGTATTGAGTATTTGTATACACTTTCAAAGTGTTTTGTATAATAAGTGAGCCATTGGATGAACTAATTGTATGCGCATCATCTGGAAAATTATCTGGATCCAAGCGAAATTTCTGGCATTGTAACCCATGGAGAATTCCAAAATCTGAAACATATAGAAATTTACCTTAGGGTTATAATGTCTTAAAAATGTGTATGGTTGACCTAACCCAACAAAACGTAAGTGTGTCATCGGCGGAACTTTTTTTGCTTGATTAATCAGATAAGAAAGTTTGACAAAAATAATTCAAACGACCAAACTAACAAAAAATGTCAACAGTACTGACGTATCACAGTAATTGGCGTTCAACACATAAAGATAATTTTGTTGGCTTTTTTTAGCACTTCAAGATGTTATTGTTTATTAATTTCTAAGTATCGAACAAAAGCTTTTCGCTTGAATATAAATATGTAAAACAGGTGATTAGGCATACGGAGCCCATCAAATGTGTATATTTCATCTTAGTTTCCGAAATTAAATGGGCAATTACTGCGTATTTCAAATAAGAACTTTTATTGCTATTTTCTGTTGGGCTCATTTCCTGTAAAATCACACTGAGCGATAAAAATGGAATTATTGTAGAGTGTAAAATCTTTAACATACCTGAAGGCTTCGAGAAGTTTGCGTTTATATTGAGATTCTGGAAACCCTCAAAGTTCATATCGAAGCCATCATTTTTACAGTAGGTACTTAAGTTTCCTTTGGCATACATCTCGCCTTCGGCACAGCAACGTCTAATACACGGTAATTTTTGGCAAATTTTAGGTTCCTGGCATGCCCGAACAACAAACTTTTGATCCGAAAGTTTTCGGACCGTTTGAGCCTCGGAGTCGTAAATGGCCTCGATACAAAACTTGGATCCTGGCAAGCTATTAGATCCATCTCTCCAAATCAACGAATTGTTACTGAATTGCACTATTTCCGAGGACACAGTGTACTCCACCAAAGCTTTGTTTTCCGAACACTTTAAGGTATTATCGTGGAGAAAAATAATTGGACTGCTGATGATGGAAGAATAAACAAAGAAATCGCTTTCGCCAAGTGTGCATGTATTATTTTCGAAAACGTAAATAAATCCTTGTGGGCAGCACTTGTTTACAAAACCAACACTTTGACTCGGCACATTCTTTTCAAATTCACAAGACAAAACGATGAGACGTTTGTTTAATAGCCCAATGCATGAATTGTTTCGTAAATACAAAGTACTTTCACTAAGTTCACTAATATTATGGCTCATAAAGCTTTTGCACTTCGATAACTGGAATTGACTGCTTGAGTCAGTGTGTTTTTCTAGCCCGAGGCCTTTTGGGGCTATCATTTCGCCTATCACTTGAATTGTTTCCGGAAATTCTTTCAGGTCGCTCTTGGCGGAAGCACATTGGAAAATTTCCGAATTACTGATGTCGCGGTATTTGAATAAGATCGAATTCGGATGGCAGCATATTTGAACGGCGCACACTTTTGAAATGCCACTTAAAATCAGGAACGTTAAACTTAGTCCGGTGATCATTGTTTGCGCCTTCGGTTTTATTTCCAATGACCAATTTCCGAACTTGTGTAATTTTCGTATATTTCTTTAGAACGGACTTTTCATATCTTATCATTGAATCGTTATCGGGCAATATAAACTTCGAACCGCATGCAGTTGGCAGATTTAACGAACTGAAGTCTTCGCAATTCCTTCGCGAGCAAATGCGAATGTTTATGGGTAAACATTTGGCATACACACATACTGATGGATACAAATCGATGTATATAGAGAATACATTATGGATACTTATACAAATAAGTTATGCCCCATGGAGTGTTAGCCTGCTGGGTGCACACGGACGGACATTAATACAACCAAACGGGGCAAATGGCTACATATCTACATTGGTAACGGTACATACATATATCTATATCTTTCAATTTCAATTGATGTCTTTGTAGACTGTTTTCTTATGGCAAGATAACCGGTCTGGTGTTGTATGTGATTTGGGAAAGTTATTAGGGAAATTCGTTGAACTCAGCTATAATTCTAGAGATAAAAAAATGTTGACTCTTAATAACTACTCTAAAGGCCGAGCTTTCTACATAGAGCCAAATTACTTTACGACAAAGTGTTAAAGACATTTAGAAGATAACAGCCCGTTAATTAATAAAACTGAACTTTAGACTTAGCTAGACGGCTTTTAAAGGTGTGATCTATCTTCTTTAAATAAATCCAAACTATACAGGTGGAATTTATGAGAAGTATTACTGTTTGAGGTTCTGCATTGTACGAAGGGGCAAATAGCTCGGGGGCGTTGAGTTGCTGTCACCTTTAGTTTACTGTATGTAATCGAAATTATTAATTTTCTGGTAGAACTTTCGAAATACTTTCCAGCAACCTTTTAGTTGGCAAATATAAAAAAAATATTTTTTTCGAAGTTTTTTTCCGTTTTATATATTAACACATTAAATTTGGAAAAATGGCACTTTAATTCAGCTGTTATTTGAGTACGGAGTTGGAACATCAATTTCTTATTATTCAAAAATTCTATTCTCGTTATTATTTTTTTTAAGTGCGAGGCAATATTATTAGATAATTTAATGTATTCAATGTCCTCAGAGCATTTTTGATTTCGGTTTAGCTTACTCTAAATTTCCAAATGATTAAAAAAAAGATATTAATATTAAAAGCAAAGTATTTAAACAAAAAAGTTAATTAGAAATTTAAAAGAAATAAGATCTGATCTCAATTAAGTTGCAAATTAATGATAAACATATTGTTTCATTCCATTATTCCATTTAAATGAAAAATACCTGTCAATATTTTGTTTGTACCTCGACTGAAAATTTTTTCAGAGTCAAAGTGAAATTTGTATTATTGATAGCATGTTGTAAGGCGACTTCATTATTTTGTAGCTAAATGCAATTTTTTATCGAAACGCAAAGTTGAATACGTGAGCAATATAAATAAATCGGTGCAAGCAGTGACCAACAAAGTCAGCCGAAATCTAAGAATATAAAACATTTTTTAAACAAAGTAAACTAAATTTTCACTGTGAATAATGATGACTGAAAAGTTAAATTCTGGGCACACTAATTTAACAAGCAAGGGGTTTGTATTTTTTATATTTATTTATTTATATTTCCTTGAAAAATGACAATGACATATACATGTTCTTTATATGTCGGCTGGCATCGATCTAAGTTATAAACTCATTTAATAATTTATGGCGTATATAACAAGAGGTATTGAAAGCCGACAGCCGAGCATATTTTTTTTGCACACACATACATACATATGTACATATCTTTTGTATTAAACAGTTTTTAATTAACAACAGACTCAACTTTCAAATAATGTTATCTAATATTAAAAAACAAATAATTCAGTTTAGGCTTAAATTGTTTGCTTAATATGTTTTTAGGAGTGAACAAATATTGTATGTGAAATGTACTTATGTACATACACATGTGCACTCGTGGACAAATTGACCGCTAAACTAGTTGGCTAAATAGATACTAGTACTTGCTAGAAATATACGTTCTTATATCTGATTAAATTGTTAACATTCTTCACATTTTCGCTAGACCTAATTTTTTTTTTATTGGAGCAACACCCGCGTTCTCAAATTTGAGCAGAGTGAATAGACAGTTATTCGAGGGCTGCCATTTTTAAAATTGGGGGAAGCGTTTTTTTCTGTGCTCCACAGAAAGAAAATGTGGATAAATCACAATACTTAAAAAGATTTTTTTAGGATTAAAAATCTATATGCGAAGTTTTAATAAATAAAATATTAATTTTTTTTTTTTTTAAATATAACGAAAGGTGTTTTTTTGTTGACATACTATACGATGCACAACATACAAAAACAGTGCATTATAACAATTGTAATAACAAATTACTTTGCATTTGGTTTAGGCTTATAAATGATCTTCAAATTGCTGGGAACACAAGTGACGATATGGGCTGGAAATCAAAGCTAAAGCTGCCGCCAAAGGACAACCGATTCAAAACAACTGTAAGTAGCCTTATTAACAAAAGAGAAATCATTATTAAATTATTAACAAAATTGGTTTATTTTCTTTTAGGATGTGACCGATACGCGTGGAAATGAGTTTGAGGAGTTTTGCCTTAAAAGAGAACTGCTAATGGGTATTTTCGAGAAGGGTTGGGAGCGCCCTTCGCCAATTCAGGAAGCAGCTATTCCTATAGCTTTAAGTGGAAAAGATGTACTGGCTCGGGCCAAGAACGGTACAGGCAAAACAGGTGCCTACTGTATCCCAGTTTTAGAGCAAATCGATCCAACCAAGGACCACATTCAGGCATTAGTAATGGTTCCCACCCGAGAGTTGGCGTTACAGACTTCACAGATATGTATTGAGCTGGCAAAACATCTTGATATCCGGGTAATGGTGACAACAGGAGGAACCATCCTAAAGGATGACATTCTTCGTATATATCAAAAAGGTGAGGTTTATTTAAAGTTAGATTAGCTATTGATTAGTAATCGATGATCTTATTCCAATTAACGCGTTTTTTACACTTTCAGTACAATTAATTATTGCCACTCCCGGACGAATATTAGATCTGATGGATAAGAAAGTTGCTGATATGTCGCATTGCAGGATATTAGTTTTGGATGAGGCCGATAAACTATTGTCGCTTGATTTTCAAGGCATGCTGGATCATGTTATACTTAAGTTACCAAAGGATCCACAGATCTTGCTATTTTCCGCAACATTTCCACTAACAGTCAAGAATTTCATGGAGAAGCATTTACGCGAGCCTTACGAAATAAACCTGATGGAGGAGCTAACATTAAAGGGTGTCACTCAGTACTATGCATTTGTACAAGAGCGCCAAAAAGTACATTGCTTGAACACATTGTTTTCTAAGCTGCAGATTAATCAGTCTATCATATTCTGTAATTCCACGCAACGTGTCGAGTTATTAGCTAAAAAAATCACAGAACTTGGCTACTGCTGTTATTATATTCACGCAAAAATGGCACAGGCGCATAGAAACCGAGTTTTCCACGACTTCCGCCAAGGACTTTGTCGGAACCTGGTTTGTTCGGATCTATTTACCAGAGGAATAGACGTGCAGGCCGTCAATGTAGTGATCAACTTCGATTTTCCTCGAATGGCAGAGACGTACTTGCATCGAATTGGTCGCTCGGGACGATTCGGTCATTTGGGTATGTAAACTTAATAGAATTTAAGAATTTCTTTAATGTTTAATCTTGTTTTATTTATTTAAAGGTATTGCTATTAATCTGATAACGTACGAGGATCGCTTTGACCTGCATCGAATTGAAAAAGAACTTGGTACCGAAATTAAGCCTATTCCGAAGGTCATAGACCCCGCCCTTTATGTCGCAAACGTTGGCGCATCCGTTGGAGATACTTGCAACAATAGTGATCTTAATAATTCTGCAAACGAGGAAGGCAATGTAAGCAAATAAAGCGGATGAAACTGTAACACTTGGATCTGAAGTAGCGTCTAAAACATGAAATCAATAAAGTGGATGAAATATTTCAGAAAACAAAATTGTATTAATTAAATAAAAGGAAAGCAATTCAAATTTGTAATATGCGCTTTCTATACACCTGGATATGCAGAACGAGCGTTTAATGCATTTTGTGGGTTTTATTTTAATACATATTTTGGTCCGTATTCTTAATGGGGTCTTCTTTCCTAAAAATTAGAAATCGTTTAAATGGCTTCCAATAGACGTCAAGATTTTTCAACGCAACAATGGATGAAAGTTTGCAAGTCTGAATCTCGCATGGTATTTCTGGGTTAATACAAATATATACTTTATAGCGTCCGATATGTCTCCTCCCCTATCCAAAAGTTCAATGCCCTCAATGCGGGAATAAAAATAGAAATTTTGAACCAAAACGTTCAAGTCAAGAAGCATCGTTTTATAATTTAAATAAAATTTATTTATTAGCATCCAAAATTGTAAGCTTTGCTTGTCAGAGAATATTTACAGTAAATGTACAATATTTAAACAAATCATATACATATAGTCGTAGGTTTCAAAACTTTACGTATTAAATATGTTTGATGAGGAGGAAGAAGAGTCTGATTGATCAAAGTCGATTTTCGCATAGGTATTTCCGTCTTCTGGGCATGCAGACACTGGCGGGGATTCGCGGGAACCCCTTTTCAGGTATTTAGCTGGATTTTGGCCGCTACAATGGGGAAGATCTAGGCTTGCGTAGTGAAGCTCCGGCTGCGATATGCGTGAAGAAGACCTTGACGGGAAATTCAAATCTTTGATCTGCAGAATGTTCGGTTGTGTACTTGAATCAGTGCTTTTCGAATCTGTTGGTTTTGGATATAAATTGAATTTGTTGACTGAGCTTGTAGCATTATCGGGTATCGTATTAACACTTTCCGTAAGTCTTTGCTGACGGTCTAAAGTATCTTTAAGTATTATACCTTTTTGGTACAGCTTCGATATAAGGGAACTGTCGCTTTTAATTTGGAGAATTTTGTAGCCAACTCCATTATGATCAACGTTTGCATAATCTTCGCTACTTATTGAGTGGACCAATTTCTTTTCCTCAGTACCACCTATATCCAAATTGTTGTTCTCCAAAATTTTATCTTCAATATTATTTTGTTTATCGCTTTGCACGGTTATCGTATCACGGTTAATGTTGTTTTGTGGATAACCATCAAGGTTATTACTTTCTACGGTTGTCGGCTCTAAATTAGTAGGTTTTTCCTCTATAGGGGACTCAGGCTTCTTTACGTCGTTTTTGGGCGGTTCTCTCCACTTCTCAGTAGCAATATTGTATGTACTTATTTTAGAAACTTCATGTACTGGTTTTACGGTGTTGTCTTTTAGCTTAAGCATTTCTATTTTACTTGGAAGGCAAATCGTACTGGGAATATGTGCATTGCCTACTGGTTTCATCTCGAGGTATCCACCCTCTGAACTGCTCGCTGTGTTGCTAACTTTAATTCCGTTAAAAATGTCTTTCTGACTTGTAGCGTGCACAGTTGAACTGGAACTTGAGCTTTCGGTTCTGAAATTTGAGGGAATTTCGAAATTTTTGATGAATTTCTGTTTTTGCAAATTGGTTGCTTGTGAAAAATCAATTTCCATTAGGTCACTCATTCGGTCTGAGTTTATTTGATTCTTAAGACTCAAGAGTGGAGCACTTGTAGATTTCTTTTCGCGGCTTGCACTTGTTCCAAAACTGGGTCCATCCCTTGTAATGCTACTGTGACTTCTATTCGTACCGAAATCGTGCCTATTATCCTCTACAAGGACAACTCGTTGCAAGTCGCACCGTGGTATCTTTGATTTCGAGCCAACAGAGTAAGCTCGTACACGATTCGAATTTTGCCCTGTTTCATTTAAATGGCCCAGTCGTTTATTCAACTTTAAATGCTCAACTTTGTTTCCTATTGAGTAAGCCCGAATGGGACGTTGACATCTGCAAATAAATTTTAATTAATATTTATTAAGCTCCTACAGTGTTTACTCACTGGTTATCAGAATCAAGATCAAAATTCTTGCCCAGTTTTTCAGATGTGTGCTCCGGAAAGTCGAATTGCAAGTTTGTATCTCCCGTGCCTTGCGGATCAACCTTTTCTCTTTCGGGAATACATTCACCAGATAATGGCTTAATGGGGGTCATCGGTATGTAGTTTTCGTCACTTTCTGCAGTCAAAAAAATAAATTTAGACCGTATCCAGATGTGATCCCGGTTAGTTTTCTTACCACTATGTTCTGTGACTTTGCTGAATTCTGCGCTTGCGAAGTCATCTATGTTTTCCTCGGGAATAGCCGTTTTTGATGACCGAGTGCTGCAAAAAGATTTATTTTATATTGATTATCTATGATTTTGACGGCAGTGGGCAAAACATTACTTTAAACGGTAGTGGCTAAAACTTCCATTATCATCGGATTCATCGACACTAACTGACGACTCTTCAGATTCTGAGCATCTTAATGGCATGTTGAATGTCGGACTATTACTGTGTTTGTTGGATGAGTGTGGACGGATACCGGAAATGGTGTTGGATCTTATCCCATGATTGTAGCCAAAGTACGTTTGATTACTGCACTCGCTTAGGGTTCCATTTCTGGTTGGCAAACTATCGCATCTTTCTCTTCCAAAGCCTATAAAAGTTTAGTTATCGGAATTAATATTGTTTTTGGTCTCAAAAATCACAATTTTTTTATTTGCAGTTTGATACTTACTGTAGTTATGTGGTGAACTACAATTTCGCAATTCCAGAGAGTTCTGGCGATTTTGTATAACATTTATCGGTTTTGAAGCTTCGTTTGCAGATGATGACCGCTTTCTCATTGGTTCATGGGTAATATCAGGCCGGGTTTGATAAACATTTATTAAATTCGTGTTCGACTCTGTTTTAGCTGACATAGCGCTAAAAATAAAGTAAAAATCAAGAAAATATTATGTAGAAACTAAGGGTTTGTAATGTTCTCATGTATTTAATAAACTACAGTTAGCTCACGTTGCTTTAAAAAGTTATTTGCCTTCCAGCTTTCAAATGTTTAATGATATTACAAATTACCGAGTCATAAGTTTCACAGGAATTTATCACCGGATTATGTAACTTAAATATAGGTAAGGTTCAGATTACCGGTAACTTTACTTTGCAGTCTATCTATAATTGCATTACTTGTAATAGTAATCCTAGACCCTACTTAAAAGTTGTTGTCTGAGTAGAAAAACTGTAACATAATGTTATATTTTGTACTTACCTTAATATCGTATTGTGCATATTTGTAGCAATGGCTGCATTATCCGTTTCCATCCACAATTCGCCAGATCCCAGGACACTCTGACGACCGAGTTCCATGTAGAATATACATTGAGGGGATGCATGGCCGCATCTGAAATTTTAAAAGTGGTTTGCAACTCTGATTTACAACTGATTTAAGTTTTAATAGACTACTTACCGCCTGATCGTTGTCAGAAGAATTTCTATGCTAGCAACTCGATCATCACCATTAGCAGTCTTTTCTGGTCCTATGCACACGAACGTCAGGGATTTAGAAGTAAGGCAGCAGTGATACGTTCCGGTGATTCCAACTTTCTCCGACATTCCCTTCTTTTGGATAACAACTTGCCAAACTTGATCTGTCAACAAGAAAAGTTCCATTAGCTAATTCAATATACCGATCAACAATTAAAGTTTAGAAAGCTTGCTTACCATAAGATGAAAATACTTGGCCATTCATATTGGCTATATTCCTTTGTAGGAATAAAAGTTTATCCAACCATTTGCGTAAATCATTTTCGTTTTCTAGGACGATTCCAAATCCGCCTTCTCTTGAGGAGAGCACAATAACAAATCTGTGTTTGGTGTCCATACGACGGTTTATGTTAAAGCAATTCTTCAGGTAAATTACTCTTTTTGGTTCTGCTCTCTGCAGGAACTTCTTTTCCGTATCATAATATTCCAGACGGGCTGAGGAATTGCATGTTTCCTCATACAAAGCAAAAAACTTTTTCTTCATGGTTTTTAACTTTTTGTGGTAGCCGCTGAGAACCATGCCATCATCCGATATTGATGCCATGATTTTATATGGTATTTCCTGTAATAATAAAAGTATATAAGAACCAATTCGCAATTCACATTAAAAGCTACTTTAAGAACAAATTGTAAATAAATAATTCCCTGTCGGGAATATGGGAATATTTCTACATTCATTTCACATGGTGAATGTAGCTGATATGTTTTGGATTTTTAAGATATTGATTCGATGAGTGCATTTGCTTTCACTTTGTTATGTCGTGAATTGATATATGTACGTACATACATATATTTTAAGACATTTAGATTTTTTAGTCACTTCTTATAAAGCCCAACGAAAGGCATATTATTCATATGTATCTATCCTGAGCATTATAAATCGGTTTTCACAACACAAACATTCGAAAAACATTTGCAATGTCGTGATGACAAGAATTCTTTCCGTCTGTCAACATCGAACATCAAAATACGCAATTACGTCGTTTATGTCGATAATTCCAGTGCAGCTTACGCGGCGACAGATTAGAATCAAATGTAAGCGATGGAATTCATAATTGGCTCACTGTACACTTTGTTTATTTCAGTTTCAGTTTCTGCGCAATGCATTAAGATAACCATTGCTAGATGCTCATTTTATTATACATATACATATGCGCGTATGTTTGTACATATTTTGTTTTATAGATGAGCATCATAAATATATACATATGTATATATATCTGAGGAATTCTAATACATCTTACATACATATGTATCTACGAGTTATTTTTCTCTGTAGGCATGTATGTACACACAACCGTAAATATGGCACTCTAGTGGTATCATTTACAAACGCACATGGATATGGAAAATAATACCTCAACGGCAATTTAGCTGGCGCATATGTTACCTAAATCGTATTTCCGCCCGGATCACTTATATTTCCAAAATCAGTATTCACAAGTTATCCGCTTGGTACATTAAGGATTTGTATTATTATTGTTCACCAACGCAATTCTTTATTATCAAACCCACATTTATTCGCGATGACACTTTGCAGTTATCGATATAGCAGTTCGGTTACAAAATCGTATGCCGCAGCAATCGGAACCAACTGCAATCGAATAATTTTATTAAAATATTCATTTAAAACGTACTTTTCCAAGTCCAATTTTTTAAGATTGAAAAAAAATATTTTTTTAATTTCTATCTCTTTTTTTATATGTCAGCCCCTATTGCAATAACACTTATTTGTAAGTATAAAGTTATTTAATCAAATAAAATTTGAAGTTAAAAACAAAAAAATATTAACAGTACAAAACGTAAAATTTACATTATGGCCAGTTTAGTCAGAACTTGTTTAACAAGTCTTAGAGACAATAACTAAATTCGTTGCTAGAGCCCTTGCCCTAGATTTTAAATCTAATAAAGAACACAAAAATTCATCAGCTATTAAGTTTTAATTTTTGTTTTGTTGTTCACAATTCCTTACTAAAAACTGGACTAGTTTTTTTTTTAAATGATTTGGATCCCTTAACTTTATAATCTAGACGAAATGCGCAACTTGTCAAATAAAAAAAGTATAATAATGAGTAAGAAATTACGAAGTTTTGTATATTGATTTTATTTTTTAATGGTTACTATATTTTTAAATACAATTTGAATATTTTATTTGTTGTAATAATTTAACAATACATGGCGTATTGTTGGTAAGCTTTAGTTTTTGTGACTGACTAAGGAGGAAAAAGTCGTTCTCTACCGCGTTCTATTATTTGTGTTGTGGGCTTCGTAATCCATGACTTCCTCATAAATTAACTCCTTCCATTGCTCGACGGTATGCTCTCTCTCGTCGACACTATGATCATAGGGCTCCGGAGCAGGCTAAAAAATGTATAAAAGACATAAAAAATCCAGCAAGTTTTTATACCCTTGCAGAGCAAAAGGGTATTATAATTTCAGTCAGAAGTTTGCAACGCAGTGAAGGAGACACCTCAGACCCCATAAAGTATATATATTCTTGATCAGCATCACGAGCAGAATCGAAATATGTATGTACGTCTGTCCGTCTGTCCGTCTGTCCGTTTCCGCGCAAACTAGTCTCTCAGTTTTAAAGCTATCGTGCTGAAACTTTCCCAAAAGTTGTGTAGTTGTTGCACGCAGTATATAAGTCGGAACGGGCCGGATCGGCCGACTCTATCGGATAGCTCCAATACAAGAGAATGAAATAAAAAATTCTCACTCTATTGTTTTTCATCAGATCGACTTGAATTCTTCAAGATGGCGTTTTCTAACTGTTATTGAATTTCGGATTAAATTTGATCAAAATCGGATAACTCTATCATATAGCTGCCATAGGAGGGATCGAAAATTATATATAGAATTAATGGAAATAAATTGATAACATCGTTGTTTTTCATCAGACAAGTTTGATTTTTGGAATATAGAGTGTTCTTACGACTCTTGAATTACGAGTTAAATTTGATCAAAATCGGACAACTATATCGTATAGCTCCCATATGATCTATAGTCAAAAATATGGAAAATGAATAGAAAAATCGTCTTAGCTTCGATGTTGTCTAGCCTTTATGCGTTTTGTTCGACATATTTGATGACTGCAAGGGTATATAAGCTTCGGCTTGCCGAAGCTAGCTTCCTTTCTTGTTTTTAATAAGACGTGTTTTTTTTTAACACTTACAGCATCCACTTCTTCAGCATCATACCAGACATTAATATATTCATGCTTTAAAGCCTCGTCCACAGATATCCGCTGCTCTGGATCAATGACTAGCATTTTACTAAGAAGATTTCTAGCGTCAGAAGCCTTCCTGCGGCTATTCTGATTATTATCATTTGGAAACAACCCATCAGGAAAAAGTCTATCAAATGAGTATCCAGTGTATCTAGGACGATTTTCCACATAGTTTCGGACGGTTGGCTGTAACCGCTGCATAAATGAGGGGGATGGTGTACCTAATTGCTCTAAAAGAAGAAAGATATGTTTTTTACTACCATCTACAAATGTTGTGCAATAGCTTACCAATAATTTTATTCCACTGATCTATATGATCCGTTCCCGGAAACAGTACGCCGCCCCTTATCATTTCACCCATTATGCAGCCCACGGACCATATATCCACGTTTTCTGTGTAGCCCATGCCCAATATGACCTCGGGAGCCCTATAATATCGGGTAACCACATATGGAGTCATCATAAAGGTAGTTCCTGCAGTGCGAGCCAGACCGAAATCCAGAATTTTTAGAGTGCAGTCTGCCTTTACAACTATATTGGATGGCTTTAAGTCCTGAAATTACAAAAAAAAATTTATTTTCAAACTCTCTTTAAAAGTGGTGCTTATACTGTACTCTGTGAATTATTCCAGCTGAATGTAAATGTTTTATGCCGCATAACATTTGGTAAAGCAAATAAGACATTCTGTCGTGATCCAAATCCATTTGAATAACTTGGCAGAGATTAGCATCCATCAGTTCCATGACAAGGTAAACATCCTGAAACTCTTCCAAATTCCTTTGCGGAGTAAAAGCATTAAGTAACCCAATAATCTGATGAGAAAAGTTAATTAATAATACACATAGTACGACGTTTTACCCGAGCTTATTTACGTTTTTATGGTTGACAAGCTTCATTAGCTTAAATTCCCTATATGCTCTCTTAGCATGGGTTACATTTTGGAATGGTCGAGATAGTTTCTTAATCGCCACATTTTGCTCAGTAATAGTATCGTAGGCAGCGCTAAAAATTATTTAGATAATGTTATAATATTAGTTTAAGTTTTTACAAATTATAATACAATAAATGTATGTATATTATTTTGGAGTGTCACATAAATCACTTCCGATACAGACTTAATTTTAAACGAAAAAAAGGAGTACAAATTACAGAATTTTATGAAAGTGTTTTTTTTTTTTTTAACTTTGGGTACTCGACCAGTTTCGTAATTAATAAACGCATTTATATAGTAAGTAATAAATTAAAGAATGGTTTTTTTTTGGTTTCTCAAAGTATTTAAAATAGTTTTTTATAAGTACCCAAAGAGTTTTCTTCAAGTTTGCAACTGTGAAAGTATTGCAGTATCATTAAAGTAGTATAGTAAACCAACTAAGACGACTTACCATACTATTCCTTGGGCACCGGATCCTATGGGCCTTAAATTAATGTACCGACTATGAATGGTAAAGTTGGTATCTCCCACTTCAACGGTGTAGTGTTGGTGCTGAGCTGTCATTTTATACTGCTTTTATTTATTACTTTTAGTTGAAAACAAGGAGCATATCGGCCTGAAAACATAAGATTAATTTTGAGTAAATAAGATAAATCAATAAAGACACAACTTCTTTATGATAGTATTGTACATATGTACGTATTGCAGATAAAAAGAAGTGGAACATCCGATAAGCATTTAAACGATTTTCCTATTTATAAGAAGGAGGGGGCAGTTTTCCAAAACTTTTTAGGACAGACCATTTCTCCAAAGAAGTGGATTAGGGGGTAGAATAAAATCACCAACTTTGTTGGCCATATTTGGACATTAAATGGGTTTGTTGTTGCAAAGGGTGACATGGGCGGCAGTCCAATTTACTGGATAGCGCCTTACGATTTTATTGCCAAACTGAACAAGCCCTTTGGGCTTAAACCAGGCACGTATCCAGGGGGGGTGCCCGGGCACCCCCCGAAATCTTTGAATTCAAAAATTTTTTCTATTTAAGATATTTCATTAAAAAGTCTTCAGTAGAAGACGTATAGATCAGTAGACTGAAACTAAGCCAAATTTAATTTAATTTATTGAATTTATTCGAATAAGACCACATTTTTTATTGATTTTTGTCCTTGAGCACCCCCCGAAACAAATTTCTGGATACGGGCCTGGCTTAAACACAAAATAAAACTATTGATTCAAAAAAGATAAAATATTGCATAACGTAGTTATTTTAAAAAGCCATTTTAAAAGGAAATTAAATCTTCTAACGTTTAAACAGTTAGAAAAATACTTTGTAAAAAGACCATTAAGATGTTCAATCTATTTTCTTTGATTTCTTTCTTAGTGTTTAGCGGCACGCACAGGAAAAAAAACGATTTAAAATCGATAAGTCGGCTTAAACATAGGACACGGAATGTTGGACCACTGCGATGTACATAAGTTCATGTGTATGCATGCCAGTTTAAATATGTACATACACACATTTTGTGCACGGGTGAAAATTGTAAACTTCTTTAGGTATACATATGTATGTAGGATGTAAACTACATTTGTGGGTCGATAATTTACTACATTTTCAGATATCTTTCAGATAGAAGTTATTGCCTACATTCATACATTAAAAATACAGTCGTTTGCATTCAAGATGGTTCAGCGGTCTTCGGGTAGTGTCAATATGTAAACGTTAGACATTTGCGCATACATAGGTACATACACTTTGGGAAGTGGACATTTTATGTTAAATATCAATAATTTTTTCGTTGCCGGCACAACTTTCGTTTATATCAGTCGAAAATAGCCCGTTTCGCTTGACATTAGTTGGTGTTCTGTAGTTTGTGTGGGAGTAACGTAATAGAATATTTATTTACCATTTAACGCAGAAAATTTTCCGATTTTCTTATAGAAATATAAAATTGATTTTTACTTATTTTATTCTATACACTGGGCACTCAGAGCTGCAAACATTTTTAATTACGTTTAGTTAAAGAATTTTCGGAACCAACTTTCTGCGGCACTTTCGCATAAGAATAATTGTACATGGATTCAATACAATATAAGAAAATCTATGGGAATATTCGATCACAACAAAGTTATTGTGTGACCAGATTGGATTGAAACCAAAATACAAACGATTACAAGCAAAAGCAAACAATTAAAAATAAAAAAATTAACTGGTGGTTTTTGGCCTGTAAATTATGTTCTATAGTAAAAACATTGTCTTATGAAATTAATTATTCTCATTATTGAATGTATTATAAAATATAAAAAACTTTCCGTGTTCCGTTTTACCGTTCCAAGAGATGAACACCATTTTGTTCTTCATGTATCGAATATGAATCGAATGACGTATGAAAAATTTGCACTGTCGTTACTAACAATAAACAAAAACAAAAGAAAAGTATTGCAATATGAAGACGGTTGGTTTTTGGAGTGACTCACAAAAAATGATGTACTTATTTTAAATATTTTATTTTAGTCATCACCGGCGCTTAAATATCTTCTGGAGAAGGATGTACAGGTGTCCAAGCATTTTGTTGTCGCCGTGTCCAACCTGTCTTTCTTCAAATCCTTGCGAATACATAGCAGGTTCTTAGAAATATCCTGCGATGGAATCGCCTGGTTTGCCTCGTGGATTGCATTTATTTGGTTGCTCAGCTCGAAAAGCTTGTACCAAATGCAAGTAAACATGCTTTTCGGATTAGTTCTCGATGTTATAATAGTGGCTGTACTAAAAGCGCTTGTTCGGCGCAGAAGGCCGGTAGCCAACAAGGATATGCTTACAATAGGACCAGATAAGTTCAGTTTTCCCTCCGGCCACGCCTCCAGGGCGTTTTTTGTGCTTCTATTCTTTACAAAGCTGTATCCGCTCCATATAATTTTTTGGATGCCAATCACAGCTTGGGCTGTAAGCGTAGCAATTTCACGACTTATCCTACAACGTCATTATGTTCTGGATATTTTCGCTGGAGCAGCAATAGGTGTCCTAGAGGCACTTTTGGTTGGATTACTTTGGATCAGTGAAGAGGCGGCTTTCAACGTTGTTGGTTTTCTTTCGGAGGAAAATGTCGACAGTGCGGCGGAGTAACAAATATACAGAAACCGTACTCAAAAGCAATAGATAATCCTTAAATCATTACTTATGCTTTACCAAATACATTGTTAATGTTAAATACATTTGCTTGTTGTTATTTTCGTATTAGAAGTGACAATCGCTATAGTTTTGTGCTGGAAAAATAAATAGAAAATCGTCATTACTTCAGTGTTGTTTGGCCTTTATGCATTTTGCCCAACGTTTGTGATGACTGCAAGGGTATATAGGCTTCTGCTCGCCGAAGCTAGGTGCCTATCTTATTTTATTTAAAGTTAAACTTAAATTATCCTTTTCGTTTATCTGAGTTATAAAAATATCGATTCATCGATTAAAAGTCAACAACCCCAATTCCTTCGCGAAGGGATGAAAAGTTGTGTGTCATACCAAGTTTTCGCGAAAGCAAAAATACAAAATATTTTCAGAAGAGTCGGGATGCCAATTGGGTTATTTAAATAACAAAAGGTTTCATATTGTTAGTAAGGCGTCCTGCAATATGAACAAATATTCTGCATTTATTATATGCATTTCGGTCCTGCTTTTATTGAGAAAAGAGGACGTTGGGAGCCATAATGTGGACTCGGGAATATACGGGTAGGTACTTGGTAACAGAAAGTAAAACACGCAAACACTTTTTCTAATTTCGTTTGATGTTAGTTATTACCAATCTTAAAAATATAAAAGTATCCAAAACTTTTTTTCAGTTAAAATATTTCAAATTTGTTTAAAAATATTTTTACTTTTAACATATATATGTTTACACATTTGTATTTGTTTATCAACCATTAATTTTTTATAACACCTCTAAATTTTTTTTTAATGTTAAGTGACAGTTGAAGTTAAAGTTATTTATTTGATTTTAATATTTAAATATAATTTGTTTCTTTAGGTTTCAGAGATCATCAGGGATATGTCATATTTACAATGGCACTATTTGTCGGGATGTTTTGAGCAATGCCCACGTTTTTGTATCCCCGAATCTCACCATGAACGATTTGGAGGAGCGATTAAAAGCTGCATATGGCGTAATAAAGGAATCGAAGTAGGTTTAATAGAAATTTCATTGGCTTTTTCTAATTCGAATTGGTTTTCTTTAGGGACATGAATGCAAATTGTCGCATGTACGCATTGCCGAGCTTATGTTTTAGCTCAATGCCAATTTGCAGAACTCCAGAACGCACGAATTTATTGTACTTTGCCAACGTGGTTACAAATGCCAAACAGTTCAAGAATGCCAATGTCACTATTCGCCGAAAGAGAACTAAAACCAAGGACATAAAAAACATTAACATTTTTAAAAAGAAATCCACCATCTACGAAGATGTGTTCAGTACAGATATTTCAAGTAAATACCCACCTACCAGAGAGTCTGAAAATCTAAAACGCATTTGTCGAGAGGAGTGCGAACTTCTTGAAAACGAACTTTGTCAAAAGGAATATGCAATTGCCAAACGACATCCGGTAATCGGAATGGTTGGTGTGGAGGACTGCCAAAAGTTGCCCCAACATAAGGATTGCTTGTCCCTGGGAATTACCATTGAGGTGGATAGGACCGAGAACTGTTACTGGGAGGATGGTTCTACATATAGGGGAGTTATGAACGTCTCCGCCTCTGGAAAACCATGTTTGAGATGGTCTTGGCTTATGAAAGAAATCTCTGACTTTCCGGAGCTCATTGGTCAAAACTTTTGCAGGTAACCTGAATTATTGTTCAAAATGTATTTTTTATATTTAAGAATTTAAGTTTGATAACATAATCAAGTTGGATGGACACATATCAACAATGCTAAGTGTATTAAAATAATTTGGGTCAGAATTTAAACCAAAATTTTTATTTACAAATTTAAAATATTAAAATTTAACTAAACATTTTTTTACTCTTAGAAACCCAGGAAGTGTGGAAGATAGCCCTTGGTGTTTTGTCGATTCTTCGCGTGAGCGAATAATTGAACTCTGTGATATTCCAAAATGTGCAGATAAAATTTGGATTGCAATTGTCGGAACGGCAGCATCAATAATACTAATTTTTATAATAATACTAGCAGTTATACTTTTTAAGAGGAGAACTATCATGCACTATGGAATGCGGAATATTCACAATGTAAGTATTAAAACAATTACAAAATTTATCACAAAAATTCTTACAAAAAAAACCTCTTTTAGATCAATACACCCAGCGCGGATAAAAATATTTACGGGAACTCGCAGCTAAATAATGCCCAAGATTCTGGAAGGGGTAACTTGGGAAACCTATCCGATCATGTTGCTCTTAACTCCAAGCTTATAGAAAGAAATACTCTGTTGAGAATATCCCATTTTACGCTTCAGGATGTGGAGTTTTTAGAAGAGCTGGGCGAAGGAGCATTTGGTATGGACACAATTAAGAATAAAACTTGGAAGAAAGTAATTGATTTTCAAATTTTAGGAAAAGTCTACAAGGGACAGCTTTCGCAGCAAAACAAACCCACGATAACGGTCGCCATCAAGGCTTTAAAGGAAAACGCCTCTGTAAAAACACAGCAGGATTTTAAGCGCGAAATCGAACTAATTTCAGATTTGAAGCATCAGAATATTGTGTGCATATTAGGAGTGGTGTTGAACAAGGAGCCCTACTGCATGCTTTTTGAATATATGGCCAACGGAGACCTCCACGAGTTTCTGATCTCAAACTCACCCACCGAAGGCAAGTCCTTATCGCAACTGGAATTTTTGCAAATAGCTCTTCAAATCAGCGAGGGCATGCAATATCTTTCGGCCCATCATTATGTTCATCGTGACTTGGCAGCTCGAAATTGTCTGGTTAACGAGGGACTGATTGTGAAAATATCCGATTTTGGATTATCGAGAGATATTTACAGCTCAGATTATTACCGGTAAAACTATAATTTTATGCCAGGGTAACAATAAAAAACTAATGTGTTATAATGAATTTTCTTCTAGGGTTCAGTCGAAGTCGCTGTTACCTGTAAGGTGGATGCCCTCGGAATCAATATTGTACGGAAAGTTCACCACAGAGAGCGATGTTTGGTCATTTGGAGTTGTACTCTGGGAGATATATAGCTATGGAATGCAGGTAAATTTGTTTAAAGCCTATCTTTATCTTAATCCACTAATCGAGTCTTGTCCGCTTTTCAGCCATACTACGGCTACAGTAATCAGGAAGTGATCAATCTTATCCGTTCAAGGCAACTACTATCCGCTCCAGAGAACTGCCCCACTGCAGTGTATTCGCTTATGATCGAGTGTTGGCATGAGCAATCGGTAAAACGTCCAACATTCACAGATATTTCGAACCGTCTTAAAACTTGGCACGAAGGCCACTTTAAAGCCAGTAATCTGGAAATGTAAATTTAAGTTTTTTACACATATGTATTTTCAACGAATGGACTGTAACATAAGTAGGTTTAAGAATTGAATAAAATAAAAGGTATTTAAAATCAAATAGAAAATGTATTTTGAATAAGAACCAATTTCTTTTCGTTTATATTATATTTGTTTTTGTAACTTTTTTATTGAGATTTGTTTTAATAACCATATGGTAGCTAAATGTTGTGCCATTGTCGAATAAATTATCCAGTCGCAATTCCGAGGGCAACGCCACCGAAAAAGGATGCCAAAAAGATGTGCAAATCGTTTACTTTCGGACCGTCTTCATCACCAATCAGTTTGGAATACCACTTAGCCACTTTCTTGCCATTTTTGGTTAACAAGCTTTCAGCCCTATCCAATTGATTGTCGACATATCTTTCGGTCTGAAAATACACAGGTTACATTGGTAATTGACTTTTGGAGTACAAGTATACATAACTTAAGAATTTGAAATCATACCTTATCCTTCCAATTTTTTTCACGGCCCAGCGATGATTCCACTTTATCGGCAAGTTTGTCAACGCTCTTATCCAACTTCGACCAATTTATTTTTATAAGTCCTTCTTGATGCGCGATTTCCAGCAAAATAATACTGCCGCCTACGGCAAACGCAGCAAATTTCCCAATTTTCATTGTTGTAAATCCGGTTGCCCTAAAAGGATATGAAATTCTTAGTGCCTTCAAGTATTTAATTCGTGCTTTTAGTCAAAACAAATCTTTAGAACAGAATAAGTATTTTATTATTTAGTAAATCTGCACTATCATTCTTTATTTTGGTACATAGAAAATACATCATTTTGGTAAACTTTAATGAGATTTTAACACTTTACCATATAGGACAGCCTTCAGACTGCCTTAATATGAAAGGTACCTCCGAAAAAATGTTATTTCAGGTACCTTAGACATATTTCGTTTACGCCCAAAGACGATGATAATCAAAAAATTGTGTACATGAACTTCCTTTTCTTTATTGCTGTACTCTGCAATTTTTTGTTATAATTTAATAGGATACTAATACAACAGGATATTAGCATATATACAAACAATGCAAATATTACAGATTTCGCACTATATTAAATCGGTTTAGTTACGACGCAATGATATAACACATACCATCCTGAAGAGACACCAATTAGCATTTGCGAATACGCCGAGCGCTGACCAATATCGCTAAAAACTTTCTTAAAAAATTCCGAATAGTTAGTCATTTTTAAAATTAGATATTGACGTTAAGTTGCGAATCTCTGCTAGTTTACGTCAATTTTACACAATAATATATGCTCGACAAGATAGCAGCTGATGTCCCACACATTTTAGGATATGGGTTTTGGAACATGGAATTGGCACACCATTTTTCGGGGATATTTGGGAAATACTCGGAATAGGCAATCTGAATCTACGGTAAATTTGAAAATGAAAGTTAAGAATAAATATGACAGATTTATCTGGGCAAAACAAATTCAAAAATTTTTCTTTTTCGTCGGCGGCCGAGAGTGACCATATTATTTGCTTCTCCAGCTCGTTTTGCTTACCAAGTATACGTATGGAATGTAACTTTATGTAAAATATTTAACTACATTTGTGATTAAGTATTTATGTCGGATATAATATATCAGATCGAAATGAAAATTTAAAAGAGAATCGCGCCCCAATCTAAACAATCTAAAACAGCAGGGGTTATTGTTATTATACGCTTGTTGCTGTTTTATTACTTTAATAATAAATATTATCGTTTTGTTTTTTATAAAAAAATTGTATACATATCTTATAATGGAGAACGTTGGAGATAAAGTTTTAATTATTTAAAGGCATCTAAATCATATAGAAAAGAGTGCAGACATACATACATATGTGTAAGCCACATGCCATAGTTTGACAAAGGGTTTTTTTTCGTCAACGGTTGAATGGACTTCTTTATTTGACTTTGGTAAGTCGGCTACCAACTGATATTTATTCTATATCTTTTCTAAGCCGATGTGTGCAAATAGATTGCTTTGCCATTATTTTATTTTGCTTTTATCCCAGCAGCTCATCCCCCACCTTATAACATCAAAACTTCATACAAAAACCCGAAATTCGAATGAAATCTACAATACAAAATGTACATGAGTTTATTTAAAATATTTGTTAAAACTACTTAAATAAATATCATACAGTATATTTACAAATTCGAATAGATTAGCCAATTACTTAGCAATTTTAATTACTTTGCTAAATCACCAAGAATTATAAGTCCGTAGTAAGCATTGATTACAGGTATGTGGATTCACCTGAAATGAAAAAAAATATTTGTATTTTTAACTAAGATTGTACTTATTTTAATAATTGCTTGTGAAAAAAATCATGTATGTTTTAGTTTAATTGGTTAACGAAGAAGGGAATAACTTGGAAAGCCAAAGACATTCGATGAACATGTAACACTCAAAAGATATATTTTGTAGAAAGAAGTTCATGAAAATCCGCATTTTAATACTTGTATTTTTTTATAACATGAAGGGCGCACTTCGTCGCCCTGGTAGGAATATTGATGAGGATGTGAGCGAGCGATGTTTAATGAGAATCGATGCGGATATTGATAAATGTTTTGCCCGGTTAGTTGACTTTTCGAGCCGCAGGCATGGGCTCCCACTCACCTATGTACATTAAATTCTAAACAGATGTGCAGAGCCCAGCTGTATCGATCGCCTTTCCTGTTAAAGGAAGTTGATCTTTGCAAGCCTGTCTGCTAGTATACTCGTAAAAGTCTTGGGGACATATAAATCCAGTTCTGGTGGCTTCGTTTTATACATCAAAAATAAGAGATCGTTCAGCCAGAAGTCTTTTAAATCGTCTCGGGTGATTATTCTGGCGAAGTCAATAAGAATATAAATGTGTGGACGAAATATGGTAAAAATACCTTTTCAAGTATCTGAGTAAATTTAATTTAAATTGCATTACAAAAAAACCGTAATCAAGAAGTCGGGTGCGAAAAATTAATTTTAAATAAAAAGCGACAAAAACAACTGCAATTATTTCACAATAAAAACAAATAGATTTTAGTGAGATCTGGTAACTGTTTGAGAGGTATAGTGTACTGGAAGTCATTCAGAAAACTCACCGGATTCCCAATCTTCCTCGCCTTCTTCGGTACCACAGTTGAATTTTGGAGAGGATTGTTTACATGTGATGTATGAATCGTAATTGATGTTCTTATTCTCACTTAAACTTCGAGTGTCAGAGGTGATATGAACTTCACTATTCTGCCATTTGATTAAATCATTTTTTTTAATGGACGGTTGATTAAATATATGATTTTTTTTTATTTCCTCTTTTGTGGAATCATTCAAGCTTGATAAAAGAGGTTTACTATTAGGCTGTTTGCGTTTAGACGCGGTCGAAGTATTTTTTGAATTGGTTGATGTGTCGTATTGAATTTTAGTCTACGAATATTAGATTTATAGATTAAGCATATTTTCTTCGCAAAACGTGTTTTCACTTACAACTATATCCTTATGATCCAACGGTTCTATTGTTTGACTTTTCGCTGTATTATCATTGACGATCGCAGTTAAGATTTTTTTTTCATGAAAGCAGTTTGAAGATAAACTAACATAATCTGATCTTTCAAAATTTAAAACGTTGTCATTTTTCTCTTTTTCAGAAGTTTCAGCTTGAACATCATTGCTATAATTTTCCGCCTCAAATACGACTGAAATCTGAAACGAAAATACATTTATATTGTCAATTAGGCTTTTTTAAGAGGCATGGGTTGGCTAATTTAAATTTTACCAAAAATCTTTAAAAAAAAACTTACCTTAAAATCCTCCGAAAACGATTTATGTTCTCTGTCTTTATGTACATCATCGATTTCTGATTTGTTTAAAGTGTGTATATATTTGTTAACCGTTCCGTCGGTCTCGCAAACTTAATTAAAATAAAGACGTATTATACGCACTGATTAACTTTGCAATAACTAATAGACTTACTTGAATAGTGTCGCACAAAAAATGTATTCAGCCAAAAATGACAAACTACTTTTTTTGGGGAAATTTTTGCAATTTCAAATTTTACATCACCGGCAACTGGTAAAGGTGGTGTACTGGTCAATACAAATGATTTCTGAAAATCAATCGTCCAGGTTTTCACACTCTGTTGTAAAAAAAATAAAATAAAATTGGTCATTAGAAATGTGAGTAAAATTACTTCCAAAAACAATGTTTTTTCTACTCTTGCATAGGAAACTCAAAGTCGTAGCTCATATCAAAAATGTAATTATAATAAGTAAAATTGGACAGATTTTGTTAAGTTCTCTACATAAACGGTTGCGTTTTTGCAATACAACCATAAATTTGAGTTTACCAAACAATAATAATAATTTGTATGCAACATTATTATTGTTTACTTACATATGGCTTTGCATTTTCTGTGGATGAGTCTGGTAAAAGATATACTGAACATTGAACCGTGCCTAAATTTTGCAGGAAACTGGACTCTGAGAACCGTATTTCACATACCTAGTAAACGTTAAGTAAAAAACCTTGATTAGTTTCAGCTTGATTGATGTAACTCTATTGTAAACACTCACGTTAAGGCTTATTTTCGAATATGGAACACTTGAACAAACTAGTTTGGAAAAATACTGAACATATCGACGCTGTGATGGGATTGTCACACCTTTACAGTCCTTTGTACGTTTCTCATCATACCACGCTAATGCCTCATCAGCGGATTTTTGTAGGCCGCTGAATAGTAAATATGCACAAATCATGGTACCTGAAAAGGATGAATTACTCAGTTAGACTACTTTTGTATTTCTAAGGTAAAAAAAAATTTTCAAAATTTGTGAACTGTTGACACTTAAGAGCATAGCACTATTCTTACCAGTTCTTCCTTTTCCAGCTTTACAGTGCACGGCTACAACATTGGACGCATCTTCCTTAAGCCACGAATCAACGTCCTTGCAAAAGCTTTGTATTAACTCAATCGTTGGAGGGTTATGGTCTTCAAACGGGAAAACGGCAACTCTCTGCAATTCATCAACGAGTTATACATATTAAATAGTCACACAAGAAGATATTGTTTACCCCGTGAAATTTGCCGGCATCGTATTTACGCTCTAAGCATAAGTTGTATATTTTGTAATGTTGGCGATGATTTTCTTCCAAAAATTTGAAGACATCTTCTAGACGGTTTCTGTACAGGCCCTCTATTTTATCCGCTGGGTACCCCATGGCAATTATGTTATCATTAATGTCTAAAAGAGTCGATAAAAAATTATTGAGAAATATTTTAAAACCATTTTAGTATTTGGCTTACATGTTAAATCCAAATTGTATCCTTTTTGTTTGTATCGTATACGTTTTTTGCTTACTACATTGCGTATCACGTTGGACATTAACGAAATGGTGTTGGCCATTTTTCCAAAGTTAAAAGACTTGTCTTTTTTAAACTAGGTTAGCTGCATCCATTCAAATTTTAGTTGGAAACCAGGTTTTGACTTCTATTTACTCCATTTTTAAAGACTGTGTTCTGAAAAAAAATATGAGAAAAACAAATGGTTATTTAGTTAATTAGTTGACTGAAAGATTTTGTATAGCACTTATTTAGGATTTATTTTCTAGACTATTTAATTAAGTTTCAATTTTATGAATCGTTCAAAATTTTAAAAACTGCATTAACACATTTTTGCAGATCCAGCCTAAAATATTAAGTGATAATTAGTTTAAAACATTTAAAACATTGTTCTTCGTTAGGACAAAATAAAAAAAAAGAATAAGTATTATTTTACGGCATAAACATCTATAATTCTTGTAATTTTCGCAGTGGGTAGTAACTTGTATCGATGGAATATAAATATGTTGTTATTAGAGATTCGTAAAAATTTGCCTAAATCTACCAACAGCGATATTTCATAACTTTGGGTCGACATTTTCCTGTATGTAGATCTGGAAATCGCAAACCTTACTGGGATACATGTGTATTTATGCAGGTGCACATACACATATGCATGCGTTCCTCGCATTAAAATACTTTTGGACATTTTCAGGAGCATGTAAAGTGTTAACTTAAGCCCTTTTCACTAAACTTTGGTATATATATGTCCTTAAAATTGCCATTCACACACACGCAGTCACACATTTACGGAGTACAAGTAAAACATACTTACATGTATCGGCTTATTATCAAAGATAAACAATATAACAATTTTCCGCTTGGCATAATACATTCAGTTTGACTGCCGAATGGTTTAACTTGCGAATAAAGTTTTCTGGTTTGAAGTCAATGCACGGAATTCGAGCAATTAAATAGGTTCACTGCATGAACTGGCGGTTTTTAAACAATCAAAATCCTTATTAGAAACACCGAACAGTAATTTCGAATTACTTAACATAGCGACTGATTTGGCAACTGTTTTTTGTTTTTTTTTCTCTTTTTGTTTTATCTTGTAGACACACTTTTTTGACAAACTGTTTGCGAATGGTGGTATGTATTGTAGTTAGAGCACATATGCATGTACAGAAATATGCAGATATGGATGGGCATGTGCACATATATGCACCGATTTTTGTGCATTTATGTACATATTTGTTCAAACAAAAACATATTTACAATTCCACAGACATTTTACACATTTACACTATCAGCACCACACGAATATACATATGTGCCTACTGTTTAATACATATGTATGTGCATATGGGTATGTTTAAGTCAATAAGCTAAATGTATTTGGGTTCCAACCGAGCAAGTTTTTGTTACTGCATTTCAAAAAGTTATCACATGTTGTACATTAAGCCACGAAATTCCAAATAAAACTTTTAAATTATGTGTAAAACTTAAACAATAGCTCATGCTCTATTAAATGTATTATTAATTTATCAAGCGTGAGATCGACAGGGTGTTTAAGGTAGGCGATACCACTGGAAGTTGTGAGAAAAAATACATGCAGCGTTAATCGACGTGCTTAGGGCCTTTTCGATTAAATTGTGTATGCAAAAGCAATCGATATACAATCGATATTCCGGTTAAATATTTTTAAGAACTGGTTTCATAAATTTTTATATAATACAAGACAGGAAAATTAATTAAAATCACAATAAATAATAAATTATAATACTTTAGAAAAAATTTGCCTTTTGAAATGTTTTTTAAATAAATTTTAAAATTCTCAACCAATTTAATTTAATTTTCAGTTTGTTGATTTAATAAGTTATTTAAATTGAATATGCTAGTTCATTATTTTTAAAGAGTTTTACATTAACGATTTTCGATAACCATAAATATATTTTTAAGTTAACTCTACGAGATATGATATTTTGTTTAAACCTTTTTGTGTGTTATATTATAACATGTTATCCGAATATAAAATAATCGATCAACATTTTCTGAAATTCATTTTCGGCTAACTTTATTTCGATTTATTTTCCTTTTGTTAAATCAGCTGTTCTGTGGAAATGCGTACGGTGTTCATAAAACCATTATTACATTTTAAAACCATTAAAACTGAAAAACATAATTGCAAAGAATAAGAACTTCTTTATTAGAACTGATTGCTTTATTTAACGGCACAAATTTCTAATGTAGTTCATGCTTTTCAGTACATACATTTTACGTTACTTACCAACATTTTAAAGTTAAGAAATAAAATTGGATCCTGCTCAAGCAACTCAGACAAAATCAAAATACTTGTTTGAAACTTTAAGAAATTAAAATAAAAAATAAATTTTAAAAGAAAGTCCAATAAATTGCTCACACGGTTTTTTGGTCTATCTGAGTCTTTATGAATCTCCTTTGATAGTAGTGCAACAGGTTCTTAAGAGCTTTTGTTCTAGTTTGTCTTCAAAAATTTGATATATTTTATGCGACAAGAAATTGTGGCCCATGGCAAAGAAAAATTAGGTAAATATGCTTTAAATTATTTAAATCTTAATATTTTGTCCTGAAAACTTTAAGGTTTCATATATTATATAATACTAATTTAAAGACAAATAAAAACAAAGTTTTTGCCGTATTAACCAATTTTTGTTTTATTATTCTTTCTTATCGATCGATTAAAAAAGTATCTGCAGCGACTTGCTCCAAATGTATTCTAACCCCTTAGGCTAACTAACTAGTCGACGTTCTCATAAGACGAATATTGCTTTCCTATTTTTTAAAAACTTATTGCTTTCTAACGAATCTCAGTTGCTTTAGGATATAAACTTACTAATGACTTGTTAATTTGTTAAATAAAAGTCTTAAATGCCAGAACAAGGAGTTCGGTACAGGATACTATATACTCTTAACATGAAATAGGCGCTTGAAGCATTGGCTAGAAGTTGCGGCTTTGGCCAAAACTACATTAGGCTGTAAAATATTAAAGTATTTGCTTTTTGTATAATATGTAAAAATTATAAAGATGAATAGGTAGTAGTCATGCTTACCAATTTTAAAGAACAATATCTTAGTCATTGCTGGTGGTCTGTCTTGAAACACCTGATGTCATAAGTTCTATAGTCTTAAGATCCAGGAGTATGCAGAAAATCAGACAAGTTGTCCAGACATCTGACTAAAATCTTTAAACCTTGTTTTCGTCGATAGTCATAAGCCAGCATCATTTTGAAGACTATTAGATGATTATAAAAATTCTGTGAAATTTAACACCTAAACAATTCCGAATACTTCAAGTTCTTTAATATTTATACCAATTATTTTGCGAAAGCTTGTACGTATACGAAAAACTTTTACGCATTTCCTTTATTAAAATTGCGTACTTCTAGATTTTGGTTTGACGTGGTTCGAGTCTTAGCGTATTTGTTCTTACTAGTTTTCTACGATATAACTTAAATTTTATGTGCTTGCAATTGTCATGTTACTGGGTATTCGTAAAATAAATAATGAAGTGACGACTATCGTTTTTTTTCGATTGATGGGGGCGGGGAGTTGGACGATCAAAAACGATCGAATGCTACGATTTTAAATGTTTCGAGGCTGCGCTGCACGGTCGCACTTAAGTTATTGTTTATTAATCTTTACTCATAGGCAACCCTTAAGCAACTATGAGTGGTGTTGTCATTAGAATCGATGGTTTCCAACTGGCGATCGGGACCGGAAGCGACCAGCTGATTGTCCACCAGTGCGACCGTAGCTTCCGCCACTTCCGCTGCTGTAACGGCTGCTATCGCGTCCCCCGCCGTAGACTTCGCGGCGATTAAAACCGCTGCCGCTGGAATCGCGGCCATTATAGCTGCTCGCACCGGATCGGCCGGAACTATAGCCCCTCTCCGTGTGGCGACTCGACGAGCCACTGGATCCACGCTGCCGGAATCCCCCGCCGCCACCACCACTGCTCGTGATGCTATGCCGGCCGAAATCGCCGCGACGGCCCCTTTCCACAGGACCGCCACGCCTACCTTGCCGAGGACGTCCTTTTGATATCTCCACTCGCAGCTGGGATCCCAATAATTCAGATCCGTTTAGTATATCGCATGCCTTTTCGGCGTCATCGCGATGCTCGAACTCCACAAACGCAAATCCCGGGGGGTTGAATGCTATCCAAACGGAATTCAGTTTTCCGTACTTTGTGAACTCCCCCTCCAGATCATCCTTTTTCACTTTGTCGGTCAGGTTGCCAACGTACACTCTAGTTCCACGCTGATCGCCCATGCTTGACATCTGATTTTAATGCGATATCCCTTTCAGATACCTGCCTTGAAAAATAAATAATCAATAAGTTATCACCACCGGACAATTTAGCGTTTGTATCTATATCAAGTTTTCAACCAGGGTGGTTAAACTCGTTGCAAAAATGCTAATTTTGAAAGAGAGCCTTGCATTTGGAACGGTGAAATCGGGTGGAAATAAAGATGTATTTATAGTATTCTGAGCCCTACAGAAAGGGACTTCCCATACTATTAAAGTCATTAAGACCTCAATAATATCGTTCATTAATAAATTTTAATTGCATTTAAAGTGTGCCAAACAATTACCTTTGGAGACAATATTAATAAAACTTATGAATAAAGAATATATTTAAACAAAATCAACATTTTTATTTACGTATGTAGTATTTTAAAAATTCCTTAATAAATATATGTCTTAAATGTGCTTTTAAACGTATCACCAATTTTAGTTAGCAATACGTATAAAATAAAAAAAACTTTATTGTTATACAAATATATAGTTCACAATAATGAAACCCCCAAATATTTTTGTTTTTATTTTAATTCAGAAATATTTATAAATTTACTTTAAAAATGGTTTATTCCACTTGGAAGATGATCTACACTGTCCATAAACAATTGTATTACAACTGTCAATAAATAATACAAATTTCAGTAGTTCCATTAGTTTCAATTAACTTTAAAAACTACAAACAATTTCATGTCATTTTTACATTTTTCAACAAAGCTAATTTAGCATTGAAAGTGGAGCTGTGCGCTTTGTAAGTCACTTTGTGTTTCTTTTTCATAGTTTCTATTTAGTTAAAATTCCCTGCGTATGTCAGTTGTTCTGGAAAGTGTGTTTATTGTTACCTTGAGTATTTACGAAAGGACGCATAATAACAAAGGGAAGCATATCTCTTGCAGTTTAAGAATTAAAATGGCAGAAATGGAAACACAAAGTAATAAAATGTCAATTACAGAGGAATCACTAACCGTAAGTAGATATTCAATTTTTCTTGCATTGTTTCGAATGCGAAATTGTTTGTGACTTAATGCGCAGTTAGTCTTTTCGATACTGTCTTTGTTTATATGTATGTAAGTATGTGTATGAACACTTTGTGTATATAAACAAAGGCGCCAATTTTCAAAACATTGATAACTAGAATTCAAAGCACATACATATATAGAAATTTCCAAGTTCAAATAAGAATATGCCCCATTAGTTACATGTGATACTTAGTAACAAAATATGATTTTAATAATATTTTTAGACTCGTAAGGAGTGTGGAAAAAGGGGTCGAAAACCAGGAAGGAAGACATCGACGGAAAAATTGGATATCAAGGCCAAACTTGGTAAGACATATGTACATGGCAATTTAAAATTCAGTGTGGATGCATAATATTTTAAGTTATGTTAGGTATTAACATAAACCTTTGTTTTTAAATAATAATTTAAATATTTTTCTCTAATTGCGTTTGTGTTTTTCCTTTGCAGAACGTAGCAGACAAAGTGCTAGAGAATGTCGGGCACGTAAAAAATTGCGTTACCAGTACCTTGAGGAGCTAGTTGCCGACCGAGAGAAAGCTGTAGTTGCATTGCGTACTGAACTGGAGCGCGTCGGTATATATATAACTATGTCAAGTTCATTCAATTTATTTATTTTTAAAAATATTGCAGTTAATTCAATGGAATAGGCAATTAAGTGAAAACAACACTCCAAGCAACAATGACCAGTTACTTCAGGAAATTGGAATCCTCAAACAAGAATAAACTTTTTTATAATTTAACCTATTATATACATTTTTATAATAAATATGATTACGACAGTTATTATTTAAATTTTAATATAAACTATAAAAAACCAATTATGTGTGGTTCAAAATGCCCTTGTTTTTGTAACATTTTTTTTTTTTTGAAGAAACGCGATTTGTCTTATTACCATAAATTTAATTTTATAATAAACAAGGAAGTTATAAGATATATATAGCTTTATTGGGACCAAAAATATTTTGAATTTTGGGCAAGCTCGATAATACAAAGATGGACGAAGATTAATGAAACGATTTTTCTTTAAATAATCGATAAAACTGAGAAATGTGCGATATATTTGTGTAGTTGCCTATTGGTACTTTCTCTCATCTCTTTCACGGCTTCTAAATACAGAATCAAATACAGAACCAATGTAAACATTGTTTTTAAACTAAGTAGTAAGAAACTATTTTACTAGGGAAACCCCTATGTGCCAACTTGTTTTCTTTACTTAACTAACAGAATCTCTCACAAAATAAAATGGCATTAAACGGATTTTTCGAATTCTTTCAAAAGGGCAAGGTAAGATTAGTCAAATGGTCGAATAAAATAAAACGTATTTAAGGCTAACAAAAAACTTTATTTCAGACTTTTAGGCCAAAGAAGCCCCTTGCGTCGGGAACAATAAGATATTCTTTGCACAAACAAGCTCAGGCAAGTCTGCAATCTGGAATTAATCTTCGGCAGGTTGTGCGGCTGCCGCAGGGGGAAAATCTAAACGATTGGCTAGCTGTTCATGGTAACAATTATGAACATAATATTGCATAATCATTATATATGTAATTGTATAATATTCTTGTAATAGTTGTAGATTTTTTTAATCGCATAAATCTCATCTATGGTACTGTTTCGGAGTTTTGCAACGAAACTACCTGTCCTACAATGTCTGGGGGCTCGCGATATGAGTATTTGTGGGCTGATGGAGATCTGTAAGTTAATAAATCTATTATTCCAAGCTCAAATATAAACCAATTTGCATTTTTAGCTATAAAAAGCCAACCGCACTCTCAGCTCAGAAGTATATTGAGCATTTAATGGACTGGATTGAGACACAAATTAATAATGAATCCGTTTTTCCTGTTTCCACAGGTACAATTTTTGTTTGGTGTAATATTGCTACAACTAGTAATTATGAATTTTTTCAGATGTTCCTTTTCCAAAAAATTTCTCCGCGATAAGTCGTAAAATTTTAACCCGGCTTTTTCGAGTTTTCGTCCACGTTTATATCCACCATTTTGATAGGATTGTGAGCATTGGAGCTGTATGTAGACTAATCTGACAACCCACTACATAAACAATATTAATTCCTACACAATTTATTTTCAGGAAGCTCATGTTAATGCCTGTTACAAACATTTTTACTACTTTGTGCAAGAATTCGACATGATTTCAGCCAAGGAGCTGGAACCTTTACAAGAAATGACATCTAGAATTTGCAAAGATAAGGATTCAGTGTAACCCATAATACATTGTGATGTAAATATTTATTGTTTATTAAAAAATAAATAAGCTTTTAGTAAACATATTCAGCAGACAATGTAAATTGTTTAATTTCAATAATATTTTTGGTATTTTTCCGAACGATGTAGTATAATAAAGGTATTTTTCGACAACCTTACTTATATATGTATCTGTTTGGAATATTTGGCCTCACTCACGTAAACAGATTTTTTCTCACAAAGCTGAATATTTTGATTATAATAAAACCTACTTTAAACTTTGTGCATAATGGAGATGGTTGACCCAGACGCTCATTTGGTGGCCCTAAAGGGTAAATTGTCTATGGATTTCTTAAATCGCCATCAACCAATGGAATTAGTTTTTTATAGTTATGCGCTTGATGCGGCCCACTTTGGTCGGACACGGCCCCGTGGTTACTTGTGAACCTACGGATTTGGTCCAAAAATTTAGTAATTCGCAGGAAAGCGACGGAATTTCCGGTGCCTGTGCGGAAACTCTGGCGGCAGGACAAGTCCTGCTGCTACCACAATCCTTTGGTAGTATTTATTTGGGCGAAACTTTTGCCAGCTACATCTGCGTCCACAACACCACTGCAAATCCTGTGGAATGTGTAACCGTAAAAGCCGACCTACAGTCGAATACGACGCGCATTAACTTGTCCATGAATGAGAACGCAAAATCTCCTGTCGTTTTGGCACCCGGTGGAACCATCGACGATGTTATCCGTTACGAGGTCAAGGAGATTGGGACCCACATGTAAGAAAATATTTAAAAAGGAAACAACAAAACAGAACAAATTTGGATTTTCTTTAAATTTGTATATTAAAATAACAGTTAATTTACTTTTGTTGCAGTCTCGTCTGCGAAGTGAATTATTCGACGCCAGCGGGTTATGCACAGTCCTTGAGAAAGTTTTTTAAGTTCCAAGTTTTAAAGCCCCTCGACGTGAAAACAAAGTTTTATAATGCGGAAATCGATGAAATTTACTTGGAGGCCCAAATTCAAAACGTCACTACCAGCCCCTTCTGCTTGGAAAAAGTAGAATTGGATGGTTCCGAGGACTACTCTGTAACTCCTTTGAATACTTTGCCCAATGGAGAGTCGGTTTTTACAGTAAAACACATGTTGCAACCCAATAATAGCTGTCAGTTTCTTTATTGCATTAAGGTAAGTCCAAGTTTTTCTTTAATAAGCAAATGAAAATATGTTTTACATTTTGTGAGCAGCCCAAAGGAGATATTGCCAAAGACATAAATACTCTGCGGCAATTTAATAATGTGGGTAAACTGGATATTGTCTGGCGATCAAATCTGGGCGAGAAGGGTCGACTTCAAACCAGCCAACTTCAGCGATTGGTGAGGTCATTAAAAATTTATTTGTTAACATAATTCTTACCTAAGTATTCATTTGTTTTTCAGCCATTTGAATGCAAAACACTCCGTTTGGAAGTACTGGATGCGCAAAACACAATTAAAATTGGCACTGTCTTTACGTTCAACTGTAGAGTGACGAATACATCCGAGCAAGCGATGAAATTGAACGTTCGTCTGGTTTCAACATTTTCACCGGATAGTCAATACACGGGTTGCGCCGATTTTATGCTGGGTCTTCTTCGGAGTGGCGAGTCTGCCGAGTTTCCTCTTTCCGTTTGTCCATCAAAATTGGGTCTCGTTAAAGTATCACCACTGATATTGACCAACACACTTCAAAATGAACAGTTCACTATTGAAAATGTTGTTGATGTATTTGTCGTAAATTCGGATTACAACAACGACCCCACAACGCACCAAAATAAGCTTATTCGTTACGAAAGCGCTGCAAACTGCCTCACTCAGAAGCAGGTTCAACTACAGGTTGTATAGAATAAGCTGTTAATAAATATAAAAATTTTAAAACAACTTTTAATCATTTTCTTTATATTTAGTTTTATGTTTTGTATAGTATTTTATTATTTTTTTTTAAAGGAAGCCCCCTTGCATGTTAGATCAACTTGTTAGCAATGCGTGTCCGGTAATTTTCGACAATTCCGATTCGGTCACACCCGTACACAATTTAGATCACAACATTAGAAATGTTACGAAATGTGTGCAGCTTTTCCACGCATTTGGGAAAATGGGTTTTTCAAATCCAAAACCAATCGTTTCGTGGCATGGCGGGTCATTCAAAGTGGGCCAATATTAAACACACAAAAGCCTTGAAAGACGGAGCCAGAGCTGCATTATTCGCAAAGATTTCTAGACAAATCCGAATGGCCATTCAGGAGGGAAATTCAGCTGATCCGGCTATAAATTCTCTTCTGCGGACAGAAATAGAAAGGGCCTTGAAGCAAAACATGCCCAGTGGCACAATACAAAATACTTTGAACAAATTTAAGTCCAGTAAAGTACAACTTAAAAAGTACCGGCTTGATATCAGGTATAAAAGGACCGTGTACTTGATATGCATTTTTTACACAGACAACTTTTCTGGAGTTAAAATGGACGCGACACCGATGATAAAGAAAGCCGGGTAATTCTGTAACCATCGCTTAAATTAACTTTTCCAATGCATAACAATGTTTTTAGAGGTGAATTTTTGGATGTCGGAAACTTGTTTGAGGACTTTGGCTTGATAGAAGCACGGTATGATACATCAAAACTCGCCAACGGACCTAGTTTGGAAGATAAAGCCACTAACGATGCGATAGAACTTGGGGCCGAAGATATCGAAATAGTTGACGATGCCGAAGGCTCTGTAAAAGTATGTAGATATATTGAAATGTACTTTTTTCTAAAAATATTTTTAATAATATTTACTTCATTATGATTTGCAGTTCTTTTGTAGTCCCATTGTTTTAACTAGTCTAAGTAGAAACTTGGAAAAAAATGGATATACCATTGAAAATAGTGAACACATATTTTCACCGATGGTAAGGAACTTCTTTTTCTTAATTTATGCTTTCTGCTATATTTTCGACTTTTAGAATGTTGTGCAATTATCCGCAGAAGAGCAAAAAGTGTACGACGTTTTCCTGGAAAAACTAAGAAACATTCAAGGATTAGAGGATATCTATGACAATGTTGAATAAAAACAAATTTTAATAAAAGGTGTAAACTTTAAAAATATAAATGCTCAAAATTTTAAAACAAGAAAAAAATTTAAAAGATTTGAACAATTTTTATTTTTTGCAGTACGGAGTTGCTGTTTTTAACATTATGTTATCCTAATTCGTTGCCAACGTTGACTTTATGTTAATGAACAAGTGTTCCAATTCCAGAGCTCCAAAATCAACGATATACCTTTCTGTTAACTTAAGGCTTATGTAAAAGCGCTGAGATACCCCTAACGAAATTCCCATTCAGCTTTGAAACCAAACCAATACATGTGCAATCAAAATCATTGGTCAAAATAAAAGGCAGACATTAAATATGAATTATTTAAGAGTTATTCGGAATAATTGGAAAAAATGCACGTTCGGGGCGGCCGTTGGCGTGTATGCTTTACAATCGCTGAAAACACACATTGAGTATGCATTCAGAAAATACCATTAATTAGACAACATTGTAACGCATTTTTCTTCTTCAGGATTGAGCAGTACATGAGAGAATTTACTTCTAATATTCAGACAAATTGGGTAGCGGACCGACCAAAAAAAGTACTTGTGGTTATGAATCCGGTGGCCAATAAAAAGAAATCGGAGAAATTTGTAAGTACCTAGATACACACTTGACCGAGATCTTAACCCAGCCATAGATTTGCAGTTCAAAAACTACTGTGAGCCGGTTTTGCATTTAGCTGGATATTCTATAGAGATATTAAAAACTAATCACATTGGACATGCCAAAACCTACGTAGAAGAGATGGCTGTGCTGCCCGACGCGATTGTCGTCGCCGGTGGCGATGGAACTTCATCGGAGGTGGTGACTGGGCTGATGAGAAGGCGCGGAAATCTATGCCCGATCACCATCCTACCCTTGGGACGTTCCGTTCAATCGGCATCGAAGCGCATCAATGTTTTTGGAGTCAAGGACGTGACTTACGTCAAGAGTCTTTGCAAAGCACTGGAACCCATGCTAAAGGATGAAAGCCATTTTCAAAGTGTGATCCGCTTCGATGTGATTAACGAAGGGGATGGTAGCGACAGCCAATTGAAACCGATCTTTGGCCTAAATGGTCTCTCTTGGGGTCTACTCGAGGACATCGATTCGGGCAAGGATAAGTACTGGTATTTTGGGCCGCTGCGTCACTACGCTTCCGCCGCCTCCAAATCGTTTGCGAACAACTGGAGCGTAAAGACCGATTACGTCTATACTCCTCCATGTCCGGGATGCATTGACTGTGCCTCTACTCAGAGGCAAGAAGCACCTCTACCGTCGGGCTTGTTTACAAGAAACCTTTTCAAGTACCAGAAAAATACGGGCGAGACAAAAAGAGCGCTTGTTAAGAACGAAAACTGCAGCAACAAGTTCGAGGGAAGCGTTGAGGCCAGTCAAATTAATATCAATTGTGTTCAAAATAAGGATAACTTCGCGGAGCTGGAGAGCCAGTTCATAAGTTCATTGCAGCCGGGCTGGGATTTTATTAAGCAAATTCCACGAGTTACATGCAGCAACATCTCGCCCAGCTTAGTGGTGAAGAGTCGAACAATTCAACTGCATCCAGCCGACGAAACGACCGAAAAGTTTTACTCCATAGACGGTGAGGAGTACGATGCAAGACCCATTAAGGTATCTGTTGTTCCCAATGCTATTAAAGTTTTTTGTTGAAATTTTAAACGTGTATATTAATTAAATCTTGATTAAATAGCGCTATCAATATAGCATAACACATTCACAGCAAAAGTTAACCGCTATTTCTTCCCAAATCCAGAGCTGCGTGTAATCATTTTCAAACTTCTCTGCGGTGATCAAAATCAATTTATCGTTTATTCGAATGCATGAGCCAGTTTTTCGGCGCAGTACTTTTATTGTAAATGATTTCGGCTTGCAATTATAGTGATCATACCAACATTTTCTGGCAATACACTCGATGGAACGGATATAGCGTGGAAAGTAATTTAAGCCTAAGTCGATCCAGTTGATCCTAGAAGAGCACTCCCAGGGCCGCTGCTTAAATCCTTCAACTCGCGGGTGTCCCACTCGGTCCATAAAAGCGCTTCTAGTTCGCAGGCTCTTGCTTCTTAAGGATGTTTTCTTTTCTACCAACGCAAAGTGATTGGTTTCCCAAGCGGGAAAATGGCTAACTGAGATCACGTCACTGTCCGCATAGAATGGCAATTCGTAGGACGATCGCTTGTAGCCCAACTGGTAGCTTTTCTCATCGGACTCGCCTGGCGGATCGATGCTCATGTAGCGGGGATTAAATGCCTGCCCCAGAATTTTGCTTAATGACTGCGTTGAAAGCTCTGCACAATAGTCGGCATCATCTTGAGCTGAGTCACAAACAACAAGCAATGCGAGGAAAATGGCCAACCAACTGAGTTCCTTTTGTGATTTCATATTTTGACACAGTATGTGCAAAAACATGGCTGGTTAAAAACAGGGTTACAACCATGATAACAATAATCAATCGTTATCGTTAATTCGATTTAAGAGTTTTAAACCAGAATTTGAAAGAATCTAGTTTTCTTTCTATACGTTTTTGTGTTCAATAATCTCAAAGTTTATTTGGGTAAGTTTTCCTACTAAAATAGGTCAGCTATTTATTTAAACATATTAGCCGTATTAAAAACTGTGCCAGCTTCAGCAGCACCCATCTCTATTACTAATCCGTTATGTTCTATCAAAACACTAGAGCGTAGGTTTTACGTTGTAAAATATACATATATTAAATCTGCATTATTAAAAATGATTTCTTGTATTACAACTACTGAGTGTATGCTAGTCCTTGGGTTCTGTGTAAAGTGAACGAATCGTACACGCGCTGCAGCTCCGACAAATGATACTCTTCCAGGCAAACAATCCCCTGGAGCGACGGAGACAGTTTCAGGGCGCACGATAGGCAGTGAACAACATGTCGTTTTTCTTGCTCCTTAATAAAGAGCACATTAAATACCTCAACCTGCAAAAAACAGGCCACAAATTATGTATGTTTTCATTATACATGTTAAATATAAGCTTTTTACCTCGCATTGTCCGCAATAGCGGGAGGCCTCATTCTTTCCGCGGCCATTAAAACGTATCTCCACGCCTTTCGATTTAACATACTCTTGTATATGCAACACATTTTTTAATGTTTGCAATAAACACATCCTAAAAGATGCAAAAACATATAACATTCCAAAGGACTATACATTATTGTTATGTACTCACTTGATCAGTTCGAAAAGTTTGGTATCGGATACTTTAATATTTCTAGCAAGGTTCCAACTTAAATGAACCATTGGAACAATGCTTTTGAATGCTTGCACTTTATTCCACTCGTATCGCTCGATGGCAAGAGAATACTGACGGGCAGTCAATGGACCGACGTTCCACGCAATATTGTTGCACCATCCTACCGACTGCACCCAGTGTACGCATCTAAAAAAGGATTAGCATAAATAAATAAATAAAAAGGAGGGGAAAGGGTTGCAAGTTTCTATTTAGAAATATAAAAAATTCTAATATCTTACCCAGCATTCACCCAAACCAAGTCGCCGGGTTTTTGAATAAACCTGTACACTGGAATATTCTCTTTGTATAAATCCTCCAGGACTGGCCACCACGAACCGTGTAGATAGCTGATGTTGTTCTTCTCACACAGGTTGTGCACTCCGCCCCAGTAGGCATCTGGGACGGCAAACCATTCACAGTCCCCTGGACCGATATTGATATTGATTGAGCAGAAGTTATTGTTCTCTTGATGGCCAGGCGTCCTACTTCCGGGCACTTTCATATAAAGCTGAACGGTGTTCATGCCCAAAATAACGTGGCCCACGTGAGAAAGCATATTGGCAGCGGAAATAACTCGTGCAAAAGCTGGCAGTTTTTGTAGCTCTGTTAATTGTGGCTTCCATTTCTTTTCATCGGAGAGGTCAACGTTGGTTCCGAATCTACAAAAAGTCGGTGTAAATAAATTTATCAGAACTAGATTACTATGCAAACATTTAGTTTCACTTACCTTAACATTTTGCTGTTTATTTTGTGTTTCTTACGCTTTAAATTAATATTCGAATTTGAAACCGAGTCCTTTGAGTCCGAGTCCGACATCACCTGTGAGCCCGGAAAGACCTTGTCACTTTCATCCTGCGGTAAAATAAGCTACACGATAAAGTAAAATGTATACATATTGATCAGGGACTACCCAAAAAGCATTACCTTAAGGCTGTCTTGAAAACTTGATGCCTGATATTGGGCATATTTGGCTATTGTGGTGTGAGACCGATGGGAAATACAGGCCCAAACTCGCTTGCCCTGCGAAGTGTCCCAATTTTCATCGGGCGACTGATGGACCTGCGTCCGCACCTCAACACTATGATCGGGATTGGCTTCCACCAGCGTTTTGGTCGAAAAGAGACCGAGATCTAGTTTTAGGGCGCCCGCCAAACCGCGTACAACGGCAATCGGGTGTTTCAGGCAAAACTCCTGCAACTGGGGGCTGAACGCGTTCTTCTTATTTTCTAAATGAACCGAGGGAGTGGGAGGCAGCAGCTGATCCCTCGTGAGTTTCTGCGGTGGGCAATCGGGCGGAGATGGCGGGGGCGCATTCACTTGCAGCACAGTGCAGTGAACAGGCGGTTCGTCGATCGGCAGCAGCTTTACAGCTGCCATCAACTGTTTTGAGTCCATTTGTATTTTGAACGTGGTCGACAATTCGGAGGCGCCACCTCCATTATAATCATTGTGCCGTGAGTCTTCACTGTTACTCAACGCATCATGGCTTAAGCGTTCAAGTTTAATAGTTTCACTTTGTTTATAAATATCATTCGAGATGTCATCAAAAGTGTCTACAACACTCTGTTCCGAAGTCTTGTTACCTTCCGGCATGGCGTTGAAATTGCGTTGGTTTAAAGAATCTGAAATGTCTATTTTGCATACAGCAAAAAAAAAAAAAAAAAAAATAATAAGATAAACAAAGAAAGGCCATTGGATTGTACACCTACTTATTAGGTTTGGATGCAGTTGTGAAGATAGTTGAACATTGTTTTGAATTATTTCTTGCTGGCTTGAGCCATCTTCCTTAATACGTTTCGCAGGTATTGGGCTTTGGCTGAGTTGGCTGTGCGGATAAGGTGGCGGAGGGCCCTTTAAAAGAAACAAACTTTTTTAGAACAAATTTGAATATTAAAAAGGTTATTGTTTTGAACTTACCTGTATTGGACTTTGTTTTGAAATTTGTCTTGGTAGCATCTGCGCTGTTTGTTGTTGGCGAGAGTTCATTTCTAATGATATTGGCAGATTCCAAGCTTCTTCAATTGAACACAGTTGGCGGCGTTTCGATGTAATACTTGGCAATGGTGCTTGGCTGAGCTGGCCCTCTAAAAACGATATTCTCTGAGACAAACCTTTCGACAGTCCGATTGTGTCCTTTTTCATGCGTATTGCTTGTTTTCTTCGAAATAATGAAGACTTCTTAAAGAAAAATTAAATGTTAAAGTTAGGAAATTAATTATTCGAAGAATAGTAAGCTTACCTGGAATGATATTTGTTTGGTTGCATTTAAATAGCAAGCATAGGCATCTCGTAATTGACCACAGCTCTCATAAAGTATTCCCAGATTGGTCCACGCGGCTTTATGGTCTTTATCCAATTGCACAGCACATATGTAAGCTTGAAGGGCATCCGTCGGTTGATTTTGTTGTTGATATAAAACGCTTCAAATGTTTGTTGTTAGAAAATAGCGGAATAAGAAAGCATTTATGCCGTTCTTTACCCGATCGAACACCAAGTATCTGCATTCCCCTCACTCTTTTCCACCGAGTTGCGGTATGCTAGGAAGGCATCGTGAACTTTATTAATTCCGGCATAACACCTTCCCAGTAAGTATAATGATTGTCCACTCTTTGGATCAGCTTCAATTGATTTTTGTAGAAAGTTTAATGCGTTAGCTTCACGTTCCTTTTTTTCGCCTAGGCATTCTACGCAATGGTACATCCATCCTAATCAAATAATTAAAAGTTTTAAATATTTTGTACATATATGATTATGATTTAATGACCTCATAAGTGTAACTTACCTAACTGTCTATAAACATCTGCTTTAAGTTCTAATGAGATGTTTTTTTCATTTAAAAGAAATTCATAGCCGTCCTTGGCCGCCTTATGCTTGTTTTGAACTTCATACAAGTGCGCGATTTGAAATTTTACTAGAAAAAAGGGAATAACGATTACCAAGTTTAAATGTTTTCTTACGGTGGCTTCTGATGTTTTGCTTGGATCTTGATTAAATAATGATTTTAGACATTAAAAAAACAACTTACCCTGAAGTTCTGAAAAGGTCGAAGGATATGTGTAAAGCAGCGCCAATTGCAAATGTTTCAGGGCAATTTGGAATTCCCCGCAATGTTTTAGCATAAGACCTAATCGCAAATGAACTTCATTTGCACATGCAAAGTTGGGACTTAAGTATAAAAGCTCCTGAAATGATTTGATGGCCCTGAAAAAAACAATCAATTCATCGTTAAAACAGAAGTCACATTTGTTTGATATAAAATATTTCGGGAGATCAAAACAAGCAACATTCGAAAGTAGAAATTGCAATAACGTATTTCCCAATAAACAACAGCCAACCGATTTTCATATAAAAAATAGTATAACTATTTTTTTTATTTTAGTCTTACATTTTTACATTTAAAATGATAATGCAAGCAAATTTGTTTACAGTGAGCGGTGTTTACATAAGTACATACATACTCATATGCATTTAGTCACGTACACACATTCATACATACGTATGTGTAGACTAACTCATGTAACACAGTTTATTTAAATAGAACATGAACCATTAGTGTTAAAATGCTAGTTAAAAGTTTTTAGATGATAAACTGGCACTGATGTATAAAGATTGTGTTCGTAAATAACAAAAGAACTTGCAGCCGATTGCAGACATGTCTGTGCACTTAAAAAAAAGAGGCAGGCATTTTCTTTCTCACAATTTTACTGAGGCTGTTTTATTGATTATTTGAGCCAGACGACGTCTACCTGAACGTTAGCATTCTACATATTTGTAATTTAACAAAGAACACATTTTAACCCCGAAATTCACAAAACGACCTTAAAGGGGGGCAATTCAATGCATTTTGTACATACACACGCACAATGTACATACATGTAATGAGAATATATGTACTTCTATCAAAACGATACAAAATATATAGGAAAGTTTTAAGAAAATATATTTCGGTTCGAGTTTGTTTAACTAGTTTGTTATGTTAACAATATTATTTGAAAATTTTTTGTTTACGGCATCCATTTAATATTCTTAATTGCAACAAAGTTCATACTGGAATCCAGAACTAACCAATAAACGCACTTTTTTTTTTTTTAGAAAATATTCCAGTCTTAATTTTATTTCGTTGTGAACAATTTACAAATATATAATATAAGTGGCAGTGTTGTTTCGTGTAGAATCTATTTGGTAAACAATTTAATATCAATACAATAGAGATGTGAAAATCTCGATAGAGAGAACGAACGAAAAAATCAAAATCATAAAAACCCAACCATATTTGCATCGATTGTATCGATATATAGTTATCGAATGGCTCAGGTCACAAATCAAATAGTCTCCACTTGCCTTGTGACGACTTTTATAAATCAGCCAAATCAATAACAATTTATTTATTTTTAATTTTTCATGATTTTTTTTTTTTTATTTTATTTTAATATTTTAAATATTTGGTACATCATCAAAAACCGGTCAAAGTACCTTGAAGTTTAGTTTTATTTCAACTAAAAATGATAAACGATTATGCATGACACTGATTAATTCATTTTTTAACTCAAAAATTATTTTTTGTGTATATGCTTGATAGGAAACAATAGTTTTTCCAACTACTACTAAGTTTTTATATAGACCAGGTATTTCTTCTTTGTAAAACTAAAAAATTTGTAAAAATTTTTTAAATACACTTACCATTTAAAGCACCGAAGTTTAAAATAGGCGACACCAATTCCATAAATAAATGCATGGTTTGTCCAGTAGTTACTTTCTCGGAATCGTAAATACTTTTGATATGCGGATAAAGCTGCAAAACGTATATAAAGTTTACAATATATCAAAAATTTGCTTGTATATCCCCAATTAAAAAAAAAAGAAGATTTAACAATAGAAACTATTTGGTTTGCAAATATTATATAAGTCGGGTCGACCGGCAGCATTTCTTTCAAAGCTTCTCATCCACGGAAGCAGTCTAGCGGAGCTATTCAATAATTGTTGGTTATAAATATATGGTTATAAGTTTAATATAACTCTTGCGGGATGGTCAAAATAGAAGACTTTATCAAATTGTTTCCAAAGACCGCGTCTGCATATTTACCTTCAGAGTATTCACCGAGAAGTAGATGCAGGTGACCAAGTTTACAAAGAGCATTAACGTATTGTTCGTCATGGGTTTTTTCATCCTTGTCGTTAGTTTCTTTAACGAACGGCTTGATGTCTTCATTATTTTGTGAAGAATTGTTTTCCATATGTTCACCTGCTACATTTGAGGACTCATACTTTTGTATAGCATTTTTATTATCGCATGTGCTCTGCGTTTCTTGAACTTTCCCATTGGCAATGTAATTTTGTAGATTCGTTATAGTCTGTTGAACCAGAGTCCTTAAATCCGCGTTTTTTGGACTGGACAAGTCCAAAAAGCCGTAGTATCGACTAAAATGTAAATATTATTAAATAAGGTTTGGCCGGCCAACAATTAACTTACCTATCCAGCTCGCGGACCAGGCAATCATCTTCAAATGATATTTGACCCATTTTTGAGGCAACTGTTCTCAAAACTTCCAATAATCAGAAGTGTTGACAAAAATACAGCGTAGTTTTTAAAATCTTTTTTATTTATATTTTTATTTTAGTGATGGTACAGCACCAAAAAATGTTTAGAGATGGGAAAGGCTTAAAAATTTACGACGTGTCACGAATACTTCCAATACCGTTTTTACACTGCGACCCTGAGATTGGTTGGGATGTTTGCACGACCTCAATGTACAAGTATTCGGCCAGACCAGAATGTTATAGAGCAGTGTTTCCCAAACTTGTCGGGACAGCGACCCACCTACACAAAAAATTGCAAGATCTATATGGCAATTCGTACCCACCAAAAATCTACCCGCGACCCACCAGTGGGTCGCGACCCACACTTAGAGAAATACTGTTATAGAGATTTTTAGGTTTGCTACAAAACTGGGTAAAATAAATTTTAAAGCAGTAAATGGTGACTATCGATACATTTTATTCAACATATTTAAATATTTAAATATAATACAGTTGGCGTTCAAAATTTATGTGTTTGGAAGTGTTTTGTAACAGCAACAAAATTTTGAATTTGAATAAGACAAAATATAAATTTATAGGATAAAATATAAATCTATATTAGTATGGATAACATAAGATCAAAATATTTCAGTAAATATATAATTTAGCTTGTATAATTATGAATATTAAAATCCACAAAGAATTCTTTTTGTCTATATTCGCTGCGTTTGTTAGATATCCTGTCTCACTTTCAATGTTTTCATTAGCTGAAAATAAAGAACAACATTTGCATTAGTATTAATACTAAATTATTCACAATATCAACTTTAAAGTAAGTCTAAATATTTCATACATTGGTCCGCCTCGTTTATTAAATCCACTAAAACGTTTTCAGTATCTGAAATAAATAAAATAAACATGATAAAGCTTCATGTACAATTGGTTGTTAGGTAGAAATCTTTTCTGGTTCTTACAGGTTTCCTCAATATTTGTTTCATCTTCTGGGTCAGTTTCTATAACATCAATAGCTGTAAGACAAGATCGGAAATATTCTCAATTAAGTTTTTTAAACACGCTAGGTTTAAGGAAAGCACTTACAGGGATTGGCTGTGCCTTGAAAATATCCTGCGTCAGGTTCAATGTATTCGTTTACTTAAATAAAAATTTACAGATAGGTATATTTATATATTAATAATGTCTTTTATGTAAACAGATTAGTAGAACGGCAAATACGTATATTTGTAAGACGTTAAAGTTCCGGTTAAAAGAGGATATGTGCAGTTCTTATCAGTTCTATGGAAAAACAAAGGTACGTTTCTCGGAAACTATGTATTTGTTTTCTTGATCCCTTTGAGATAAACTATTTTGACAATAATAAAATTAATAAATACTGTTTATTTGAATTACCTATCTCTGCGCTTTTTCTTTGACGATAAGGTAGAGATGCACTGTAGCTATTGTTATTTATGTCGGCAGTCTCTGCATTCTGTAAGATTCCATAGATCCAACTTAAATAAGGGTTTATTTGCAGAAATCTATTTGTTATTCCATTTTCAAGATTAGATTCGCGTATGTTTTTCGATGGGAGTCCTAAGGAAATTATTCCAACTAGATTACTTTCATGAATAACGCCATAGCCAGGGTATACGTTTTCTCCGTAAGGATTTTTCCAAACCTGTGGAAAAAATATTATTAAAGCAGTTTTAAACGTTTAAACATAACATAAAAAAGAACTTAACTACGAGTTGTTCAAATTAAGATTGTCTATTTGATTGCGCAATGTATATTTGCATTTTTTCGCACACGCGAATTGTTATCTTTGCCTCAAAAAAGGTTGGAGATGTTGATATTTAACTGTTATAAAAGTATACTATATATGTACATGCAAAATTATTGGTTAAAAAGGGTAAGAAAGGTGATTTTTTATTTGCAGCGTCTTATTTAATCGTATTCATTAAAACAGCCAGTACTTACATATGAATCTACGCCGACTTCCAAAGGTAAATCCGTAAGATCATAGTCTCCAACTAAAACCCATTCAATATCATTTCGCTCGGAAAGGGGAAGTTGTGTACTTAAACTTAGAATCGCAATATCATTTTCAAAAGATGACACATTAAATTTAGGAAAAACGTCAATGCTATCAACAAAGTATATCCATTCCTGCAAGTCTCTTCCTTTAAAGGACACAGCTAATTCTTCTGGGCCACTTAATACAGCTTGGTTATTTGAATTGTTACTCAATAAACACGATGCCGCTGTCAAAACAAGACGGCTCTGAAGAATATTTCCGTAGCAGTGGCCATCAGTTAAACCACCCAAGTCTGTCCTCCTTTGCAGTAAAACTTGGTAAGACGGACGCAAAAACTCATTTTGCACGCACGGAAAAAGACACAATATAATTAGAGCTACCGAAATCATAATTTCTCTTGACTCGTCGGCAGGAAAACCTTGACTGTCTTCACGGCTTCCCTTTACAAGATTAAGATAGTAAGCAACCCCAGATGCACAGCGGAGATATAGCTTATCTCTTAATATAATTTATACAAGTACAGTAAAACCTGCGTTCCCAGGTTTTTTATTTGGCTATAGAAAACATAATATAAACGGGCCTTGAGATAACCCGTTATTTAAATAATTGAAACTTAAAAAGTAGTGAAAAGCATCATAGGCGTTAATCTCGCAATGATAATCATTACCTCAGAGACAGTCAAACTTTAACCGCTTTTTAAACATGTGCTTACTGTCTACCGTGCCTTATAAAATGAATGAAAAATTTACGAGGGCAGCTCACTAAACATTAAAATTCTTTGCAATAAAAAAGGCTACAAATTAGTAGAGAATCAATAACACACTTCAAATTTAAAAAATGGCGCTTTTTATTTATACTCTTATTATATTTAAATCTCTTTGATAAAGGAAATAATGTTACGAGACTCTAACCGGGTTATTTTTTCTACCGCTCATGTTTATAACAAACAATAAGTAATAAAATGGTAAAAAATTTAATTAATTAATTTTTGTCAAACGAAGACAAATTTTAAAAAAATTTAAATCGTACAAAATTATTTTTTATTTGCTGAGAACTCGAAAACATTACTATGTCAAGTCCCACATTTTTGTACTTTTCTATTTGCATGGATTACGATTTGTTTGTAAACAAACGCTGCTGACTGAGCAGCAGTAATCCGGTAATTTATGGATTTGAATGAACTGGTCCATTCAAAAAAATAGATAAATGGCGAATTCGTTTTAGGCAAGAAAAAAGATAAGCTGATGTTCCAAATGGGACATACCCTGCACCAGGCCTAATCGTTTAAGGGTCCAAATGGTTTTTAAATTATCTTTTCTCACTTCAGTTTGATTTTTGTAGACAACAAATCCCGAAAAAGCTCCATGAAAAAATTAAAATAAAAATGATTGGTTTTGTTAGTTACCATTTTACTGGCTAAATTGAATTGTGAAACAAAAGCTCGGACTTTAGGTATTAGGTATATCTATTCAATAAAACTAAGCTAATATACATATAAAGATTGAATTTGAAACAGTTTAAATATTTACAGATTCGCTTATTGTGTTATAAAACAGTAGGCTTTAAATAACAAAAGGTTCAAATTTTATTAACTTGAATATCGAGTACAATAAATTGTTTAATTTAAATGAAACCCCTTTTCTTTTGTTGCTGTTAACAAGCGCTCTTTCATGATCTCTTCAGTTGGGTAGTCTGGAAGCTTTAAGTAGTGAACGCAGGTGTTCACGGATGGATAGCTTCCAACGCCAGCGTCTACCTTTCGCACGACTGTCAGTCGTGGATGTAGGTTGGCAAGTCCTCCCGGGGGCAGGCTGCTACAGCCAGTTGTGAATTGAAGGAAGGCCTTCCTCTCGTCTCCCGACATGCTTAACAAAACGTTAACAAAGCGTTGGAATCCGGGACTAAAAAGGTATATCGCGTTATTAATAATGAAGAAATTTCTATAAAAAAAAAAAACGTACCTGTCTTTGTTGTAGCCAAGCTTTGGCTCAGTGTATGAAATAATGTCTTCTCGGCTCCAATGCGGGAACTGCTCGCCACAAATCATCATTCGGGCCTCAGAGGGAGTAAAGGCGGCTAACTTTTTTAGGGGGAACACTTCGTTGAATCCGTCGCTGAAAGCCTTCATTTGCTGAGCGATTCCGTCCTGCAGGATGAAGTTCATCAGCAGTTCGCAATATGCCTCCAGGTTGTTGATAGTGACATTCACAGACGACCCGTTTGGCAGCAGTTCCGCCTGGGTGTATCCATAGACCGATGAACTCGGCAGATACGTGAACGTAAGCGCCAAGTCTTCAAGGGAAACTTCCAAGCCATTTTGGGTGCGCAGCTTAAGCTCATCGATTAGCTCCTGTTTCTTCTCAGCGCTTAAAGTATCGTCAAACTCAATTGACTGCTTTCGCATTAACAGGTTTTGCATTTCTTGCAGGAATTGATATCGAGTTGGATCTATTTCCTTAAGGTTTTCCAATGACAGAATTCCGCCGAATGCGTTTGACTTATTGCAATCAGTTCGTAGCAGTTTAGTGCAGGTTTCCACTATGTCCGATTCTTCTGACACGACGGAGAGATCGCCATTTCGCCGGTCAGAAATTACTTTTTGGAGATTACGTGATAGAACTTTGTTGTGGCAAAGCAACTGGAGAAACGATGTGGACAGGGGTATGTCCACTAGTCGCATATCCTGCAATACTTTCGCCACAAAAACGCCGAAGAACCAGAAGTATTTCAGAACCTTCTCGCATATTTCGGTATTTTGCGGCAGAGGGGCAGGGAAAATTCCGTGCTCCCTGCGGTTTACGTAGTAGCCCACTGGCTTCGAATTGGCTCCAGCACTCTCCGACTGGTTTTCGGTGTCCTCGCCCAAGTCATCGTCGCAGAGCCACATACAGAGGTCGGATCGCTGGATTTCAGCAGCCACCAAGGCGTAGAACTCCAAGGTGGGTCCCAGGCCAGTTCCCTCCTCGTCCAAGAACTCCACCTCCAGCACGGACTTGCGATTGCAGTGGGTCTTCATAACCTGCATTGCCCACTTGAGCAGGTCCTCGTTTCGTGGTACTTTAACGCGTTCGTGCTTGAGGCGTCCAATGCGGAACTCGTGGTCATCCCGCCGCGGGCTCATGATGGGAATCCTCTGCCTCTCCACGGTCACGTCTCGCTGGGACTGAAGACAAACAATGCTGCGAGACGCGCCAAACGAGGTGCAGTTGAAGTACAGCTGCCTGGTTTCAAATGGAAACAGGAACGGGCAGGATTGGTTCAGATTCTCGCACCAGTTCGGCAAGGCGTTGCTTGCCAGCACCAGTGGATCCTGAATTTGCTGTTGCAGTTTGTTGGTTATCTTCTTGCTGATAAAGAGATCTTCGGACAACGCCAAAACGACACCATGTTCCTTAGCATCCGAACCGATTTCAGATTGATTGAGACCATTGATTTGGGTGAGCAGCTCAAGTACATCGTCGACGGAACAAAGGTTGTTGTCGGCCACGTTGAATCCAATGTGCATGGGCGAGTTGGGCGACAAAGTTGAAGCACCGCTCTTGGACGACACATCCGGCGTCTGGGGGAAGTCTTCCGATTCCAAGCCGGTGCTCTCCTGCGCCTCGGGCGTCACCTCCCGGTAGACAATTGTGTATGTGGGTTCCCAGATTTTACGGAACTTGTCCAGCTTGTTCAACTGGCTGCATTGCAGCAACTCCTGTACGGCTCGGAAAATGGTCCAGTCGGTGTTGTTCAAGTCGATTTCCACTTCGGGAATGCCACCAATTCCCGGACCTCGCAATTTCAATCCGAGCAGCGGCTGCTCAATGGTTTCCGGTCCACTCTGCTGGGGTTTGGGCAACTCAACGCCAATGGGGGATATTTCCAAATCGGATGTTTGATTAACATTGGTACGGCCGGGTCGCGGATCAAATGCAGGGATCAACGCGGAAAACTGCCTCTTCAGCACGAATTCATCGTCCCAGGACTTTCGCTTAGTCACTCCCACCAACCTGTTCTCCAGTGCCTCGTCATCCATAAAGGTGAGCAGGTTCCGGGAAACCATTACTTGCAGGAGAGTGTTGCCCACTTCTTCGTATTCGTCTTCATTCTCCTCCTCATCGTTGTCCTCATCCATGTCGTCCTCATCGTCCAAGTCGCCCAGCAGAGCCGGTGCTCGACAGCTCTCCAAAAAGTCCTCCAAGGACACCTGCTCGCTGTCGCTCGATGTGGATGTTAGACTCATTGTTAGGGTGTGATTTATAGTGGACGCCGATTGCTGGCCGGCCGAAGTGTTTGTGGGGTTCGATGGAGCTATATTTTCGCTATTATTCGACGATAAACTTGGATAACTTTGGGCGGTGCTCAGCAGTCCAGAGTGGAAGTTGCTCGACAATGCCAGCTTGACCAAACTGGTCACCGAGTGGCCGAGGAATGACCCAGATGCGTTCTGGTCGCCGTGCTCGTTGACATTCACATCCGCGTTTATGATCTGATTATCCTGGATATTAGTACCCTGGGAGGTACGGCGACGAGCGATTGCCGCAAATGTCTCGAGCAAACCCGTGTGGGTGGCCACCTCGGAGGTCGAGGGAACCTCTGAGGCCGAAGTTGTCGTCAGATTAGGAACACTGATACTCATCTGGCTGGGCACTGACACGCTTTCGGATGCAATTTGCTGGTCCTTGATGTCCACAATTGACAGCACGGCGTTGGGCTGCTGGGCTGGCTTCAACGTTACACTGGGTTTCTTTGAACTCTTGCTGGGAAATTCTTCGTTTGCAACGATGATTTGTTGTTTTTGATTTGCGTTCTCTGGATTTATCAGCGCCTGAGCCTTCGGGGTCTTCTTAGTACCGACTGCCGCATTTGTGCAGGGCATTGGGAAAGTGTCGGTAGAGAGGATATTGTTGGAGTTGTTGCGTATCATATCCACGCCGTCACGCATTTTGTCGATCATCTCGAGGGCCTCTGTCGAAAGTTGGGTGACTGGCTGACAGCCAGCAATGTTCGATGTTCGGAGATTTACGAGCAGGTCCTTCGATATCTTGTTCACCGAGTTGTTAGCGTTCATCTTGTTGTTCTCCTCAATGTTGGATATGTTTTTGATATCACTCTCGCGCGGCGACGAACTCTGGACGTCCGGCAGGCTGGTGCTCTGACTCGCAGCAACGTTCTCAGCTGGTTTGTATGGAGGCGAAAGGACGCTGCATATATTTTCTTTGGACAGTTCAGCTAGGGACAAGTTCTCCGAAATGGTGGCCAGGTCGGAAACAATACTTGAGTTAATCGCAGGCATGGAGTTATTGATGGCCGACAAGTCCGAAATGTGCTCCAACTCTCGACTCAACGGCGACGGTCCACTAATGTTGTCCTTATGCATTTGGTTGGTGCCCGACTCCTTGTGCTTGGCTCGAACTTCCCGGGAGGAAGATGTATTCATAGCAAGTTGGTTGGAGATTATCTGAGTCTTTGCCGAAGCAAACACGTTCTCTGCAATCGTCTCGACCGCCTGTTTCCAGGCCAAATTGTCCGCCGAAACGGTTTGATTGGAGGCGCCTTCGGCGTTTTGATTCTTCTCGGTGGCTTCGGGCAGCGACGGAGTCGAACTCGATTTGCGTGAGGTGAGTGTATTGGACTTATCATTGATCTTCGCAGCCGAATTAACCGTGCCCATGGACTGATTTCCCTCGAAGACGGAGAGATACTCGCAATCGGCCAACTTCAAATCGTACTTTCCCTCGGCTCCCATGCGATAGGAATTGCGTACGCCGTGATCCCACTTAACATCGATCCAGCCGTTGTGTGTTTCGCCAGTAATTGTGCCCTCGGCACATCCATCCTGATCCTCCCAGCGCCAGTCAACGCCTCTGACTACCCGAGCTCCTGTGGTCATGTGCTTCAGTTGAGCCCGAATCTGTCGCCTCTCGCGTCTTATTTTTGCCTCAGCCTCCTTGACGCTCTTTCCAATATCGTCGGCCACTCCCACCACACGACCGTAGATCTCGAATCCACTCAAGCTCAAGTAATGGGTCTGGCCAGAGGCATTGCGACCATTTTGCTGAATTCTGATGTGGCGATATCGCAGGGAGTCATCTGCGGCGCACGTAATGGGCCAAGTGGCTGTGCTGCCGGGCTCAACGAGGCTCTTGTCATCGACATGGGAGCTTAGAGTTGTCCAGCTCAGGCCATCCTTCGATCCCTGCAGAAGCCAGTTTCGCAGAGCGGACCTTCCGTATCCGCGAGCATGACGCAGTGTATAAGCAGTTGGGATAATGTAGACGCCCAAGTCGATGGCGAACCAGGCCTTCTTGTTGTCCTTAGTGTGACAATTGAGTGAGATGCTGTCGCGAGATAGGATATCCTCCAGTTTGCCATAGGGCAAGGTCTTTCCCTCCGAACTTGTCACCTGCACAAGTCCATACTGTGCCGGGTTGACCCAATCGCATGTCTTTGCATTGGAGCCAATGTAGAACAGCAAACCCTCCTCATCGAAATCGAATGAGTGCGTAAACACGGTGCCGGTTCTTTGCTCCCGTATTTTCTTCAGATAAAAGTACGTTGACCGGTCGAGATCGTACCATTGTTTTGCTACCATCTTTAGTAGATACTTGGAGAGTTGGCCAATTGTGGATAGGGGTTCCATTTTTAAAGTTCGGCCCGATCGATCGAACAAGGTGCTCTCGCATTCCGCACGCTCCAATCGGAAGCGAAGTCGTTTCTGCAGGATTTGTAGGCTGTAACCGGTGCACGGAGTGTCGTACAAGTAGACCGGCAGCTTCTCTGTGCTTTCCAAAACAGACACAAGCTTCTGAATTAGAATACTTGCAGTACTCTTTGTTCTCGGCTTGTTCGTTGCAGACTCTACGTTATCCTCAAGTATGCATTTCCTGAATACGGAAACTCGTTGTTTTTGCATTTTGTTTCGCTTGCAGCGCGGTGAATTGTTTTCCCAATGGTTGACCGACAAAACAGCCACCAACGCTTGCACCAATCCCGACGAGTGCATCTCATAGGCACTCACAACGCCATCTTCGTGGATGAGTTGCGATAGCTTCATTAGGGCGTCCGTCAAGGTGGTTTCCCAATTTCCATTCGGTGCCATGTGCTGCTCCTCGAAGGAGACCTCAATCTGCTTCACTATGTCCGTAAGTATAGCTACGGCTCCTCGAGGAATTGTTTGCGCCGATTTGAAGTATTTGTTGTAGATTTCCCGGGACAAGTTTCGAACTTGGAACTTCTGACCTTCTGTCTTGGACTTGTTGCGCTTCTTCTTAGCAGTCGACCAACCGGAGGCGAAATCGGGACCCAGGACAGTTTCTGCCGTGAAGGTATGCTTCGTTCCTCGGTTGCTTTCAAAAATGAAGCCAGGCAAGTCATCCTGCAGCACAGTTACTTGATGGCCCTCGGTGTTGTGAATTTGCAGTTGATTTGTTTTATGCGATTGCAGGACCCAGTTTCCAACAACCAGTCGAAGGGCACTCGCAGTGGGCAAAATGGGTTGCGAAACAACTCCTGGGATTACGCAGGAACGCGCACGCATCAGTTTCTCTAAAAACTCTCCACGATTTTCTGAAAAGAAGAAACATTATATTATATATTTGTTACAAATCACTGTTATAAATTTTATCATTATTTATATAGTTTATTTAACGCAATAATATATATTTTTAGCTTACCAGAACTATCATTTCCGTTTTCTGGGCTTCCACTCGAGTACATCGTTGCCAGTTTGCCGTCTATTATAAAACGGAACCATCCGTTGGAGCCGTTGGAAAGCTCCAGAGCCACTGAATCTGACCACACGTACAAGCAGTCTCGTCCCCTGCAAATGCTCCACTCCCGCCAATGATACGGCTTTCCTTGCAATATTTCCTTTGCGTCCTCCATGGGATCATCTAATTCGGAATTTGGAGATAAAGTACATAAGAACACGTTTCTTTTGAATCAAAATCATAAACTAACCTGAAGTTGATCTTGGTGTGACCACAACGCTTGTCGAAGATCTTTGCGCTGCTGCTGGTTCTTCAGTGTTTCCAGATAATTGCACATACAATTCTTCTGCATCATTGTCCATCAGGGCTTGGACCTTTGCAAACACTCCGAGTCTTGCAAAATGATCAAGAAACTCCTCTTGTGTTTTACACATAATTTCCTCAATAATGTTCAAAACAATTAAATGACCGTCGTCGTCATCCTGAAACGAATTTATAATACAAAAGTTATTTGAGTGTTAAAAAAAAGCAAAAATTTAAAATAATTATTTACCTCGTTGTCTAGGACACTGGCGACGACCTCGATTAGTAGGTTTCCACCGTTTTGGCCCGATGTTGAAGCTGCATCTTCGCTGAAACTGCTTTCGCTTAGACTTTGGAGCACCGTTGGGTACGCATATTGTACGATCTTCTTTATCAATGCCAAACTGGCCCGTCGCACACTTCCCAGCATGGAGCCTAAGAAGGTCCGACAGAATATGGGCAGAAGAACCTTTAGGTAAATGGGCGCCATTTCCGGATCTCCCCGTGGCTCCATCAGGGTGTACTTTTTGCCATCCTTGTTCAGGAGCGAGTGATCGGGAGACATCCACTCCCCGGGAGACTGCAGAATGGCTGCCACTTCGCGATGTCCGTCGTCCAGCCTTTCGCGTGCTTTATCCAGCGGTGTTTTTCCATCCTCATCTCGCAGATCCGGATAGGCTCCGAATTTGAGCAAGATTTTCGCAATGGCCGGGCGTCCGAAACAAGCGGCATAATGCAGGGAAGAGCTCCGTTGGCCCTTGTTGACATCGGCGCCCTTCTCACACAAATACTCGACCATCTCCAAGGTGCCAAAAGCTGAGGCCCAGTTAAGAAGAGTCTGACCCACATCATCCATACAGTTGACGTCTATGCCGCCGGATTCGATGGCCTCGCGGAGAGCCTCCGAGTCCTTCGATCGAATGCAATCGATGAGCTGGCGATGCGTGCGATCTGTGTTCGTGTTGTTGCGTCTGGGTCGTGGCGCTAGTTGGCCCTGATTCGGGTTGTTACTGCCTCGGTTTAAGGCTTGCCGCCCCTCAAACAAAAGCAGCAGCAATAGATCTGCAAATCGCATGCAGTCCAGCACGCATCGCTCATCGCCCTGCAGTGCTCGTTCGAGAGCGTCGGCCAGCTGGGATCGCAGAATGTCATGGGTGATGGAGGGAGATCCGCGGCAGAGTGTGGACAACAGGGAAATCGTAGTGGATATCGACTGCGGGGATGCGGCAGCATCGGATGCCTTCACTTTGGTGCTGTTGGAAATGGTTGTAGTTCCCGCCACGTTCTCATTGAGGGCATCCGAGTTTGTGGCAGCAGCGGGTGCATTGGAGCTGGTCGGCTGGGCTCCAGCCGCAGAAAGGGAAGAGTGGGTGTTGCCTCCAACGCTCTTGAGGCGCTTCAACAGCTCCGTCGTCAAGCCGTACTCAGCTAGAGGGGCTGGGTCCACCCACTTGCGCGTAAATCGGTCTGCCACGGAGGCAAAGCACTTCAGAGCGCCATCGGACACCATGGGGTCCTCGTGTTGGAGCAGCGTACTGAGACTCTCAACGCAGTTCTGAATGCACGGCGTGTTGGGCTCCACTTTGGTGCAGAGCCGGGAGACCACAGACATGGCCGAGTGCAGGGTGTCCTTGTGAACCTGCGAGCCGCAGTCCCGAATAAAGGACAGCACACAGTTGAGGCCGCCACCCTCGAAGACGGCACCCGCCTCGCGGGTGCAAATCAGCTCGAGCACTTTGATACATTGCTCGGCCAGATCGCGAGATGTGCGCGATGACAAGTCGGCAACCACAAGATGGTTGCAAATGGCCTTAATGGCTCCATCAATCGAAACGATACGCCTGGTGCACTCGGCCGAAACATCCAGGTAGTAGGTGATTGCTCGCGCAGTAACTTCGAGTACATTTTCAGGTGCAAGTTCATCCAGGAATATCTTACACAGCGCCGGCAAAAATGTTCGAGGAGGACAACTTAAAGGTACGAAAAGCAAAAAGGTTACTTAAGAGGAAAACAGATAGTGACATCTTAAAATACCTTTCGAAGCAACGATCTACATTATCAGACATCAGGAGCAGCATACATAGCTGCTCCAGTGCGATCAGTTGCATGTCCCGCTCATCTCCTTGTCCCATGGACAACCATTCCAACAGCGTCTCGGGGTCCACATCGCCCATCTGTAAAGTAAACAACAAAATTTGGAATATTGACTTTAAAGTTGTGACTATTATACATGTAATATATTGACAACTAAAACACAAATCAACAAGCACGCAATATAGAGCCGGCCTAATGGATTTCTTTCGTGCCTTACCAATCCAAATTCAGAGGACAGAATTTCTACAAAGAAATTGCTGCAACGCCCCTTAACTGACTAAAGTAGGTAATTACTAAAAGCATTTACAAGCGGAAAGTGTTAAATTTTACATATGGACAGTGTTTTCAAATTTTGAAAATTTTAGATGTAACTTTTAAAGTCATTAATCAAAAGCAATCTTGTGAAAATCGACAAGTCACATTTAATCCATGATTTCTGCCAAATGCATAGAAACATTTTTACGCAATAGCAAACATATTTTCCTCACCGTGATAAATGGGTTTATTTATTACTCATTCGATAAGCTTTTTACAGCTTGTTATGACTAACCTAGGGCAGCTGCATTATAAAATTTTAGTCGTCCTTCATTTAAATGACAATTATTGATAAAAAAAAAAAAAGTTTTTTTGTTGTCTTACTATGCGATTTTTCCAACTTATTTTATAAATCTAAACCGCAAACGAAAACTATTCTTCTATATTGGATACCGGTTCACTTTAATCAACAAATTACTTATTTTATAATCTATATTTACTTATTAAAAATAACAATATATACTTACCGCTAATCGAAAATTTTTTTAAGCGTTTTAGCCAAAACTGGAAAAAAGATATAAAAAATGTATATGTAAGTAAAGATAATAAGAAATACTTTAGCTTATTGCCCATATAATGGTTTCCTTTGTTGCTAGGCATTTTGCTGTTGGCATGCAATTTCATAACTTGGTACCAGCTTGGTCAAGTTAATGTTCTTGCCATTGATAAATTTACTGTATGAAATTTACTCATGAAAAATGAAATCAGAAGTTTTTCAATATGAATACATTTCATGGTTCTTACAGAGATTTAGGGCAATATTGGGGTTTCCAATTGGATAACGTATACATAATTCCTTTTTAAGTAACCTGAATTGCCTAGTGCACACATGGCACACAAAGAGATAGTTGGAGGGAAATGGCGTTGTACCATCTGAACTCATGAAAATTTGTCTACAGTGTCGTAAATTTTGTCAAGTCATAATGTTGTTATATAGATTGTTTTTATTCAAGATAAGGACAAGTAAAAACCTAATTAAGAAAAAGAAACAACAATACAGTTAATATAAACACACATTGGTACCTACGAATGCACATGTGTATGTATGTAATTTTTTTTACTTTCTCACTCAATTTTATTTTTCTTATGATTTCAGTAAACAGCTTGTTTCATTAAAATACTCAAAGGGAAATAAAAAAGTGGAAAGTGCAGTGCTTTTATACATTTATTTTCTGTCCAAGAAATGTACCAGTTCTCAATTAAAGAATGATGACACTTCACTCTTTTTCGCCCTCAACGAAATTCCAGTTGTGTATGTATAATTTGAAGACCTTTCTTTTCTAAAGTCAAACTACTTTAGAGTTACATAAAAACGCAGTTGTAATAACCATTGTCTTCGCCAAAGCATGTACACATTTCACAACACATATAGGTACACTAAAACATATGTACGTAATGTAATTGTCCATTATTTATTAACATTTGTGTCGTGTCTGTTTAAGAATACATCTGTATATGAATACACAAATTTCAACGAAATAGTTATTGAACTTAGTTGATATACCTTATTTGCATTATATTGAATATGTTGCTTCTATTTGCAATCTCTTTTAAAGCTGCTCTCTAAAGCTTTTTAAAAATTACTCAATACACCACACTATTTTTATTCACACAAATATCCAGCAGCTCGAAAATTGATTATAGAGATGAACAAATTGCGATAAACGGAACGACTTATCGACCTAAAACAATCGTGGAATAAATAAGGGGTATTCGAACAGCAAGCGTTCGGCCTATCGATATATCGAAATTTGTTAACAAATAATATTTGTTTTCCAAACATGTCAGCTGTAAAGTGAGTATTGTATCGTTGGAATTGTTTGTAACTCACGTGAGATATTTTTCGTTACCAAAAATTTCCCTATCGAAGTTTTACACTTGAGGAATATTTAATACACATATATGTTAGTCGAACATAAAAAAATAAATTAAATTTTAACAAACTTCTTGTTTTGCAAAACATATGCGTCTGCTTATTTTTTTTTTTGAGTTTTGTTTACATTCCAATAGTTTCAGACCTCACATTAGACCTGTTGAATTTACTTTATTTACACATGCTTTTTGTTCCCTTAATATCTGGTTTACTGCTTACATACTTCGTTTTATTTGGAAATCTTTGTTGTTATAAAAATAAAATATATATAAATAAATATTATCACTGATAAAACACTGATAAATATTATCAGAATTAAACCTGATCCCTACGGTTGAATTCGTATTCAATTCAAATACAGCGCGAGTAAATCCTTATGCTCTTTAAGTAAAAGATCTTATAAATAAATTTATGTTGACTCACCGTTTATTTGACAAAAATATAATAACAGCCCCAAGAAATTATTATTTTCGTTTATATGTATTTCATATTTATTATTTCGATTTCTTATTGTAAATAAGTATAAATTAAAATTATTGCTGAAGTCTAATTATGTTCTGGAATAAGTTCCGATGCCCAAACATCTTGTGGCCAGCCTGTACGACCCTTAGTTGACATGGAGACATTCTGAAAAACGTACATGGCTTGTATTAGTTTAGTTGTAGATATTTATTCCAGGTAGGTTTTACGAGTTTCCGATTTGAAAAACTTTGGACTTGCTAGTTGAACTCATGAAATTTAACAATAAAATCTGTGTTTTAAGAAACAACTTTTTAAAAATTGGTAAAAGCCTGTAACAATTTAGCATAAATTTTAAAGTTTGTTTAAAAGTTTAGGTTCTCCCATTTTTATAATTTTTTTTATAACAGGTACCATCTATAATTTGACAGGATTCAAAAATATGTTTTAAAATAAAGTGTACATCTTTTAAAACATTAACGTTATCTTAAAATATGTAGTTCAATTGCTATGTACTGGATGGTGTTTAGCAGTTTCTTTTTGTTTATAGAGATCTAAGTTTCTTTTTTGTATACAACTTGTACCCACAAATAGACAATTAGGAAGTAAACAAAAAGATAACACGTGCGCGGAAGCACTATGGAAACACTTCACTATTTTATTTGGAAATGTAATTCAGTTCTAATTGTGGCACGACTTAAGACTACATCCACAAAAATCTGGCATTGGGAAAGAATTTTATATAAAAAAATTTGGTATCTATGTTCTAAGAGTTAAGTGTCATCAGGTCAAGTCAAAATAATATTAATCCTGAGCTGTTTGATATTTGAACATTCATGATTCAATATTTCCCACAAAAGTGCACTCGCAAAGCACTTTATTTATCCATCCCTTAATGGATTATACTTTTTTTCTTTCGAAAAGGCACTTGGGCACTTGTATCTTACATTCCGTATCTACTGCCAGATTGCCCAATTAAGTTAATGTTTCAATCTATCACCCCCTCTTTTATTGTTGCCACGGTCGGGTAGCATGGATTCTCAATTACGCCTGCATGTGTCTGCGGTTTATCACTTCCTAAATTGCATAATAAATACAACTTACAAGCGGTCACTGGTCTACCATTTCGATTCTATATATTTGAAGCTAAACATGACCCTGCGATTCCATTAGGAAAATACACTTGCGGATTACAAAGGAAACTTCCCCTTTCTTTCAACTCAAAACTAAAATTGTTCTTTTATATAGTCAAGTGCTTTTATTTCTTTTAATAAACAAACAATTGTGATATCTACCCCAGTGCAGAAACAAAGTACTGACGGCGGAGAGTAAATATCTCTGGTACCATCAACATACAATTTCAAAGTAAAGAGATCAGTACATTAAAAAGCACAGAGACTCGAAGAAAAAGTTTTATGGTCATCATAACTTGATTAGAAATAACAAACAATACGCCCCCAAAGGGGGAAAAATCTTATAATCTGTATTTTCGTTTAGAAAAAAATGCAGTAAGATAATTTTAACAAAAGTCTCTTTTGCTAGTATATTAAAGTTATGACAGAAAGTTGTTTCCCTTTTAAAATAAGTAAGTTTATTCCGTCGGATCTTTGCAATTGTTAGAGCAAATACATAAGTGCAAAAGCGTCGGAAGGAATGTCTTGGTTTTGCAGTGTTAAATTGTATGTTTTAAATAAATTGTACAGATATTTAAATTGTCCTTTCAGGTTTTTGTTAATGGGTTTTCTTACTTGAATTTCTGACTTTATGCAGTTCTTCTTTTCACTACAAATTTTTCGGCTGACTGGCTTTAGTTCTGCTCGAAATCCGCCTTTTGGGTCCTGATCTCCTTCAAGAACATTAACTAAGTAGTTTATGTATAAAATGGCCAACTTCAATGTTTTTATCTGTTGAGTAAACCAAACATACAGATATTCTTTAAAACTTGAGAAATATTTCAAAATATTAAGAACACGAAAAGTATAGGAAATAACTTCATTCTTTCATTTGCAAACTTAAAAATTCTTTGTTGTATATTAAAAACAGTCTGCGTCGGTGATATTACCTTTGATAATTTAGTATCTGTGGGAACATTGGGAATTTTTTCTCGAAGGTAAGAAAACGCGTTGTTTATGCTTTGCGTGCGCCTCCTTTCCTTTTTGTTAGCTGTGTTTCGTTTCTTAACAATTCGAGTATTTGAAGTTGGTACATAGCTTATGTGATTTGTATTATATATCTGTTGTTGAACTTGACTTTCAGAGTCTGAAAGAATTTGCAAATATATTTAGTTATCTTTAAACAACTCAAACCAATAAACACAAAAGACATAACAAGAAAATCTTAGAACAATTTCGGATTAGTATATCGCAACAGTTGTCCTAAATAAAATTAATGAAGCACATTTTTAATTTAAAAAAATAAAATTATTCACTCGCACAGAATACAATATTTAGTAAAGGATTTACGTTTTATATCAAACACATTTGACCCATTGTATACTGAGCTGTAAAACATTGTTGAATATTCACGCCCTAAGGCCTCCGAGTTTTTAAACATTTTTATTTTAGATTATATAACTTGGAAAAAACGCCGTTTAAGCTTCTACATTTTCGAAGACAGTATAAAATTAAAACTCGTCTTTGCTGTCTGGAAAGGAACTGAAAATCTGATTCAGATATTCAATTATGAAGCGATGTATTCCAGCATCTGGGTATCCTCCCCCAAAATCCACCAATGGCAAACGCCGCTCTTTTGTATTATCTCCCTCGACCAATAGTGAGCACTTCAATATTTGTATGAATGAATGTTTGTTTGTATGTTTCGCTATATAAATCCGGGATATAACCTGCCATCCATGGTCGGGTGCTCTGCTTTTCTGTCATTTTTGTTCAGTCTTTCTTTTCGACCTGTGTTCTGTTATTTAAAAAACACTTTTCACTTCATATTTGCTTACATATAAAAGTTTAAAATATTCCGAAACAATTTTTTTTAATACAAATTAAAAATTTTGGCAAATGGTCGCAGTATATGGTCGTAAAAAAAAATGCCACGCCTTTTTAAAAAATACGCGGCTATTAAGTTTTTACATAATTGAAGTTTTTCTTTTTGTCTCTCTTACCAAATATTTCTAAACCGCGAGAGTTTGTATTCAAATGATTTAATTAATACCAAACCAAATGATATGAGTCCAATTTTGATATCTTGCCAAATCAGCTAAAATAGTAAATAAAAAATACAAAGACAAACCACTTGAGATTTTTACAAAAATTGTATTGTATCCATGTTTATTAAAGATAAATTTTTTCTAATGGTACATCATTATATCTGTGCTTTGGTACAGACACATATAGGCATCGCAAAAAATACGCTTAGCGTGTTCAGGTAATACTTTATCGTTCGTTGAAGTTTCATTAATAGATCGCGCGCCTTCTTCCGAGAGCCACTGTGTTAATTCTGGAACACATGTAATTTCAGGTATATTGTATCCATTCTGTTCGCCTAAAAGAATAATATTTGTTTACAAAATTTAATCAAGGTTCTATAACAAACAAGCCTGGCTGATTATTCTATATTTTATAAATGAATTATGGTTTGTGGTCAGTTACAAAAGCCTACCTTTTCTATCAGCCATTGAGTCGAAAAAACACCATGGTGCATCAGGTCCGGAGCCAGACTTTACGAACGCCACATAATGAGACGTTTCGATGCAAACAACTGCGAATAATTCCATGTACAATCGAGGGACAACCATGTGCTCTGCCATGATTCTAAATTCCTTTGGACTAAAAATCTTTTTCGACACATGATTAGTTCTGAAAAACATTATTCATAATTTTTTGTAACCAGATTATTAATTACACTTTTGAACCTTTTGTTGTGAGAGTGAAATGTTTTAAGACATTTTGGACAAAAGGCGGTGCATTCAAGTCCAGATCCAGCTTGAAGACTTCCAAAGCAATCTCTGCATTCATACTCGGCTAGTTTGCCACAAAGGGAGCACTGTCGCGGAGCTAAAAACGCAATCCAATGAGACACTATTAACTTAAAGCACAAGGGTAATGTGCAAACTTACAGTTTTCAATAATGTCGGTAACATCAAGTACTTGCGATGGAAGTATTCTTGGATACATCTTGTAGTTCTTTCCGAAACGAGGCATTTGAATGATAAAACAAGAAGGAACTTCCTTAAGTTTTATATCCGAGGAGTGGAAGCTTTGCTCAAACAGTTGCTGGACGCTCGGTAATGTTAACTTTTCATCCTTTTCAACAAACAACTGGTAAAAATAAGAATCTTGTCCAGAACTTAGCTAAAAAAATATGAGCTATTTATTTAGTATAAATTTTTAATAAAATATATGTGTCTCCGAACCTTTAAAAACGGCTCAACTCGCATAATTTGAGAGAGCAAACTGTTTAGGAACTCTTCAGGATCTTTTTCCTCGCAGGTGAGACCGCTAACAGAACTAAGCTGATCCAGAAGCTCGCGAAGTTTCATCACACGATCAGATCGCACAAAAACGTTTTTTCTTAAAGGATTGACGATTTCATCACGCAAAACCTTCTGTACTTCACTGTAATTACGAATGTCCTGTCGCAGTATATAGTTTATAACATATAAATAGAAGAAAACTATTTGAATATATTACTTGTGGTCCTGGTTGCCTGTACAGAATTGAATCAAATACACTGGTAAACGTGAACATCGAAAATAATGTTGCATCAAGATAGCATGAGTTGTGATGTCCCTGTATTCCTTTAAACTTTCCACAAATGCTGGCCAGCTCTTCAGAGTTGTGTATTTCTGAAAAAAAATTACCATGTTATTCTATATTTCTTATAAAATATTTAGTAGATTACCTATTGGCGGTATCGAACCATAAATAGCAGGACAATCAGCAACACCAAACTTCTTTGCAAAGTTATTGGACACTCTATTTGCAGCAACACTATTATCTACATCGGCGAAGCGCCGGTCAGCAGTACATCTGTTGGCTGGTACAAAAACAGCTCGACCATCATGGCAAGTAAATAAGCTATAATAAAACAGAACACAAAAGGTTTTTGCATTTAAATTACACCTTTAGTTATACAAGCAAAAAACATACCGAACACCATTGTGCCTTCCGTCTGATGTCGACACATTTTTCAAGTTGGATTCGTCTTCCACCTCTATTCCAACAAGAACATTTCTTGGTAAGCCGGGAGGAATTCCAACCCATCTTATAACGCCGTACAGATCTTCACATACTCCAGAGTTCGAGACTTCCACAAGGGAACCAATCGCCAGTTCGGTACCCGGTATTTCACTTAGAGGCTGATAATCAGCGATTGTGAAACCTAAAAAATACAAATAAAACCATTATTAAAATTTTAAAAGACCTACTACAGACACTCAAGTCTCTTTAAGGCAAGTATTAATAAATGTTTTATAATTGGCCTTACTAGGTTCTTCGACCATGTAATTTGGCGAATAAAATTCCAGCACAGTTAATGGGATATTGTTGTGTATATCTGACTCAGAACACAATGTTTTTTGATATATTGTATTCATTTTCACAAATCGCAAAACACAGATTCTATAATACGCTAGTTTTGTTTAAAAACTAAGAGCTTCGACAAAGTTCAACACAGATAAAACTCCTCAAAAAACTGCATATATCAACTCAGAGTACTGGCATTTTACGTAAACGTAAATAGAATATACCTATTTCTATGTGTTCTGCCGGCGATCTAAAAATAAATACACATTTTCTTTCTGGTGTTTTGCAAGATGGCAATGTGAACAAACAAATTACACAAAAACTGTAATTTCGAGGCGATAATAGATTTAAGAACTACATTTTCTTTTTTAAAATCCCGCGAGTGGTTATTAATCAAAGTAAAATTTAAGAACCTTATGAAAGTATTCATTATTTCAAGAAAAAATCATCTGCCCAAAACAGCATGCGAAAAAAAAAAATACTTTTAATGTGATAAAACTAAAAACACTTAGAAAAAATAACTTATTAAACTTGATGCCCGTTAATTTAAAAAAGGTCTTCGTAAGATGTGTTTTACTTCTATCAAAACCAACTTTGTTTTTGGTAAATTGACCATTACAAGGTAAGAATAAATTGATGTTATATGATAAGAACAATAACATATGACAAATACATGATAAAGCTTTTGTTTAAGCAATTACTGTTGTAATAATAGTCCATCTAAGCTTTTATTTTATTTTGACGAAAAGGGGGACCCCTCCCTCCTAAACCTAAACCGTAATTTTTTATAATTTTAACTTACGTATTGGTTCCTCTTGTTCAACTTTTGCTAAAATAGGAGAAGCTGGTTTCAAAGTTGTAACCTCACTAGCCAAAGGTTCTGCCACCGTCTTGCTTTTGTTATTTAAAATCATCGCCGCCGCTCCCGCTCGTTTGGGCCAATTTGTTCCAAGTATGTCTGCCAAATCCACATCCTCATTGTATGGATTATCTACAGCACCGTGATTGAAATCGCTGTTCCTTAATATTTGAAAGTGATTAGGTTTATTTTTTTGATATCATTGGTGATACTTACTTTAATATACCATTTTTTCTGTTAGGAATCTTTTTTGGGTAAACATTGGTTTTGTGGTCGCTCTCGTTAGGTAGCTCATAGTTTTCTAATGACTCCCCAAATCTATTAGTAATTGTCAACTTTTTTTCTTTTTCTGCTTCATGATCAGATTTGGAATTCATTATTTCCAACTAAAGGCTGAAAAACGGAATTGATAAAATTTAATAAAACATTTAAAAAAAGGGTATTTTAAAAACAAGTTCGCCAAATGGTATTTGTTTTATCTTAAACATGTAAATTAAACCAAAATCAGCCTTGATTATTGATGTAAGTACTTCTGTTTGCGTTTGTTACATACAAACGAGTGTATGTGCGTGACATCAGGTGTCTGTAAATTACTTGATAAAAATGAATTGGTTTCTGGCTTTTATTTTGAATTGTATTAAGGTATTTTCCCCAAAAAGAACGTCAAAAACAAATAACACGAAATTACAATCACAAAACCTCTACAATCTTCCTTATTGATAAAAACAATGACACATAACTTCGTCAACTACATGGCTTTACAAGTGTTGTTTCCGACCGTAAAGCTAAATGACCAAGTCAGCTTTTAAAAACTATACTACAACAATAGAGTTACACATTTATTTTTTACTAACAAATAAAAAGGTTGTTAAATCCTTGATTATTATTTTGGTGTTTATAAAATTTGTTTCTTTAGAATGCGATTGGAATGAATTCTGGATATCGTTATCGATTTCACTGCAGTTGCCAATCAGCATATAGGGTATTCTTCAAAAGCCCATTAAATATTTATTTGTTTTTTAAATTATAAAAATAATGTAATGTTGATCACATATTTATTATGTCTTAAATTAAGTTTGAATTTTTATTTAACAGTATAATCAACTAGAGTCTGACTTCCACAAGATTTTTACATTTGTATCCATATAGATAATGTTCATTTATCTTTTATAACTTAAATTTCTGTCTATTGTAATTTATATTTCGTAACAACCTGTCCTTCTTACTCCTTATGTTAATTTCAAATATAACAAAAAGAGTGTTAATTACATACACAATCTGCTTAAAAATATATCAAGAAAATTTTCAGACAGGTCAGGCTTAGATAAACAGCTATTACGGTTATTATTTATGGGGTCCGTCTATCGCTGTCGATGGAGCGGGTAACTCCATATTTATTGGACTTTGAAAACCCATTGGTTGCAGCTGAACAAAATGAAATGGTACGGAGAATGGGATCCCGCGAAAAGCATTAACCGATTCCTGTGGACTTAGATCCACATTTGAGCTATTCACGAATTCTGGAGCTGAGTTTGAGCCCTCTAGATCCTTTCCCGTAATATTGTAACGAGGTGGGGGACCAACAAGTTCAAGGGAAACCGATCCACGTCCAATCACAGTCGGTTCAGCACTACTTTTGGGTAGGTATTCATGCTTATACTGCGGCGGTATTGCATTTTGATAGTCGTCTGGTCCAATTCCTTCGATTTGTATACTCTATTATAGAAGTTGGATGACGGCAGGGAGGAAGGATCGTGTTCTATAGCGGGAGGATGGTCCAATTCCATGTTCAATTTAAATTCTTCAGCATGGGGATAATTTTCATAAGATGATGATGGTTCGAATTTGTATGGCTCATTTGATCGTATGTAAATCGGAACCTTTCGTTCAACTTCAACCTTAAAGGGAACCGGCACTTTTTTCTCAACGGTAACTGGAACTTTAATTTCCACCGGGTACGGAACAGTCCGAAGGACAGGATATGGTTTTGGGACATGGACTATTTTTTCAACGATTTTTTCCACAACATATGGTTTTGGAACTTGAACGGGCTTTGGAATGTGAATTACCTTCTCCACTATTTTTTCTATTGGAACGTGTATTATTTTCTCAACCGTAACATTAACAAGCTTGGGAACATGAACGATCTTCTCCACAACTTTCTCAATCGGCACGTGAACAATTTTTTCTACTGGATAAGGTTGTGGTACGGTTTTTATGAGTTCCTTTACATGGTTGTGATGATGGTGGTGATGGTGGTGTTTGATCTTAACCTTCATTCGCTTTTTATCCTGCTTACTTGAATTGTCCTTAGCGCTCTCATGCAGGATAGATTGAGTTCCGATTTGCTCTGATGCCTGGTATTGTCCATCCTCTTCGTCTATGTGCTCATGAATTTCCTCATATGTATTATAATGTTTGCTTTCCATACTATCATCAGGATAATGGGGACTAATATTTTTTCTTCGAGCATTTGAAGGCTTGTATTTATATTTATGCCTGGATATTTTTTCGGATGGCTTTTGATAAGTCCTAATACCGCGTTTTGAAGTCACGTTTCTATCAGCTTCTCGATTATAATTTTGTATTGCCACTTTTTCCGACCACCTTCCTGTATTGTGAAGGGATATTTTTCCGAATTCAGGATAGCTCCAATCGTGGCTTTCTGCATTACTGCTTTGATTTACAGCATATGAATCACTTTGAACCACAGTTTCAAATAATATTAGGGATATAAATATATATGCAGGAAACAAAGTTATCTGTAAAATACAGGATGGAATTTTTTAAACCCATTAAACGCAACCTTTTTTAAAAAATCGATTTGTTCTGCTTACCAAAGAATTCATACTTTTAAATTTTTTAACTCGCTTAGATTGGAGATGTGGTTTGTTTAAAGCCGCCAACAGAAATGATTTTTTCGCTTGGCCAAGAAGGTATTTATATGAACATGAAACATAATTACAAATGTAAAAAATTTGTTTTGTTGTATTGAAGACAGTATACACTATACTTTTTTAGGAAAAAGGTTAACTGTAATTTTTAAAGATATACAAAAAATAATGTTTTCAATAACTGTACTTTAGTACTTTTAATACTTTGAAGAAGAATTTGATCCCTTAAGATGCCACTATTATTTCCACAAAATTTAAAAACTTTTATTTTAATTGTGCTTTCTATTTTATATTTTGTTGTAAATTTATCTTTGTTGTCATTTAAAATGGCTTTAAAGATATCGTGATTAAATATATAACAAGTAATTTAAATCGCAATATTATTTTAATAAATATATGCTGTAATCAAAGACTACCTTTTGGTTCAACGTCGCAAAAATCTTTATAGTTATAAGATACTTTTTTTTTAAGGGGATAAAACAGCACAAGTTTACTTATACTTTTTACGATTCAAAGCCCGCGATCGCGTGACTTTAAGCTTGATATGTATTCGTACGATAGTACAAGTGCATTATTTTTTTAAATGTTTAAAATTTCTCTAGGTGAATATTTCAAAAAGCTCATAAAAGTAGTAATTAAGGTGCATTGAGCTCCAATTTACGGAAACGCCAGATTGTGTAATTTCCTGCAGTATCCGTTGCAGTTTTCAAGAGTAAAATAACCGCATTTTCCGGATACCGATTTTATGATTACAGAACAGGGTTAAAAAGTGTTCGGTTTGCCTGTAGATAAATCATTATTGAATATACACAAGAATCACATCTCATTAAGGTTTCTGGCAAACAAAAATGAAAAAGTTTATTAAAACTATATTAGTTTTTGGATATATTGACTGCTATTAAATAGACAAATGAACTTAGTCTAACTCGATTCTATTCTCTAAAAATAGACTTCCCGTGTGCATCTTGGACTCCTTAATTTTTAAGTGTGAGCTTAGCAGATCATCCATTGTGATGTTAACGTTATTTCGATCCAGAGCTACACCAGATGGATCAGCTGTCCCAATGAGCTGCCTCATCCTGAAAACTGATGCATTTCGGCACATTTCCCGAAGGTCTGATCCCGAGAATCCATTTGTAAGCTTGGAAAGGCGATTAAGGTCGACATCTTGACTGATTTCCTCTGATTGCAGGATTAGTTTAAGTATGTCGATTCTCTGCTGTTCGGAAGGCAAGCCGATGTGGAATTGTGCTGGCATGCGACGTACAATGGCTTTGTCCAGATCCTGAGGTCTGTTTGTGGCTCCCATTACAATTACGGTCGAGTTGGAATTCGTGCTCAGGCCATCCCACAGCATCATAAACTGGGTTTTCATCATGGCGGTGGCCTCATGGTCGTTTAAGTTGCGGGAACGAAGGAAGGAATCGATTTCGTCAATAAAAATAATGCAGGGCTCGATTTTTGCAGCTAGCGAAAATACGGCGGAAGTCAATTTCTGGGATTCCCCGTACCACTTATCGGTGAGTATGGCGACGTCCAAATTGATAAAGCGCATTCCCGCCTCTTTTGCAGTGGCCTTGGCTATAAGTGTTTTTCCGCAGCCCGGCGGCCCGTGAAGTAGAACGCCTTTGGGTGCCTGCCAAAGTTTAGAGCGCTTGAAGAGGTCTTTGTGCTGCACCGGCAAAACCACCGATTCGCGGAGCTCCTGAATGACAGTATCCAATCCGGCGATATCAGACCAACTGACTGTTATGTCGGCCGGAACAACAAGATGTGACGCAATCATTAACTCGTAGTCGTTAAATTCCTGGGGATTCAACTTAAAACCATCCTTCTCGGCCAGCCTGCAAGACAAGGTTATAAATAATCACATTTCTATGCTTATGAAACAAATAAAAACCTCTTCAACTGCTCTTCTGCTAGGACTTTGGCTTTTTTCTTATTTTTACTTGTCGGGTCCAATTGGTTCATCATCCATTTCACAGAATAATACGTTATCAGGGTAGCCACCGATAAACGAATCAGCACTTGGAACATTTGCCCTTTGCTGAGCTCGACTCCTCCAAACCCGAAATTATCCATGTTTAAGCAAATATTCTGTTCAAGCAAAAAGTTCCTTGTCTTGTTCTTTTTTCCATGCACATAGGCGTCAGTGTGGCCAGACGACGTTCATGTTATTAGGACACATACAGTATTTAGAAACAAATACTGTGCTCGACGGTAGTGAGACCGTTGATGTTGTACATATGGGGTGTTTGTTTCGCAAAGATTCCAAAATAAAAGATCAGCATTCATTTATTTAATTTGAAAAGAAAATCAAAACTATTGCTAACTGCAAACCATCCTTTAAAGTAAAAATAAACTAATCCCAAACAATATCCACAAACCTTAAACCAGCTATTAATAAACCCAAACTTGTATATAAAATGTAAAAGTCTTACAAAAATTTATTGTAATTCTTATTTTGATGTTATTATAAGTATTTATTAAAATATACATACGTTAAGAGGCTAATATTTTCCTTTTTAATTTTAATTAACCAAACTAATACATAAACCAGAAGATGATATCAAAAATTAAAGACACAAAAGAGTTGAATGAAATCAATTTATTTATCTCAATTTGCACAAGAGGACTTAAAGCCCCTTCTGTTAATTGTTTTGACTTAATTAAACTTTTTTTATGGTGTGTAATATTTGGGGTCAATATTCCACAATTTCAATTTTGAGTCAATCCACGGACGGAGTTTGGCAACGCTGGCGTACACTCCGGGAATGTTCACTTCTCCACAGCCGACTCCCCAGGCGACGATTCCAGCCGACTTAAATCGGCCCTTTTGGCCCTCAATGGGGCATACTAAAGGAGAACCGCCGTCGCCCTTGCATGTATCTTTATCCTTCTCTCCTCCGGCACAAATGAAACTGTCGTGCAACAAAAAGTGCTTTCCGAGCCGAGTTTCACGTAGGTTTGTCTGGCACTCTTGTTCCGGCACCACGGGCATATCGACCTTCTTCAGGATCACCTGGTATTCCCCGTCTTTGCCGAACTTGTTTTTACCCCAACCGGTTGCATAACAACGCTTGTAATCGAACCTATCACCCACATTGGGAAGGCAAACGGTTCGAATGTTTGCTTGTGAGGTAAATGGGCTTTCCAATAACATTACTGCCACATCGTTATAAAGAGCTCCCTTGTTAAACTGCTCGTGATACACTATTTCCTTGACATATCGGTCTTCATGAGGAATGATCTCGTTCTTTGTTTGCGTATCCCACTCGCCGGCCCGCACTGAAAAAGGGAGACTTTAGATAGCATGTCTCGTGAATGGAATTTATTATACTCTTACCAACAATGCTTCCTGCTTGTTTGTTGTGAACACAATGAGCGGCAGTTAGGACAACATTGGGCGCTATCAAAGCTCCTCCACACTCGTACAAATTAAGTGTTCCCTCTTCTCGAAGAATGGCCAACATCCAAGGAAACTCCCCAAACTCGGCCTCCTGGTTCACAGCTCCGGTAATCTTGAAGCCCACACCGTTAGGATTCTGGTATCCGCAACCTTCGGGAAGCTCGGGCGGAAGAGTGAATATCGGATCGACCCTCTAAAAAAATAGTGTATTTTTAAATAACAGTTATAAAATTGAACCTATATAACTTACCTTGTTCGGTAGATCACAGCACAAATCCAAATAGTTTTTGCATGGCGATCCCGTATCGATTCTTATATCAATTATTCCCTCACCACTGGTGTTTATCGTGTCATTCGCACACAGCCAACGGGGAACACACTCTTTTTCAACCCCACAGGACTGATATTGAGCTGCCCCTGTTCCTTGTCCGGTTCCTGTTCCAGATCCTGATCCTGAATTACTAGACGAATCTTTTGGACTGACAACTGGATTTGTTGGAGTGCTCTGTGTGGTGGAGCTGTACGTTTCATCGGTCTTAAAGATGTCCGCAATCAAGTTGTCTAAGGAAGTATCCTGCGCTCCACAAGCGAATATGCAGGTGCATATTACAAGGAAGCGGATTACAATCATTTTACTAAAAGAAAATAATATTAATAATTTATTTATTGACAAATTCAATACTTTTTACTCTAAAAATATATATATAGCAAAATAAATAAAATAAATAAATAAAACCTCGACAAATAAAAGCACATTTAATATACAAACAGGTTGTGGGAAGTCAATTTAAAACAAAAATAAAAATAAAAAAGCTTAATATTAAAAAAAAAAAAAGTATTATCTTGTCACTTAAAATAATATTATCCGCCAATCAAAATTAATTTTAGTCGATTTATTATATTAATTTGTTTATTAATATCCCTATAACATCAATTATGCAAAAACAAAAGAGTGTATTTTTTCAAAAATTAAAGAAATGTTATTTAGGTCAAGAAAGCTTATTTAATCGAATAAACCGAGGTAAGCCTTAGTCTGAAAGCTTAAGTATTGGTGATATAACGACAAATTTTATTGCTGGAATTCGCACATTTAGCGGTAAATGTAAATCCCCAAACAGAGTGACACACTTTACGGCAAGAAAAAACAGCGGGATCCGGAACTCATTTGCAAGAAACTTTGTATCCAATAATGCTTTCTCCATATAACACTAAAGTTTATGATTATGATTAGACTCATCAGCATATTCATATATTTCCCATTCCATCATGAAATTTGTACCGTATATGTACATACAATTGCATGTTTGTCTTTTCAAATTTAATATGTATTTGAAAAATAAGGACAGTTTCTTATCATGCTTTTGTATTTTTAGGCTTTAAAATAAATTAAGGTGATAAGAAACCAATTTATTTACTGGCTCACAGATGCTCACGTATTAGGGTGGGTTCAGTTTTAATGTTTGTAAATCCATATGATGCTTGACAATAAAACATCTTGTTCTTGTTCCTTTTGGACAAACAAAAAAAGGAAGGCCCAAAAGCGGAATACAAGCAATTTAAAGCATAAATTGTACTATGTCCGTCAAAACGGCCTATTCACGTAATATTTTTTAGCACTTCAAGTTAAACTACAAGTGCAAGTGCATACAAATATTGATATACATACATACTATACTCCTTTATAAAAAATATTTTTAAATACAAAAGAAGCACTACAGAAGCTCATTATCAAGGCTCTTAATGTTAACAATAAGTTTTTTTTTTCCGAATAAAATAGGCAATAACAGGTTTCAGTATCGAGTAAAGATGACAAGTTTATCTACATTGTTTAATTGATTTTTATATGCAGATATATACACATTTCACGGAAATTTTTTCTCATAAATGTATGTATGTACATAAGACCCTGTAATTTATTCACTTTTTTCATTGAACTTTAACATCTGTCAGATTGATTAGAGTTTTCTATACATTTTAAAGTATATATTAAATGCACATGTTACAGAACATATAAAATACTAATAAAAAACTGCTTAATAAATTAAAGAAATAAATGGGTTTTCATCATTTTAATTACAGCTTTATTTGTATTGATATAATACGTACTCTATTTAAAGAACTTATTTATTGTGATAAGCTAGCAGGAGAAGGTTCGGCAAGTAATAAAGAAAACACACAACTGACTTGATTTTTCATTCAATCTTAGGTTTAAGCTGACGATCTTAGCTTCTGACAAGACAGCGAGAAGCTTTAAAGCTGGTTCAAAGTTGGGTTCCCTGCTTATGTCTTGCACACTGAAAAACTTTTTCTAATTTTTAACGATTTATCAAATTATTTCCGTATTTTTAAACTTAATCGAATAGTTATTTATTTAAAAATTGTAAATCCACTAGAAAAAAATTTTTTTTTTAGATTTGCATCCGTTTATATTTCTTACTTTTATATATTACTTTATAATACTCGAATTTATGGCAGGTGATTCATAGCCTATATAAATATATTTTTCCTTATTCATGTAATAACGTAATAGATTAATACAGCTTGGGAAAGTGCAAAAAAAAGTACCGGGCTTGCGGAAAATTTAAATATTTATTTTAAATTTATCGTTCCCTTTTTTACGTACACCATGGAATTAAAACCGATTTCGATACCGCGGCGATAAAATCGAAAGCATCAATGTGTCTACGGTTTTCGTTTCTAAATGTGTGTGCGTAATATTCGATGCGCTTACACATACATATGATGAACAGAAATTCTTATTTTATTCATCATATGTACACAAATTTGTAAATCAAAACGAAACGCCGATCCTAATTATTCAGTATTTGCAGAAACATGGAATCATTCAAGCAGAATGACGGCAATAGGGATGAGTTAATTATTCAACAGCAACGCGAAATTGAAAAGGAGGTGAGTGTGCAGAAATCGAGTGTAAAGAGGAACAACATCTTATTTTATTAACTTTAGATTAGTGATACTACTCCCTTGGTGAGCGAACAGTTGCCGCTAACTTGTTTGTGGGCAGAATACAATGGCGACGACATATTCACCGCCAAGATCCAGGATCTATCCAAGAAGTATAAGTTCATTCGCCGCACCCGCCCCGATGGAAATTGTTTTTTCAGAGCCTTTGCATACTCGTACTTGGAGTACTTGATCTCAAATAATAGTGCCTACCAGGAGTTCCGAAAACTGGCCGAAGAGTCCAAGGATAAGCTCGTTCAGCTGGGCTTTCCTAGCTTCACATTAGAAGACTTTCATGAAACTGTAAGTTTGACATTCACTCAAATTAAGCGAATTTATTGTTTATTATTTTATTATTTTCTTAGTTTATGGAAGTCATTAAGCGCGTTAGCCCCGATAACCCCGGCGGACATAGCAAAGTACAGAGCGAACTGCACCAAATCTTTAATGAGCAGGGATATTCCGACTATGTAGTGGTTTACTTACGCCTAATTACGTCGGGAAAACTTCAGGAAGAGGCCGAATTCTACCAAAATTTCATAGAGGGTGACTTCACCATCGAACAGTTTCGTAGACTGGAAGTGGAACCCATGTACAAAGAATCGGATCATATCCACATAATCGCCTTGTGCACCGCCCTCGGGGCGGGGGTGCGCGTGGAGTACTTGGATCGCGGAGAGGGCGGAACTGTAAAGGCCCACGATTTCCCCGAGGGCACAGAGCCCAGAATTTACCTGATTTATCGACCAGGCCACTATGATATATTGTATCCAAATTGAATTGCTCCTTAAAATAATCTTAGATCATGGAACGATTTATGTACATAAGATGTAAAATAAATTACCATTTATTTGCATATAAAATCGGATGTCTTTGTTTCCCAATGCTCATGCATTGACTTAAAAACTGGAAATGGAAAAACGAAAACACACCTTTTACACATATCGTAGATGTTAATTTATTTAAACACTAATCTTTATTATTTGATTTGAACGATTGTGATAGTGACATAATGAAATTGTCTAATGTTTTATAAAATATTAAGTTTCATTAACGGTATTTCGCCATCATTTCTTCGGGAAATTTCTGGCGATGCGCAGACAATGAGAGGTTGACAATAATCTCCCGATCGTCCATCCGTCAGGCGCCTCCACAGTACGATTTAATTGTAGGATGATATTGACCACAAGATTTCAGCTCAGTAAAGACTTCCGTAAAAAATCCAGGCTCCGCATTGATTTTAAGCATTTTATCACTTAGCTTGTTTACAATGACGAGGCACCTTGAGAAAAATGTGTAGCGAAGAAAATAAGAGTTATTTAGAGGTTGTAAAAAACATTCTTTTAAATTAACTGAAACGGCTTTAAAAGGAAGATTGCAGCAACTTTATTTTTCTTACCTGTCCCAGAATTTCTCCTTTGAGTCTTCAACCAAAAATGGTTTGAGAGGATAACTGATTTCATTGCCCATATAAGAGTACGACAGATACAAACAGGTGAGAACCGAAGCCTGGAGATCTGATTCTTTGCTTTCTTCGCCGCTGACCAGTTCCCGAACTAGCATGTAGACAAAAACCACATTGGCTGGGTTTATAAACGCAACATCCTGAAATTATTGGGTTTATGGTTAGAAAAAAGTTTGTTTTGGTACATTGAAATTGTGTTGTTATATTATATGTTTTATATATTACCTGCCATCCTTGGAGCAAAAGGCTGCGATCAACTGCTCTGAGCCACATGACAGCATCGCCGGCATCGAAGTTGTTTAGTCTTTGACAACGACAGTGCAAAAACATTCCCAAGCACTTAAGCAATTCCGAAGTGGATGCCTGCAAAAGTGTAAGATTGTACAAGATCTATTAGTTGTTGTTACTATAATAATAATACAAAATATAAAAATATAACATATTATTAGCAGTTATAAATATTAGATCTACTGAACATTCAAAATGTTAAACTAAATCAAATAAATGCAAAATAAATAAATATGTATTCAAATAATGCGAAAATACTCACCTGGAAGACACAAAATTATACGAATTAGGAAAAAATATGTCGGGGGTTTCGAAAAAAAAAATGAAAATTCTAGAAACAAAAAATAACAAAAATATGAAACAGAATTTTTAAGTTAATATGTCGTTTTTAAATACAATAGATAAATAAAGATCTGTTTTTACCTAAGCAAAACTACTGACCTGAATGACGGTTTTGCGAGGGATTTGGTTGGTGTTTTTGATCTGAATGGACGAGGCCTGCACTTGCTGGGGCAAACTGAGCGTCAAGGGCTGTTTTTGGATCAGCTTGTTGTGGTTCGATATCGAGTTCTTGTTGTTTACTCGCACTGGGTCTTTCGCCTTGGAAGGGTTCTGCGACTTGCCGGGCGGTCCGGTGATGACCTCTTCCCGAATGTCCTGATTCTGGGACTGATTCTGGTTCTGGTTCTGATTGCAGTGCTGCTGGTGCTGGTTGTGCTCCTCGATGCGGTTGCAGTGCAGCTGAATGTTTCGATTCTTGTCCGACGAGGAGGCGAACGAGGACTCCAATAGTTGGGCCTTGAAACAGGCCGTCGGGAGATTTGCACACTTGTTCTTGTTCTCGATCTTCTTCTTGTTATGCGATGTGGAGAGCTTTTTCCACGAAAGGGCATTAATGAAGATTGAGTGCTTCTTCAGGTTCTTCTCGAAGGAGCTTTTCTCCGCCTTGAGCACCGAATTCTCGTTATGCGTGTCCAGGACATTGGTGATCGTATCCTTGGAGGCATTGGCCAAGTTGTTCAAGTTGTGCGAACTCAGCTGCGTTTGTGTCTGTAGGTTTATGTGCACTCCTCCACAAGTTCCCGATTGTCCAATCACATTTTTGGACATCTGATGGCAGGCCGATGATTTCCCCTTGTTTTCCCTGTTCTTCGCGTTGTTTAGTTGTTCGTACGAGAAATTATTCAAATGCGAATCAATTGAACCTGTACTGTCGTTTTCATTTCGTATATCGGTCGAGTGATTATATTGAAAATTTGGCTGAGACGAGTATATGGGATGGCGATCCCGCGGATTAAAACTTAACACCGTTCCCATAATGGCTGAAATTAATGCTTAAATCAATAAGAACCTCGAACGCCCTTCTCCTTCTCCTTTTCCGTTGGAAAGGTTATTTTAAAATATTGATTTTTAATCAAAGTACTCATGCTCTTGTGCAAATTCTATATTCAAACAAGAATTTCCAAAACAGCTTATTGAGAAAACTTTTTGCTTAAAAATTATATTCCAAAGAAGTTTTGTAGTTGCTTTAAGCAAGTTTTTACCTTATTTCTTGTGTATAACTTCGGGGAAAAATTGTTAAGACTGTTTAAGAACGCGAATAACTCTTCGTAGAAGCGCGATGTTATGCCATTTTTAACGGCTGCATAATTGTACTTATCTAAGGACTCTGTTTCCACCAATCATACAATTTTAAAGCACAGATTTCAACGTTGCACTTGTTTATGAAAACATCTTTTCGCTACAAGCTTATGAAATAAGTACACAGTCTTAAAATCGATACAAAGTATGCGCAGGCCCAAAAGCAAAGCGAGGGTGGGCACTTTTCCTTTTTGTTTTTCTGAGCATGCTCAGAAAAGGTGTTTCTGCAACACCTTTGGGTTTGAATACGGAAAATCCTTATTTGCCTTTCTTCAAAAGATTTTAAATTTTAAAGTTTCTAGTATAGCAAACTGTTTTGATCATCTTAACGAATTTGATTTTTAGTTCAAGCACTATAGGAATTTTACATGTGTTTAATAAGGATATTTGAAGGAATGATTTTTTGGTCAATATTTATATATTTTTTTTGTTAATTCTATTTTGCTTAAACTAAATCTTTTAAATTTATAAAAAGGACGATTAAACTGGCAAATAACCTGTTTACAGTTTTCAAGATACCATTTTTTCAAAAATGTAGTGTTGCACAGTGCTTGTTACCCGTGAAAATCGCAATGGTGGATGTTTCAGCTTCGTTACATTCGGTGCTTAATTTAAAATTAAAAATAATCATTGGTTTATTATTTAATTTATTTTCCAACTTCGATTCAATACTGGGTTTCTTTTAAAGATACATTTTTTCTCATTAAAAATCCGAAAACAGTTTTCCCCTTTGCCAATTAAAATGCACATACATCTTCTTCAACAATTGCTCAGACTGCAGTAATATTTTATTTATTTTACAACAGTAACAAAGTCGGTATTAAAGTTTAACAACAAAATGTTTCCTGAGCAAACAACACAAACAGTAATAGCAAGATCTCCCAAAAGTGATTGCAGGATTAAAAATATGCTGCTAAACTGCTTAATCTTGTTAGTAATGTTTGGGTTCATAAACATAAGTAACATGGGTCCCACACTGGGCGGTAAATTGTCACGTTTATGATATTGCAGAAATGCCAGTTCCAAAATCACAAGAAGCAGAACTGGCAAAAAAACGCTGCTATTTGTGTAGAGAGATAACAGGAACCCAATACCAGCCGCCAAAATAATATGAATTCTGCTTTTCACAAATGCATTTGGAGGATTGTTTTTAAGATTAGCTGGCTGTTCCGCAAAAAATGGATTAATTATTGGAATATCGGGCTCGACCTCTGGATCAGAATATTGGGGATTAATAGGTTCGTCATCTGAAATTTAAAAAGGTAATTAAAAAAAAATAACATATGTAAGTACGGCGGACGTTGTACACACATATGTACATATATTTGAATAAATCATCATGTGTTACCGTGGTTTTCGCTCTGCAGCGCTGAAGTTCTGCCGTTTAACTTGTCGAGTCTTGACTTTGACGCTTCTAATATTTTTTTTCTGCGCAGTTCCCTTCTTAAAGCAATAGGGTCCTGAGCCGGGTTTTTCTCTATTGTTGTTGAATCGGTATTATCCATATTTATAAACACATCACAAATTTACTCGAGATTTGACAGAAACGATGTGACCGTTTTCCACAAAAAAATTTATGCCATGTCTGTAAAGACAACGGCAATGGTTCAACTTTTGATTGAACCATTGAAACTTGGATAAAGATAAAAAATATATAAATAATTTTTTTCAATTTACAATTTAATTTTTTACTGAAATTACTCAAAGTATGTACTCAGAATACAAAATTATGTTTTGTAGAACTGAAGCCATTTTTAAAAATGTTATTTTAAAAAAATTTATTTAAAAAATTCAAACACATTTGTAGATTGGAAAATTTTCTTTAAATCCTGATTAATTAATTACCCTTAAGGTTTTGGTTATTTATTCAGAATTATTATATTAACAATACAAATGTAATGACGTTAACACAATTATTTATATTTTTTCCAAACGTCTGGGAGCATACAAGAGGACATATGCGCAATGCCAGTCTCCTCCTCCGGACAGCCGCAGGATTTCATCTGTGGCGACAGCCGAGACCTCATCGTCATCAAATTTGAACCACACGTCGCCACTGGAACGAACCCAGGCCACATAATGTCCCGAGGAACTCGATCGACCTTTATGAGTCAGAACTGCTTGCAAGGTGTAGTAGCCTGAATTGTTGCTGCCCAAGTCGTCGTCGAACCAGAACTGCTCGTACTTAATGTCCTTCTCTTCCTTAACCTCATTGGGTTTAACAACATCAACTTCCATTTTCTTGTCCTCTAAGTCCTTAAATTTCGAACGCATCGGGCACAACTTGCTTTGCAATTCTGGAGTACACAACTCAAAGGCATCAAAATCAATGGGGAACTTAATGTCCTTTAGCACCTTGGCATTAATACCCTCCTTTCCTTTGTATTGGAAACGAACAAACTGAACAGTAAGATAGGCAGGAAGTCGGCTCACCAAGTACTGAAAAAGAAAGTTATTAGCTCTCAGGCATGTAATCAAGCAAGTTCCTTACAGTTCGAATGTACTTTGCATCGCGTCCTAAGGTTTCTGATTTTTTCACCAACTGCTCTCTCATTTTCTGAAAATATGAATCATTATTATTAACGCTATCCTGTTTTTTAATGATTTCACTTACGGATTTTAGTCCACTTTGCATGTACTTCACATCCATTGATATAAAGCAACTCAACTGCAAGAAATTCTCCGATGTTACGGTAGAGGGTTCCTCGGGAACCTCCTCCGAGCTCATCTTAACTTCGAAGGTTCCACCAAAAAACTGGTCGATAAATGAGCTAAAAGAAATATTTTTGAAATCATCATTCAAAACCAAAACCGCTATTGACATACCTGTGTCGTTTTTGGACAGTATTCGATGGGTCCTGGTTAACTGGCCGAATCTTTTGCTGCAACATTTTTAGTATTTCCGCCCAGCACTCGTTGGCGTCCTGCTGCCTATAAGTGCCGTTTTCGCCAGTCTGAGCAAACTGCGGCGATGCGCGGTGCAATGCTTGCAGAAGGACAATCGGCGTTACGGTGGTGCCCTTCTCCATTTGAGCAAATATAGACTTCATGGCGGAAGATATGGAAAATGCAGTCGATATGGTGTCAGTCCCATCATTGCTGAAAGTGGTTAAGGCAGTACGAAGCTCAGGCACTGCATTTAAACACTGAACAGTGGCATTCATGTAGCACGTGTTGCCGAGATTTGTTAGACCGGCTGGTAAGCGCATCTACACAGAACAAAAATGATAATAAGATTTTTTGTATAGTTTAAAACTGCAAAAAATAGGTTTTCCCTACTTAGCGAATCTTATTTCAGTTTGTTCTATCAAAAAAACCTTTTTTCTTAATATTAAGACTGCACACTGAGGTGTTATTACAATTAAAAGTAAGCCTAAAGCGCTTAATGACACAGCCTTTTTTATAAAAACACCAATTATTTTTTAATTTTTTAAGGCGAGAAAATATAATATCCCATTAAACTTATTTAAAGGTCTTACATATATAATCTTCTTTTTACAAAAAGGAATCTCCTGAATTTGTTTGTATCCTTTACGGAACAAAACAACAGTTGTAGTTGTATCATAGATATAACGACTTTGAATTATTTAAAATTTGACAAAATACGTACCGCTGTGGCGGCTTCCGCTTCATTCATGTCCTCTATAAACTTGACCGGCGTAGTAGGCACTTCGGGGACACTTTCCTTGCTGCCGAGCAACAACACCACAGCTCCCTGCAAAAATTATCCATTGCAACGGGCTTTGTTTTTATAAATCTTAAGCGTTACTTACATCCTTAATCTGCAAGTTCCACTGGTCATCCTTAAGTATGCCTCCTTTGCACATAACTTTCTGGCGATCCGGTTGAACGCCAGTGAGCGCAAACAATTGGGCCTTAAACAATATCGGCTCTTCATCCGTGTTTACATCGATGTCTGTGTAGAGCTCCCGGCCCCACTTTACCTTAACTGAAAGCAATAAGGTTCAGTTTTATTCCACAGAAAACATACAAAATACAAACTTACCTTTAAATGCGGGCATGGCTAAATTTTTCGTTAATAAAAGTTCCTTCTTTCTCTAAAATTCAAAGTCATACTAGCCGAAGCAGAGATGCGCAAATAGGCGATATATTAGTGATTGCCGACAGCTTGCTACAGAATTATATCGTCAAGTTTGGAACACCGGAAATAACAAAATTTTTCAACTGGGAAAAAACTAACTTATTATTAATATAAAAAATATACACGATAACTGCTTGTATAAATTTTTGTTTGTTTTAAATTAGTTCAGAAAATCTTACATGCTCGGTCAATTAAAATTTTACGGATAATAGTATATACAAGAAAATCAAGAAGAAGATGTTAATTAAAAATTAAACAAATTAAGACTGAGTTCAATTACTTCATGTGTTTAACTAAATCAATCAATCCTTATTGTTATAATAACAAAATGTATAGTTTACGTTGGCATTGTTTCAATTCCAGTCTTCCGAGTAAAACAAAATTGTTAGGCGATTGCCCACATATTTCAACCGTCTAAACTATCGATACAACAGCTGACACTTTTCCAAATTCTTTTTTTATAATTAGTTAATTGCCCACATCGGCAAATTTTGTAGAAATATTCACATTAAAAAGATAAAAAATGAATGAAGCGGATAGTTTTGCTGAAATATTTAGAGGCGGCTTACCCCACTGTCTTCTGATTGTTTTTTCTATGTTGTTAATTTGCTCACCGGTAATGCCCAGCGAATTCGAGGTTATTTCTATGTCAAAATACGATCTAAATGGTCAACATTTTGGTAAGTAAATAATAAAAAAGATAAATATTAATAATGTAAGTTATTGTAGAGCAGGCCTTGGATATTTGAACACTAACTGAAAAATGTAACCCCTTTTTGAGGGTACTTATTTGACCCAAATTTTTTATAAGTTGACGAGGTCTTTTTTCCTTTATTTAATTAGTAACATTGAATCTCATTAAAACATGCAAACGTGTTCGTTAAATGGCAACTTTTACCTTTTGGCGCATAGATGTAATGTCTAATTAAACAAATTTTTCTAATTAATAAAATATCAATTAACTTGTACTTTTTAGGAAGCCGTGTATCTTCAATATCTCTGGAAGCAAGATCTTTGTATTCCTGGAATACTTCAAGGCACTGTGTTCTCACACGGTATGTACAGAGTTCTTCAACAATTTCAACAGATTTGATTAATGATTAAATTTATATCTGCCAAACAGGTTGACCGACCTGTCTATCCATGATTTGGACAAATTAAGACAAGGCGCAGGTGGACTAATTCTAATGATGCCCTCAAATATCTTAGGCTTGGACCTCGAAGCCAAAGAACTTATAACGATTTTGGAGCAATCAATGCTAACACATACGGCTGCGGTGCCCATTTACTTCGCTCCCTACAATAAGGATTTGGAAAAAATAATCGATGATATTACCTACACGACCACAGATAACTCTGGTCAAAATCAAACGGCTCTGGGACAATTGATAGTGACTGTCTCGGCAAACAGATACCACGTAAATGTCGGTGGCGGAAGTATTGTGGCCAACAAGAACAGCAAAGTTCCCATTATCCAAGGCGAGTTAATACCAAACCAATTGGCCCTTAAACCGACGGAAGCAGTCGGCGATGGACAAAAACTTCCCGTCATCTTAATAACCGCGAATCTAAAAACCTTTGGAATCTATAATGTAAGTACTTTTATTAGCTTAAAATCCGTAATGAGAAATCACCCAAAAATAATACATGTCACTTACCTAAAAAGACATTAGCATTCACTTTACAAGATAAGAGCTCCTTATCTGAAAGCTCATTATGATTATCTAACCGATTTTTTATCAGGCGGTTCAGTGATTTTAGATAACGTTTTAAGAGGTCAAAAGATGCTATTTATAGTATTAAGGGCTTTTTATGTAATACAAATTTTTCTTTTATCTCTTAAGGATTACCCGGAGAACGCCGATGCTGCTGTTTTACTGATGCTCATTGAGCTGTTTAGCAAGTTGCACTACACATCCAGCATGGCACCCAAGTACCGCCTCCGATTTTTACTTTCGGACGCTGGCGTCCTTCTTAACTTCCAAGGTGCAAAGAAGTGGCTCGAAATAGACGATAATGCGCTACAGGTAAGGAAACCCATGAAGGAAAACCACTAACGATTTTTATTTAAATTTCAACCTTTTTTCTAGAATGTTGAGTTTGTGCTCTGTTTGGATACCATCACAGAGAGTTTATCTTACACTACGGATAATGCTTTGTATATGCATGTTTCCAAGCCACCGAAAGAAAAAACATCCATTAGCAACTTCTTCAAACTGTTGAAATCGGCTGCTGAAAAATACTCAAACGGATTAATAGTTGAAGGAGTGCATAAAAAGATAAACTTAGCAGATACCAAACTTGCATGGGAGCATGAGCGATTCAGCATAAAACGCTATCCTTCGTTTACTTTATCTTCTGTAAAAAGTCCGAGGAGTCCCATACGAACAACTATTTTCAAAAACGATGAAAGTGGTATTGTGGAACATACTCTCAACACCTCGCGAATTATTGCTGAAGCACTGGCTAGTTTCGTGTACAAGGTGGACCCGTCTTCCAGCATTTTTGATGGACAATTAGTAAGTTTTTAATGTGTTTAATGTTTTTTTATCACTAATATTTTCCGATCGTAGGCCATTAAAGAAGAAAACATATTGCCATACTTTGGAGTTAAATCCATATTGCATAATAACGACGTTAAGGATGCCTTCGAAAAGTACCTTAACAATGTTAAGATCATATACGACAAGCCAGACGGCAGAGACCCAGAGTTTATGTTCTATAACGAGAACGATGTAAAACTTAATGTATACCGAGTCAAGCCCGCGATCTTTGATCTCTTCCTAACATTTGTCATTGGTGTTTATCTATTGACTGTGTTTCTCGCCATACAATACTTCCCACGATTTTACGATGAAGTTTCAAAGCTAACAAAAGAAGACCCCGTGGGACAACTCAATGGACACTCTTCTGAACGAGTTAAATTAAAATCACATTAGAAAAAAATGGTATTGAGTAATGTAATATTGCAAGTAGGAAAATTCATGTCCAAATCATTTTTCAAAACTTTACTAATGGTAATTGAACAATTGTTACTTTAAAGATAATAAACTCTGTCAACTGTAGAACTATTTCCACGGTTGATGTGGTGACTATATTTGACCCTATTAGTTCATTTATTACTCTGAATTCTTGCAACTAAAGTCAGTTTTAGTATTATAAGTACACATTGTTTTATTTTATTGCATATAAATTTGGTTTTTGTTTGATATAAATATTTATTTGGATATAGTATTATTTAGTTAAATCATTAACACGAGCCGTTGTTAAAATTAGAACTAGCTGAATTATGGGCTCGACTTGGTTTCGGCACAGGGTTCCAATCCAAGTTTGACGAAGTTGGCGACGACTCCCTGAATTGGCCCTTGAACTTGCTTATTTTGTTTATAAACAAATTACTTTGGGATGGTAACTCATTGGTATCCGATGAACTCACAGAAATGTTGGTGGACGTCACCTCCTTGGAAGCTCTGTTATTAACGTTGTTCAACTCATTGGGATAGTTGTAAGTGTTTTCAGCGTAGGAGGGGGTTAAGTAAACTTTTGTGCCCTTGGCTGCACTTTCATTTAAAATTTGTTGATTCCTGCTTATGGATTCTAGCACTTCCTTAATGGACTTCTTCTTTCTCATCCGTGGGGTCGGTGTGGAGTTCAGCTCCCTTTCCGCTGAGATTGGGGATCTAAAGCGATCGTGACTCCGCCTTTCAGTGATTCTCACATCACTTTCCAACTCAAAATCTTCTCTTATTTGCAACACATCATTAGCTTCAGCTGGGCTTGGCTCAACTACATTTGAAACGCAGTGATTTTCCACGTTCTTTGGCTTTGCACCATTTTGATAAAGGACTTCAGGTGTATTCTTTTTGGAAAGATTGCTGGGACCACTGGAACTGATGTTCTCTTCAAAAATCTGTGAAATTTGTTTTACAGTGCCAAATGAATTAGTTTTCCTATCTTCTGTGCTATCAACTGGTTCAGGATCTACGCTTGGATGTTCGGTTTCGTTGGATAGTTTTACATTATTTGCAATTGGGGGTGTTGGGGGCGTGCTTTGGTTTTTCTTGCTTTCTGAATCTACCAAAATGACGGATTGTTTTACAAATTCAGTTTGACTGGAATTCCGTTCCTCCTTTGAAATGCCATTAACAACTAGGGGTTCTTCTTTGACATGTACGGGCACGGTGCCGTTTAGCTTTTTGTTTACTGTGATAATTTCTTCTTGAACGTACAAATCGTTATCTATTTTTTTTTCTGGAAACACTATTCTGGGTTCAGGGGACTGTTTTATATGTACACTGGCAAAGCACTCGGAAGGTTTAGAAGTGCAGGGATTAGGTTGGCTAGCAGTGTTAGATGAAGTGGCTTTTTTCTCCTCAACTGTTGTGCTTGCTTTCTCAGATTCATTCGACTGCTTTATGTGCACGGTGCCAATACATTGTGGTGTTGGGGAGGTGCGGGTATTAATTTTGTCATCGGATTCAAGGATAGTGACATTTTCCTTTTCGGTGACCGTGCTCGTTCCATTTGATTGCTTTAAAATGATGCTCGGTGAAGTTTTGGAAGTGCTAGGGTTAAGTTCGATATCGGAGATCGGTGCAATAACCGAAATATTTGGTTGATTCGACTTTGGAACTTCCTTTTCGACTTCTCGTTTTATTAAAGATTCGTTTCTGTTGTTGACAAACTCTTCAATTTCAGAGGCAAGAGACTCAATGTCTTTGGTAGCTTTGTAATCCTGGACCTGCAAACAGTTAAGGAATCAACTAATGTGAACTTTTTGGAAAATGTAAATATTACCACTACTTTCGGCGGCGGCGGAGCTCTCCTCTTCTTACGATATCTTCTGCAACTCACTGGGGAGCTGGGGCACGAATCCGGTTGCGATTCGAAGGGGTTTGAGCTGGCTAGACTAGTTTGTGATAATCTAAAACGTACAAAAATTAAACACCTTACTCTTACTGTTCTCAGAATATATATTGGATATCAAAATATACCTTATGTTCTGCTGATTTGGCGAGGAATATCCGGAAAACTGCGTGGTACTTCGGTAACGATCATTACGATTAAAAAAAGTTCCATTAGAGATTGTATCGGACTAAGTAGAAAACAAATAAGTTATTAAGATATACTTAATATAAAGACTTAAATATTTACCTCTCTTCGAGTATCAATATTTTGAAGGGATGTGTGACGATCTCCTCGGAAAACTCTAGAATTCAAATAGGAACTACAAGGGAATTGTGGAATCCGTGTTGAATGCCTAATACTCATTTTACTTACTTATCATTTAAATCTCTTCTGAGGGTTGGCGGGCTCTCGGATGTTTTATTTATTCCCAACGTTGATGACTTCTTTTTACGAAAAGAATACGATTTCCTAAAATAGAGACGATAAAATGTTTTATTTTAATATGAAGTATTTAAGTTAATCCGATATGCGCGAGTGATCTGAACAATTTTACTTTTTTATGTATGTGATTTAAATTAGGGCATAGGGTAAGTTATTTATACATTTAAGGGATCGCCACATACTAAATAAACAAAACAGGGAAACTCACCACAACTCTTGCAAGTTTCCAATGGATAAACTATGCCTGCCATTTTCGTTCTTCTTTTTACTAAATCCCCAAAATCTTAGGCGCTTGTGATTATCATCTTCGTAGAAGGGATTTAAGTGTTCCGGATAGTTGTAAATTGATATGTGACTAGTGTTCCGCTTATTCCAACTCATGTTTAGTTTTTATGCCAGCCTTAAGTTGATCTGAAATAAACATATTAAATATTTATACGAATTTCAATAGGCATGTCAATAATATTATAAAACAAATGCAAATATATAGTCGACGAATTTCCAATGCACGGGACTCTATTGTTGATTAGGAAGAGGAATTTATATGTATTTTGAGGAACCAAAAGCTTTTGTGTGTTATAACTTTCCACAAGCATATAATACACTCCTGAACTTTGTGACTAACGGGTGTAAATATAATTACCAGTATGATGACAATACTTTTTTTTATGGGTGCAGTATGCTTCTATCTACAAACCGGGTTTAGCAGCCTTCAATATTGGTTATATGAACTATAAGTTATTGGTATTTTGTCAATCAATTTATTAATCACACTTTTCTGACAAAATTTAATTAAATTAGCACTTAAACTGCTGAAATAATAAACTCAAATACATATGGCAAAACTTTCGCCAACATTTTTTTATCTTATCTGATAATTACCTGATGTAGTTATAATAATAATTTTACTGTGAACCTTGATTACGAGTTTGTTGATTTAAACATTAAAAAATATTTTGGAAATTTAGTGCTCTTAGAAACAAACTAGATCAAAAGAAATTTATTCTTTTTTTATTATGTTACCCAACAAATTTACCTACTCATTTAATAATAATGAAATGTCTGTTATACATATATACATATAATAAATGTCCTATAGTGAACCGTTTCGATATTGTGTTATACTATATGTAATTGATGACTTCATTTTTTGATTATTCCAAGGTTTTTGAGGTATTACACACTCCATCAATTTTTATTTTGAAATAGAAATTGTGGTTTTGATCGGTTTGATTGAGCATCCCTGGAAAAGTTTGCAGATACAATTTTATAAAGATGAGCTAGCGATCGCCGCGTGCTGAACACGATCGGTTCGAATGGACACATATTTGTTTGCCTCATCGAAATCTTTAACATAAATATTATGACAGTGCTTTATTGACACTTTTGATAAGTTAATTTTTTTTTTTTTTTTGGTAATCTAGAAGCATATGATCGAGCGCACAAAGTTTTGGTTTTTATATATACTTTTTTAGTTAGTCCGAATGTTTAACAAGGGATTACATTGTTTTAGCGACTTTAAAGCTTTGTGCTTTCGCCAATTCAACAGGTGAAAATGATCACGCACGAAGTTTTGTTAAGACACAGGGCCTTTTTGCCCGCCACTAATGTGAGATCATTTAGATTATTTTAAACACAAACAAACACACACTCTTCGATCCACACACAATTTTGTGTACATGCAAATAGCTCAGGGGTATAAACATTAGCGTTATATAAAGAATTTTCACATTTCTGCCGTCACTTTTGTATCCATTTACAGATTAACTATCGCATATATGCCCCGGGTACACATAAGTACAAATGTAGATAAAAATATACACAGGTATTGCCAAGGAAAAGGTAATTCGTTCCAGATGACCTCAAATATTTAGCGGCAAGCTTTTCGCGATACTCACCCACCGAGTTGTACTTCAAGACTAAATGAACTTGATGAACTTTATATACATAGATAGAAAGCTTTGAAATATTTCGTGGGCTTTTTGTACGGTATAGAAGTACTTGAGCATGGTTGCACATGAACAAATACAGAAGCACTTGATATGACGATTCTATTACGATCGCGAAGTCGTTAAGAAGGAACCCTAAACCTATGAGTCTGGTTGTGCTTCTTGTAGAACGTTAAAACCGAAATACGATTAACCATCAGAGCCTAGACACTCTTGAACAAAAATATAAGAACACAAACATCAGCAAAAATCGGTGATGACTAATTTTGACGGAAACATTTCGGCTATAAACATAAAAGGGTGTATTCAAATTTTTGTTTTTGTATATCTTATGTCTATTAAATTTTTACAAACTCATAAATGATTTTTTAAAAAAGCTTATCATTGTGACTGTATTGCTTGAATAAATATTTTTAAATACATTTCTTGAAAAAAATCTTATTTTTATATATATTTTTGTATATTTATTTTGGTGTTATGGCTAATTTACAGGGTACTCAGAGAATTTATTTTGTAATTTGTTGGTACCTCTCTTTAGAATTAAGATCATTAATTCCTTAAAATCACAAACCTTTTTTGAGCTATTTCATAAATCTGGGGATCGAAATTAACCCAAACGCGTACATGAGGTTCAAATCCTATCTTCAACATATTTCTAAAAACTAAGTTAGCTTGGGTTGAAATGCAAAATTTTTGTTGATCATATTATTTATTTTTTTACAATAAAATGGAAAGAAAATGTTTTCTTTATGGTAAGTAGTAAATTAAGCTGGATTTTTGTTTTTTTTTTTTTATAAGTTTTTCTCTTGTAATTCCTACGAAAGAATATGCTATTTATTGAAAACGGGAAGTCCTCAATATTACATTAACAATTAAAATTTCTTTTTTTTTAGCACGACATACACTGACTATTTAGGCGGCTTAAAAGTTTATTTTAGTCCGGTGTTATATGCAAATCAAAAACTTCAAGATGCATCCAATAATACTTATATATCGTGTAAGCAATGGAAAGGTAAAAAGCTTATTATTATTAAAAATTTTTTTACAGATTTAAAAACACTTTTTTTCGTAGTACTATTCTGCAAACTTATACGATTGCGTATCTCACAAAATATATTAAAACGGTTATTAAATTGGTATTATATCTTACAAACACAAAAATGATGCTAAAAAGCTTTCCAATTTACTCGACTCTTAATATTGGCAAATATAGTACATCCATATTTTTCTTATATAGCCGGAAAGGTTTCCTTTTAAAGACTTGCACGAACACAAAATATCCTTCTAATAACTTTTTGCGTACAAAAAAATAATAAAACGGCGAATCATTCCCAATTAAAATAGATCAAAAGCGAGGTTAAAGTTAGTACATAAATAAAAATAGTAGTTTTATTTATAAAATAGGAAGTCAATAGACTGTTATTTAATTCAAAAAGTCGTCGATGCCCAAGCCGATAATACTTTTGAGAGGTCACATTAATGACATTAGCATTCTTAATCTCGCATACAAAGAACGAATCGCGACAAATATAAAAATGTCCAAGCTGAGTTTTATTACATAATATAGATTGAATAAAAATTGATAGTAAATTTATTTGGGAGTAAAGACTATAAAACACCTTAAAAGTGAACTCAAACTAAATTTAAAGATCAATTTAAATTTGCACTTCTTTATTAAGGAGTTGGTAGAAAACAATTGGTTTTTATGACCTAAATCTTTTCATCTACTTGCCTTTATCCGTTTAATTGGTATAAATATTTAAAGAAAATGAAAAAAAACGCATTTTAATCATGGGTATTATTAAGTCCAATTTAAGCCTAAACTAATGTATTTCGTTGTATGTTTTGAATTAAAACGTTTTAGGCGCGTTATCAGTCACTCTAACCTCCGGCAATGAAAATAACATCGCGACAACAGTAAAATTTGTTAAGGCACACGCGACAAATTATTCTAGCGAATAAAAGTAAAGTATTGCTTTAAGTGAATCGTTAAAATGTAAAAACAATAATTTTTAATCAGAATAAAATATTTATCGAGTGCTAAGTGTTAACTGTATTTAAATATTGCTTCGCGGATAAGATCAGAATTAATAATTTTGATCGGCAATGTGTTTCTAATTTTCTGAATTAAAATAGTATTACATGTTAATATTTTGCAATGAAATCTTTTTAGGATCCATACAGGAAGAAAGGTTCAGAGATAGGAGATATTCAATTGAAGGCAACCTCTGAAACTTTTTCTCCAAAAATGGTTGTGGATTTTGTCGCTGGTCTTCTCGGAGGTGATTATGTGAACAATTAAAAATGACTAAGAGCATTCATCATCAAGTGTTTATTCGGTTTTAAGGAGCTGCTGGTGTCCTTGTTGGTCATCCTTTCGATACTGTCAAAGTGCATTTGCAAACCGACGATCCCCGTAACCCCAAATACAAAGGCACATTCCACTGCTTTCGGACGATATTGCAAAAGGAGAAATTTCGTGGATTATATCGCGGAATTAGCAGTCCCATGGGTGGAATCGGATTGGTGAACGCCATCGTTTTTGGGGTTTATGGAAACGTTCAGCGATTGTCCAATGACCCCAATTCGCTGACGTCACACTTTTTTGCGGGCTCCATCGCTGGCGTAGCCCAAAGTTTCGTTTGCGCGCCAATGGAATTGGCAAAAACAAGACTTCAACTATCCACGCAGATCGACAGCGGAATCAAATTCACTGGACCGATCCACTGCCTTAAACATATTTTGAAAACCGAAGGAATACGGGCCACCTTTAAAGGACTAACAGCCACAATCCTAAGAGACATTCCGGGTAAGTTTACTTACGTTTATCTTATATAGATTTAGTGGTTTGGTTATTTACAATAATATTTTGACCTTACAACCTTTTTTTGTAGGCTTTGCCGCCTACTTTGTGTCCTTCGAGTATTTAATGCGACAGGTTGAAACTCCAAGTGTGCTGTACACTTTAACAGCTGGAGGATGTGCGGGCATGTCTTCCTGGCTGGCATGCTATCCCATCGACGTGGTCAAAACCCATATGCAAGCCGATGCCCTGGGGAAGAACGCCAAATACAATGGATTCATCGACTGTGCAATGAAAGGTTTTAAAAGCGAGGGCCCGCAATATTTTTTCCGCGGCCTAAACTCAACTTTAATTCGAGCCTTTCCAATGAACGCCGCCTGCTTCTTTGTGGTGTCCTGGGTCTTGGATATATGTAATGCCAAAACTGGAATGGACTCCGTAGTAAACTCCGACCAGCAACTAACCCTTGTCCACTTGGACAACAAAACTCAAGCGGATCTGGAGACAGCATCGCCAACGGTTGAGGAAGTTGTGCGAAAGATTATCACGGACAATGCAATAGCCCATCAGTGTGTGTCCACGCCTCAGGATGTCGTTCACAATCACTATACAACAAGTAGTACAATTAACATATCCAAAGAACCTAAATCCCGTTTAGCAACCGATTGTAATTTAAAATAAAGTTTAAATTTTGCAAGTACATTTACAAATAACTTGTGTTCGTTAAAAGTTCCTTAAATTCAGATCCATAATTTATGTTTATTTCAAAGTTGTGATTACATAATACAATTAAATAAATGTTAACTTATGTGCATGCTTTTACGAGCCGCAGGAAATGCAGGCATCCTTATTTTCTAACGAACAAACCATATCGGCCATTTTTTGCTCTCTGTCCGATTCGTATTTTTGGGGACTTTCCTCAGCGGCTCCATTGTGACCATTCATCTTCACTGCCCCCTGTTTCTTGTCCACGGTGAACTGAATGGCGTTTGCTGCCGGCTTTGTGCGCAGATAGTACATTCCGGTTTTAAGCCCAGCTTTCCAGGAGTAAAAGTGTATGGACGTAAGCTTTCCGTAGTTTGGCTCTGCCACATGAATGTTGAAGGACTGGCTTTGATCGATGAAAGCACCTCGATCAGCGGCCATTTTAATAGTAGACTTCACAGAGATTTCCCACACGGTTTTGTAAAGATCTCGGACCTTCTGCGGGATGGCTTCGATGTTTTGAATGGAGCCCCTGCTGGAAATTATTTGGTTCTTCATATCATCGTCCCACAAGTCCAATTCAGTCAGGTCCCTCAACAAGTGATGGTTGACCACTTGAAATTCGCCGGACAGAACTCGTCTAGTGTAAATATTAGTCGTATACGGCTCGAAAGATTCGTTGTTGCCCATAATCTGGGCAGTAGATGCAGTGGGCATAGGAGCCACAAGCAGGGAGTTCCTGACACCGTGCTTCTTGATCGACTCCTTCAGTTTCTGCCAGTCCCACAGGTTCGTTGGCGTTTTGTCCCACATGTCGTACTGCAGAATACCCTTACTTACGGGGCTCCCTTCATAGGTTTCGTATGGACCATCAATCTCAGCCAGCTCACAACTGGCCTCCAAAGCGCCGTAGTAAATAGTTTCAAATATCTGCTGATTCAAAAGACCAGCTTCTTCACTTTCATAGGGGAATCGCATGAGAATCAAGGCGTCAGCGAAACCCTGAACTCCGATGCCCACGGGGCGATGTCTCAAATTGGATTTCTTTGCCTCCGGCAGGGGATAATAGTTTATATCGATTATCTTGTTAAGATTTTTGGTGACCGTCTTGGTAACTTCTTTTAGTTTCTTGAAATCGTACGTCTTCTCGGGTGTGACGAACATGTTAAGGGCGATGGATGCCAAGTTGCATACTGCAATCTCATCTGGCGCAGAGTACTCTACGATTTCTGTGCAAAGGTTGCTGCACTTGATAGTGCCAACATTCTGCTGGTTGCTCTTCCGGTTGCAGGCATCTTTAAAGAGCATATAAGGATTTCCCGTTTCCACCTGCGCCTCAATAATCGCGAACCACAAGGACTGAGCCTTAACTACTCGGTTGGCACGACCCTCTTGCTCGTACTTCAAGTACAGCTTTTCAAATTCGTCGCCCCAAACATCGTGAAGGCCGGGGCATTTATGAGGACACATGAGGGACCAATCCTCGTTGGCCTCTACACGTTTCATGAAGAGATCGGGTATCCACAAGGCGTAGAATAAGTCGCGTGCACGATTCTCTTCCTTTCCGGTGTTTTTCTTGAGCTCGAGGAACTCGAAGACATCCGAATGCCATGGCTCCAGGTAAATAGCAAAGGCGCCAGGACGCTTGCCGCCTCCCTGATCCACATACCGTGCAACGTTGTTAAAGACCCTCAGCATGGGAACCAGACCATTGGAGGTGCCATTGGTGCCGCAAATCGAGGTGCCCTTTGCCCGAATGCAATGCACATTCAGTCCAATACCACCTGCCGATTTTGAAATCATGGCGCACTGCTCCACGGATTTGAAAATGCCCTCGATCGAGTCGGCCGTCATGGTCAAGAGGAAACACGAAGACAACTGTGGGCGATTTGTGGCAGCGGCAAAAAGAGTTGGCGAGGCATGAGTAAAGAATCGCTCGGACAAAAGATTGTAGGTTTCCACAGCAGCATCGATATCCTCTCCGTGGATTCCAATTGCCACGCGCATCAACATATGTTGTGGGCGCTCAGCGATCTTTCCGTTCCTCTTAAGCAAATATGATCGTTCGAGGGTCTTAAAACCAAAATAGTTATATCCAAAGTCGCGATCATAGATTATAGAGGAGTTTAGGCGAGTGGCATTCTTTTTTACCACATTGTAATGGAATTCTGATACCAAGGGCACTTTTTGATTCGTTTCTTTGTTTACATGGTTGTACAGATCCTCAAATACATCTGTTTAAAGTAAGTTTTAATAGTTTTCAATAGTTGATAGAGGATATTTAAGCTTACCGGAAAAAACTTTCTTAGTTTCCTTGTGCAAATTAGAAACTGCAATCCGTGCAGCTAAAATGGCATAATCGGCGTGATTGCATGTTAATCCGGCCGCGATTTCAGCAGCCAAGTTGTCCAATTCTTGCGTAGTCACACCGCAATATAAACCATTAATAACTTGCAAGGTAATAGAAACCTACAAATACATGGCAACATTTTATAATAATTTATATTTTAAATTCCAATATGCATAGTAAATTTTGTATACGGTACATGAAAATTTTTTTTGTGTTGTCTCATATAAGTTACCCACGAACTCGTCCCTACATGTGTATGTGCATACATTTAAAGCATTAAATAAATGGAACAAAATTTGCTAACAGCAATTGTCGCGATTAATCTAATGTACCCAATTTATTTTCACGCTTAAATAAACAAACTTACAGGATCAACGAAATCCATGTTCAAGTTGTAGCAAAGCTTTTGGATTCTTGAGGTTATTTTATCAAAATGTACTTCCTCCCGCCTGCCATCTGAAATAAAGATTTAATTTAAACTACTACAGCTGTATAGCAAACCAACTTACCTCTTTTGATAACATATAACTTTGATGTTTTCATAGATTTATTTTTCAACATGTTGATTGCTTATATTTCACAAGAGGCGGAAAATTGCTTGTTGCAAACAGAAAAAGGCGCCAAAGTGAAGCCGATTTGAGTGTGACCGTACAAAAAGATCACCAATTTCTATTATATTTGAAACGATTGAGAGCCACAAACGTTCCAAGTTAAATAATGTTTACATAGTTGTAAAATTAAAACAGTGTTTTTAGTATTAATATAAATAATTTGCTTTAGCTTTTATTTATATAGAATTAAATGATTATGTAAATATAACAGTGTTTAAAGAACATTTTTGAGTATGTGTTTTATAAACGGTCTCGGTAGATTGGTATCAATTATACAAGTGAATAATATTTTTAAACAAACTTTTAATAACATATGCAATTTTAGAGTGTTTAATCTAGAAGGCCGTGTTTAACTGTTTTATTGACCTGTAGTCCCGATTGTTGTTGAAAAACACTGAAAAATAAGATTGCAATGTTAAAAATAAGAATTTTATAGAAGCATTATTACTTACAAAAAGTTGTTAATTTTTTCTAAATCGTGTAATATGTCATCTTGCTCCGAATTTAGATCGTCTCGTTCTCTTAGGCTTTCTAGTAGGGTTACATTTAAGTTTTCAATGTATTTTTGAAGATTATTGACCAACAACTGTAGAGTCGGAACTTGTATTCCAGTGAGCAACTGTCTTGATATCCATCGATGATTTGAATTCATTTTAATGCCAACATCAGACAGCATTGAGCGAATCACCTCAACAATCGGTGTTACTCCGTTTTTCTTTACCTATAAAACAGACATTTAAAAAAAAATAAGCGTTTAATTTAAGCTACCATTTAAAGAAACATACCTTGACTTTCATTTGGGCAATTTCCTTTGATTGAGCTAGAGCTATTCTAACCTCTATTTGGAGCTTCGATTGGTTCGCAAAGAAATACAAATTTTCATTTGATGGAAAATTTGATTTATCCGTAGAATTTCCATTATTATTATGATTTGTGGTTTTTTCTTGATTTATTTGGTTCTTTTGAAATATTTTATCGTTTTCGAATTCCTTATTGCGTTTCGTTTCACAGAAAGCCGATTGCTTACGAGGTACTCCACTTGATAATTTGGGACATGTTTCTGAATCAGAACTATAGCTTTCATTGTCGGAGCCAGTAAGAAATTCCTCTTTTTTGATTTCTAAAAATTCAAAAAAAGTTTAATAAAAATCATAAGAAACAATTGTACTTTGCTGTATAATCACACCATTATTCAAAGGATCTTTATCTCCGATCGCCAATCGTTTACGAATTTCATCTCGGTTAAAACGACGCTGCAACGATATAAATATTATGATCATTTCTTCTGCTTTTTGAAATGGTTTTAAATGTAACTTCTTTTTATAATATCTTTACCTTTTTTTCTATTTGCTTAACCTTCTTAAAATGATTTTGTAATGTTTCCACGTCCATGTCATTTGCCACCTTGTACGCATCAAATTGCTCTATTAATATAATTGAAGTATAACATTAATCTAAATTAAGTTAAAATGTTTTGCAAATTAGTAAATTACCTAAAACCATAGTAGAAGATGCATTTTTAGAATACTTTATGGGATCTTCCAGGTATTGAGACCAACATGATTGGTTTAAATTCCTCCGATTTACTTTATTTTTATTGTCCTCCTCTAGATGGTTCTGGGCTTGTCCGACTTCCGAATTGCTACAGTTTGGTAATTCACCCAGGTTGCCGATCTGCATTTCGTTTTTGTTTTTTTCCGATGAGGACGAATAATTTTCAGAATCACATAAGATATATTTTCGTTGGTTACATGTTTTATACTCAAAGGTGTCTGGTGGTAGCTGTCGTTCATCATGCGATGGTTTTTGATGTTTTGTTTTTATTAACTCATTCCCATATGGAGGGGTTTTCTTTTTATTTTTGCGAATGCTCTGTCCGGACAATCGCGTTGAAGGTGTATGCTTTAATGCTTCGGTTCCAGTTGATAGTTCCGCGTCACAAATCTGTAAATAAAATATATTTTAGGTAATTTTAAACATCGGAAAATATTATAAAATTAACTCACCTTCGTCAAATTTGATCCCTGTAACTCATCTAGAGCATTCTTGTTTTTGTATCCTGTGATTAGTAGCTCGAATTCACGCTCCACTTCTCCACCAAAGTCTCCAACGATATCGATCGGACTTTGTCCTTGTAGTTGTCCCTCATATATAGAATTAATTGTACATGACCAGGAGGAAAAGTCAAAATTGGTTGTATAATTCTGACTTAGATTATGAATAAGGTCCGGCTTATTAAAAGATCGCATAGAGTTATCCGATTTTGCGTCATAGTTCTTATTAACAATGTCCGGTATATTTGAGGGTGAGGATCGGTTTTCAGTTTCCTCAAAGGAATATGTATTTCCATTGATACAGTTACTCGAAATCAGATCCTGGGTATTTTCAAACGTTTCCGAGCCTTTTCTGCCGACAACCTTGTTTTGAAACGTGTTTTGGTCATCCTCTCTGTCACTATCGGTTAAATCACTCTCGTTACATTCCATGTCAGAGTACTCAATGTAGTCATCAGAAAGGGTATGTGCAAATTTTTGAAATCCAGGATAGTTGGGGTTGGTTATTCCCTTTGTTATATAAATATCCATTCTTGAGCTCGGCATTTGAATATTTAATCTACAAAAAAAGTAATAATGATAAAAATTAAACTTAACTGACTTAACTTTTGATGTGAAGCGAAATTCCAAGATTTAAAGAAATGATTGGTCAACTAATCATTCGGCTAGTTAAATATTTTTTTATTTTTTATATGTAAGAGTTTTTTATGTTTTTTTAAATTACTTGCGATTGTTAAAGGACCTTTCCTCCTTATAATAACATTTAATGCAACTTATTTTCGAGTTTACTAAACTTTGTTGAGACTTGAACGTAGAAACTACATAAATTGTTATCAGACTAACATAATCGCATTTCAAAAAATATGATTTATTTTATATTATGTCTCAAATGTTTAGAAATGTAGATACTTTTTAATGAAACTTGCACTTTAATTTAAATCAATTCTGATACTTATAATAAATGTTTGTGTTCTTTTTTTTTTAAACATTTATTCACACTTTTTAATACCATAAAATATTCCTTTTATTGAAAATAACAAAAATGTCTATTATTGAATCGATGAAGACTTACAAGGACTTAGGCCTTCTTGCACTCATATGTAAAAAAAAAATTACTCCCACACACATAAGTAAATTACACGTTTAGCGCACGCGTAGAACCTAGGACTCATTTCCATAGTGTTTTTAATAATACTAATGAGGATAAGGATGTTGTTCATTTGTTACAGTTTTATAACAGTAAATATGTGGGAGAATTTCTTTTTATAAGCATATTTAACACATCTCTTAAAGTTTAAGAAACATATTTTTTAAAGTTTTAAAATTTGTCTTTGAGTTGTTTTATTGATTGTTATCACATCTTATCTTATAAAGGTTATAAAAATTAATAAGTCTCCTTAATTATAAGAGTACCCCTAATTGTTAAGTTTAAGCATTTTCTTCTCCTAAAAATATGGTAACACTTAAGCACAATGTGATTTAAAATACCATAATATTGATAGTTAAAACTAATAGAAACTAAAGCAAGACAAGAAAAATGAAATAACCGGAGGCATTACTTATTATAAGTGAATAATAATGATATTATTCAAAGGACTTAGGAGGGTACAAGCCCAGCTGAAAACGCCTGTTGACTTGGTGCTCATCCGGGTGAGGTTCTTGGGCATTACGCAATGCTTAAAAAACTATAACTTTCATAAAATGTTTTAGTATTCCACTGCTGCAACGATAACAAACCAAGATGAGAGTGCTAGCCAAATACCGTCTGTGTCCCAGTCGGGAAAAGTCCAGCATTTACCGGAAAATCAAATCAATTGGATGCCCAGTCCGTACACAGCGCCGGGCAAAACCTTCAGTCAGTACAAGAAGCTATCTAAATTCCGGCTGACATGTATGTGAAATTAGGCTTGAATTTTACATAGTTTATTTGAGCATATTCTTTTCCAGCTTTGGTGGTCATTACAACAATGGGAGGCTATGCCATGGCACCGGCCGCCTTCGATCCCGCCTCGTTTGCGATGTGCACGCTGGGCACAGGACTCGTTTCGGCTGCAGCAAATGCCATAAATCAGTATCACGAGGTTCCCTTCGATTCGCAGATGTCGAGAACGAAAAACCGTGTTCTGGTCACGGGACAAATGACGCCTCTCCACGCGGTAACCTTCGCTGCGGTGTCGGCTACTGCTGGACTGAGTATGCTGTATTTCGGTACAAATGGATTAACCGCTGCTCTGGGAGCGGGTAATCTCTTCCTCTACACCACGATATACACGCCCATGAAGCGAATGAGCATAGTAAACACCTGGGTTGGCTCAATAGTCGGAGCCATTCCGCCTCTAATGGGTTGGGCTGGATGTGCCGGCACCCTGGACGCGGGAGCCATGATCCTGGCCGGAATTCTGTACGCTTGGCAGTTCCCACACTTTAACGCTCTGTCGTGGAACCTTCGGCCAGATTATTCACGCGCCGGCTACAGAATGATGGCCGTTACCAATCCGGGTCTTTGTCGGCGCACCGCCTTTCGATATTCGTTGGCTATCGTTGGCCTTTCGGTAATGGCACCCGTTCTGGATGTCACTAACTACTGGTTTGCACTAGAAACGCTACCTCTGAACGCATACTTCGCCTACCTTGGTAAATATTATTTTTTATCCTTGCAACGCAAGTACTAAATTTCACTTTTTGATTTCAGCATACAAGTTCCATGAAAAATCGGATAGTGGGAGCTCGAGAAAGTTATTCCGCTTTTCACTACTACACCTGCCCGTCCTGATGTTGCTGTTCTTGGCCAATAAAAAGGAATGGTTCTTTAGCAAACCTGCCGGAGAGGAAAAGAAAAAGGAATCCACCTACATTGCAATAAAGCAGTCTGCTAGTAGTCTTGGAAATGTTCTGCCTGTTGCCGTAGCCGAAGGGCCAAGATAATAATATTAACATTAATACGAAAAAATGTTACAAAAAATATACTTAGTGTTCTGAAGATTGTATAAACGAAGTAATTTAATATTAAAAAAATTTTACCTCTGTGGGGCAAAACTTGCTTGCTTCAAAAAATAGATTCCCCATGTCCTTATAAGATTCCAAAGTTTATTAAAAGGAACTTCTTTCAGCAAAATACTCTGAAAGAAGCAATGTAAGTATGGCAATCACAAAAACACAACACATAGGGCTCTTACTAACACAAAATGCAGTTATGGATTTAAGAGTTACCTTCAATAAATTTCTTGGGCATTACACTTCCACTCGTTCCATTCAGTAAAATGTGGAACGTATGGAATTTTAAAAAAATATTTCTAGTCTTAAACTATTATTTATTTTTTGTTTAAATAGGCATATTTATATATACCAATGTTAAATTTTAAATTCACCCCTCACATACTTTTTACGACATCGATATTCCTTTGTAAAAAGTCGATAAAAAAAAAAATATTTTTCAATTCTCAAAAATAAGCACGCTAAAACTTGAAATTTTCACAGCACAGGGTTTTTATTCGATACTGGAACATAATAAAAAAAAATGTTCACTAGCTCAAATGAATGCATCTCTATATTTTTTACTGGTAACTGATATACTTACATTTTAATCTGTATGTGTTTTTCTTAAAACAAGAACTAAATTTATTTTTTAACAAGTTTTAATTATATTGAGGTTAAGCAACAGAACCTATTGGAATACTTGATTTTTAATGAAACATCGAGATGAATCATGCTGCTGCTGCGGACAATCGCTGCAGCCCTCGTTTGGTAATTTGAACGGGAAACTAGATCAAATGAACGTAAAACTCATTGTGAACCACTGGAGTGAATTATTTTTAGTGAGCTGAACGTGGATTGTGACAATGAAAAATTGAGGAATAGTGTTTACATTCATTTTATAATTTATTTTAAAGTTATCTTTTTTATCTCTATAAAAAAGGAGAGGTGTATGAAAGTTTCTTTACACAGTGCAAACACATATAAATTGCTAATTATGTATAATGTACCACATAAGTTTCGTCAAGTTTGTCGATTGTGCCTCACATTGGTTAACGAGTGCGATGTTGCAGAACTACAAATTTACGATGTTTCATCGCATAATAGTGCCGAAGAAGGGAAAACGGTTGAATTACGGAGAGACGAGAAGCGTGCTGGCTGCTTTTGCAGTGCTTTGAGCCCAAATCTGTGCAGCTGTATCGGTGATAACTCGCTATCAGTATCAGTAGTGCTGACCAATAACGAATCGGGTCCAAGCCAACCTAAATCGCAATCCCTTCTCCAAAACCGAACCCCAACCCAAATCCATTACACGCCAAGTGTGCCTTCTGCTGCTGACTTCAAGTCGAGTGAACGCGAACGCCAATTGGAGTCGGAAATCGCCGAAAGATCAGTATTCAAAAGTCAGTCATCGTCATCGTCGACGCAACAACAACAAAACCAGCAACAACAACAACATCAGCAGCAGCATATAGCAAGCAGGGAGGTACAATCCCAATCAAAATCGGAACTCCCGCGGGTGGAACATAATCATAATCAACGCGAACACACAAGTGTGAATACAACAAATATAAGCGGAACCGATAACTACGGCAAAGAGCACGGCAGAGATGATTCATCACCACATCTTACATTTCAGATATTCAACTGTCTCTCTATTAAGGTAAGCAGATTTCCATCCAACACATTTGCACAGAAACGAATTTACATTAATTACGCACACACACAAGCAAGGTCCCACGGTGGTGTGTGGATATATCCCGTATATATATATGGGTATGCCCGCACACACGCGTTTGCGAGTGCTCACCGTGTGACTGTGTGCGTTATCTATGTGATTACGACACCACACGTCAAAATAATAGGAAATGATTGGGCCGCTTTTATCCCATGGCCTATTAACAATCGGTATCAATTGTCTGGTATTTTTTCGATGAACCGATTCGAGGCAAATGCCCCACGCACACCAGTCAGGTCGTACATCAATGTTCAACACACGAATGTAAATATTGATATGTATGTATGAACGCGTTAGAGACCTACATTAATCCACGCCAGAGATAACATTCGTTTCACTGCAATTTGATTGTTTTAGTACCGATATACCAGGGTCAATGTATGCCTTATATGGCCTGTATTAAGAGATATATGTATGTGCATTGGGAACTTTCAGTTTTATTAAAACACAGTGCAACAACGTATATGTATGTCTACACTAAACACTTTGACTTGTTTCTATATTTGTTGTTATCACCATCTTTTTAGTTTTAAGTATATTTGCTGTCCTTATGTTAAGAGCCCTGAATTTTATCGGTTAATTGAAAAAAAGTTATTTAAACTTCCAACTGATTACTATTTTTAAATTGAACAATTTAATTCTTTGTCAATTGTTTCTCCTCTTTAGTTTCTAAATATTTTCTGACCAACTTTTAAATTTTCATATACTACATGTTATATTTTTTAAATGTCTCTTTAAAATCGTTGTTATTAGATTTCTAACAGCTTGTATCAAACTAATCGAACCTTCTTTTCCCATTCAGACAATAAATCGATTTTATTGCAGCCTCACTTATTGCATCATTCACATTTTAAGCTAACTTAATATCTGCAGAAAATATTATATTTATAAATACATTTACATATTTTCAGGCACTGCCTAACGATGGATTACCCAACGTGATTTGTGCTGACTGCAGACAAAAATTGGATTCTTTTGAAAAATTTCGTACCATGGCGCACAACTCACAAATAGCTTTGAAAGAATTTTTAAATATATCAAAAAATATAAAACTAGTAAGTTTTAATGATAAGTTCTTTAAGAGTCAAAATTGTTGTATAAATTATCAAATGCAAAGATAACACAGAGACCCTCTCTAATCAAAACTTCTGTGACTAAAACAAGTTTTTGCTTCAGTAATTTCTGGAACACCCCATAAAAAATAAATGACTCAGAATTGAAAAAAAAAACTGATTATAATTCATTTTATTCTATTTTATAATATATGTTAAACCTTAATTTTTTCCAGGACGCAAATGATTTGGAAATCAAGCTTGATGCAATTTTAAAGGCTTCATCGGAGGCTATAGCGGCAAAGGCTTTGACGGAGTTAAGCACTTTTTCTAAAGTTAAGTACGATCAGAGTAAATTAGAATCCTCCATCCAGCCTGGTTTGGATAGAAAAATCGAGATTAGCAATCAAGATATGCCAGCACATAGCTCATATCCAAGTTTATTCAAATCAATAAAAACAGATCAAAAGAAGGTAATGCCTGGATCCTCGCACAGCCAGTTTGATTCAAAACTGCAAAAGGACTCGGAGATCGAGAAATATGAAAATCTGCAACAGCAACTCGAAACGGCTGCCGTTTTAATGGATATAAGCAAAAAAATTGTTATTTCCCCTCCAAGCTCGAATCCCCAATCTCCGTGTTTTTCTGCAGCTGTAGATACAAGTATTAAAAGTTCTGTGATAAAATCAAAACGTCCATTAAACCAAAATGAAATTCAGGACGGTGTTGAAATTGACCTATCCGTCAAAAAACAAAAGAACGATTACTCTAATCAACGGAACTCGGCCCCAATACACAATTTTTGCCAAACTCCAATGCTTGATATTCAGCCACACTTAAGAAGTGAAGAGGATTTTCAAAACTACAGTATTACCATTAACCAAGTTGGTGGGTCCGACTACAAATCGAAGGCCCCGAAGGCGAGTACTGGCTCTTTGCTGGACTCTGGCGACAGTTCCGATTCTCACAAACTGGAAATGGACATCACGTCCTCAATAAACGATAGAAAGACCCCGGATAGTCTAAGTTCGGATCACGCCACGGACGCGGCAACTACTCAACTCTGGCAAGCACTTGCCCGATCAGCCGGTAAATAGAAGACAATTTACTATTTATAGTGGTTAAATCACTACTTATATGTGCTTTAATTTTCAGCTAAGAGCATAATGACCCACCCCTTCGTGTTTCCGGCTCCGTCGTCAGTATCATTTACAAAAGTACCTGAAGAACCCATAGCACTATTAAAGGTAAATAGAAAGTGTTTATGTTAAACTGGATAAAAATAATTAATATGTTTTTTTTTTTAATATCTTCAGGATCTATCAGAGGCTCAATCCAGCAAATCAAAACCATGTAGAAGAAAACAAAGTTTTCCTACCAAAACTGATTGCATCGATGTAGTTAATGAGAATGTGACTGATACTTATACCACTTCAGAAGCAGCTCCAGAGGACAAGAAAGATAAAAGGGTAAGTTAGTACACTATTCGTTATCACTGTATTAATTAATTACATTATCTTATCATGTGAATTCCGTTCTATAGAACATTAACCTTTTTAATGCCATACCTGGTGCTCAAAAAGATATGTCATGTTCGAATTGTGGCACCCTTACCACAACAATTTGGAGGCGGAGTGTTCGAGGAGAAATGGTTTGCAATGCCTGTGGATTGTATTTCAAGCTGCATGGGGTCAACAGGCCGCATTCTATGAGACGCGATACCATACACACCAGACGCAGGCGTCCTAAAGAATTGGAGCGATCTAAAAAAAGTAAGTGCTTTTTGTTGTGTTTTTTTTTTAATCCAATAGGAAAATTATTTTTTAAAAGTATGCATTTTTAATTAGAACATTTGTTTAAGAAGCATCATAAGCAAAATTATCAAACATCGCTTACATATTAAAGCTATATTTAGTTTGCCGAAACAATTTATTAGGCTGATGTCAGTGCATTTTTTTATTAAACATGTTTTGTTTCCCATATGTGAAGGAATATGTTTTGAACATTTTTCGGGTATTTAAAAAAATTACTTTTTTTTTACAGAACACAAGCAAATGTCATCATGTTCTTCAATGGAACCAACAAAACCAGAATACTTGACGTCTAGGGAACAACCCCTTGATATTTCTGGTCTGGTTTTAAATGTAAGTACGCTGTGCAGCTTATAAACTATTGATTTAAAGATATTGTGAATAAGTACTTAGTATCCTACGTCGGCGGTGACTATTATGTATCTGCCTGTACTTACTATTAACTTCTTTTCTTTTAGAAATACAAAAAGGAAATTGATGAATCCGAAACCGCAGCTACAATCACAGATATTTTATTAAGGCGGAAGAAGTTAAATTCTTTGCCGGCGTTTAATGATACCTGTGAAAGTGCGGATCTTTCCGCACCGCTTAACCTTGTTTCCAGTGAAAATAATGCAAAGTTAACATAGAACGCCAAATATATTCCCCTACTCACTTTTCGAAAAAACCTTTAATACACATTTTGTTTTTATGAGGTCGCATAAGAAAAACAAAAGTTATAGGATTAAAAATACGTATAGATTATTAATAAAAATTTTCATTCTTTAAAACTAAATTTTATTCATTTGTATCTTTAAAAACTAATACCAAAATACTTATTAGTGTAAAAGAGGTATAAAAATTGAACCAGTATGTCAAACCTTTTTAATAATATCACACTAAATATAGACCTTAAGAAAGGACATCAATACTTAATGCAATTAAATTAAAAATACAATTTATTATATTTATATTTATTAAAACCATTTTACAGTATTTTTAATTTTTTAATAACACAAATTGCTTCTATTAAAAAGAAAAGTTTAGTTTTAACAATGATTTTTCAGCTGTCTTTGCAATTGAACAACTTCTAAAGCTAAAAAATAAATAATGTTTTAAATCTCTTGCCTATACGAAAATCATGTGATAATATAATAATCTCCACAAAACATTTTAATAGTAAAACTATGCAAAAAGCAATAATCACGCAATGCAAACTTTTCAAGGAAATATTTAAATTATATACAATTATAAGAAACTAAAAACTTAATGCTGTTTTCGAATCTACATAAATCGTCTAAATAAAATAAGGACTTCATAATAGGCTAAGATACAAAAATATTACTCATTTATTTTTTCAAATAAAATACTCTATACAATTTTTAACAATCACAATAAACTGGTTAATGTAAAATGTAAAACAAAAACTTACGATGTTTCCTTTTGAATATTGATCGTTATCTTAAGCTGGACCACCAAATAGCCAAAGAAGATTATACTAGACACATCTGGGTAAATCGTTTGGATTTGAAAAGCATGATGAAAAATGTGGTGTTAAAACCTATGTAGTAAACATAATTAAAAGTATCCAAATTTTTCGAATTTATAGATAAAACGGACCTAATAGTTTAAAATCCGATAGATCGGTAAATCGATTTACTATATTATCGATGACTATATTTAAATCCAAGTTACCCACTAATGTTTTGCAAGGTGTAAGACGAAATTGTAGAGGAAACATTGGATTTTGTAGTGAAAATTTATGGTCGATAACATTTGTGGAAAAGGCATTTAGACACCTGGTCACATTGAGATCCATTTGTTATTGTTGAGCAGCATGTTGGAGAACGGTGAACACTTCTTCGAAGGGGTTGAAAAACTTCTTGAAATCTGGTTCGAGGAAAGCTCCAACAGCGAGAATGATCTGCGAAACATTAGCAGGTGAGTCCTTAAGCAAGTGATACATCGCTACAGCTAGAGGAATTTACATTTTGCCAGAAAGCATACACCCTACAAAAGAAAGCTTATGGTTCGCAAAACGTCGACTTGTCAAACAAATGCATTTTTTAAAACTATTGATTGGTTTTTAAACACAATTCTTGAAACTTCAGAAGGATTAACAAAAACAAAAAGATTATCAGCCTATCAAATGCGAAACACGTGTGACGAGTTATAAATTGGCAAAATGTACATCTTGACTTCGTAAGTGGTTGAAACGGTTTTCCTAAATTGATTTGACAATATTGTATATGGCTCTGTTTAAAATACTTACAGCGAATACTAAGTCATAACTTTAATCATAAAGCTCTTATATCGTAAAGGTTTTTATAAATTTTTGGCAGTGGTCTAAAATAGTATTTCTTACAAAAAGATAATGGACTACATGTGTAAGTACATTAAATGATTTCCTTGACCCTTCCGATTGATAATGTTTTTAATCGTGTCCGGTTCGTTATCTCAAATTTTATTTTGGCTTGAGGGTTTCATACAATTTTTTGTAATAAAAAACATTGAACGTACCGAGTGAAAATGTTATTCTTTCAGATCTGATTGGGAAAACGTGCTCAGCAATGTGAACTGTGAAATAATAAGCACTTCAAAAAATGATGCTATAGATGCTTTTGTTTTAAGGTAATTATTTATACGAAAACTCTTAAAGTGGCTTAAAAAGTAAAATGTGTTTTATTATTCCATTTTATCAAAGAGATTATTTCTTTAAATTTAATTCTTGAATTGTTTTAGCGAGAGCAGTATGTTTGTTTCAAAGCGGAGGTGGATCCTTAAGACTTGTGGTACTACCACTCCTCTAAAATGCTTAGGCTTGTTGTTAAAATTGGCGGAGGCCAATGGCTTTGAAGTGGTTGCAGACTTGTTCTACTCCCGGAAGAACTTTACTAGACCAGAAGCACAGGTTTATTTCCTTTAAAAAAAAGGTTATTTACTTATAAACAAAACTTTTGGTTTTTCAGATTACTCCTCATCAGGGCTTCACCGAAGAAGTTACTTATCTGGATTCCATTTTTCCAAATGGAAGATCCTATTGTCTGGGTTCTATGAACTTGGAGTGTTGGTATCTTTATACATTTAGTCGTTCTGATATCAATATTTCTCCACAACACATATCTAACAAGAAAGGCGTTGATTCCGATCCAGATCAAACTATTGAAATACTAATGCAAGACCTTGATCCCGAAACCATGTCGATCTTTTATAAAAATAAATTTGACAATGCTCATGGGGCTACTGTGGTATGGAAAGTAAGAAATGTTTAAAGGAAGGTATAAAGTTTTTTTTTTTTAGAAATCTGGAATCGATACAATTTTGCCTAGTATGCACATCGACGACTTTCTATTCGACCCTTGTGGATATTCAATGAATGGAATTAATGATAAGGTAAAATATAAACAATATTACTGACGTAGTGTAAACTATTCATATATTTTTTCAGGGAGAGTATATGACAATTCACATTACTCCGGAAAATCAGTTTTCGTATGTGAGCTTTGAAACTAACGTTGCATTGAGTAACTATAGGAAACTTATTAACCAAGTGATTAACACTTTTAAGCCGGGAAAATTTATTGTAACTATTTTCGCAAATAAGGTATGTTGTGCGATACTTAATATTTGTTAGTTTTGTAAAATCCTTTCCATTTAACAGTGCTCTCTGGCTTACGAAACCATGAAGGAGTTGGAAGTTGAATACTCCAAAGGATCGCATTGGAAGCGAACAGACATGCAATGTTGCAATTTTCCTTCCTACAATCTTCTGTTTGCACAATATTCTTTTAATGAAAAAAATGGTGATAATTTATGAAGTTTTAATTCCAACTGTTGTTGTGATCCTTCTTCGTATGTGTAACAAAGCAGATTGTTCGTTTGTTATAAATTAAAAAAAATAAAGTTTCTCAATTAAAGTTTTTGGGTTTTTATTTAAGTTATCTTATTCTTATTAAATTATTAGTGTTAAAACAATTGGTAATTGTTTGTAAAACTTAATTGACTAACAGGTTACAACGACTTCTGGATTAAACTGTTAAATTAAAATACTAAAAATCCCAAATAACTGGATTGTTTGTGATTACAAATATGGAAGAAATAATCGGATATAAACAGTCATACTGAGAAGTCCATCTCTAATAGTATTTGACAAGTCCACCCAAACGAAAAATAAAAATGAGTGCAATTTCCAATGAAAACATTATTTGGACCATAAAAAACGGAGAGTTTGACGCCGTACAAGCTGCTTTCCAAAACGATGTGTGTTGGTTAATTCACAAAATTCTTTTGATTTTAATAAATAAATTTAAACACACAGGCACAAAAAGGTAAATGAGGAAATCAAGGGCCGTTTCCCAGTACACTATGCGGCAGATTTTGGGCAGCTAAATGTTCTCCAGTATTTAATAAGCTTAGGAGCAGAAGTTGATGTAAGTAATTAACCTCGTTTGATTTTATAAATATGAATCATAAAAATTACGACAGTTGAAAGCTATATGGCAATTCTGGTAGTATACTTATATGTGTACACGTCTGTGATACAATTGTTTAGTCATTGTGAAAAGCAATCAGAAGCAGGTGTGCCTTGTACAAATGCCGGGTTTTTTTTATTAATGGATGTGCTATAATTAATAAATTTTTTTATTCCAGATAAAGGACAAACATGGTATTACCCCTATTCTTGCTGCCATTTGGGAAGGACATACAAGCTGTGTGGAACTTCTTTTAAATAAGGTTTGTTATTTTAGTTTCGTTTGTTGCTAAACTGTTAATCCAAATCGTAATTTCAGGGAGCTAACAAAAGTGGTTCTACTCCAGATGGCCAAAGCTACCTCGAAGCAGCGGAAAAAGACGAAATCAAAAAATTACTTGCATAAATTTTAAACGTAAAACTAGGATACAAACCTTATGTTTCAGTATCAAAAACAATTTTAAATACAGTCATGTGTAGATTTTAAATTATGGCATTATTTATTGACTTTCAAAGACAACGAAACACTTCCATATTATAGTTTATTAAAACAAGACATTCTCAAATTTATGTTTTTTTTTAAATAAACGTTTAACATATAAATGTTAAATCCCAAATATTGTGTATTTTATGAACAGCTGTTTTCTAAATCTATTGCACGAAATTTATCTCCTATTGCTTTTAAAATATCGATAAGCCCACAAAGTTTTGTTACCATCACTATACCCGATTTGATTTCACTCAGTTGTTTTAACTTATAACTTATAAGTTATTAGTGCAAAACAAGACTAATATTTGCGCACAATGTTTCGCCCCGAAAAGCATGGGCTTGATCCCGACTTTCAACTAACCAAATTTACGACGCACACTGGGTGAAGTTGCAAAATCCCCCAAAAAGTACTTGAGAAGTACCTAAGGGGAACAGAACTAGCAAGTAAGAATAATGATGAATACCTTATCGGTAAGAGATATGTTATAATCAGTTGATGGCTCGATTATCTTATTACTAAAATTTTGTTGCAGGCTCCGGAATGGACTGTGCAGTAATACCCTTGAACCGACACAAAGACTATTTACTTGTACAAACTGTTGACTTTTTTTATCCCATGGTTAATGATCCGGAATTATTGGGACGCATAGCACTCGCTAATGTCCTAAGTGATGTTTATGCAGTTGGGTTGACGGATTTTGATTCGGTCGAAATGATCGTCAGCACATCAACAAGCTTTACTGAAAAGGAACGAGATGTTGTTATTTCGCAAGTTATAAAGGGGTTCCAAAACTCTTTAAATTCGAATGGCTATCACAAAACGCCAATTGTTATCAGACAACTGAAGATTAATCCCTGGTGTATTATTGGTGGAATAGCAACTTCCCTCTGTCGAAAAGGGGAACTTATCCTGTAAGTGCTTCTAATCTATAATATATCAGCATGAATTTAAATTATTTTCTCCTCTTAGCCCGTCCAACGCTCAGCCTGACGATGTTTTGGTTCTTACAAAACCCCTGGGAGGACAAATGGCAATGGATGCTCACCTTTGGCAACTTAACCAGACTCAAAAGTACAAAACACTGCTGTCCGAATTTAGTGATGACGATATCCGGCAAACTTTTGGAATAGCAGTTAAATCTATGACTTATTTAAACAAAAATGGTAAATATTTTTTGATTTTTAAAACAAAACTAACAAAAAATCATTTCAGCCGCACTTTTAATGCACAAATACGAAGCACATTGTGCCACTGATATCACTGGATTTGGCTTATTGGGACATGCCAATAACTTAGCACAATTCCAAAAAGAAAAAGTCTCATTTCAAATTAACAAGTTACCAATTATCAAAAATGTACTTAAATTTAGTTCTTTGATTGGCCAAAGCACAAAGTTTCGTTCTGGCAGGTCAGTAGAAACCTCAGGTGGGCTCTTAATTTGCCTTTCCCCCCAAGCAGCGGACAAGTTTTGCCGGGATTTTGATAAAATTACAATGGGAGAACAAAAGTCATTTAAAATTGGAAAAGTTATAGCCTCAAACGAGAGTGGTGCGGTTCTTTGTGATAATGTAGAGTTCATTGAAGTAAGCCTATAAATATAATTAAATTGAAGATATTGATTATTCAACTAATGAGGAATATTTCGTAAAGGCTTTTCGGCTTGGAAATATTCTGAACTTTCTTGTACACATAAGGTGTATAATAAACTTGATAATCAAAGACGCAAGCTGGTCCTTTTATTATTTGTAATCGGGTAAGTTAAATGTACTATCGATAAGCAAAGAATTTGTCGATATTTTTTGAAACATTTTATAACGATCTTCCCCTTCCTGAGTGTATTCCTTCCCCTTTTTTGTGTATTAATATCTTATTAATTTGTAAATAGCGTTCTATTAACTATTTTAGTATATGGCACCCTTGGGCTGCAATATACCAATAGTCACATCTGTTATTGTTCCTTTTACAGCGCAGGCATTTGTCCTTATTTGGTACTTTATGTTGTTAGTAGCCTCCCCACACGAAAAACACCCTTAACGGGAACAACTAAAGGACGGCAAAGGACACAGGCATAGCCGAAATATTTGGATGGAAAAATAACAAAAATGCAAAGCAATGAGAAATTGGCTTTAAAATAAAATACACAATTTAATCCGCCCAAATCAGTGACTTTTGATAAAGTGAAAATAACCATAACCGGTTAACAGTTTATTCAATTCAACCAACAAAATGTTCAGGAGCAAAAATGAAGGGAATATTGTGTACAAATGCACAGTACGACTCCTCGATGATTCCGATGTCCTAGAATGTGAATTTCAGGTTTGTGCTGCTCTTGAACTTTGCCTTTTTCCATTAAATTGGACTTGACTTTCGGAATAATCCTCTTTCGCCTTGTAAAGTCGCTGTCATCTTTAATTGATGCAATAAACTTCAATGTCCTGTTGTCGTGCTAAAAATAAGTGTGGTGTTTTTTTTAAATAAATTAGATACGCAAGACTTAATCTCTAAAGATCGTTAATAAATGGAGGCGAATCCTTGAGACAGATTACCTATTCAAAGTACTGAATAAATCCATAACGTCAACGACATTTATTATTATTTTTCCTGCAAGATTCTGGTGTGAACAGATGGGTGGCTAACGCCCTTTCTGCTTGCCGGCAAATGGGAGCTTTAATGTAGTAACTACAACTTAGTTTTGAAGAATACATATAAAAATTCTTAACATTTTTTTCAGTCTAAAGTTTGTTTTATTAAAAAATGAATATTAACCTAATTTCAATTTCTTACAGCCGTTCCATAAAGGTATTTACTTACTGGAGTATTTGTGCGGGGAGTTGGAGATAAAAGAAAAGGATTACTTTGGCTTGCGATATGTAGACTCTGCAAAACAAAGGGTAAGTAAGGGCTTTGAATACTATTTATACATCTATTAATTAGTTAATTCTTTTCTACAGCATTGGCTTGACCTATCCAAATCCATAATAAAGCAATGTAAAGGTAAGAGATTCCATAATTCATAAACTCTCCATAAAAATCTTACTTATTATTATACTGCAGACCTGGATCCATTATTATTTTCTCTAAGAGTTAAATTTTACCCAGCGGATCCATTTCGACTGACTGGAAATGCACGGATTATGTTATACCAGCAATTAAAAAGAGATCTTCGACATGGCCGTTTGTATTGCTCCTTGGGGGAAGCGGCTGCATTAGGTGCTTTAATTGTTCAAGGTAATAATTAACAACCAGTATTAGTTATAAAAACACTTAAACCGATTTAATTGATTTTGTCCATTTTGCAGAGGAGCTCGGCGATTATAACGAAGATGTGCATATAGGAGGTTACGTATCTTCCATAGAATTAGCCCTTCGACAGACCGAGTATCTGGAAAAAAAGATAATCGAGCTGCATAAAAAGCGAGAGCCTGGGCAGGATCTCTCCCTTGCAATGGACGAGTTCCTTGGAATAGCACGCGGATTGGAAACCTATGGAATTGACCCTCACCCCGTGAAAGATCATCGGGGCTCCCAGCAATATATTGGAATAAATAACTCGGGTATTAGCACCTTCGTTACCGGGAAACGATCTCAACATTTTCGCTGGAATGAAATTCATAAAATCAATTTTGAAGGCAAAATGTTTATAGCACATCTGAGTTATACCGACGCCAGCCGTGAGCCTGTAGGTTGCAATGTTTAAATTAATTGAAAGGCATACAAAATCATAATTTTTTTTATGTTTTGTAGAAAAAACATACTGTGGGGTTCAAATGTCCAACAGGCGCCGCATGTCGATATTTGTGGAGATGTGCCATCGAACAAATGCTGTTCTTCACGTAGGAATTTTTAGTTAGAACATTACAAATTGTAGCTAATGATTGTGTTTTTAGGTTACCCAATAGCCAAAGTGCAGCTGTGATTTCAGGTGGTGGATTTTTCTCCTGGGGCACAAAATTCCGATACACCGGAAGAACTGAGCGTGAAATTTTGACTGAAAACATAAATGCATTGCGGGAACAAAAAATAAACAATTCGAATTCTAGCAAGCGAAAGGCGAGCAGTGTGCCAGCCACGCCGTCCAGTCCCCAGGGAGACCTAGCACAAATAAGTAAGTGGTTTATGAAAGATTTGCAAGAATAATCATACAGAAGCCTTATTCGCTGCCAGATTATCTGAGTTTGCTTAAATAGCTAAATCTTATCTTCTGCTGCACCCCAATATTATATATGTATTTATTTAAAGCCTTAAGCTAAAGAAGTTTGTGAAATTTTTTTCTAGGATACAGCAGCTTACCGCGGTCGACAATGTCGGAGCCCCTGGGATACGGCATGCCAAATGGGCATTTTTACGGGCACGATCACGGGATGATCGAGGCAAATGGGGGCATCCAGATATCCAGCTTGGAGCCCGTTTGCGAGGAAGCTCGTCTGAGGTCGTCAAACATCGAAGGCGTCAACTATCTGGCGTCCCAAATGGGGGGCTACGCCTATCGGGACTCCATCGAACATTCTTCCACAGAAAGCGGTCTGACCGTGAATGGCTACGATCATCCGAGAAAACACAATGATTCTAAGCAGCATGGGTCGTACTCCCCGAATTTGTACTACGGACAGCCGGATGCCACCTTGAACTCCAGTTTGCCTACCGATAACTTTCTGCACTCGGACCAATCCATTCGCAAAGTAAAGAAGTTTCGCAAATTCCACTTACTACACGCCTTTGTGCCGTCCGTCATTTTTGTGGCTTTTGCGATGGCCGGAACTGCTGTTTTCATAATGGAATCCGAGTCGGAGGCCTTTGAGCAATTGCGCAACTCCCCCGAAATGCTTTGTCTGCGGTACCAATACTATCAGCCTTTGAAGGAGTTTGTTTTGGAAAAGTTGGGCCGGAGAAAATAAGGGTTTTTTAATTATGTAGACGCATCTTTAACTCCACTAGCTACAGCTGTATCGAGTATTTTAAAACGTATTTAAGTGAATTCTTTATTATTATGCTGTAATGATTCCATATTAAAAACAAAAGCCTGAAATTTAATTTTAACATTTAACTAATTCGTTCTGATTGGGTAATGGAAAATTGGCGAGAGCTTTTTAATTAAATAGCATCCAATGCTTTAGTAACTTTTTTGACCTCTCTTTCTAAACACATTATTTTTATAGATGAAGAATTTGGAATTCTTCTTTCCACTATAATACATTTTTTATGCGAGCAAATAAACAACGTAATTTTGTTTGAAGTGAATGGCAAATAGAACTTAAGCAATTAATTTTTTATTCGAAAAAAATATGTTTTTTATGTAGAACACATATTGCTTACCAAAATGTTATATAATGAAGCATAACATTTTTTGCAGGAAATCAATCATAACATAAGTCCCAAGACACGTTCAAAAACAGTTCTTTTATTTGTCGATATTGTTTTAAATCAATCTTATTCGTTAGATTTATTTAGTAAAACTTTTATTAAATAAATAAATGTGGCTATGCTTTTTTATAACGATGATAAACGGAATATTACCATATCATCGATTGAATGTACATTTTTATATTCTATATGAAGCTGTTTACTAAAGAACCATATCTGCTTGAAGTCCCAACGATTCCGAGTGTTTTTTGGCTTTCATCCTAAGATCTGCTATGCTGGAACTTTTGCTGTGGGCGGCGGCGAAAGCAGCCAGATTTATTGAATATTGTGGCACGGAGAAAAGTCCGGCCGGCACGGTTCCATTTGTTATGGCAGCAGCGTACTGAAATTTTCGTAAAAAATTTAACTTTTTTAAGTACATAAATATATTATTATCGTTGTAGTTTTTGGCGAAGTCAAAATAGGCAAAACCATAATGGCGAATATGTTTAACATTGCAGACAGGATATTCTACAAATTAATACCAATTTTTTTTTTTTTTAAATAAGAAACATTTTCATCTAACATTTTCACAAAATTAAAAAAAAAAAAAAAGTTTAGAATAATATTTGTCATTTTTTCATGAACTTTAAAAAGCACCAATTTGTGTCCCATTTTCTGCCGCTTTAATTCTAGTTATTTTTACCGAATATTTCGCTCGCCTTATAATTTTCATAGCAAATATAAAACCACCTTAAAATCTATTAGTTTGTTAATATGACTTGGTGTAATTATTGTTCAGAAATGTTACCTGATGAGCTGCCACCGAAATAATTGCTGGGTCAAAAGCGGAAAAGGCGGCTGCTGCGGCAACCGTGCTGGAAAACTGCTTGATAGCCGAACGGGATATCGCCGGAGATTCAACAGGAACCACTTTTCCGGGAGTCGCTCCACTCGGTGGTGCCTGGGGATTGGCACTGGTCGCAGTAGCAGGATGAGACGGAACGGATGAGCTTCTAAGGGCGGCCAAGCTGACGTAAGGAGCGACGCGGCACGGTTCCAATGGAGTGGCGATGGGAGGACTTCGACTGCCCACCAAGAATCCTTCAAAATATTTATCGTTTTCAAAATGTGTGATTAACAGTTTGGAGTTTTTATTTTTACATTTACATTTACATTTTCAAAACGAAACAAATGAAGTTGAATTTATTTATTAGAACTAAATTTATAAATTATGTATTTTTATTTACTTTTCAAAATTTGGTATGAGTATTTGTGACCAAATTGAAATATTTTCAAAAATATACAACACAAGCTAAATCTTTTTAAAATTAAACCTGTTTCTTTAAACTTGATGAACTGAAAACAAGAACTGAAGAACTATAACAGCTAAATCAAGCATTTTTTGCTAATATAAAAGTTCATTTTATTTTTTTTATTCCTTCTTTTTTATTTGGGAAAGGGTCATTACAACAAAATTTTAAAAATTATCATTTTACTTCGTAGATAAAATAAAACTGTTGAATAAGTATTTTAATTTAAGTGTTTGGGGGCTCGATTTTTGTATTAATAAATTTAACAACCAAGAAAAATTCAATTACGCTCTACGCTCTTTTTTCCACCAATTACCAGAGGTGTAAATATGTATCCGGGTTTCGCATGCAAAGGGAACACCCGTACTTTCTAGATTGGCAAATCGTTTTAAGATTCAGTGACAAGTAATTGAATTCATTTTGTAATTTATTGCTCGGAGAACGCCCCGAAAAACCCGGAGGCTGCGTCATTCAACCACAGGGACGTGTTACTCTTGAATCTCCTGAAAGTGCTGGAGTAAATACAAATGGCTCTCCGGGGAATTGAAGGCCAGGTTAACGTCTTGTTTATGGTGGTTCATCGGCGGCAAAAAGCCTGAGAATTGATATGAACCCATAAAGTGCTGGCCATTCGCTGTGTCTGCCGTGCTTTTTATGCCAAATTTCAATTTGATTACATTTCTGAAACTTTTTTATGCCCTAGGTCCAGTATTGAAATACGGCAGGCATTAGGCGGGAATTTGATAAATGAGATTATATCTTTTAATCCAATTAAGTAGGGGTTTTCTTGTAACAAATATGAGTGTTTATTGGGGAGGATTTAGTTAAAGGTCCGAGCTAAGCAATAAGAACTTTGGAATTTACTTATAAATATATTTTATGGCACTCATAAATGTATTGATTTGCATTCCAAAAAAATTGGAATACACTTTCGCGTTCTTTTTCATAGCTCTTTCATTTTCACCTTGCTGTTTTTCCGGCTTGTTTGCTTTTCGCATTACAATCAATTCTCACAATCCCATCTGCTCAAATTTTACCGAGAAAACAAGCCAAATCCCTTCGGCAATATACATAAAAACGTTTTTTTAGCGACAGCAACACAAATCATTGCTAACTTCATCAAATTAAATATTCGAGCAATAAAACGGAGAATACAAATTCTATTGAGTGAGCTGGGGAGTTGATGAATGGGGATAAGTCCTTGGAAACGAGGGTTGAACCGTTCAACGCAACGGAAAGCCAAATGAATTAATGAAGAGACATTTAAATAACTGTGAAACCGTAACATATTGGCTCGACGAGTTGATAAGCCAGAAAATGAACAGTATTCCGAAATGTAAATGGTTCTTGCCTGATTTCTGTGTACTTAACTAATTGCAATTTACACTTTAATTAAGCTTTATTGAGGGGACACTTGGATGGCGCGTGGGTGATGAGCACAGCTTAAAAAGAAACTAAATCAACGAAACTTTTGGGGATACCAGAATTAACAATATAAAAATTATAAAATAAAGAAAATAGTAGCTATTTTTTTTACTAACCTTTGTGCATTTGGTTTTCGTGCTTTCTGCACTTTGCCCTTCTATTTTGAAACCAAACCTGAAAGAGCATTAATAACGGTTACGTAGTATTAAATGGTTTTTTAGCACCGTCATTAAAAATCAAACACTAGAACGTCTTTTTGTTGAAAAATATACAAAGATATTATTGTTTTTATAGACCAGAAGACAGCTAATTAAAATTATGAATCAATATTATTTATTAATATTTAAAAAAAAACAAATCAAAAAAAAAAAATATTGATTAACTTTGGCAGCTTTGTGTTTCAATGATACAATTTGCTGTTTTACTTGGAAAATTTTTTCCTTGAACTGCACATTCACAATCACTGACCCTTCAGACAGAAATACTTTGGGAAATCCGGCTTTCATAAGCAATAAAAATTTAGCGCGCGTTTCTTTTTTAATCATTTCCAAGAATTTTGAAACAACTGATAACTTTGAATACCACCGACGAATGATCATTTAAGAATAAATTAAAACGTTTTTTTTATTAGTCGTTGAGAGTACATTGATGAGTCAGTGTTGATCATTTGATGAAAATAAACAACTTAAAAGTCAAGTTATGTATAACCAGTACATGAAATATAGTAACTTCAAACTGACGAACTTTAAACATACATGACTTTATCAGAAACAAAAAACACAGCATATTGTTGGTCGAAGATTGAATTTCATAGGAAATAGCAATCATATTCAAATACAAATCTTTATGCACAGCCCATTGGCTGTGAATCTTATATTCACGAAATTCTTTCGTATGAATCACGAAATTCTCCCGCACACATAAGAACAAAAGCTTATCACCAGTTAAATCCGTATGACCTTAGAGCAGTATTTCCCTAAGTGTGGGTCGCGACCCACTGGTGGGTGGTATATGACATGATATAGTAACCTGCTGCAATATGTGATACTGTGATATTGCAGGGACAAGGTGAAGTATCTTTTCGGGTAGATATCAAATGAATGAAAAGATACTTCTTACGTTTTAGAGCATAAGTTAAATGCGAGAAAGTATATGAATTTGACTATTGTAGACGTCATTATTTCATGTTATGGCAATTATGCTGTTCAACAATTGCAAATCTAAAACACTTAAACGACAATGGTATTGAGGAATTGAAGAAAATAACTTAGGCTTAATATTATGTGATTGTTAAAATAGTCGAAACTCTGATAAGATGCACATGTAAGCATCAGCATTTTGGTATGAAATTGGCAGTGAAATTCCATACTAAATTTTAATAACTTATTTAAATTTAATTCTTTTTCCTCATGCTAAACTGTCAGAATCGCATAGTTTATTAAATGTACCACACAAAAGTTAATAAATAATAGTGTTTACAGCATTTTGATTTGAGATTCAATGAGTTATGTACAAGGGCGTCGCCAGGGGTGGGCGAGAGGGGCAGTTTCCCCCCCTAGAGATTTCAAACTACTTTTTTTTTTATTTTTCTAATAAATGTTATAACCCATTTACAAGTTTTTTAGGCTACATTTAATTTTGAAAAAATTAGGGATCCTTGGTAAAATTTAAACAATATAACCCTACTTTTCTATCGAACGAGAAATGTCAACAGAAATTCTATCAGCGAACTTACATATACATATGTATGTAGATTGTAAATTTAAATTTCGTTCGTTGCAAAAGCAAACTTATTGCAGGTTTCGTGTATTGCAAGCTCGTCTAATCCGTTATTGCAATGTTTTGTGTGTTTGATACGTTATATGTATATATTTTAGATAACTTGCAACAAACGAGTATTGACTGTATTATATTCAAACTTAATTGTGAGCTCTCCAAACGCTAAAACGAAATGCAACTAGCAAATTATACATACGTCTCTAGTTGTCATGTAAAACCAACAACTACCATTACCATACATAGAATAACGTGAACCGCTGAAAAAATAATAAGTACTCAAAGTTAGGAGACATTAAGCAGAAATTCGATGGATTCATATTCATGAAAGAAAATTCGTGAAAATGATGCACAGAATTAAAATGATTGTTTATTCAAGAATTGAAGGTAGCACTACAGTCAAATTAATACAGAAAAAAACTTTGATTTTCAATATGTTATATGTAATTATTAATTATACCCTTGCAGAGCAAAGGGTATTATAATTTCAGTCAGAAGTTTGCAACGCAGTGAAGGAGACACCTCAGACCCCATAAAGTATATATATTCTTGATCAGCATCACCATCTGAATCGAAATATGTATGTACGTCTGTCCGTCTGTCCGTCTGTCCGTCTGTCCGTCTGTCCGTCTGTCTGTCTGTCCTCCTGTCGGTTTCTATGTAAACTAGTCTCTCAGTTTTAAAGCTATCTCGCTGAAACTTTCCCAAAAGTTGTGTAGTTGTTGCACGCAGTATATATGTCGGAACGAGCCGGATCGGGCGACTATATCGGATAGCTCCCATACAAGAGAATGAAATAAAAAAATTTTACACCGTTGTTTTTGATCAGATCGACTTGATTCCTTCCAGATGGCGTTTTCTAACTGCTATTGAATTTCGGATTAAATTTTATCAAAATCGGATAACTCTATCATATAGCTGCCATAGGAGAGATCAAAATATATATATATAAATAATGGAAAAAAATTATAATGTCGTTGTTTTTAATGCCACGAGCATGATTTTTGAAACATAAAGTTTTTTAAATACTCTTAAGTTGAGAAAAAATAAAAATCGGAGTACTATATCATAGAGCTGCCATAGGAAAGATCGAAAAATCTATATAGAAATAACGGAAATATAATTATAACCTCGTTGTTTTTCATCAGACAATAATGATTTTTGGAATATAGAGTTTTCTAATGAGTCTTAAGTTACAAATTAAATTTCATTAAAATCGGACGACTATATTATATAGCTGTCATATGAACAATATGGAAAATTAATAGAAAAATCCTCATAGCTTCGATGGTCTTTAGCTTTTATGTATTTTGTTCGACATATTTAGTAACTGCAAGGGTATATCAGCTTCGGCTTGCCGAAGCTAGCTTCCTTTCTTGTTTCAACTTGGAATTTTACAATTTCATAACAAATTTGTTTGAAGTCTACTGACACCACGTCCCATTATTTCTTGAGCAGTCGCTTCATCTTTGAAGGTCAGTAACATGAAACGAACCTCCATAAGTAACTTGCCCGGCCCATATCCTGCGTCTGTTCCAGGCCCGGTGAATGCGGCGCCCTGTGCTGTCAACTCTCCAGGATTAGTTGACCCATCTGGCACGGTAAGTATGTCTCCTACATCGCGTCGACGTCTTCCGCTGGGCTTTAGGAGTTCATAAACTTCAACAACAAAGGTGGGCATGTAACTGGCTTTCAACAAATCCTCTTCTGTATAAATCACGTGTGAGTCCGCGACAATGTTATTGTATCCTTTTGCCCAATAACTTTGATAACCGTGATCTCCGCGAGTACTGACATAAACTTCATCAGATACGTCGTGTTTAACTTTTATCCAGAAAGGCGTCTTGGGTTCGGTGTCGATTGTGAACCGCATAGCCGTTCCTTTTTGGCATATTACTACTCTTGATGTAAATTCAACAGCAGTGCTTGTGGAATGTACATTATCCAGCATGACTGGATCAAAAGTGACACCTTCGTTGCAGTTATCTGGACAATACGTATTTTTCTCAACCCGCAAGGATACTATTGGTGAAAAACTTCGACTGTATTGGTCCACAACTTGGCCGATAATGTTTCGTTTTCTGGATTTGCTCACATACTCTAGGCCATATCTACCGTTGCGCGATTTAAAGTACGCATTTCTGATGGTAGAAAACTTTTCCTCTCCTTGCGAGAATATTAAATCTGGGGAGATTTGTAGATCCGGATTGGACAATTTTAAATCTGCCAGATTTGCCGTTTTTTTGAGTGCAAGCCAATCCCCCTTTAAGAAATTGTGGTTTTTTCCGTGGCAGGTTCCTTCACCGGATAGCATTGAATGAAAGTCGAAGAGATTGATGGCGAGTGAAATTTTTGGTAGAAATAAACTTTCTAGACCTGCGTACACGTGAAGGTCTACACAACTGTCTCCTGAGTACTCGTCGGCCATTTCGAGTTGAACTTTTTTGCTGTTTTCCATATATTGCGCAATGGTCACTTGCGATTCATCTGTCACATACTCTTTGTCGCGTATCAGAAATTTCCATTTCACACATTTCTCCGACTCAGAACCTAATAAGCCATCATTATTTAGGTATTCGCGAACCTTGCTGAGTTTTTCATTCCAGTCAATCGTAAGGGTCTTTTTTATACTTTCGCCAATTTGAATATTCAGTGAAGTGATTTTCTTCAACACGTTAGTGAATATTACTCGGTTATTGCTCTGGTTATTCAGTAAATTCTGAACAGGTATTAATAGCTCGGCATCCTCATGCAACGGATGATTCCGCACTAACACTCGCCAGTCATGGGTTTTATTCATCGAACCAATATGATTATTCGAAACTAATTTTTCACGAACTATATTGACATTTACATTATTATCGCACTCAATATCAACGTTTCTGATTTTGTCTCCGTCGATGAGTTTCACTTTAAGTGCGCTTGTTGAAGAGAGTAAAAATAATAAATATAAAACCCACATCTTGGTAGATCGCTGTTTACTATGACACTAAATTTATTATTTATTCGCAACATTATTTATACTATACGTATACAAGATTAATATCTTATATACTGATTTGTTTAATAGAATACAAATTTTGAGTCGGGCTGCCGTCGGAAACAAGCAACGAAGTCGTATTATAAGAGTGAGATAGAGAGGGAAACTTAGGAATATCCCTTCTCGTTTCCTACACACATGATTGCTTGAATGTCACGAGTCACCAAGTGACAGCCAGAACTGCAGGGATGTGATACAGCGTTGCCAGATTTTTTTTTTGCCAAGTCGGAACTTTGGAACTTTTTAAGTGAAAAAAGCGGGATTCTTTCGTCGAAAGCGTACTGTGGCTCACAGTTTTTTTGACCCGCCTTGTTTATTCAAAATTAAATGAAAATAACTTTTTAACTAAAGCCAAACT